ATGTGGTCGCGCGGGTCATCGAGGACCTCGGCGACAAGAAGCTCATGGCTGCCGCCCCGGGCAGCGCGCGCGGCGAGGACGCCCAGGCCACGGGTGCGACGAAGAAGGACATCTTCGGGCTGGGGACTTCTTATGGAGATGCCATCGCGACGGCGGCGAACTCTTCCGAGTACGGCGCTATGCGCACGCCGCGCGTGTCACGCGACTGCTTCGCCACTTTCAGCTTTCGCTACGCGGCCATCGAGGCGCTCCACATCGCGAAGACGACGCCCAAGGCCTGGCTCGACCGCGAGACGGCTTTGATCGAGGACGCAAGGCAGTCGTCGCGCGACCTGCGCCGCCACCTGCGGGCGGGCTTTGCGATCTCGGAGCCTCCGACTTATCTGTTCTCGTCGAAGCTGTCGCCGCTCGCCGGGCCGGGCGCGCCCAAGGCTGTCCCCGACTCCGGAAGGCTCGACAAGGCGCTGCGGGGAGAAGGATTTAAGCTCGTCGGCGAGCCGCGGTCGCTTTTCGATGCGCTGAGCCACCAGCTCTGCGGCACGCACCAGCTCTCCAGATATGTGGAGCACGCCGTGGCCACAGAGCTGGGGTGGTGGTCGGAACCAGAGCCGAAATCACGCCAGCGACGCGACGTGGCTCATTGGTCGATTCTCACAGGAAGACTACTGCAGCGGCGCGCCCGTGGACTTCGAGGAGCAGTACGGGGCCCTCTACCGGCCGACGGACGCGCCTTTGCCCTACGCGGGCGAGTGGCGCGACCACTTCGAGCGGTGCCGCAGCGCGAACGACGGCCACGCGGCGGCGGGCCAGCGCTACGACGACGGCGCGGCGTCGGCGGCGCGGCCGCCGCCGCTCAGCGGTGATGATCTTGTGGACGTCTCCAAGGAAGACGGCTCGGGCGTCGTCGAGTGCTCGGTCCAGGGCGGCGACGCGCGCGTGGTGGTCGTGAAGCCGCCGGGCGGCGCGCAGGAGGAGATCCCGCGGTCGTCGTGGCGCTTAGGCGGTGGCGGCCCGCGGTCGCGGCGCGGCGCCCACGTCGCCGAGCAGCAGACGGCGCTGCTCGTCCAAGCGTTCGCGACGGTGTGGAAATCAACCAGTGAGTTAGGTTATCGCATCGATGGCGCGGGGCGCCCGAAATTTGATTTCCACACAGGTTCGCGAACGCGTTCGGCGTGCGCGTCTTCCTCCTGTGCGTCACCGGGAAGAAGAAGCAGCTCCGCGTGGTCAGGGTGGAGCCGCGGAACGGCCGCCGGGTCCTGATCAACGGCTACGCCATCGCGCATCTCGGAGGCGTCGCGTTCGACTCGGTCGCGCGGCACCACGACGTCATCGAGATCCAGAGCGGTTCCGAGAGCGAGGACGACGTCGACGTCAAGCCGGACCCGGAGCCGCCGGCGAAGCGCCAGCGCGCCGCGCCGGCCGTCAAGCGCGAGCGCCACTAACAAACACATACTTAATACCTACTACGCGTCGCGACCAGCGCCGCGACCGTCGGCAGCGCCAGCACCACGTAGCGGGGCCACCGGTCCAAGCGCAACCGCCCCGCCAATTCAAACGCGAACCGCCGCAGCACGAGGTAGTGGAGCTGCTTCTTCGCGTCCGGCGGGACTTGCAGTTCCCTCACGCGCCGGCCGTCCTCGACCTCCCAGGCCGCTCTCAATACCGCGACGCCGTAGTATTCCGAGAGGCGCACGGCGACGGCGCCCTTCAGCGAGCTATTTTTTAGATCTCTTGTTTTCAGCAGCAACCGCACCGTCTCGCAGAGTCGGCCCCGCTTCTTTGCGTCAGAAGCCGCAACGGCGTTCGGGTCTCTCCCCTCAACTCCCTCGCCATCGCCCGTCGAGTTCCGGTCGGGGGCCCAGCTCCTCGCGCCCGTCAATCTCCCGACATTATACCCGAGAGCTTTCAGCTTTTGGTGAGCCGCCCGCGCGAGGTGCGCGTGCCTCTTGACATCGCCCTCCAATTCATCAATACTCCCGCTCCCCTCATTAATTTTCGACCGTAATCTACCATCTTGATCCTTATCGAAGGGGGGATTGAGATTTTGATCGGCCAGCGTCTCGGCCATCTGCCGCACCGGCATCGTCTTCTCCTGGCCCCGAAAGTCCTCGTAGGTCACGTGGGAGTCGACGGACTCGCCTCGCAGCACCTTCTCGAACTCGCCGACCAAATCTCTTCGAGCTTGCTTTCTTGTCTTGCGTTTCTTGCGCTTGGCACTCGCGGAGAGCAGCAGGAGGCAGAGCCAGAGCGTGCGCATCGTTCGTGGGGCAGCTTGTGCTGCCTTCTGCGTGTGCTGCAGAGGCCGGCGGGCAGCGCTGGCGGCGTTTTGCGGGCAGCCTAGATTCCTAGTGTGTTACAGGCCGCTAGGTGCGCTTTTATTGCGGGGGCTGCCCCGGGCCTAAAAAATCCGCAGCCGTCAAGCTACGGGCGTCTCTAGAAGTCCCATTGGTGTACCAATACGATCGCGTGGTATTTGAGGCAGGCAGCCCACCGACTGACCTCGCAGTGGCTGTGGGATCGTCGGTGCTCTCCGGCGGTCCCGCTTGCGCATCGCTACCAATGGCGGAAGAGACGAAGGAGGCGCAGGAGACGACGGAGGCGACAGCAAAACGAGAAACTACCGATTGGTCTACGCACACGTACGGCGGGCTCGGCTCGCTGCACGACGGCAAAAAGCTCCTCCACGACCCCAAAGGCCAGGCTGAAGCCTGCACATTCGCCACAATGAAGAGAAGGACGACAGAGCAGCGCGCGTGGCGCCCCATCGACGACTGGATGCGGCAACACGCCCAGAAAAACTTTCCGGTGGACCCGCAAGCCGTCGCCGGCGCCACTGAGTTGCTCCTCGGGCAAACGAGCAACACACGGGTCGTCACGACTTACTTTGACACGACGTGCACCTTCTTTGCCCTAATTACGCAGGTGGAGCAGAAGGGAAAAACAAAAGGCGAGCCGCTCGTGAACGTCTACGCGCTGAGTGGTCACGTTTTGCTTCCCTGCGAGTCCGGAGCCATGATGCAACTATCCGAGGGCGAATATGTCTTCATGCTCCCCGACGAGGCGTCGCCTCCCGTCATGCTGATGCGGTTTCCGTTGCTGAAAAACCAACCGTTCATGCTAGATGGGGTGGTAAGCGCGAGCCGAAAGCTACGTACCTGCGCCGCCTGCGGACAGGTCTGGCGCCGTTCGATGAAGAAGTGCGCCGGTTGCGGTGAGGTCCCTTACTGCAGCCAAGTGTGCCAGCGCCATCACTGGTCCAGCCATAAGGCTGCCTGCAAACGCGCCCGGTCGCAACGGAAACCAACGCCTGAGGGGGGAACTAAGTAGAAGAAGATAACACTGGAACTAAGTAGAAGAAAATAACACTACGCTCGCCACCGGCGCCACCCCGTCGCCCACGAGCTCGTCACACGACAATGCCGCCCACCGCGCCTGGACCGCGGCCGAGTCGGCGGCCGCGCCCCACGACGTCCCCGCTCGGATGCCATACCTGAGGCGCAGGCTCCGGCACTCGTCCCCGGGCGGCGGGTAGCACGGTTCCAAGCACGAGTCCAGGAAGCCGCCGCGCCGCGTGTCGCCGCGGGCGCGAGCTCTCGACAAGCATGCGAGCCAGCACGCGTCGAAGTCGAGCGGCGGCCGCGGGACCTGTGTGGAAATCAAAATTTTACGGCGCGTTCGCGTCGTCCTCCACGCCATCGACGCGACGCCTGCTCGATGGCGTGGCGGTGCCGGTTCCGCACCGCTCGATGGGGGCAGCACCGCCGCGTCATCGCCGAGCAATGACTTAGTGCTGGTTGTTTTCCACACAGCTCGGGACGGGCGCGCAGTCCAGGCGGCGTTCCGCCACGGCCTTCAGCTCCGCGAGAGGCACGGTGTACCGCACGAGCCGGCTCTTATAGATCTCCTCGGCCCGCACGCCGGGCACGTCTCGGTGACGTAGAAGTAGGCGTTTGGGCCCGCACGACCACCCGTCCACACGGATGGTCCGTGCCGCGGCCGTAGGACGCCGGCGTCGATTCTAGCACTCGTAAGAATTCAGAAAAGTGCACGCCGTCACACGAAAACGCCATCCCAATAAACGCTTTCCGCGTCGGCTCTTCGCGCACGACCGGCGCCAACAATATGTAGCCCTTCGCGACGGGGTTTCGCAAGACCACGGCGAAGTAGACGTTGTCCCCACTCACGGGCGGCGCTCCCACTCCACGGTAGTCGCGCACACTGATCAATTCAAAATTCGATAAAGCCGGTTCAAATTTCAGAACTTGCACGTGCCGCCCGCCGAACATGCCGTTGGAAGCATTTCTCCTCACCAAGTTGGCCCGGGCATACAACCTCCCGTCGACCACGGACACTTTCCCGTCGAACTCGCAGGAACCGCGTTGCGCGGGCGTCGGTCGACGCAGCCCTCGTGGTCGCCTTGGACCAACACCGGACCCTCGTCCGACGCGAGCAACTCGTCTATGCTGGAGAAAGGTCCCCGTCGCTCGAGCCCCCTTTTTCTCGTTCCCGGACCCCAGAGCCCGCCAATCACATACCATTGGTCATTTGCCACGTAGATGGCCGCGTTGTGCGCTAATGAGGAAGGCCAGGGCGCCAATTGTGTATTTGAACGAGAGATGCAGTTCAGGTTGTGGTCGCATCCTGTCCACAGTAGCGTGCGTGGATTCGGATCCGCGTGCGGATAGTGGCCCGTCCTCGCATAGACTAGTAAGGAGGAATTGTAGTCGACGATGCCGAAGTAGCGCGCCGGGTTCTGCCTGCCGAACTGTGCCACTACTTTAGGTGAGGTGAAGAGCTCTGCATGGACAGCTGTGAGGCCGAGCAGCAGCATCGCTAGGGATGGTCCGCGGCGCCGCGGGCAGCGTCCTCACGTCGTGTCTGGCCCAAAATGGGCAGCCATTCCATCTGCGTCGACGCGTCCCGCCTGAAAATTCGCGCTAGCGGTCTGTAAAGACACTAGCCGGGGACTGCGTTGGTGACAAATGCAACTTACACGCGTCCTACTTCAAAGGACGGGCTGCGGCAGGGCGGCGCCGATAGAAGAGAATCGTCGGCACCGCCCCCTCCTCGGCGACGTAGGCCTCCAGCGAGTCCAGGCGCTCGACCGTGTCGTCGTCGAAGAGGAACCAGCACCGGGAGAGCTCGTGGTAGGTCACCGCTACGTAGTGACCTCCATTCCCGTAACTTAAGAAAAGGACAGCGCCGACCAGGTCGAAGACTTCGGACGCGGCCGGTCGGTGGACATACCGCGTCATGTCGAGGCCCTCGACCGGAAACGAGATGGGATCGTCCAACAATGCGGCATTGAAACGCGTGCGCTGGGTTGCTCCGTCCCATTGATAGAGGATGAGGTTAAATACAAGTACGCGGCCCGTGCACCAGATGGTTCTCTGGAGAGTCCCGTTGGAGGCGCCGCCAAATTGCTCTGGTGCGATTGCAGCGTCGATCATGTCATAGAGGGAGGCGCCACCGCGAGGCTGGAGCCGCAAAAAGCAGTTCAGCTCAACTACGTCGAAGTCTCCCGTCTCGTCCTTTGTAACCCTTCGCTCGTAGCTAGCAAGCTCGGCGTATAGGACACCAGGAGGCATTGGCCCAACCTGACTTTGTGCAGCTCTTAGTACGGCGCCAGCGTCGTCCGCGTCATAATGCGACGATGCGAGCGTCACCGGGCGGTCGCACGGTATTCTTGCAAGGATATCATCGAAATGCGAAAGTATATCAGCAAAAACATCCATCGCATCGCCGGGCTGGCCCTCGGCAGGGAAATTTGAATGCGACTCCATGAGCACCTGCCGCAACGTCGTCAGTAGCACCCGAGCACCATCTGGGCCGTCCGGGCCGCCCGTGCGATTCACGTACGCCTCCAGCGCCGCGTACACTCCGACGTCGCGGCCCAGGCACCCCTCGGCACGCAAGAAGGACTCCAGAGGACACGCCGCGAAGAGGCAGAAGAGCGATACCATGCAGTCGCCCCTGCGGTCCAAGGGAAGCGGCCGCGGCGCGAAGTCGCCCGCGAGCTGCGGCTCGACTGTGGTCGCCAACCACTGGATGAGAGGCACGGCTTCGTGTCGCGTCGCCAGGAGCGTCGGCGCGCGCACCGCGACAGCAGCGACAGTCCGCTCGACATGTGCCTCGGCCCAGCGTCGCACGTCGGCCCGCCGGGACGCCAACACGAACCGCGCGAGCGCTCGCGCATCTAGAAACGGGAGGATGTTGACCCAGGCTTCCTCGCGAAACCACACGTCAGAGCTCGCATCCACGACAGCGTCGGATGCGAAGATGACGTTTGCGCGCTTGATGGCAATGCTTCGGCCGTCGATGACGACGGCCACACGGCCCACAGCCGCAACGTCCGGCGGAGTCGCCGTGACGACGCCGCGGCGGCCGTTGAACGCCGCGCTTGCGAGGCCCTGCAGCTCGACGAAGGCGCCGACGGGCGGGGCGTCGTCCGAATCCACACTTCGGGACGACACAGATTCCGCGCCGATGATCACGCGCAGACCGCAGTCCAGCCTGACAACGACGCGTTCGCCGTCGATGCCCTCGACGACGCCGACACAAGTGTCCGCAGCTCCGAACTCTACCGCGCGAGCGAGTGCGGCTCTGCGAGCGATGGCTGCGACTTGCGAGCGTGCGGCTGAGGCCCTGTTTGCGCGGGCGTTTCGCAGATCGCTCTCGTCCGGCACCAGGCGCGTCATCGCGATGCGCGCGCCGACCGTGATTTTGGCATCGGCCGTCGCCTGAGAGCTGGCTGGCCCGAGGCTCAGCGCCCGCAGCGCGTCCGCAGCGCTACGCGACGACATGTCGCAGAGTTACGATGCGCGCGCAGTCCGCTGGCGGCTAGTTGCTCAAGGCACACAATCTCTGCTGTCGGCGCTCTCCGAAGCTGAAACGGCCGAACGCGTAAAAATTCACAGCGCTTTGGCCTCAACGGCGCCAGAGACGTTAATTTAAGCAACTGTCTGGCGCACACGCACCGCTGTCGTCCTCACACGAGTAGGCGACCAAGCCGCAAGCGCAGCTAGCGTTGTAAGACACTAGACACGTACAATTTCGCGCGGCCAGAAATTCTAAGAGACCCCTTAAAAGCCCCCGTAGAAGAACGCTAGGCCCCCGCCGCCACGGCGAGCGCGACCGCGAGGCCCCGCGCGGCCCCCAACACCGCGGCGGCCCCGGGCGGCAGGCTCCGCAAGGCGTGGACCTGGAGCTCCCTTTTTAATTGGGATGCGAAGGCCGCGGCCACGACCAAGTAGACGACCCTCGAATTCGTATCATATGAGAGGGCTTCGGGACCCTGGATCAGATAAGCGTACGGCAGGAGCAGCAGCCCCGCCAACAAGCTCAGGGACGACGCCACGTTCGCCGGCGGGCGCTCGTCGACGCCGAGGGCCGTATGAGCGTGGGCCGCGGCGTGCCACGTGGCTGCGAGCAATCCGCTCCCGAACGCGAGACAAGCCAAGACCCCGAGCTTCGAGGTGGGCTCGCCGTCGCGATTCAGGAAGCCCGGCGTCTCATCCGATGACAGTATCGATGCAATATGCGACGCTATGAGAGCGGCGGCGACGGCCGCGGCCGCCCCATATGTCGAAGACGGTCTAGGATTCGCGCCGGCGTAGGCTCCTAAAGCTTCCAGCATGGCTCGGGACGGAGCTAATGCGCTTCGAGGCCCCAACCTATCAAAGGTCGCGAGGACGTCTGTCGACGTACTCGACGCGGCGACCTTGCCACCAGTCCAAGACAGCGAAGCGTAGGCCGCGGCGACGTCGCGCCGCGTCGCGGCCAACGACCGCCAGGCGCCGTCCACATCGACGTCTCGGAGGATCGGAGCGCCCCGGGCATCGGCCGCGAAGGTCGCACTCACAGAAACAGCAGCCAGAGCTAACGCCGCAGGAAACCAGAAGCGCGGCACGTCCTCGCCGTAGAACGAGGGCCAGGGTCTAGCCCCACAGAGCCAGAACGGCAGAGCCGTCAACGGTCCCAGGAGCAACTCCGCACACGCTACCGAAAGTGCATACGGCCACGCCTGCAGCAAACGCGCCGTGCAGACCACGGAACACGCCTCGGCGCCACAAACCAACAACACGATCCAGGCCGTCGCCACGACGGGGTCCTGGACGTCCAGTATATCTCTCTTAATCTCCTCGGCGAGCACGGAGTCGGTCGCCGGCGGCCGGCGCTCGTCGTCCGTCGACAAATCTAAGGAGCCGCGCCGCCTCGGGGAGTTCGGCGGCGTCGCGTCGCTCAAAATGGAGTCGGCGCGACCGCGGGGGTCCTCCTTGTCGAGGGGCGGCTCCATGAGGCTACGTGGGCAGCAGTGGGCTGCCTCGACGACCAGTCGTTCTGCCGCGAGCAGCGACGAGAGACGAAATTCGCGTCCGCGCCTCTTCACACCGTCAATCTGCGGTCGATTGCGAGCCGATTTGCTTCGACAAGCTATGTGCTGGCTAGTAGCTCTATGAGCTAGCCATTATCTGGCCGCAGCGCTGTTGGCGTCGCGCCTCGGACGGGCCCAGTCCTGGCCGACGGACCGATTTGCACCGCCCGGCGGGGCCTCACGCGCGCGCTGCCGGCCGCGACCGCGTATTGAAGGGAGACCGGAGGCCTCAGCGCCCAGGAGCAAGGGGCAGCCCCAGACCGCTGCCCGGCGCGGCGCCCGCGGCGCACGACCATGCAGATCTTCGTCGAGGACCTCGATGGCCGCACGCGGACGCTCGACGTCGCAGCCGACGCGACCGCCGCCGACATCTGTGGAGGCGGCAGGCTCCTCCACAACGGTACCTACATAACTGGAAGTCTGAGAGACGCCAACGTCCAGAAGGACGCGACACTCCACGTAGTAGCATGTCTGCGCGGCGGCGTCGAGCGGGAATACAACTCGAGCGACGAGGACAGCGTCACGACCGACAGCGACGAAGGAAAAGAGGACGACGAGGACTCGTCCGACTACTCGAGCAGCGACGACGAGACGACGCTGCCCCAGGTCACGACGCTGGAAAGCGTGTTGGCGATGATTCCTTTTACTCCGGACTGGTGCGAAGCCGCGTCAAAGTTCAACTGTGCTTCAATTTGAGGTTTGTTGGGGTCTGGGTGAGGTGCTCCTCTCTGGATACGGTCGCGTGCATCGCTCGGAGGTCCCACTCGTCGATGTCCACGCAGGTGGGAGGCGCGCGCCGCGAACGAGGCGTTGCATAATCGCCGGAAGATGGTCGCCGAGACGAATCGGGCCAAACATTTGGTGAAGCTCTGCGAGGCGGGCATGCACGCCGACGCGCTGCGCGAGCAGCTCCATGATTCAGCACAAGATTTCACGGATTTTAACCACGTGCGTGACGCGGCGTCTGTTTCTGAAGTTTTCTGAACTTCAAGTTCGCGTCGATGGCGTCGACGCAATACCACGTCGCCGTGGCGCCGTCGACGTGGCCGCATGAGAGTCTACGCGACTCGGGAGCCGCGGCCGTGTCGCGACGCTGTCGTTCGACGCAGGTCAAAGATGCCATGATACAACATGAGCAGTGGGTCTGGAAGCCGCCGCGCTCCATGATCAAGTCCGCCGAAGCGAGTGGTGCCGACAAGTCCAAATTGGAAAGTTCCGCAGTCCTCAGGAAAGTGCAACGCGACTTCCGGCTGATGACGCTCGACCGGCCCGGCGAGAAGCCCATGCACCTCCAAGATTGGCCACAAGTCCTAAAGAAGGAACGGAGGCACGCGCAGTACATGGCCGAGCTGCTCGGGAAAGAAGTGGCCCCGGAAAAGCAGCTCGAGGAGATGCGGCGCGCGCTCCGCGTCTTGATGTGACTCGTATCTCACCCACGACGCCGGGGGTGGTTTCTTTTTTGATTTCGAGCGACCGCGATGCTCGGCGCATGACGTGGTCGCCGTGATCACACGAGAGTCTACGCGTCGCGAGAGGGAGCTACGGCGGTTTCGCGGCGGTTTCACGCTCTCGCGACACGCAGGCGGAAGATGCGCGAAGAAGCGAAGGAGGCTATAAGGTGCCAGTGGACGCACACGGACGAGGCCACAGGCAAGAAGTACCTCTGTTCCAACGAGCGCTTCGTCCACCCGTGGCGGCGGGTCGTCGACCGCTTCGGCGTGAGTGTCCTCGAGGAGTTCAGCTGTTGCGCGTCGGTCTCGGCGTCCCGCGGTGCCTTCACTTCATTAATACGACTCGTGTCCATCTCACTTCCATGAGAGTGGTTTCTTTTTTGCTGAAGAGGCCGTTCGGACCGAACCGCGATGCTCCGCGCAGGTGGCACATGTCGTACTGCGCCGGCGACCACGGGATCCGGCCGCGATCTATCGCCGTGCCCAACGATTTAGCTCTTTGTACGGCGTGTTACGTGCGCGAGACGCACGTGCCGCCCGAGGTCCTCACTCGATTAAAAACACCAGGAGTCATTGTCAGCCACAAGAAGAAAGCTCAACATGCCAAGACGAAGTGGGAGATCGAAGCGGATGAGCGGAAGCGCATTGTGGAAAAAGTGGAACGGGAGTGCATCGAGCGGAGAGCCAAGTTAACCACCAGCAGTGTGTGTACGTGGTGCCCCGACAAGTCCGTGCCGCGCGAGCGGGGCCTCATGTGCGAGAATTTAGTACAAATCAGTCCCGTGACGGGCGAGCCCCTCGAGACGTGCCCCTGGCATAGAACTACGTGTTGCATGCCGCACGAGACGGAGGCGCTGACTCGGCGTGAAAAATGAACTTGAACTTGCGACTGCTCGTCACCGTGACGCCATCGACAGTGTCGCGACGGCGTCCGTTCCGCGCAGGCTTCCGCGTCGATTGCCGTGCCCAACGGTGATGGATTATGTGTGTCGCATTACGTGGCCAAGTACGGAAGGCCTCCCGTCGACGTGGGCTGGCCCCTGCCCGGTTCGGAGTTGCTCAGCAAGGTGATGGCCGCACTGGCGGAAAGCAACGCGGCGAGACACATTTTTTGTCCTTCGGACAACTACATCGAGTACGACAACGGCAAGCAGTTCGAGGATCCCGTGAAATACGCATGATCTCGGCGTCCCGCGGTGCTGCGGTGCCTTCACGCCGTCGACGCGACGCGAGCTTCGTCTCGCGACGGTGTCCGTGCCACACAGGTCCCGCCCCAAAAGGAGGACTGGCTCACGCGGAAGATGAACGCGCCGTTTGAGAAAGGTGAGTCAGTGTTGAACTTCAACTTCTCAACTTGAAGTTGCGTCGACGGCGTCGACGCGACGCGATGCCACCGTGACGCCGTCGACGCGGCCTTCCGACCGCTCTCGCGTCGCGGAAACGCCCACGGCGTCGGTGCCACGCAGGTCAAGAGAAGAAGCGCTACGCGCAGTGGAAGAAGATCGGCACGATCCAAGCGTTCTGCCGCGCGCACATCTCGCGGAACGTGGCCTACCGAAGGAAATTACTCAGAAGATGTAGGGAGCGCGTCGCGGCCGTCACGTGCCTCCAGGCGGTCTGCAAGTCGTTCACGCAGCGCGTCGTGGCTACCAGAACTGCCAAGAAGCGTGTTTCTGCTATTGAGTTGATCCAACGGATTTTGAGGGGTGTCGTCTTTCGAAGGAGAGCTCGTCGTAAAAGGAACGCCCTCCGCCTGAACAAAGCGGGCCACGTTTTGCGGGAGAACATGCAGCGCCAAACCATAAACACGTTGCAGTATCAGAGGCGGGAGGCGTGGCGCGAGCGACGAGCTAGAGAGATCGTGAATCGGGTGATGCTCGGGTGTATCGGTCGCTTCAAGGCCGCTGCTGCCAGAAGGCTCTTCAGGGAGAGAGAGAAAGCTAGTACGGGCCTCGCGAAGATCATCCGCGCTAAACTGTCGCGGGAGGCTGTGGAGCGGCTGCGACGACAAAGAGCCAGGGAGGTCCAAAAAGCTACCTTGTGCCAGGCGCTGTTCCGCGCGTTAATTTGTCGGCGGATCATGCGCAAGAAAATTGCGAGGCGACGGAAATGCGCCAATGATATCCAGCGAGCGTGGCGAGGCTATGGCGGGAGGACGCGCGGCTTTGCGAAGCGAAAGATAGTTGAGGAGTGCTGGCGCATGGTCGGTTCCGTCTCGCCCGAGAGGAAGCGCGACCTCGAGGCGTTGCTGCCAAAGGCGTCGTACCGCGTCACTTCAGATGACGTAGAGTCCGTCACGACGATCACAACAAGTAAGTCGTGGCAGCGGCCGGAGACGTGGTTCACCGATCAAGATAAAGTACATTTTCTACCTTATGATGATCTGGAATTGGGAAACTGCTCGAAGTTCGAGTTCCGGAAGGCCCTCAACGCGTTGTGGCAGGCGAAAGGTTTACCAATACTCCCGTCGGAGGTCGAGGGCTGGGCGTCGATGTTCGACAAGAAGCGCAACGGCGTCGTCTGCTGGTGCCGACGCGGCGTCTGTCGTCGCCTTCACGCCGTCGACGCGACTCGTGGCCATCGCACGATGACCTGGGTGGTTTCTTTTTCGAATTCGAGGCCGTTCGGACCGCGTCGAGGGACCGCGATGCTCCGCGCATGACGTGGTCGCCGCGATGGCGTCGAGGCGATGCCGCGTCGCCTCGACGCCGTCGACGCGGCCGCACCGCGTCTCGTGAGTGCACAGAGGCCGTGTCGCGACGGCGTCGGTGCCACGCAGGCGCGACTTCCTCGACTTCGCTAGGATGTCCTACAGACCCTGTTCTTTACACCGGAGGATCGTCTGCTCGTTGTGTGTGTCGAGGGGCCCGTGCATGAGGAAAGGCTGCGAGTGCGACTGCTATGCCAGTAAGGAGGGCGTGCGCGACTTGATTTGTAAGCATTGCGGCCACACGCCCATGACCCATTTGTTGGTGCCTACTTGTTGCGTCGAGGCGGACGTGCACGGGCCCGTCACGCGACAGTTGCTGCGGGACATCTTTCATAACAGATCAGATAAGCCTACAAAGCCAAAATTGGAACTGGGGCCGCTCATCTCCCAAGTGGTGGGGGAGCAGGCTTCATCGCAAGTGGTCATGGAGTCGCCAACGCGACCCTCGAGCCGCTCGCGCCTCATCCCTGAAGACGACGCGTCTCGGAGCATCGACGCGCCGTTCGAGCAAACGTACGCAGATCCAGAGCCCGTGAATGATGACGTCTGCATCGCAAGACCAGCTAAACGACTTCTGGACCCGAACCGAAGGAGTGGCCACGTCCCTGCAGCCGAGCTGCAAGCTTTGGCGCTGGTCCAAAAACAAGAAAGCCCGGGCCGGCACCACCTGGAGTCCATAGCAGTGGCCAAGGAAGAGGAGGAAGCGTTGTGGCAGGAACACTTCGCGGGCAAGCTCCAGTCCCAAAATGAACTGAGGAAGGGCTTTCACCTGACGCGGCCGATTCCCATGATTCTGGACGGCGAATTGAGAATTAGTACGGACCCCACGGAAGTGTATCTGGAGCTGCTGGATCGGTTCGGCAAGGAAGATTTGAATTTGCGGGAGCATGAGGACACGGGCTTCGTGTCGCTCTGTTTTAGGAACGACGTCTTCCTCGAGCGGCACTGGAAGAAAATTCTGAGGGATGTTAGATATGGTGCGCTCGCGGCGTCCCACGCCGTCGACGCGACTCGTGGCCATCGCACGATGCCGGGGGTGGTCTCTTTTTCGAGTTTGAGGCCGTTCGCACGCAGGGCGCGCTGAACCGCCACCTCGACCTGAGTAAGGAGCGGCGCCACGAGCTCACGCAACGATTGTACGCGAAGCCGAAGCACGCTTCCCAACTCGAGGAAGCCTTTCGCAGATTAGGATTCCACGCGCGCTCCGCCGAACGGAGTGGCGCGTCCGCCAAGGCGATCCAGGACGAACCTTCAGTAGATACAAAGTCGAAGAACGCCTCCATGCGGTGGGACCAAGCTATATCATCAGCTCTCGAGGACCCGAGCAAAGCGAGAGCGGCGGAAAAACCCGTCGCCGAGATTCCGGAAGAGCGGCCGCAGACCAGTCGTTCTGTCCCGGACGATTTTAAGGAGGAGGACCGCGGCGCGACCAGTCGTAGCGTGCGCTTCGCTGGTTCATTGAAGAGCAGGGACTCGCGGTCGCGGTACTCCTCGCTGTCGTCTCGTGATAGTTCCTACTACGAGGACATGTCGGAGCCGACCTCTAGAGCCTCGTCTTCCAACATGGGCCGGTCCGGTACTACTAGACCTTCTGTCGGTGTGGAATATCGCATCTTAGAAAGGAGGAACTCCGAGTCGGACATGAGGGTGGATACGCCCCAGTCAGATGTGCACAAACTAGCTCACGACATCGCGACGGCGCGCGCGACGGCAACTCAAGAGTTCGAGCCCATAAGGCAAGACCGGCGCATGCGGCCCTGGCTCTGTCCCCACCCCGGTTGTGGCGCCGTCTTCTCCACGAAGGAGGCTGCAGTACAACATGCGAAGAGGGAGCATTTAGGGAGAAGGAGATTGGCCGTCGCGACGCCCGAACAAGACCAGTTCTTTAGGAGGGTCTGGCCGGACGAGAAGATGATCTGGGAGCGAGGCGAGATAGCTAAAAAAGATAGGGAGAAGTGTTTATTTCAGTGCCCGATCTGCTTCCAGCCGTGCGTGACGCGACGATCTGAAACGGCACCTGAAGGTCGGCCATTCGAAGCGCGAGGTGAAGAAGATCTACGTGGAGTTGAAGCTGGCGGTGCTGACTCAGCGTCTTCATTGAACTTGAACTTGACGTGGTCGTGTCGATGGCGTCAATGCGACGCAAATGCCACCGTGGCGCCGTCGACGTGGCCGTCAGAGACCGTCGTTCCACACAGGCCAAGGCCGACGCCATGGAGGCCGGCAAGGGCAAGGGCCTCGCCGACGTGAAAGGGAAAGCGCAGCTGACACCACCCTTTCCCCCACCTAAAAGAGCTCCTCTCGCTGTCTGTCTCAAGCACAAGCGGGAGCGCTTCCGGTGCTGGGATTGTGGTTGTGCTAGACGGATGAAAGGTCCGGTCGCACCGATGAAGTTCTACCCTGAAGTGGTGGTCAAGGCTCCGTCGGCCACCGTGCCTGGCGAGCGGCCCGTGATCACGGACATGACCTTTGCGGTGCAAAGTGAAAGGTGTCCCTACACTATGGGTGAGAAGGGCGAGCGGCGGCCGTGCCAGTTGATTGCTACTTGCAGAGATGAAGAATGCAATGTGTGGATTTGCGTGGCCTACTTCTTAGACGCGGAAGGTGTGAAGGCTCTGAAAGGGGTCACGCATAGACTATTTGACCACGAGCGGGAGCTCTATGAAGACTCGCGAGTGACGTGGTTGCGCGCGGAGAAGCTCGCGGGCTACTGCTACGTGTTGAACGTCGACAAAAAAGCGTTCTACGAGCGGAAGCGGTCGCACTTACTGCCGAACCACCCCCGCGACTACGTCTACTTCGCTTCACGAATATTTGATTTTGAGAAGCTGAAGCCGGGTCCCCAGCGCCAGTTGAATAGCGAGGTCTCCGCGAAGGAACTAGGATTGACGCAAGAGGCGTATGGGGTGGACGACGGAAGTGTCGTGACCTGGTCCACGGAGCCGCCAAAATTTAAAAGAAGATATTCAAAGGACGGCGAGGCGAACCCCTACGCTGTGAAATCAAGGCCGGGCTCGACGGAGGTGTCCCTGCTGACGCGCGACGACGAGGAGGAGTCCTTCAAGCCTACCGACGCGGGCATGGCGGCGGCGCTGGGGTTCATGGTGTAATGCTTTTGTGTGATAGTCACGTCGACGGCGTGGGGGTGACCAGTTTCGAGAGTTACCTCGCGGCAGGAAGTGTCGCGTACTTTGTCGCGTCGGTGGCGTTTCGGTGGCGTCGAGGGCGCGGGCCCCGACGCCGACGACGCCGCGACGTGGTGGTGACTAGCGTATATGTAGTACTTAGCTTTGAGTCTTCTTCTTGCGGTAGAGCGCGGCTTTGGGGCAATCTACCAGTGCGCCGGCGGCGCCGCCTGGGGCAGTTCCAGCTGATGCGGCGGGAAGTGCGCCCGCTGCGGCTGCGGCGCGTACGCATGTTGCGGATACGTCTGGGGCGACCCGCGCGGGCCCAATGAAACATGACGGTTCTCGCCCCTAATGGCCGGCGCCTGCCGGTAGTCCGGCGACACGGCTCGAGCCGGCGCCGCCCAGCACGGCGCGACGGCGGGCTCGTGCGGCACCATCCTTCTAGCTGGATCCATGATCAAGCGCACTTCCACCGCCTTGGCCCGACCGTTGTGCGTGCCTCTTCTAAATGTCACGCGGTCCCCGACCGCCGGATTATAATCATCAGCAGCATCGGACGGATGCAAGAACAAGTCGTCCCGACAGATCCCTTCCGCATCTAAGGTCGCCGCGTCCGGCCGCACGAACCCGTACCACCCATTATAGTACGTCGCCGTGCTACCATCCAGTCGACGAGACGTGAACGCGCCACACAGTCTACGACTGAGATGAACTATGGTCCCCGCCATCCTCGCGTGCGGGTCGAACGGGACCTGAGGCTGCTGGGGATAGCCCGGCACGAATTCGGGCGCTTGCGTCGACAGGCCCGGCATGAGCGGCGCACTGTGGTCCACGGGGCCGACGGGCGAGCACGCCGGCGTGACCTGATTCACTTGTGAACGCTGAGGAGCTTTGGTCGGACTCCACGCTCGCTGCGCCATCTCCATGACCTCGTTCTGGGACGGCGTCTGCAACGGGCGCAGGACGGGCGACACGGGCGGCTCCTCCCAGCCCTTGTCCTGGTCCAATTGATGACTGGAGGTCGCCGTCCAGATGAGCGCGTCGTCGTCGGGGTCGTCGAAGAACCCGGGCGTCGCGAGCGGCGGCGGGTGGCCCAACCTGGGGCTCTGGGGCAGGCGCCCGGGGCTCGGCGGGGACATCATCATCGTGCGCGAAACCGCTCCGGGCGTTCCCGCCTCTTTTTTTTAGGGCGTCGATACGCGGCGCGCGGCGCTCGCGAGGTTCTCGCGGGCCTTGCGGCGCGGGGCGGGTCGAAACCGCCGCGGTGTTCCCGCCTCTTTTTTTTAGGGGCCCGGCGCGCGGCGCGCGGTGCTCCCGAGGTTCTCGCGGGCCTTGGGTGGCCTCGCGCCGCGGTTCTAGCGCGGGCGCCGGGTCCGCGGCGGCGGGCGGCGGCGATTTGGGCGCGCGGCGCCAAGTCTTCGCGCTGCGGTTACGCGGCGCGCGGGGTCGCGAAACTCGCTGTGGGTCTTGAGATGGCCACTGGCTACTGCCTCCAGCGCCCGCTGTGTTTGGCGAGGGGGCGGAAGTGCCTTAATCCAGGCAGTAAATGAGCAGCCTCTCCGGGATGGGGGTTTTGCTCCTAGTATGATTATTGTTTAAATCACCGATCCCAAAAACGCCTCTCCGCCCCACCGCCGAGCCCCAAGACCGCTCCGCCCAAGCCTGCGACCCCGTGGGACGCCCCCAGCAGCCCCAAGACCCAACAAAAGCACCCAGCCCACCATGGTACCAACAAAGCCCCAAGACGCCCTCCCGGGGCAGCCCCCCGAGCCCTCAGCCAACAACCCCTCGCAAGGCCGCGCCTAGCGTCTACTAGACTAGTGTATCCTGATGCCAAACGCGGGCCAGCGGGGAAAAAACTTGCGCAACAATGACGCGCCCCAGGCGTAGCTAGGCGTGTCCATGGAGCTGCCGACCTTCGACGTCAAGAAGCGGTCCTCATCTAAGGATGAGGGGGCTGCGCGCAGCCCCCGTGTCAAAGCAGCGGCGCTAACAGCTTTGCTAGCGGCGACAGCTTTCGCGGCGCTAGACTATCGGAGGCGCCACCCGCCCCCGCCCCCGCCACCGCTAGAACCGGGCCAGATCCTGACCTGCGGCCTGCGGCACGGGAGTTTTTGGCCCTGGTATTACGCGGTCGCCGAAAACACGCATACTCCGGCGCCGCACGTGGTCAATGACCTCGTCATCAGTATAACGACGCAGCCGGAGCGGGCCGAAGCGCTGCCGATCATGCTGCGGAGCTTAGTCGCGGGCAAGACGGTTCCTGGAGCTATATACGTTGTGGATAGTCACGAGCGCCCGAACGCGTGTCCTCATTACTTCTCGCGGAACCGAGACAAGCAGCACACCGTCGACGTGCATTTCGTGCGCACGGCTTCCGACCGAGGCCCGATTGAGAAGTATATTGGTAGTCAAGACGCGATCCGCAAAACTCGCAAGACGATGCCCCGCTTTTTATTAGTGCTGGACGACGACCACGAATATAATCAACATGTCGTCGAGAGGTACTCGAAGGCCTTACGGGCGTCGCCGTCGACCGTCTTCACGGTCCAATCACCACCGTCTCAATTAAACTTTAGGCCGCGCTTTCCCGTGGCCTACGGTTCTAGAGGTGTTGGAATACGATTAGACTTAGCGTTGGACGGCGCCCTCGCAGCCTATGCGGCCATGGCGTCTCGTCTAGAACCTACTTGCCGCGTGGTGGACGATATAGTTGTTTCAGCATTTCTAGCAGCGCGAGGTATCACGGTCAAAGACGTGCCCGGCTTCTCGTTTGAAAATAGGCCCTGGCAGTCGAATCGGCAGATCCACGCGTTGTCGAAGAAGAAGCAATTACGTAGTAGTGATAGAGATGCGCAGAACGGGCGGTGCCACGACGCGTTAGTAAGGCGCAACTGGCGCGCGGCGGCGCCGCGGCGGCGGCGCGCGGTCCAGAAGCGCATGAAATCCGCTTTACCAGGGGAGCGGGAGGCTTCCGCTGCTTCCGGTCTTCGGGAGCGGGAGGATTGAACCATATTGAGTCCTTGGTTTGGACACCCTTTCAAATGGCGCCCGCCGTGCGCCCGTACATAGACAGATTAAATTCCTATTGAACTTAGCTCGTTTACTACCGCACGCCCTCCACGCGATCGAAACGAAAGCCAACGTCGCGTCGATGGCGTAAACAGACGAGCACCTCAAACCCGCACGTTAAGGCGATTCGCAAGTGTTGCGGCGCGTCCCGGTGCAGCTGGGTCGCTTAGGTGTCGCGCATAGCGCCCGATATCCCTGCATACGAGTGGTGTCGAAATTCACATCGATTCGCCGCCGCCTGTCGCTCTACAAGCATCTACAAGCACTGCTCTCCCTAGCAACTCGCTCTTGTAGCGCCGCTGGTAGCCGCTAAGCGCTTCCAGATCCCGCGCACACGTGCGCAAAAAGCGGCTCTCACATGTCGCACCAGCAGCGCCGCGCCTGCATCGCCGCAGGCGCCGCCGCTGCCGCCGCCCTGCTCTACTGGTATCGACGAAGACAGCCACCGGAGGGCGCCACGCTCCTCGAAGCCGTGCTAGACGAGGAAGAGTGCGAAACGCTGGAAACATTGCTGCGAGACTTGCTGAGGAACGGCTCGTCACTACCAGGCAAGACGTACAGCCCCGTCACCGCGCCAGCCTTCAAGAAACGGAACCAATCTCGAGAAACGCTCCAGTTCGGCGCTTATGTGGACAAAAATAGGGTGCAAAACGCCGCGGTCGCGCCGCTGCCGCCTGCTTTGTTACGCGTCGCCCGGAGACTGAAGAAGCTCGGGGTCGTGCAGAGCGTTCCTGACGCTTGTTGCGTGAATTTCTACGGGCAGGGCCAGTGGCTCCCGGACCACGTCGACTCCAAGAAGTTCGAACGGCCTTTGGTCACGGTGTCGCTGGGCTCGGAGCAGTGCGTCGTCTTTAGGAGGCGCGGGTATCTCGCGCGACGGATACGACTGCCTGTTGGAAGCGCATTACGCTTGGGCGGCGATGCGGCAAATGACTGGACGCACGGCCTGCCGCCCGCGACGCGTCCTCGCATCTCGCTGACGTTTCGACGATTGAATGCGGAGACGAAGCGCCACTTTGCCGACGAGACCAAAGCAATAAAGGAGCGCCGCGACGCGAAGAAGGCCTTGAAGCGCCAGCAGCGCAACAAGCCGCCCAAGCCGTCGGTGAGAGCGGAACGGCGGCCCGAGGCGGCGCCATTGCCGAGCGAAGCTACAGATAAGACGCCCTCAATTGAACTCGAGCACGTCCGGTCGGTGTATAACGCCATCGCGCCTCAGTGGCACGGCACGCGCTACAAGGCCTGGCCGCGGGTCGCGAAGTTTTGTTTGATGAATTGCGGTGCTGGAGCGCTCGTCGCTGATGTTGGGTGTGGAAATGGGAAGATGGCAGACGCCGCGTGCCGGCGCGGCGCCTTTACAATAGCGTGCGATACCTCTGATGCATTAATAGACATCGCCCACACAACACACAAAGATAAGCGGTACGAGTGCCTCGTGGCCGACGGCGTGCGACTGCCGTATAGAAGTGGTGCCTTCGACGTCGCGCTGAACATCGCCGTCTTACATCACTTGTCTACGGCTGAACGACGCGTACAGTGCATCCGGGAGACGTTGAGAATCCTCAAGCCCGGCGGCCGGGCCCTCTTCTACGCCTGGGCGAAGGAGCAGAAAAATGGCTCTGAGAACCGAAGTGGCCACCAGTTCGATTCCACAGATGTATTGGTGCCCTTCCACCTGCGCGAGCACGGGCCCCACTACAACAAGGAGACGGCTCGGCAATGCCCGGCGCACGCGGTCCGGGACGAAAGGAAGAACGCCACCGTCCTCAAACGGTACTGCCACGTGTTTGCGGAGGGCGAACTGCGGGGATTGGTGGCGGGGGCGGCGCGCGTCGACGAGTGCTACTATGACGAGGGGAACTGGGCCGTGGCCTGCACCAAACTGTGACGCGACGTGCTTCCGTAGCTGCGTCGGCTCGATGGCGTGGCGATTCCACGCCATCGACGCGACGTTGTCCCCGTGGCCGCGTCGGCTCGATGGCGTGGAGGATAACTATGTTGTTGTTTTACTACTCCTACCACTCCCTCATAAAAAATAACCTGCGCGATATACATAAGAGGCGGAAGAGGCATCGCCACGACCCTCCCTTCAAAAAACGCGCGTCGGCTCTCAAAGATTAAATTTTGCGTCGTGTTTCAGGAATAAACAGACAGGTGGGTCGTCCCCCGCGCGCGTCATGACCAAAAAGACGCTGACAAAAAGACCTAGTCGTCCTTCTTCGAAGGCTTCCGCGCGACGGCGCCGTCATCCGCATCGGGGTTCACTCCTAAAGCATCGGCGAGAGGATTGGGAGGCTTCGCGAAGGGCCGCGCCAATTTCCCTTCGGCCGGCGCGCCAAACACGTGAATCTTCACCAGGGGCTCATCAGCCAGATTCATGGGCAGCATGACGCACTGGAACAACAGGGGCATCGGCGACCCCCACTTGTAGTGCATGAAGCTCGTCATCGCCACTTGAAAACATAAAGCCCGCACTTTGGACACCGCCTCCCTTTGATCATAATCAGCTATGGTAAATTTCTTCTCCACCGTGATATTCTGGTAGTTCTTCTCCTTGACCGTGACCTCGCCGGGCTCCTGCTTCTTCTGGGCGAGCTGGCCGCACATCAATGTCGTTAATACGGTTAGAGCCACGGCGCACGCGTACCCAGCTCGTAATTGCGGGACATACAGCGAAAAGTCGAGCTTGAAGAACTTGACGACCATCAGTAGGGCCGGGACGACCTGCGGCGGGGGCGGCGTCGGCGCGGTAGTGGTGCTGTGCCTGCGCTGCAGCCTACGAACATCTTGGGCGACAGCTCCGGCTCTGGCCGCTTCGCGGACTTCTTCGGCGGGTTGGCCATGGTTTTTGACGAGCGCTAAGTGCCCTGGGCCTGCGCTCAAGTCGATTTGCGACGGAGAGTCCGCTTGCTAGTGTCTCACTGCCGCTAGCTCTCCGGCTTGCCAGACTTTGTACGACGGGCGTGGACGTGCTACGGGCCGATCGCTGCTCGTTTGAACACCTTCATCCACACTGCAGCCCGTCGCTGACAAGTGGTGGCCTCTAAACCCAGCTCGCTGACGAGTGGTGGCCCTTGGACCCAGACCCAGGATCCGGGCGCGCGCGGTCCTCGCATCACATAGCGACACTTCCGACGCCGTCGACGTAGCGCGCGGTCTTCGCAACACCTCGCGACAGCTCGTCGGCGACGCAACGCATAGGTCGAAACCATGGCGGACGAAGCCGCCAAAAAGGCGCCGCCCGCGAAGAAATCGCTCCCGAGCGAGCTCATCATGAGCGCGCGCTGGGATACATTACTGGAGCGGGTCGTCCTTAATTCGGGCGCTGGCGCGATGATAGGACTGGCCGCGTCGCTGGTATTAAGCCGCGGCCGGACGGCGCGGTGGGCCATCACCTTCTTCGGCGCGGGGACTGGAGTGGGCATGGCCGTCGAGCGGTCGAGCGCGGAGATGTCCGCGGCGGAGCGGTCCGAGAAGTAAGTGAGTTAACCTAAGTCGCCGCCGGGGCCCCTCGACGCCATCGACGACGCGCGCGACACGAGGCTCTAGATACACCAGGGTCCCCCTCGACGCCATCGACGAGGCTCTAGATAGACTGGTTTGACGTTAGGCTCGCGACGCGTCGGCGCCGGCCTTGATTGGGGAGGGCATACACACCGGAATAACGCTCTCGCGAGCGCGTTCGGGGCGCCGGGGACTTGGGCGCCGGTTAAGTGTTCGAATTGGGGCCGCCAGGACGGTGCTCCTCGTCGTGGCGGGGGAAGTTGCGGGTGCGGGTTTCCTCGGTCCATCGTAACCTACCCAGTAGGCCACAACGGACGTCATAGGCGCGACTTCCGGGAGTAAAGCTAGCTGCCGCGCAGCGCCGCGCAGACCGCGCCCATGTCGCGTTCCGTGAGGCCGCTCTCGGCGACGGTGTAGGTGGCGCACGTGCGGCGGCGGTCGCACTCGGAAATGTTTTTTTGGCTGTCGTCGACGAACAGCACATCGCCAAAGGCCCAGCCGCGCCGCGCCATGAGGTTCTCGATCAAGGCCGCCTTGACGTAGTCCCGCTCAATTAGTAAAGGCGAGTCCTGGCCGAAGACGCGCGACTCGGGGAAGTAGGAGGACAGCCCCCAGACGTCCAGGTGGCGCCGGATCGCGCCCGTGAAGCCCAGGGACACGATGTACAGAGCGCAGCCCTGGCGTTGGAGCGTCTCGAGCATCTGTCTCATTAACTCGACGCGCTGGACACCGCCGCCGTTCGCCCAAATCTCCTCGTCCGTCAAGGATGAAATCAAGACCTCCTTGTCGCAGACGGCCCAGTTCTGCAATCTTTCAACGTACTTCGGCGTCGACAGCGTCCCGTCGAAGTCCAACACGACGCAGCGCGGCGCGTCGTCCTCGTCATCTAGGACCGTAGGGGATTGGGACGACCGCCTAGAACCAAAGGACGCCCTCGGCGACCGACAAAAGTCCATCTCCTGCGCCTCGTCCGGGCTGATGAGCGCGGCGGCGCCGTCGAGCGACGCGGGGCTGTAGCCTCCATCAAACGTCGGGCTGCCGTCCATCTCGGCGGGCGAGCCGCCGATCGACGGCGGCGTGACGCTGTGGTCGATCGCGAGGCGCTCCACGGTTGTTCGGCGGGCGCGCGAGGCGCTGCTTGTTACTATGGCCCGTGTTTAGTTTTACGTGGAGCGAGAGGGGAGCTCCACGGGCGTTTCGGCGCTTCGGGGCGCGTAGGTGCTTCGCGCGGGGGCGCTGGCTGTTTTCGCGCGCTGGCCTTCAGTATGGCTGTGCGGCGGCGCTGGCAGCGCAATTTGCAGCAGGAAAGCTGAGCCTCGTAGCTAGGGCCTCAAGGCTGCAGTACGCGTGTACGCTGCCTTCGAGGTTAGCCCAGCGGCCCGCTGGGAGGTAGGCCACCGCCTGCCTCTCTGCAGCTCCGTTGAGAGCTAGTATCTCAGCTTTTCGTAAAGTTGAACAAGAGACGGTTCCGGGACGCCTATGAGCCGGCACAGGGACCACTGGCACCGGGTCCGGGCCTAGGACCCGCCTATTTAAAGACCTACCCGCCTGAGCTCCACGTCCCGTCGCTTCCGCTCCAAAACCACCTCGTCGGAATAGACGCCCGCGCCCTCCAAGAAAACGCGGCTTTAACGAAGCGTCCCAGGCCTTCACCTTGCCTCGTTCGAACATACAAGACCCAAGGGCCCCGTCCCCGCGCTAACCCGCACGTGTGCGAGGACGTAGTCGACGTCGCACGGAGACTGGTTGAAAACAGATTCTTACTAAAAAAAATTCAGAGGCGGAAGACCCCGGCCTCCTTGCGAACAAGGCGGTTGAAAACCGCGACGGCGCGGGCCCAGACGGGGTCCCCGACGCGCTCGCGCTTGAGCGGCATCGCGCGGTTCTCGCCGAACCACTCGTTGATCCTGTCCATCTCGAGCCTGCGCGGAAGAAAATGAAGCGTCGGAGGCTGGCCGCGAGCGCGCCCCGTCGAATCGGCGTCGATTGCAGACGCGGGCCGCGGACCACAGGTTCTCGTCGAAGTCGCAGCCGCTGCTTACGATGTGGTCGACGTGGACCGCCTCTACAAATAATTGTAGCAGTTGAGGGTCCGCGTCGAAGCTCGGAACGAGCGACGGGAATTTGAGACGAACGAATTTGTCCAGCATCCCCGTCTCCTCGAGCTCCCTCCGAATTTCGGACTTGCGCGCGTTCGTGAGCGCGCCGCGGTTGGCGGCGCCGAGGTCGGACGCGCGCCACGCGGCGAGGACTTCCCGCGCGAAGTGGTTCGGATGCCCGAGCCACGAAATTTCGCCTTGACTTTCCGGGCGGTACGGCAGGATGCGCGTGCCGTCGTCGAGGAGAGCCTTCGCGACGTCCGCCTCCTTCTCGCGCAGCTTCGCCCGCAATTCGTCGAAACGCATGTTGGCCTTGGCGGCGCTTTTTGCCCGGATAATCTCCATTCGATCATATTCGCGGACCCAACGCGCGGCCCGGACGTTGTCCGGCGACTCCCGTCCCACAAACTCTACAAAGGCCGCCACGTGGCCTTTGTCGTCGCCCATCTTCGACAAATAATGCTCAAGCTGCTCCGGCGACGTCCTGAGGTTCGTCGCCGCGGACGCGAGCCCGCCGTCCTTGAGCCGCCGGACGGCGCCATCCGGTCCCTCAAAAAGCGCCGAGCGGAGTCCCGTGTCGCGCGGCGGAGGTTTGACGCGCAACCACCGAACCTGCACGTCGCCGTGCAAACCCTTCGCGACGGGGCAATCGGCGAAGACGCTCTCGGCGCATTTGGTCAGGTAGATTGTCTGCGCCTGCCGCACGGCCTCGTCCTGGCTCGGCTGAAAGAGGGCGTTTCTACCGTAGCGGTCATACCAAGTGTGACGGCTGCTCCGCGCTCTGACTCGATACCACCGCGTGCCCGCGGCGTCGACTTGTTCGTCGAATTCATGGACTTTGTCCCTCAGCGCCGGCCAGCCGAGTGCCAACGTGTCCGCTTTTTCACCCGTCGGGGCGGCGACCGTCGGCACCCGCCGCGACGTCGACGACGACTGGTCATCTCCGTCGAGGTCGAGCCTTCGGCCTTTGAAGGCGTTGGCGTCGCCCGTCTCGGCCGCGTTCTGTTTGCGTGCCGAATTGTTGGGGTCTTCGTCGCGTCGCTGTGCTTTTTGGCCGCCGCTCCGGCGAGTCATTGGAGACGTCTGGGCGGCGCGTTCGCGCAAGGTCGGCACACCGCTCGCCTTCGGCATCGCGGGCAAATAGTTACGAGCACTACGCGGATCCGACGATGCGACGATAGGCGCAAAAAGCGAGGCACAAATAAGGCCAATGCCAAGGCTATCGTGATGATGCCCGGACGGCGAGCCCGCACGTCCGCGCAGGCGAATACGCGTCGGAACGCTGGTAGCGACGCCCGAAAAACAGGTGTCGGGATACAGAAAAAGCACAGTTAAAGCATAACTAGTTGGACCGCATGGACTCGCTGTCCACGACCGCCAGTACGCCGTAGCCTCGTGCCGTCCGCGCGCCGACCGCCACCTCACCGACTCGAGCCGGGCGGCGTCGTCCACCGCACTGCGCGCCCGCGCCTTGCGCGCGTCGTGCTCGCCAGCGAGGCGTTGGATCTCTATTTGTAGGTGTCGGATCTGGGCGTTAATGCCGTCGCAGAGCTGGAACTCACGCGTGGCGATGGCCCGCAACTCCGCGACCCGTTCCCGCCGGCTCGCGGGGTCGTCGTCCACGAGCGCGTCGTCGTCGTGGGCAGCGGAGGCGTCGTCGGCGTCGTTGGCGGCGGCGAAGGGCGCAGCAGGCGCGTCTTCGTCGCGTTGGATGACGTCGCCATCGCCGTCACCGCGTCGATGGTTCATGAGCGACCCAAACTCCCGCCCAGAGACGTTCGGGATCAAACCGCCCACGTGATCAGCAACCGCTTTCGTGCACGCGCGGCCGCTAAAGTACGATCTCCAGGTCTCGGGGTACGCCTCGAAAAGAGGGGTGATCCCCCCGTGCACCAGCGCCAGCGCCCCGATCGAGTACGCGGTCTCCTGCTTAACCGCGATCAGCTCGTGGACCTCCGCGATGCCCTCGTAGTCCACGTCGCTCAATTCGCGCCCGAACATCTCGTTAAACGCCGCGCGCAGCAGGCCCTCGTGGTCGCGGCGCAGCCTCGCGTACATCACTCGCAGCACCTCGGGGTCGTTCGGCCGCACGACGCCTCCTCGAACCGTCGCCACGACCTGTTGCACGCCGAGCAGCACGGACTCCAGCGCTCTCTCATTATTAAAGCCGACGAAGGCGCCAGGCGACGCCGGCCACGACAGGGGATCCACGTCCAAAAGCTCCAGGCCCTCGTTCGCATAATTGAAGGCCTCCACGAACTCGCGGTGCATGTTTGACACCTTCGGTTGCCGCGGCCCGCGCCGTGGCTTGGGCGGTGGCGGCGGGAGCAGCCGTCCGATAGCGAGGGGCGCAGCGTCGCGTCCGCGACGCGCCGCGGCAGGCGCCGGCGCGGCCGCGGCAGGCGCCGGCGCGGCCGCGGCCGCCGGCGCCTCGGCCATGGGCGTGTCGTCGCCCGGCGGCGTCGTCGCGTCGGTCGCGTTGCCGTGAGGGACTGGAGACGGCGCGGTCGGCGGCGCGGGCGTGCCGGGCCGCGTCGGCGCGTCCTCCTCCATGGCGACCGCGGCGTCGGCGTCGCGCGCGTCGCCCTCGTTGGGCGCGAAGGTGCGACCGTCAAGCTCCGTGCCGTGCTCGCCGTTGCCCTTGAACTTGAGCGCTATTCGGTACCTCGAGCACCCCAGTTCCCTACTGAGAAACGTCTCGAGCGTCTCGCCGGGCGAGCACGACGCGCGGCCCGCCTCGAACGCCGCGACCAGCGTCACCAAGCGCGCGTCCTCCTCCTGATTCCACGCCCCGACGCGCGGCCACACCGCGCGCGCGCCGTCCGTCGCGGCGGCGGCGGCGCCGGGCGTCGGTTCGGCGTCGGCTACCGCGAGCGCCCAGCGCTGCCCCGCGTCGAACGACTCGCGGAACGCCGTCTCGAGACGGCCCAGCTCGGCCCGTTCCTCGTCGGTCAGAGCACCAGTGCGGACGAAGGCGCGACTGCTGATCCCTGTGACGTTCGTGAACTTCTTCTTTCCGCTTTTGACACTACCTTCTTTGCGAAACAGCCGTTCGGCGAGCAGCGCGTACAGCATCGTGCCGTCCGCACAATTTTCGAGCCGCCCCTCGACGAACATCCCGGCGATCATCGTCGCGTATCTTCTCTCCGGCGCGTCCCAGTTACCCTTGCGCAGCGGCACGGCGCTTGACGCCGTCGGCACGCCGGGCGTGGCCACCCGGCGCCGCCCCGGAGCCGCCGGGCCGCCGCCTTGGCCGCCTCGAGGCCCGCCACGAGCGCCGCGCGGCCTTCCTTCTTTTTTTTTAATGCACACCACCGAACCGTGAGCTGCCTCTCCGTGACCACGAAGTCGAGCCGCTCGGCGACGGCCTTGTGACTTACCCTCGCACCACCAGCTCTCAGAGGCTGCACGCCGACGCCGCTCCCCACGAGCGCCAAGACCGCGGCGTCCTTCGCCGCCGTCCACTGAAAAGGGGCAGTAGGTGCAGTGGTCCCACTCGCAGCGCCCCCGCCCGCGCGCGCGCTGCCGTCGGTCGTGTCTTTTAGATGACTCTGCCAGCGATTCGAGCACTGCTGCCAGTCGACGTCGAAATTGAGCTGCGCGGCGACGCGCTTAAAATCTATTCCGTGACTGCTGAAGCAATCTCCGCCGCCGCAGGGCGGCGAGGAGCGCGCCTCCTCGTCGTCGGTCCACCGATGCGGCGGTCGGTTGCTTGGTTGTGAATAGTCGTAGATGTCGTCGGCTTCTCGCCGCGCCCGGGCCAACCATGCCTCGTTTTGCGCATCCCTTTGGCCGTCCGCGTCAGTATTATGAGCATCTACATAGGGTCGAGTGGGCTGCCAGGGTAGATTAGGGTCCTGGCTCGGGTCACCGAGGGTGCCAGCCGAAATAGCAGCTGCGGTGTTATTTATTCGGCCTTGTTTTCTTTGATTCGCGTCCATCAGCGTGTCGCGTCTGCGTCGCCGAGGCACTATCTAGCTGAGAGTTACTAGCCTGGATACGCGAAGACCCATATAGATAGACTTAGACCAGCAGGAACGACACCGCCGCCGCCCCGTACAAGACCCGGGGAAACTCGCGCAGCCGCGCCTGGAGGTACTCCGCCGACGTCTCCGCAAACGCCAAGACCTCCCCCCTGAAATGATCAAGTTTCTCTTCCTGCTGCCGTTGCGTTTTTCTTGTCATACGCGCGTCGCGCAACCGGTCGTCGGCGAGCGTCTCGCCCGCCTCCCGCAGCTGCTCGAAGGCCAGGCGCGCGTCGGGCGACGGATTCTTCTCGGGATGCACGAGCAGCGCCTTCTGGCGGTAGCGTTGTCGGATCTCCATCTGGGACGCGCTTCTGCGAAGGCCTAACACGGCGTAGTGGCCGCGCTTGTAGTTCTTGGTGATCCTACTAACCTCAGCCGCGCAGCTCCGCCGCTCCCGCGCCGGCAATTCGGCCCAGGCCTGGGCCCGTCTTAATTCTGTCGAAGGATCGACTTGCGCGCGCGACCGCATCTCGGCCAACTTCTGGTCCCGTTGATAAATGTCCTTTAACTGAGCCGCGTCGGCGGGCCGGAGGTCGCTTTCGAGCGGCGACCGCGGCTCCTGCTTGATGGGCATCGTGTGCTCGCGCAACGCGTCGGTGGTCACTCCTGCCTGTTGCTGCGCCTCGGCGAGCGTCGCCTGCTGCTCGGCGCGGCGCGCGAGCTCGGCCTCGCGCAGCTGCCGCTGCTGCTGCGCGACGGCCTCGCGGAGCCGCGCGGCGTTCTCCGCCCGCAGCGCCTCGGCGGCCGCGGCCTGCTCCACCGGCGAGGCCTCGTCGGCGGCCTCCTCTGCCGCGGGGGCCTCTTCAGCAGCCTCCTCCTCCTCGCCACTAATGCCGCTGAGCGTTTCGGCCGCGGCGGCGTAGGCCTGCGCGAGCTCCGCCGCCTCGGCGTGCATCGGCGTGTGCGTCGCCGTCTCGGGCGACGCGTCCTCCTGCGCCGCCGCGGCGTCGGCCTCGGCCTTCGCTGCCGCCTGCGCCTCCGCCTGCGCCAGCGCCTCGGCCTTGGCTCGTTCCAACGCCGCGGTCTGGGCGGCCTGCTGCTGGGCCGCGTATTGGCGCTGGGCTTCTTCCAAGCGCTGCGCGTGCTCGGCCCGCGCGCGAGCTTCCGCCTGCTCGGCCGCTTGGGACAGCCTAACACGCTCGGCCTCCTTCGCCGCTTCATTTTCGTAGTCCTCTCCCACAGCAGGCATGAAGGCGCCGCCCAGCGAGTTCATCGACGCCTGCACTTCGGGCTCGTCCTCGGCCGGCGGCGTCCCGTTTCAGGGTGACGGTCTCGTCCGCATGGTTTACGATGATCGCTGCGGCGGCGACGAGCAGGCGGAGCATTTTTAGTGAGCGCGGTGCGTGCCGCGCGCTTGTTGCTACGCGTGTGCTGCTGCACAAGGTCAATTGGAGCACGCGAGCGGGCGCGGCGTGCCGTTTAAGGCGTCAGTCGCACGTACTCGAGCGATGCGCAAGGCTGATGGCGAGCGCCGCTCTAGCGGGGGCGAGCGCTGCCGTGCAAAAAATGGCTCAAAATGGCTCTCTGCAGCTTGGCTTTATGACTGCTGCATTCAGCACAAAGGCATCAAGTCGTGCCAGAAACCAAGCGAGGCTGCGGCGAGAGACAACTTTTGCAATCGCTAACCACGTGAGCAGCCGTGGCTGCGAACCGACGGCGCAATACATCACTCATGCTGCTGCTGCGAGTGGCATCGCGACGCGCCGTCGCTGCAAGCCGGCGCCACTTGACCGTAGCAGTGACGGGCGAGGTGCTGCTGCGAGGCGCCGCAAGACGCGCCGTCGCCGCGGCCAGCCGCCGCGACCTGACGGTGGCCGTCACCGGCGCGAGCGGCTACGTCGGCTCCTACATCACCGAAGAGCTACTAAAGCGCGGGCATGAGGTCAGAGCGCTCGTCCGCGGCTGCGATACCAATAAAGAGAAAGCAGCACACTTACAAGCGCTGCCCGGTGCTGATCGATTAACACTGGTCGACGGCGGCGACCTTGGAGTAAAGGGCTCCTTCGAGGCGGGACTGGCCGGCGCCGACGCCGTCGTCCACGCGGCTGCCACCGTCGTCATCGGGAGGGACCCGTCCATCGCGAGCGCCGCGGTTGATGGTGTCGAAAATGTATTGTCGTCCTTACCTAGTACATGCAAGACCTTCGTGTTGACCTCGTCCATCGCCGCGGTCATTTCCCTCGACAAGGCATCGTTAACCTTCGACGAAAGCGACTGGAACGACTACTCGTCCCTCAAAAATGGAGACGCTTATGGTTTTGGCAAGACGCGGGCCGAGCGCCGAGCGAGAGATCATTGCAAGAACATAAACTTCGTCGCGCTGCACCCCGGCATCGTCCTCGGGCCCGTGATGACGAAGCCCCACACGAAGGCGTCGCCGGTGTTCGTGCGGAATCTATTGCTGCCGAAGCCTATCTTAAATCCGAATTCGGCGCATTTCGTGGACGTGCGCGACGTCGCCGCGGCGCACTGTATTGCGGTGGAGCGGGCATCTGAGTTGGACGGGGGGCGGTTCGTCCTGTGCAACGACGAGACGTGCGCGAGCGTGAATCCCGTGTCGCTCGGAAAGGTGGCCGCGGAGGCGTGCCCCGAATACGAGTACACGGCGGACCCGCTGCTGCCGCCCTGGAAATTTGCCATTGGGAAGGCGCTGAGTCATGTGCCTGTACTTGGTCCGCGCGTGATGACGGAGTACGAGCGGCGCGTCTTCGAGGCCCGCACGACGCTGTCGAACGCGCGGGCCAAAAATGAATTAGGACTGACCTTCCGGCCGCATGCGGACACGGTCGCGGACACGGTGAGGGGGTGTGTTCAGCTCGGCATCGCGCATCGACGAGCTTAGTGTAATTGTTTAACAGTACATTCAGTGACCCCCCACGTCGAATACAAACTCGAGGACGCGCCCGAGCGGGCCGGGAGATGAGGAATTTCGGCGCGAAGATCGCCACGGTGCTGGCGGTGCGCGTTTTCATAGGCTTTGAAGCGCCTGCTATGCGGATTTTCTCACAGAAGGTGCTACTAGATAGAGGTATTGCTGCTCCGGCGCGCATGAGCGGAGCGTAAGTGCGTTGGTTGCCTTTCGCAATCGCTTTTACCAGCGCTCGGTCTAAACCCACTGCGCCCGCCGTGATGAGCTTCTTGACGGTAGCGGCCACCACACCACTTTGCTGCAGTTTCTAACACTGAGCCCCCAAAGTAAGTAGTGTTGACATCGGCGCCCGATTTTATGGTAATGCGATGACGACGGTATGATGGGGTTTTATAGCTCGCAATGTAATGCAACGGCGTTCTTCCATCGGTACCCTCGGGACCTAAATCTACTGAAGCGCCGGCCTCCAGCAGCATCGAAATGCACGCGAGTCGCGCCTGAATAGTCCTTTCGGGACGCACCCCGCTACCCCAAAGTATCGCGTAGTACAACAGCGGGAATTTTGACCGTGGTTCCCTTAGGTTAGGGTCGACGCCAGCAGCGAGGCATCGGCGCAAAGCTTCGACGTCGAAAGCTCGTACAGCGTCGCAGATCTCTTGCTGCTCTTCGGGAATGGAGTTGGAATCGGAATCAGAACCGGAATCAGCCATTGCTGCGGCTCGGCCGGTAAGGATGTACGGGATGACCACGCCCGCTGGTCCAGGGATGGAGCGGCAGATCTCTGACCAGTTCCGGTGCGTTTAAGCTGTGGCGTGCCGCTGCGCGAACGCCAGCGGAGGCTCAGGCTCCGAGCGAGAGGCTGGTCTCCCGATTACGGATTTAGCTAGCGGCATGTAAGGCACTAGAGAGACCTCGGCGCGCGCTTGCACCCGCAACAAACCCCGTGCACGTTCACAATATCAAGAATAAGGCCACGGGACGTCCTATCGCAGCCCTGAGGCACGCTGGCTACGCCTTCTCTGCGTTGCGGTAGCTAGGAGCAAGCGTGCAACGAAGAGCAAGCAGGAGGGCAGCTGCAGCGCGCGTCGCAGCAATGCCGCGAACACGACGAGTCGCCGCAGCGCTCCTGGCCATCACGCAAACGGCGGGAGGTTTCCTTGCACCAAGGCCAAAGTGCAGCACTGCACTCCGCGCCGCGACGCAAGAACCTGTCGCCGAGATTACGGCCGAGCCCTGCAACGTCGTCCTCACCACCACAAACTGCGACTTCGACTCGCTCGCCGCGGCCTGCGCCTTAGCTTCTCTATGGGGCCGGGACCCGGAGTTTTCACTCGTGCCGACGCACGTCGTCATGCCACGCGGCGCGGTGCCGGTGGTCCAGCGGTTCCTGGCCTACCACAAGCATGTGTTGCCCGTGCGCGGTTTCAAGACCATCGACGGGTCTGATATTGAGGCATTGGGCGTTGTCGACGCGTCGTCGGCCGCGCGCCTAGGACGGTCGAAAAGATGGCTCAGTCTCGCGCAGTCGCTGCACGTCTACGACCACCACGTCGGGGGCGAGGGCGAGGAGTCCGAGTCGTTGGGACTGCATGCCACGGAGGTCGTGGTTGAACCCGTTGGTAGCACCACTACATTAATAGTGGAGCGACTCCGGGACGCCGACGTGACCCCATCAGTACCGGAAGCAACGTTGTACGTGCTAGGCATCCGGGCGGACACAGGCGGCCTCGCCTACGAGACGACGACGGCGCGAGACGCCGACGCTTTAGCGTGGCTGCTGCGCAAGGGCGCGTCCCAAGCCGCCATCGCAGAGTTCGGGGTGGAACGAATAAGCGGAGATCAGCGGAAGATCCTGGCGACGGCTCTAAGAACTGTGGAGTCGCGTTTGTACCGCGGCGTCGGCGTCGCCACGGTCGCGGTCCGCAGCAAAGGCTACGTGCCCGGCTTAGCCGCGGTCGTGGAAGAGTTGCTCGAGCTCACAGCTGCCGACGTGCTCATCATGGCCTGCGAGCACCAGAACGGCCTGGACCTCATTGGAAGAGCCAGACCGGGAGCCGCGACGGTCGACCTCCGAACAGTGATGTCCAAATTTGGAGGCGGCGGCCACGCGAGAGCTGCGGCGGCGGCCGTGCCGGAGAACGACCGCAAGGCCATGGGCGCGCCGCGGAACGTGCTCGACGTGGCGCGGGAGTACGTCTTGGGGCAAATACCAGCCGAGCCGACGGCGGCCGCAATCATGACATCCGCAGTAGTGACGCTCAAGGACGACGCGACCATCGCCGACGCTCGTCGATTGTTAAATGCGCACTCGCTGAAGGCGACGGCCGTCGTCGACGCCAGTGCATAAATCAAATTGTCGCGGCGCGTCTCCACGCCATCGACGCGACGCCAGCTCGATGGCGTGGCGATGTGCACCCGACTCATTGGGTGATTTCCACACAGGTCGACGCGAAGGGCCGGCTGCGGGGCGTCCTGAAGATGAGCGACGTTTCTAAAGCTGAAAAAGCTGGAAGGCAAAATGATAAAGTGAAGGGCGTCATGCGCACGCAGGTGACGACCGTCAGCCGGGATACGCCTCTGGCGCGGCTCGAGGAGATCCTCGTCACGACCGTCGGGCGGGTTCCGGTGGTGGAAGACGATGGCCGACTGCTGGGCATCGTGACGCGGACGGACTTGCTGCGCCTGCGGAACTACTACGGCGGCGAGCTGCCGCGGCCGTCGGCTTTGGGCGTGTCCGGCGAGGCGGGGCCCGGGTAAAAACAATCAAGTATTATGGTTGGAGTCGGCCCTTCGCGTCCCGCTGCGAACACTGGTCGCCTTCTAAACGGCTCCACTCGCCGGCGAGCTCGTACCAGCAGTAGCCCGTCCTTTGGTTGACCCCAGTGCGTTGGGCCGGGCCCGCCGTCACGTTGAATCGCGAGGGGAGGTCCGTGGGGAGACTCTTCGTATTGAGGGACGCGTCGAGCCTCGACGACGCCTCGTCGAGGTCATTTAATAAACGCCGCGCCTGGTCGCCGGTAGACGCGAGCAACAAAACGCGACGTGTCACACTTAGAGCTGAAGCCGCCGCCATCAGTATTAATATTCTCGCCGCCATGGTATTAAAATTTGGGCTTGCCGACCTCCGGGTACGAGATCGGGTCGGCCCCCTGGAACTTGAGGTAGGCGTTCGTCGCCTCCTGCCAGAGCGAGCTTTTGTGCGTGCCGGGCACGCCGGAGGACCCCCAGAGCGTGTAGGCCCCGGCGCAGACGGCCGACGCGCCGAAGAGTGCCGCGGTGCCCGCGAGGTTCGCGGGCGCCCAGGGCGCGGGGCCGCCGCCGAGCTTCGTCAGGTACTGGATGAGGCGCGTGTGGACGGTCGCCATCGTGCCTGCGTTTTCGACGGCGTTTGAGGCGGGGCGGTTTTTTGGGCTCGCGCCGTCTCTCCCGGCGTTCTCTGCGCTTCGCGTGCTTTTCAATCGTCTCGTCGATGGCGTTCGCCGGCGTTTGAGGCAGGGCGGTTTTTGGGCTCGCAAGGTCTCCTCGCCGGCGGGCGCGCAGCACAACTCGTTCTCTGGGCTTTGCGCGTGGTTTTTAATCGTCTCGGGACGCCGCGCCCGCACCGGATGCCGCAGCCAGCCGTGTCCAGGGCAAGCTGTGCTTCCTTGCTAGCTAGGCCTAGTGTCTTACATGCCGCTAGCATTTTGATGAATTAGCTATACCCGCACCGCCAGAAACCCCCTCTCCGACCTTCGGAACAATCGCCTTGTTGACGCAGACGAAGAAGGGCGCGCGAGAGTCCGCGCCGAGGCGCCACAACCACCGCGGCCGCCCAGTCGACGTCGTCCGCCCGATAGCATATCGGCGATGCGCTCCGTCGCGTAGTGGAACTCGTTGATGTAGTACCTCGCCACGAGGACCTCGCGGCCGAGGCTGCCGCTGTTCGCGGAGATAAGCAGCCCGTCGGCCAACAACAGGGCCTTGCGCGACGCCTGGCGTAACGAGGAAGGCGCCTTGCCCTTCTCGCCGCTGTCGAGCAAGAATGAAGCCGTGTTCAGATCTTTCTTCCGCAGGGCCTGGCCGAGGTCGGCCAGGTCCTCGGAGGCGGCTCGCACCGTTAAACCGTGCTTCGAGTAGGCGTCGTACCGCTGCTTCAGGGGAATGTACGTGCACGCGTTCGACCCGTCAGAACCGGATGCGCACTCGCCCCAGGCGTTCCATTTCGGATCGTCACGCGGTAAGTTTTGGACGTCGAGGGCGCGGCGGCTTCCGTCCAGTCACGAAGTAGAAATCGTTCGCGATCAAAGCCTTCTCGTTCAGGCCGCGGTCCCTATTCTCGAGGATGCCCGGCGGCGGCGGCGCGTCGCGTGCCAGCGCTGCGTTTGCTACTCCCGGTATTAATGTTGTGAGCGCGGCGGCGAAGGCGCGGCGGTCGACGGCCTGAGGTGCTGGCCTTGCGACTCGCAGCGCGCTGCCCACCGGCAGGATTGCCCCCAACAGGACAGCTGCGCGTCGCATTGCTCGAAATACAAATATGCTCTCCGGCAGTCTTTGTGAGGCTGTGGGCAAACACGGCTGGATTCGCCGACGCCGTTGATGGAGCTACCTATGTCGTTGCTCTGTGCAAATTCTGCAGCCGGATCGAGCCACACAGCGTGAGTAAATGGCCTTAATCAAAATCGGATCGAGCAAAAAACCCGTGAGCAAATCTTAGAGGAAGACAACTTACTCTCCGCCGCGTGATAGACGCACCGGAACCGATCGAACGACAGCACGTCACCGCAGCTTCTTCCGCTCCGCCAAGCGCGGCGACGACCGCCTCGGCGCGTTCTTCGGGCTATCGGCCCTTAAAGACCCGCGCGCGTAGTACGCGTCCTCGAACTGCTCCTCGAGCTCCGCCAAGACGTGCGTCTCCCGCGCGATCAAGCGACCCGTCTCCGCGACGCGCGCGACGATCTCGATCTCCGCGATCAGACTCCTCACGAGTCGCCGGTGGTGCATCGCGAAGCGCAGCAGCGAGAACAGGAGCTGCCGGATGATCTTGCCCGGCCGGATGAGTTTCTTGGGCGGGTGGAGCCTGATCTTTATGTGCGTCACCGCGAAGTGGAGCGGATGATTTAACCCAGTCCGTCGTAGAATGTAAGCCAGTAAGGCCGAGATCAAGCCCGGCATCAAGCACCCCACATCGACCGAGAACCACCAGCTCTTCAGGTAGGAGTGGTATAGGGGTTTGAGGTCCTTGTAGCCGTCCTTCGACACTTTTCGTCCCGAAATCAAATGGACGAAGATGTCCAGCAAGAGGTACCACCACACGATATAGTCGACCTGGTGCACGTAGGCGTGCAGTTTTTCATCGTAGAGCCGCTCAGGGTGGCCCACGGCCGGCTTCTGCCACGCCTTCGTGATGCATCTATTGCATTCCACGCCCTCGATGGTGCGCGGCGCGCCGTCCGTGAGGCACTGTTCCACAATATGCTTCGCCTTCCACGTGTCCCGCAGCGACAAGGAGTCGGAGATGGCCTGCGCCACCAAAAAAACAACCCCTGCGAAGCGCCAGAGCCGCAGGGGCGGGCTGCTGTGGGCTAGCAAAGCGGGGAAGGTCATCGTGCTGGGCCTCCTGGGGACGAGGGCTGCCCCGTTCGGCGCGGGCCCAAGCTTCTTGCGCGAAGCCGTGGCACTCTGAGCCAAAAAAAACGGTGCCGGGGCGCCGCCTCGGTCTGGCCTTTCCCGCCGGCGGCGGAGGGCGTCGCGAGGGCCTGGCGGGGTCCTGAGCCGTGGCGGTCTTCGGCCGGAGCCGCGCGGGCACTAGCCGGGCCCTCGGCATCTCCCTCGGCGCTGGCTGATCAGCTGATGGCTGATCGATGATCCTGCTTATCCGAGACTGAGCAGCTGCTGTGCTTAAGTTGTATCGGGGCTGCGCCGACACACCAGCTACACCTTAAAAAAAGGAATTGCCCATACGCGCAGCGATCTGGCACTTGGGGGCAGCCTGCAAGCCCAGAGCACATAGATACCTCCATATAGGAACAACAGCCCGCGATAGCACATGGGCTCAGGCGCGTCGACCGACAGGAAACCGCTCACCGAAGTAAGGCTAAAAAGCGAGGTCGGCGTCCTCTTCGACGACAAGGCTAAGCGAGCCTTTGATGCGGCCGCGACCGAGGGCCCGGACGGGACGCGCACGGTGCCGTGGCCCACGATAGAGGCCCACGCCAAGGAGCACGACGAGCGCGCGCTCGACCCGCGGAAATGCATGTTTCACAACCTGAAGGCGTTCAAGTCCGCACGGGAGCAAATTGCAGAGATCGCGCGCGTGCACATCAAGGGCCCGGTGCGCGAGATCCCCTGGGTGGGCAAGAGTCTCGGCGACGAGTGTCGGCAATGCGGCCTCGACGGCGAGCCGGCCGCCGCCGACGCTGCTACGCCAGGTCGCCGCGCTAGCGAGCGTGCAGTTTGAGCAGATTATGACGGCCGCGTGCCCCGACGGCGTCACGTTAAAAATTGCGCCGCTGAAGGGCCGCGACCGTGCCGGCGCCAAGGCGAGAGACGAGTACGCGGACAAGACGGCGCCGTGCTACAGCTGGCTTTTTGATATTACGCGCGGCGCGGCTCTATGTCAGACCGAGGAGGCCATCGTGCAGCTCTACGCGTCGCTCGAAGCGGACGACCGTGTGGATATTGTGCGGACGAAGAACCGTTTTAATCCTCCACTATTCAACGGCTACCAGGACATTTTGATGAACGTCGCCGTGAAAGTCGAGAACGTGACGCACTTGTGCGAGCTTCAGATCCATCTCATGCCGATCAAAGATTCGGAGGCGCTGCACCGGAGCCACACGGTCTACGAGTACTTTCGGTCGTTTTTCTTGGGCAATTCAGACGCGGTCGCGCAGCGGCTCGAGATGCTGTGCAAGCTTCCAGTCGACGAGGCGAACGATGTGGATGAGTTGGTGGACCACGTGCTCGGCTCTGGTGCTGACGCGAAATTGCTTGACGGTCTCTGCGCGTTGCTCACGTCGATTCAGGAGTCCGCGGGCGTCGTGAAGGTCCGGGAAGCTATCTTAGCGGAGAAGGAGCGCGCGTTTGGTGCGGAGAGCAAGGAGGCGGGCAAGGCGCTGTTTGATCTTGGGGTCGCGTACGGGCGCCTCGGCGACGACTACGCCAAGGCGCGCGACGCCTTGGAGCGGGCGCACCCGATCTACGAGCGCGAGTACGGTGAAGATAGTACGAAAGTCGCCGACGTGTTTCATCATCTCGGGAACGCGTACGGGGGCCTTGGCGACTACGACAAGCTGCGCGACCTGCAGGAGCGCGCGCTCGCGATCCAGGAGCGGGCGTACGGCCGCGACCATACGAGCGTGGCCCTCACGCTGACGAACCTCGGGAGTGCGTACGGCTACTTAGGCGACCCCGCGAAGCAGCGAGACATGCTGGAGCGCGCGCTCGCTATTAAGGAGCGAGCTTACGGCCGCGACCACGCGGAAGTGGCCAGCACGCTGACGAGCCTCGGGAACGCGTACGGCAGTTTAGGCGACCACGCGAAGAAGCGAGACATGGTGGAGCGCGCGCTCGCGATCAACGAGCGGGCGTACGGCCGCGACCACCCGAACGTAGCCAAGACGCTGACGAACCTCGGGAACGCGTACGGCGACTTGGGCGACCACGCGAAGTCACGAGACGTCCTGGAGCGCGCGCTCGCGATCAACGAGCGGGCGTATGGCCGCGACCACACGCAAGTGGCCCGCACGCTGACGTACCTCGGTAATGCGTACGGTAGATTAGGCGACCAGGCGAAGAAGCGAGACATGCTGGAGCGCGCGCTCGCGATCAACGAGCGGGCGCACGGCCGCGACCACCCGGATGTGGCCTTACCACTCGCAAATCTCGGTAATCTGTGCGATGGCCTCGGCGACCAAGCCAAGGCGCGCGAATACTACGGCCGCGCCCATGCAATTTGGGAGCGCGCCTACGGCCCCGAACATCACTTGACCCGACGAGTCCGAACTTACCTCGCAAGCGGCATCGCGTTGTTGTTGCATCCAGCGCGCGCGTCGCCGCGAAGGGTACTCGATGGCGAGGCGGCGCGGGGGAAGGGGAAACCACGTCACGGCAGGCGCGTAGCCATGAGTGAGCGGGGGGGGGAAGGGGAGCGTCGCCTCGAAGCCGCGGCGTCCGCGACTTACATGATCTTCTGGCAGATGCAGTTGACCTCGTTCTGGTCGTCGGGCAATCCGGCGGACTCGCAGTCCGTCGACTTGATCCAGTTGCCGTGGAGCTGCTCGTAGGACGTGACCGAACCCCCGGGGAGGTTGAGCGCCGCGGCGCCCGTGTCCGTTTGGGCGTTGACGAGGACGGCGCAGCCGTCGGCGCCGTCGAAGTCGCTGCCCGAGCACTCGGGCTTCGAGAGGTCGCCCTCGAACGCGCAGCCGTTGCGCTTGACCATGTCGCCCTTGAACTGCGCGTCCTGGAACGCCTGGCACTCCGGCTCGACCCAGTCGCTGTCGCGGTGGCCGACCCAGGCGAAGGACTTGTCGGGGCCGTACTTCTTGGTCATCCAGGCGAGGAGCTGGTGGTTCATGTCGAAGGACGTGATGCACGGGATGTGCCAGAAGTCGTCGATCGTGGGGCACTTCTCCACGCACTCGTCGAAGGTCGTCGTGCCCAGCTGCTGGTCGAAGACGTACAGGGGCGGAAGAAGGACGTCGTCGGCGCCGCGACCGTGGCGGACACGGCCGTGGCGGCGAGCGCGCCGAGGACGAAGGAGGCCGCGGCGGCGCCAGCCACCAAGCCCTTGAGGGACTTGCCGGCCGGCTTGTCGGCGACGAGGGGCGTCTCGATGGTCTGGTAGGCGGCCATTTTGTTGTTGTGTCTGCGGGGCGGGGGGCGTGACGGGCGTGCTGGCGCGGCGATGGCGTTGGGCGGGCCCGGAGGGTTAGTTTTGCTTGATGTAATACATCCAAGCGTCTCGAAAGCAGACGCGAGCTGGCTGCTTACAAGGCCGGGTTTTAGCCTCGTCAGCGGCCGTGGCGGCTCCGACCGCTTCCGTGGTCCCGCGCGGCGCCTCGCGGGCTTGCGCGCGCGCGTCCGCGGACTTTTTGCGTAGAAAATGCGAGCAGGCAAAAATAGTTTTGCGCGAGACCGGGCGCGACGCGCGCCGCGACGGCCGAGGGTCGATCGAGACCGCGCCGCGATGCGCGGCGCGCGTTGTAAAATTGCGACGCGGGCGGCGACGTGGCGTAAATGCGGGTTCGATGAGTTTCGCAAGGAGCTTGTTGGGAGCCACCGATTTTGGCGGGTCTCATTACGCATCTCCGCCCCACTCCACGCCTCCCAGTCCTCCCCAGGACGGGTAGCGCGAATGACACGGGCCAGTCACCCCGCGGCGGTCGCGGGGCGCCGACGAGCCCGAGCAAGTCAAGCTCAAGCGTGGCTTCGATAAACCAAAAATTCAACGTCGATCAGATAAAAATTAAATGGTTTTGACGGCGGCGCAACTGCATCCTCTAACCCCGTTATCTCGCGTTGTGCGTCCGTTGCGCGTGCGCGGACTAACGGTGTTCAAAGCACCCGCACGGGCGTCCAAGGACGCCTGCGGGAGGCTAGACTGATCCTTCGTTGAAGGTGTCATCACTTTGCGGTGGCGGTGCGTGGGAAGGGAGAGGTTCACACCGGCGGCCCCAAGGCTGGTCCCATGGCGCGGGCATGGGGCGCTCGTGCCGCTCGGGGGCACGAGCGCAAGTTCGCGGGCGCCGCCATCGCAGCCGAGTTCGCCATGCGCGTGGAGCGGATCGGCCCGACGACTGAACCATCAGGATGGAAGTTCCCGGCCGCCCGCGTGCGTATCCGACGAGCCGCACCTGGATGTGGCCGAGCAGCGCCGCCTTGAGCGAGGCGTGGTGTAGGGCCTTGAGGCCCTGCGACTCCAGATAATCTAGCTTCAGCTTCTGGAGGGAGTTCATGCAGCCCGCGCATCTCGAATACTGGACGATGTTGAACCGGGTCGTCCCTTCCGACGCCCCCTTCCGACCCAGTCTCTCGAGCTGAAGCCCACCAATTAGCCACACCTCGCCGCCCGCCGCTTCCGAGGAGGCGTCGCGCATCTTCGCACACAGGACCTCGCAGTCCTCCATTAAAGCAGACAAGCCGCCGGGGATCTCGCCCGTGCTCTCGAAGCGCGCGTGCCGGAAATCTTCGAGCGTCCCTTCCGTAGTGACCACCGCCGTCGACGAGACGAGCTTGAGGCCGAGCGACGACCGAACCGCGTCCATGTCGTCATGTCCGCCTAGGGCCCACGTCGACGCCCGGTCGCGGAAGTCCAAACAGAGAGCGAACGGGCCCCCGCGGCCCCGGTGCGTGACGTAGGTACCATCACCTAGTGGATGGCCGTTCCACGCGTCGCCCGTCATCAGCGCCGCGTCTCCATCATGCACTCGCCGCGACCCGACCGATGGGCTCCTGGTCCTTGCCTCTACTACTGAGCCCGAGCTGAAACTCGGAGCCCCGACCTAAGATCACCTTCTCCTGCATCTCTCCGCCTTGATCAATACGGGCTGGCGGTCTCAGCGTCCTTGGCCCAGACCAATTGCGTCAGATCTGGAGCAACGTGATCGGGAAGAAGTTCTACTTGTAGGGGCACGACGGACCGGTGGAAGGCACTGTTGGGTGGGAGCAGCGCCCCCTGATCATCCTCGAACTCCCTTAATGATTCGATGGCCTCGGCGTCGGCGTCGCGTTCATCTTCCTCCGCTTTGACCCAGCGACCGCGGCAGCACGTATAGCCGGCGCGACGTGCGCGTTCTGGGTATACGTGCTTCTGTGGTCGAAGTCGAGATCGGCGCAGCACTCCAGCGTGGCCGTGATCCGGCTTTTCGAGCACGCCGTCGGCCAGACCTCGATGATACCTGATGAGCCCGCGCCAGACGCCGTGACGTGGGCATCGACGCGAAATCTAAACCGTGCTCTTCTGGGAGCGCGGTTTCCGCCCACTGATGGCGTAGTCCTTGTCCTCGGGCGAACCCTAGAACCCTGCTATCGAATCCGCTTAATCCGATAGCACGTAGGGCCTCCTGCGTCGCGCACTTGTCTCTCACGGCCTTCTGTAACGCTAAGTCCGCCTTGCGGAGGGCGTCGTGGACCGGAGCTAATTTCTCGGCGAGCAGGTCGTCCTCCGACTTCGGAACATTTCGTAGGCGGCGGCGCAATGGGGCGCACGGCACGACCGCCGTCACCTTAGTAGTAGCAGCAGCATCATCATCATCACTATCAGAACCGGCGAAGCCGTCCGACTCCTCGTCTTCGTCATCAGAACTTCCCGACTCCTCCTCGTCCGACTCGTCCTTCTTATTTTGGTACGTCTCGTGCCGCGCGTTGAGCGTCTCTTCTTCTTTCTTAGCTAGGTGGGTCCGGTGGGCGAGGTCGGCGCCGACCGTACCCGGCACTTCCTTGGCGTCCTTGAGGCCGAGGCGCGCCATGAACGCGGGGACGAACCTATCATTATAGGCAACTTGGTCCACATATCCGTATGCGAGTCTTGGTGCCTTGCAGAGGTCTAGCGCGTGCTGCACGGCGTCGGCCTTCTCCTCCGAGATGCCCTTGAGCTTGTCTCCGTAAACCGGGCCCGTGACACCACCCATCTTGCACCCGCGGCCGCGTTAGAGCGCAGCGCTACGCTCGGTCTGCGTGCGAGAAGGTCGACAGGCGCCTCGCCGCGCGCGGCGTGCGAGAACGCGTGCGGCCATGGTGAGCCCATTATTGCTGCCGCGGCGGCTGTGAAAGCGGCGCGCGCGTGTTTAAATGATTGATAGTGACGTATGCGAGCTGTAGCAAGCTGCGCGTCAGGATTGGTTGTGGACGCTGCGAATTTGCGGCCAATTAGGGTGCAGACGAACCGGTCTCGATCTGCGAGGAAGACTAAGGCCGTCCCGGATTGCTCGCGAACGCGATGGTCGGCTTAACTTAAACCAAACCTCAACTTGCACATCAGCGAATGCCGCGTCGAGGTGCCGCCGCCTCGGCGCCGGGCTAGAGCAGCTGCCGCGGCGCCGCGCCCGCGAAGATCAGGGCGCCGCCGCCGCCGACGCGTGCCGTGAGGCCTCGCCGAGCACCGGCGCCGCGAGGAGCGCCGCCCAGATCGGCCGATGAGAGGGCGATTGGCGCGCCGGCGCGTGAATCGCGGCCTGGGCTCCTTGTTGCAGCACGTCCGCGAGCGCTCCTGGGACCAGGGCGCAGTAGGCTACAACCAATAAAGCGCGCGGCGTCCAGGCGCCCGAGGCCTCGACGGACGCGGACGAGGCCCAGCAGATGCCGTAGAACCTGTGTAGACAACATCGCGTCGATGGCGTGGGGCGCCCGAAATTTAATTTCCACTCAGCGCGTAGAACCCGGCGCAGGCGAGGTTCTTGCGGGCCTGCACCTCGAGCGCGCCCGCGTCCGGCGGGATCGCCGCCGTGAGCACGATGTACGCCGCCCACGCCGTCGCCGCGGCCACGACCAGTAAATCGCCGGTCCGCTGCTGGACGATCACGAAGGAGTCGTCCGGACTGCTCGTCAGAAACGCGCAGCCCACGCACGCACACAATGCTCCGAGCCAGACGCGCGCGCCTTGCCGTCGCCGCAGCACAAGGTATTCCAGGATCGGCGTAAACACGACGGACAACTGGAGCAGGAACGCAGCCTTCGCCGCCGACGTCCGCTTGATGCCCTCGAGCAGAAACTCGTTGGACGCCACGAGTGCCGCCGCGAGGCCGAGCGACACGGACCAGGGTGGAGCGGCGCCGTCGCGCCTCGAAAAAAAGTAGGGCGGCGCGAACGCGGCGGCCTGGATCAACGCTTTGACCAGGGCCACGGCCGGCGGCGACGGCGCCGCGGTTAGCGTCAGGACGAGCCGCAGCGCCACGTCCTGCGAGCCGTAGCTCAGGGCGACTGCCAGCAACGTCGCGCGGGCCGCGGAGGGCCGCATCGTCGCGTCGGCGTCGTGCACGTGTCGCGTCGTTTGCTGCAGTCAAGCTGCAGTGGGCATGCTGCAGCTGTACACTTTCAGTGCTGCACAACTATGGGGTGCAAGCTGATGCAAGTTTCCCGGCACATTCGTGCGCACGTCGGAGGAGTGAAACTGCAACGTAGCGCTCCCTCTTGCGCCGTACCTGCAAACCCAGCCAAAATCAAGCTAGCGGCCTGTAGACACACTAGGAAGCAGGCGAACGACATGCAGTTGTTTGAGTACCCTTCGGTTAGCTACTGGTCCAAAGAGATCAATGGGACACTTTGGGGGACGAAAAAAGTTTTTAATTAATTCGCGATATTGGCGACGCCACCGTGGCGGGCGCGTCGGTGGAATCCTGTCGATACGTGGTCCTGAGGTGCCCGGGGATCGCTAAGGGTCGGTACTGTACACGTGCAATCGCCTACGCCGCATGCGCGGGCGCTCCCATCGGTGCATACATATAAGCAAGGTCCTTTGCGCTCTATTGCTTTGGACCATTTTTTTTTTTTTTAGTGTTTTAGACCTTACCTTCGAAAACAACCCCCCGGCCTCATGGAAAGGGAGGGAAAAAAAACTTCGGGTAGGTGCACCCTCCGAGCGTGTCTCGCCGGTCCAAGTGGGCCAACGCGACCGGACGTTCCTACCAGGTCATGCCGCCGCCTGCCCGTCACCGCCGGACTCACCACGCGGTCGGTCTGCCCTCAGGCTCCGGACTTCGCGCCGCCGACTCATGCGGACTTAGGACGTTTTCGCATCCAGTAACTGCTCCACGGGGGAAGCTGATAGGACAATCCAGGGATTTACATTGATCAATGCCTTCTCCACGTCGGTACGCCGTTGGGCCAAACTAGACCGCCCGCCGGCCGCCGAACCACTCCGTCGATGTTGTTCCAGTTGCGCGGGCGGCCTCGTGCCGCCGTCCGGGCTCTCCATTGATGATGCCTTCACGCCGTCGGGCCAAACGAGACCGCCCGCGGGCCGCGAGGTCTGCCCAGTAATGCCATTTCAGTTGCGCCGGTCGGCCTCGTGTCGCCGTCGGGCTCTCCATTAATGTTGCCTTCACGCCGTCGGGCCAAACGAGACCGCCCGCCGGTCGTGAGGTCCGTCCATCGATTGTGAGTTCCAAGTATACACGGCCGCCACCGTACCGCCGTCGCGAGGCCGCACCGTCGCCGTCATGCTGAAGGCCGTGCCGACCATGATTTGCCAAAGATTTCGATCCAGGGCGCTGGGAGCCCCAAGCGCTGGCGAATGCGGCCTGGGGACCACCCGACCCCAGACCTATCCCGGAGAGAGTCCGTGAGCCGATCTAGATCCGAAAAAAGTAAACAATTTGGGCCCGATGGCGCCCCGTTCCCGTCAAAAACGTCAATTTTTGAGGGCCCCCAGGAATCGTAATAGCGGTCCCGTTGGACCCTATACTACCCCATCGATAGTCAACTACAAGTATATGACATCTACATTATAAGAAGGGTACTTTTGGCTGCCCACGCTCGGGGCGTGAACATCTTTATCTGGACCTCGCGTAAGTCCGTCGGTCATGAAACAAATGATCGCGTCATGGTCCATGGTGATGTTACACGGGCTGATGGTCGCAGGTCAAAGTAACTCGCCCATATAAGCGAGATACGGTGGTCGCGAGACCGACAAGGCGCGGGAGCATTTGGCAATAGGAAATCAAATGTAGGACACGCTCAGGCCAATTAGCTGGCCCGTCCCATAACCGAAGCGCCTGAAACGCGAATTTATTTTATAAACCACTGGTCTGGGCCCTTTCTGGTGCTCCGTCAACGTACCGTCGTCCGCGGAGAACGGGCAAGTCGGTCGATTGTGAATAGAACAACGGCGTTATGGTCCATCTGGATGGTGTCGTCGCTGATACTCGCAGAGTCAGGTTCTCGGCTCACCTTTGGGTAAACGCGAGGCTGCCGAATCGCAGTTTGTGGCGGCTCCAACGGGACTTCTAATATAGATAGGCTCATGTCCAGGCGGCCTAAACGGCCTCTACCATCAACAAACGGATAAAAACGAACATAAACTCGGGAGTTGTCTAGTAGAATTCTTCTCCCGCCCTCCGGCGGGCCGTCGGCTCCGGTTCCGTCGAGTGTGGATGAAAACCGCGCTGGAGTTGATATGATGTACCATTTGGACGGTAGATGGCGCCGTCAATCGCTGGTGTATTTTGGCGAGCCGCAAGACCTAGCGATCTAGCGTATCGACATACTAGGAATCCGTATATATATATACGACATGGAAAAGCGATAGAAAATTGCAGGCGCCTAGGCGGATGACTTTTGAAAAGGGACCTCAACTGACCCCGAATAGTGAAGTTCAGAGCTTAATTCCCGCTCTGTCCGGGAGGAGATTATATGCATACAAAGGAATATACAAGGGGAATTTCAAAGCGCTCAACCAGACATCATGAGCCGGGGCATACCTTTCATCATGCTCTGCTGTACTTGAGGGAGCGGCCTATCCGCTTCACGCCCGCAAGACGCGCGGGCGGCGCCCGCGCCTGGCCCATCGCGTTCACCTTCTTCTTTTATTCCGAATCAACGGTTTGTGGCGGCGCTTCGTTCTAGTGACTGGGGAGCTTGACGACGACTCAGTGTTTGAGCTGCTTTCACTGGCGCTCGGTGAGACTCGTGACCTTTTCGGCGTGCGTTGCGACGGGCGCTTCTTGAAATCGCGGTAGGAATCGCTTAGTATAACCCAACCACACGCAGCAACCGCACTCGGCCATACAATTAACGCGATGGTGAGCAGACTCAGCAGAGTTTCAGAGGATGACCAAAGCCTCGATGCTTGTGCTATGCGCGAGCGATTTTCCTCTGGGCCGAGGGCGCGTAATGAACTTATGCTGTTCGACACTTGACGGGCGTGGGACCAAAAACGTGCGCATCGGACAAAACCGCGAGAATAAGCGCGAACGTCAATAGGCAGAGGAACACGACGCAGCATGGGTGCGAAAACAGCAAAAAATTTTAGTCACCGCCGTCGCCGGCGCGTCGCGCGACGAACGCCATCCTCCGGAAGTCGCGCCGGCGCAAGGTTCTTAGTCCTCGTCATCACTATCCCCAACGTCCGACTCCCCATCGCCTCGGCATCCCACCAGGCGCAGCCCGACGAGCGCCCGTTCAGAGCTCGACCGCTTGCCCCGAGTGGTCCTCGTGCGCATACGGCGAGAGGAAAGACGGAACGCGCCCGGCGTCTTGATCATCATCAGCTCGTACGGAACGCGGATGCGCGCGCAAGTTTCTCCGCGCCGTGCCGCCCAGATACGCGCCGCGACTCGACACCTTCAGCGGCCCACCTGTTGAAGAGGGCAGGAACTCGATATTGTCCAAATTGAAGCAGTGGTCCACAGCGCAGATGCGTCAAATACGGCGCATCCAAAATTAACGTCCGCAAGGCTTCGCAGCGGTTGACCGTCACCTCCCTTAGACAGTCCGAGCAAAATCTCTCCTCGGCGGTGGGCATCTAGCCGCGAACGTTTCTAAATCAACAGCTTCGGCTAATAACGACCGGACGCAGTCGGCCTCGCCCTCCCAACTTGCAGATATAGATTCCTGCGCGGACCGACGCCGTGAGTGTGCAGTGGCGCGTTCACGCCGTCGGCGCGGCGATGGCGTGGGGCGACAACGTACGGATCTGCGGTAAATCCAAATGCACCCAGCAACTTCGTGATTTATGTTGCAATGTTAAATCTTGCAGCGAGGGCACCGTGACCTGGTCGAGGTAGACGGTCCGAAACCCTTCCAGCGTCTGCAGGGACAAGACCCGCAGCTTTAAAAAACGCAAACCGTCCGGCTGGAAGCTCACGCTCACGGGTCGAGTGGCCCCCCACGTCACGGTCAGTATTTCTACATCATCTGGCACATTATCCAAGTGCTCCTGGAGGTCGTGGGCCCGCGACAGCGTGACGGCGTTCTCGTGGACCCGTTGGGGATCGCTCCGCAAACACTGGGCGGCGTGCACTCCACAAAAACACACCAAGTCACCCACGAACTTCGACGACGAGATGACGCCGTTCTTCGCGTCGACGACCTCCTTGAACTCGGCGCCGCACACGCCACACGCGTAGAGCGACTCGTGCGGCGAAAGGAAAACGTCGCGCCTCGGTCCCGCCGCAAGTGGGCCGGGTGCTCCACCATACACTTGGAAGAGTCGCAGGCCTTGCCACATCGGCCACATCGTCTAAATGAATTGATGTATGATGTAGCGTCGTCCCCGAGCTTCCGCGAGTTTTGCCGGAGGGCCTCTTCCAGTTTCGGCGGCGGCGGGGCCATGGGCTTGCGCCGTGGTTTAGGTGGTTCGAGGACCATCTTCTCTACTTGTTCGACGGGGGCGTCTCGGGCAGCTCGGCGGGTGCCGGTTGTGAAGGCGGCTCTTCCGCTAGAGTCGGCGAAGCGAGCGCGGGCGCCTCCATCAATTGGGGCGAGGGCCGCCGCCGGGGCCGCTGCGGGCGCTCGGTCGTGAGCGATGGCGAGAAGGGGGCCGTGGCGGCGGCGGAACTGGCGGGGCCCTCCGCTGGGGCGACGTCGCGAGCTCGGGCGAGCCAGGCGACGGCGGCGGCGGCCGTGGCCTCTTCTTCGACCTCCATCGGTGTGCCCGTCGGCGGTGCCTCGGCGGGCGGGGCAGTGCTTGCCTCCTCAGCAGAGGGTGATGGAGGGCCCAGGCCCAGCCAGGCGCTGAGTCGGGGGAAAGCGGCGTTCATGGCGCTTCGTTCAACGCTTCCGTAGAGCACGTAGACCCCTGTGATGTTGTTGTAAAGCGCAAAGGAGGGGGAAGGCGAGCTAGTGTAGACATGCACTAGGAATATACAAGCCGGGCTTTGCTCGGGCCACTTGCTCGCCCTGTTGTGCAGTAGGAGTGCCACGGCTCATCAATAGAGACCAATTTCAACTCATTCTCGCACTTGCGATTCCCGTGTACAACCTGCTCTCAGCTTCCCAGAGAGCACCACCAGCTTCGGAGAGCACCAGATAATCACCGCAGCGATGGCCGCCGAGACGAGTTGTCCGTTCAAAGAGCAGCAGTACGGCCTCGGCACTCACACAACAAAGAAGGGCACGAAAGTGACGATCCGCCTCGCGACCGAGGCCGACGTCGGCACGATCCGAAAACTCATCGTCGGCCTGGCCCTCTACGAGAAGGAGCCTGAGGAGACGGTCGAGGTGACGGAGGACGAGTTACGGAGGGACGGCTTCGGTGCCCAGCCGGTCTTTCGCTGTTTGCTGGCCGAGGTCGAGGGCGTCGCAATCGGCTTCGCGCTGTTCTTTTATAACTACAGCACGTGGCAGGGCCGCTGCATCTACCTCGAGGACCTGTACGTGGACGAGTCGGCGCGCGGCACGGGCACGGGGACGCTCCTCCTGAAAACCGTCGCGGCGATCGCGCACGTTGAGGGCTGCAAGCGCATGTCGTGGCAGGCTTTAGATTGGTTCGTGTGCGGCGTCCTCGTGGTGATGGGTCGCGAGAGATACGCCATCGACGCGCCTCGTCACTCATGTGAACACAGGAACACGCCCGCGCTGGACTTCTACAAGGCCCTCGGCGCGAACCGCCTCGACTCGTGGGTGAACCTGAGGCTTGGCGAGAAGGAGCTGACCCAGCTGCTAGGCATCTCATAACAAGTCACATTTATACTCGAGCGCGCGCGGCCTCGTAGTACCCCTCCCCCATTTCCACCCCGTAGTCCTGGTCCGTCGTCAGCGGCGAGTCGTCGTCGTCGTCCACGAACGCAAATTCAGCTAAATCATCAACCATCAAATCGGTGGCCCGCGTCGTGGGTCTGGAGGACGCCCAGCCCGAAGTTTCATCTAATTCCGCGACGTATTTGGTAGCACTTCCTTTCGGCGCCTCCTTGATGACTAACGCCCGCAGGAATATGTTTATTGTGAGGTCGTACCGACCATCCACCATTTCAAATTATCAATCTGGTCCGCCAAATCTATCAAATACTACATCTACAGAAAGCGGGATCAACTCGCACGTCTCCATCTGCTCGAGCTGCACTGCGCACTATCATCAAACCAGTTCACGGTGACGCAGACCGATAAATGAGTACCAACGCCCGGTAAACCGAAGCACTTTATTCTACGCATACCGCGCCACAATCTTGATTCAAGGCGGAGGCGGGGCTTCTCCTTGTATTTCGTTCTGAGCACGTGTTTGAGGAGAATTCTAGCGTTCTTTGCATCAAACACATTACCAGAGTGGTCCCGGTGCTTCTTTCCAGCAACGGCGACTTTCGCGAGGAACGCTTGGGACTGGTTCTTGTCGAGGAGTCGCTTCCGCACCGTGTCCGAGATACACAGCTCGCGGCGCAGCCAGGGCTCGAGCTTCGTAGTGGAGACGAAGTTGTCACTCATGGGAGGCTTCTTAGATAAATTCGACGCAGGCGCCGCACATAAAGCTACACAAGCGGCCTCGAAGGCATCTTCACCGGAATAGGCGACGGCCCGCTCCCTCTCTTGGAGTACAGGTAGGTCGGGGACCATGCGCACGTCCGCTAGCAACCTCTTACATAAATCGGACCAGCAAGAAGCACAAGAATGGCGAACATGTTCCTCGGCGTCGTCCGCCGAGACCGAGCACGCAACCGTACGCACCGCTTGTCGCAAGACTTCCTTCACAACTCTCTGAGGCTCTTGGAGAGCATCATCAACGCATTGCTCGACCAAGTCCCGAACAAACTCCGAGAAGGTAGCAGGCCCGCGAAACTCCATACGACGAGAAGCCACCGCAATAGCCATGCAAGCTTTCTTCTCATCCCGCGACATGCCCACTTTGGGCGGCCCGCGGCCCTTCTTCTTCTTCCGCTTCTTCCTGAAGCGGTCGCGCACGCTCATCGCCATGCCCGCGGCGGCGTTCGCCTTCGCGGCGTCCTCATCATCAAAGTCGTCGAGGCAGGCTCCTTCCGCTACGATGGCGGCGTTGCGCGCATCGAGGACGGCCTCCTCCCTCTTCACGTGGACGAACTTGGACGACGCCGAGGCCTTGCCGTATCTATCAACAGCATGTTTCCGCAGGGGCAGCGTGTAGGTCTCCCTGACGTCGAAGAAGAGCCGGAGCTCGTAGTTGTCTTCCAAAGTCCGCAGGCACTCGAAGCGGCACCGTCTCCCTTCTACGACTGAAGCGCCTCGCGCTAGCAATTCTTTCTCCACGCAGCGAGCATGTGTTCTTCTTTTGATGAGTCGGTACGACCCCCTTTCTGTGGGAGACGAGGGCGTTTTGAGGGGAGATGACAGAGCGTGCACCAACCCCGGACCGTAGCCCTGCTGCTTGAACAGACAATCTCCCGCAATGCCACTTTGTAAATAAAGCGGCTTCGTGTACTTCTGCTGCGCATGCGTTTCTAGCACATTCTCACCCGTCAAATAGTCCGCGTCCAAGGGGACCGATCTAGGACCGATCTTCAGGACCTCGAGACTAGGACCCTTCTCGAGCAATGGTGCCTGTGGCCCCGGCATGCCGCGCGCGTGGCACCTCCTCACTGATTCGGCGTGGGCCTTCCGCGCCAGGTCGTTCTCGGAACAGAAAGACAGCAGCGAGGGAATCTTGCGCGCGAGGCGCTTCCGGCCCTCGACGTCGTCCTCGTCCACTGGCTCATCGGTAGACGTCCACTTGGCTAAATCAGTATAAGGCAGGCGACACTCGTACTCCAATCCGGTCCTTATATGAGTGACTCTCACGGTGCAGATCTTGTTGAGCAACGCCGGCGCGTCGTAGACCCGGACTGCACAAGATTCACCCTTCACATAGGCCCCGCAGGCCACGACGCAGCCCCGGTACCGTTTCGGCGTCAGGTGCCACTTCGCGGCCTTGTAGGCCGCCACAGCTTGTTCTCTATCTTTTGATTGCTCGTTCGGCGTGTCTCACTTGGTCCAGGTGGACTCGTCTGACGGGCCCGCGGCCATGCACAGTCTCACGGTGTAGGCGCCCGGCCACTTCTCGGCTTCTTCTGCTGTCTCGAGGACGGTCTCGCGCCCTCGCCGGCCGCCGATGGTGCTACTACTCCGGGCGGGCGCCGGGGCCGCCCAGCGCCGACGCCGGCCGCCGATTGTGTACTACTGGCGGGCGCCGGGGCCGCGGCGGGCGTCGGCGCGGACACAGCTGGCGGGGGCGGGGCCGAGGGCGGCCGCGTTGTGGACGACGCCGGCCGCGACGGCGACGGCGCCTCGAAGAGAGTAGTGGCATTCTTCTCGGGGGACATGGCCCGCAGCAGCGCGAGCCGCGCCTTGAACCGCTTCTTCGCCTTCGTTTCTCTATAAACTCTACATTCGTCGGGCAGATGCGGGCCCTTCCTCGGGATCACGCCGGGCTCCGCCTCCCACTGTTCCAAATGCGTGTAGTACGTCGTCCGCGTGCCCTTTAACTGTGATGACTCTTTCTCGACGTCGTTGTGCTCGCCGAAGGGAGCACTCGTACCCCATCCGGCCGGCGCCTCGCGCTCCCACCAGCACTCTGTGAGAGCATAGACGAAGTAGCTGTGCTCCAAGAGAGCGTTGATCAATTTAGGACGGTTCCCCGGCACCAACAATGAATCTCGATCCTCGCGCTCCGAGAAGATGTGCAACAGACCCCGCCGATCCATCTGGTACCAAGAAATTGAATTGGAGGGAGCCTGGAACTGGATCTTGATCATGCGCGTGCTATGATCCTCGTCATGTAACTTCTCAAACACGGTCCCGGCAAAGCCAATCCCAATCACGCTCAACCGGCCTCGCGTCCGCGAGATAATGGCTCCTCGCGCTTCGATGATGTGCGTGGATGCTGCTCGTCGTAGTTCGGGAACGAACCGCGTGCGGTCGCCGCCCCAGAATTTATCTCTGATGAAACCTCTGTTCTTCGTCTCGTAGCGCTCGACGCCGTCGCCGTTTCTCAGTACGAGGTGGTCCCGCCACGACAGGGCGCGCCAGTCCTTGTCCCGGTCTCGGATCGGTTCTCTGAGTAGATCGACTCTATCTTTATTGGCTCCGATACGATGTCCTGGCATGAACCCTTCGAGCGGGTCTCGTTCGACGCGATCCAAGTGCAGGCGCGGCACGGGCGGTTTTCGTTTTTTTATGGTGATGGGACCCTCCAACCTTATTAATCCTTCGGTCCTCAATGCCGACGCGTCTCCTAAATGATCCAACGCGACTATTGAACGTGTGACAAGCCCGGACGTCCTCAGACCCGTCACGGGCGCCTTACTAGCCTTGTCTTTCGTAGTAGGCAAGGGGTTGAAGATCTTCCGCCGGGCCACGGCGTACTCGTCGTCCATCGCTTCGGACTTGGCTAATAAAGCGCCTATCCTCCTCAAATTCCAGTCGGACTCGAGGGAGCCCTCCCGCCCCATCGGCTCCCTCACCAAGGCCTCGACCTCGGGCTGGCCCGCCTCTGGAGCATTACCGACGGCGAGCTTGCGCTTCACGACTTTCACCGAAGTCCCTTCCTTGAACGGTAACAATCGTCCCGGAGGCTGATCCTTCAGCACCGCCTTCTTCGGCGCCGGCGCGGGCTTGTGGCGCTTCGCGCGCTTCGCGCGGAAGACTGCGGCTTGGCCCAACAAAGAGTTATCGTCGAAGGGCTGGGCGGCGGCCGCTTTCAGGAGGTCCAGAGGGGCTCTTTTCACGCGCTTCCAGCGGTCTGCTGCCGTGCGCACCATGGTTTACTTTGGGGGCAGTGGTGGGCAGCCCCTTTTTGCGTCGGTCGCTTGTTGTGGGCGCCGGGCTTTAGCGATGGACCATGTCTTGTAAGAGGGGGCTAGGTTTCCCCATCGTTTTATGGGCGCTCTCCGCCTGTGCAGCATGGCGCTGGGATGCAGGGAGCTCACGAGATGCTCACAGAGACCGTTATGATCCGTCTTGCTTCCAACGCTCGGCCCGCGCGAGAGATCCAGACGTCCCAAAAAGCTAGTGTCGTCTAGGCTCTAGCCCAGCCTCAGAGTTGCTGCTCGCGCACTGCTCGCGTAACAGCACCCCATTGCACCCTGCATCGGTTTCGAGGTCGCCTCTGAATCCTCAACCCAATATAATTGCAACGCGCTGCACGCCGTCGACGCCACAGCACAAACAACACCTGCAACCCCGCAGCACCACCATGAAGCTCATCGCAGCGCTGCTCCTCACGGCGGTCCATGCCAAATTAGCACCCGTGCATCTCGCGAAGAAGAGCGGCGTCAAGGCCGTGCAAGCCATTGATCTGGGCGGCGGCAAGAAGGCGTCCGGCGGCTACGGCCAGTGGGCTAAGGATAATGCCGCGGCGAACGGTATTATTATTGGCGCCTTCAAGACGGCGGCCGCCGATTTGATGGCCCAGGTCTCGGACAGCGAGTCCGACTTCGACCTGAAGCGCAACCTGTTGTTCTTCGCGTTCGGCGGCGCGTACCTCGGCGCGTTCCAGTACTGGTACCAGGTCAACATCTTCAAGCGCATCTTTACCGCTACTGAGAGATTCACCTCCCAGTCGTTGGAGAAGAAGCTCAAGGACACGGAAGGTTTAATACAATTGGCGATGCAGATCGCGTTGAACCTGACCATCTTATCCTGTGTGTACTTACCCACGTTCTACCTCTTCAAGGCCGTCTTCTTCGGCGACTGCGGCTTGGCGTCGTGCTTCGGCGAATCCTGGGGCACTTATACGGACGGACGAGAACGATCTCGCACCGTTACTGAAGTGCTGGGGCCCCGCGGACCTCCTGCTTCTCGGTACCTCGTAATGCCGCATCCCGATCCGCCACGTCGTAAACTTCTGCTGGACGATCTGGCGCCTCCATCGTGCAATCGAAGAAGTAGCGGCGTCGCGCGAGCTAAGTTATCAAGTAATCTCGGTGGCGGGCATCCGAACCAGACTTCGTGCGCAGAGGGTGCAGAGGCGCCGTTCTGCGGGCAAAGGTGCAGCGGCGCGACGTTCAAGCGGTGTCGGGCTGTGCCGCTGCCCGCCAGTGCGCCCGACGTTTTGAGGATGGGCGGGCGGCGTCGTCGGGCGTAACGATAGACGCCGTGTCCACGTCGTCCTTGGGGGGCTCAACAATGGCCGGCCGCGCCTCCGACTGGACGTCTTCCTCGACCTTCGGCAGCGCGTACTCGATTATTTCAACCGCGGACGGGTCCACAACTACGATCGCGCCGTCCCCGTCTTCGATCTTGAACCGCACGCTGACGCCGTGGTGGTTGTCGTGGACGACGACCCCGCTCGTGCAGCAGACGCCGCCCGGGCTCGTGACCTCGACCTTCGAGCCCGTCGTGAACGTGGCCGCGTCGAGGCGTTCGCGCGCCGAGCGCCGCATCGCATTGAGCGACTCATCATCAGAGTCGGATTCGTCGGCCGCCTCGGCCTCGGGCTTGGGCGTCCCGGCACTCTCCTCGCGAGCCTTCGCGGCGGCCTGCTCGCGCGCGTACGCCTCGCGGATCGCCGCCGTTGCCGGATCGAGCGCTTGCACGGCGGCGGGCGTGGCGGGGGGATCCGGCTCGTTCGTAGCCGCGGGGTGAGTCGCGCCGCCCGCTCCGCATGTGGGGTCGGCGCTGATGACGCGCCGCGAGGCCTCCTTGAGCGAGAGCGTCGTGTGCTCGTTCGTCTCCCAGTGCACGACGACGTCGTCGGCGCCGACCTCGATGATGGTCCCGCGGTGGTAGCCGTAGCCCGGGAATGACTTGCCAACCGTGGCACCGACGCGAACGCGCGACGCGAGCCCGTCAGCGGGCGCCGGCGCCGCTTGCGCGTGACCGTTTAGCATGAGATCTCCTTTTGGTCAGGTCTGAACAGTCTCTGGGTGTTTCCGCCTCTGAGCGTCCGGCGGGCGGCTTGCGGCGACCGGACACGCGCACGGTAATGCTTCTGAAGGTCGAGACTTATTTTCGTCGCGACGCGCCGTAAAATAGCTCTCGAGACCGTCCTGTAGGGTCACGCCCGTCGCGCCGCCATCGATGCCGCCGCGCCGAAACCGCGGAAGCGACCGAAAGGCTTCTACGCCGCCTACGCCGAGAGCTCCGAGCCGGCGCCGACACCAGCGCCACGACGGACAAAGAAGCCTGTCGCGCCGTCGGGGAACTGTCCCATTTGTTACGAGACGCTGTCGGCGGACGCGACGGTCTTCGAGTGCTCCCACGCGATGTGCGCGTCGTGCGCGGGCTCCTACGCGAAGTCCGAAGTGCAGCGATCGATGAGCCGCCGCAGCGGCGTTTCGGTGGCGTGCCCGCTCTGCCGCGCGCCGTCGAAGGTCGCCCTGCCCGGGGAGATGCACACCTCGGTACCCTGAACTATGAGTAAGACTCCAACCTTAGCAGCGGAGCCCCGGGCGCGCATGGGGGAGGGCGCGCATGCGTCAATGACTAGCGGATGCCCTTGGCCTTGAGCGCCTCGAACTTGCCCGTGGCCTCGCCGTAGGCCTGCTTGATGACGCGGCGCTGGAGCTTGTTCGACGCCGTCAAAGCCCCGTTTTCCGGGGTCCAGGGATCCTCGAACTGCGGAGTTTCGTTGTCCTTGGCGCCCGTGCCCGGCAACAACAAAATACCAGCCAAGATCTCGTTCGCGCCCAACTTGCCGGACTTGCCCGCCTTGATCAACGAAGATAGGACCTCTTTATTCATCTCCGGCGTCGCACAAAGGTCCGCGAAGGTGCCATACTCAACACCATTACTATCAGCCCAGGCGCAGCACTTCTTCTCGTCGGCGACCACGAACGCGACCGGCCGGTCCATGTCCGAGTCCCCATAACACATCAAGCCCCCGTTGACGCCAGACACGTAGGACGACGTCGAATATTCTTTTTCCATACTTTCAATAGCGATGTACTCGCCGCCCTTCAACTTAATAAGGTTCTTCAACCGATCGACGATCTGCAGCTGGCCGTCGGGGCGCCACACCCCCACATCTCCCGACCGGAACCAGCCGTCCTCGGTAAACACCTCGGCCGTCTTGTCGGGCTGCTTGAAGTACCCTGCGGTCACGGGCGTGCCCCGCATCTGCACCTCGCCGCGGCCGCAGCATTTGGAGCCTAGATGCGACGTGTCCGTCGATCTATAAGGCTTGCCGTCTCTATCAGTAATGTCGCAAGATTCTAAACGAATCTCAATCGACGTCAAGGGAGCGCCGGCCACCCCGTCGATGTTGCCGTCGTCGACGGGCTGCACCGTGGCCGAGCAGCACGTCTCCGTGAGGGCATAACCCTGCACGGCGGGCGCACAAAACGCGACGCGCGCAAACGTCTGCACTTCGGAACTAATAGCGCCACCGCCCGAGATCGTAGCCTTGAGCTTGCCCCCCAGCATCTTCGCGAGCTTCTTGAACACGAGAGCTTTCAGGAGAGGCGCGTCTCTATGTTGTCTGAGAGCCGTAGCTCGACCGACGTAAGCAACATTAAAAATGAACTTCTTGACGGGCGACATCTCGGCCACCTTGTCCTCCATGGCCTGTGCGGAAATCAAGTCGCTCGGAGGTCGTGTCCGAGTTCGGGCCGACAACAGTGATGGCGGCCGACGCCATCGAGAAGTCTGGAGGACGCCGCGCCGCGCCTTCTTCAGGATGTCCCAGACCTTGGGCACGCCGGCCATGAACGTCGGGCGGAACTCCTGGATCGCGCCGGGCGGGCACGGCCACTCGGGCTTTTGATTTATGGAGCCGTCGGGGCGCTCGCGGACGGCACCCGTGCTCGTAAGGGTTCTAGGGTCCGCGTAGCCGATGTGCATGCCCAGCGCCAAGCATGTTAATTCCGCGCAGAACTCCAAAATGTGCGACTGCGGTAAATACCCCAGGTAGCAGTCTCCCGTCGTGGCCGCCTTGCCGAGGACATCTAACAACCCAGCAATCGACGCCAAAACGCTTTCGTGCTTGAGCAGCACCCCCTTGGGCTTGCCCGTAGAACCGGACGTGTACATGATCACGGCGACCTGGTCGGGCGTCGGCTCGGCCGCTTCCTTCGTCGGTTCGAAGGCGAAGCAGTCCTCGAGGGGAATGGCCGTGAGGCCCTTCGGCACCGTGATTGGTTTCCCTTGGTCTTTCGGCTCGACGTGGAATTCGGTATAAATAATCGTTTGTAGGGTAGGGCACTGTTTCTTCAGTCCCGCGACTCTTTCCACGTTCTTCCTGTTCGTCACGACCGTGGTAATGTTCGAGGCCTTGATAGCTTCGCCCACCGCATCTATTCCGAGCGTCGCGTAGGACGTAGCCACGACGAGAGACTGCGACAAAGCTCCGAGCGCACACGTCATCCAGTCCGCGCACGTGTCCTCAAATAACAGGATAGTATGAGGACCGGTCAAATCTTCCACATTTTTACCCTTCGGCACGGGCTTCATAGCACAGCCGCCCTTGGCCCTTGAAGCTACTAATGCGGCCCCAAACGCGTCGGCCTTCGTCTTGAGCTCGCGGAAGGACATCCACGTCGTCGCTCCGAATTTTTTTTTAGGGAAGCGCCAGCCGGCCTCCTTGTATTCGCCTAGGTACGTCCGCGTGCCCATGGCCTTCTCGTCGCCGTACTTGGCCGCGGCCCAGGCGAAGAGTTTCGGGGTCGTTAAGACGGCGCCGCCGCCTTCTCCTTCCGGTACTGGTGAGGTGAAGAGCTTGTCGACGGCGGCTCTGTTTCTTCTTACTGCCGGGCCGACCTCTACCGAATAGGAAGGTTGGAGGTAGAACTTGATCGTTTTCACCCAGCCGAAGGTCAGGACCCAGATCGCAAAATCCAGGATCCAGATGAACCAGGCGAGGGGGTTCAGTAATAATGCGAGCGACGGCGTCGACGACGCTTTGAACGTTTTGCCGCTGGACATGGTTTTGGATGGCTCGGCGGCGCTGACGATAACGGTTGATGACTGAGATATCCGTTCACGCGCTGGCGGCGCGTCGCTGCGGGCGCTGACCCCACACGTGTCAAAATAACGTGCTGTGAGCTCACCGGGCGCTCGCTGACGGTTTCCTTGCGCAGTCAGCTGTCGGCTCGGGATTCCGAGCTTCCTGCTGTCGCGTCGGCTAGCGCGGGCGTGTGAATACGCCTTGCCTCTCCGTGGGAGAGAGCTGGATGCGGCGCCGGGTTTTTCGCGAATAGCCGTCGGAGGCCGCGAGAGGCTTCCGGGAGTCGTGGCGCAGGCACAGAAGGCAATCCTGCGCGCGGCTAGTGCGATTTTGACTGCATGCAGCGCCTCTGGCACAGCGCACTGTGAGAGGCGACGTGTTGTAGGCCCAGACGCGCGCAAGACCGGGTCGACGCACCGTCGGCGCGTCCCGAACTCCAAAACCACCGCGTGTGTCGCGCACGGGCTGCGTTCGCGCGCCCGGGGCAGCGTTGCAAGCGACAGAGCTTGGTCAGGAGCGCCGCCGCCGCGTCGTCATGGCCGCCGCCGCCTTCGCCCCGGTTTCAACAGGAATACTGGTACCAGCGGACGCGGCCGACCAGTACCCGGAGTCCTTCGACAAGACCTTCAAGCAGACCCTCGTCAAGACCATCGACGGCTTCGACGAACAAGCGTACAGAGAGCGCTACGCCGATTGTGAATTAGATGAACACACGACGGAAGTCCACAGAGTTGAGTCAGCACCGGTCGTCAAGGCTGGCGCCGTGCAGAAGCTCTTCTCGAAGCCGCGGCGACGGGCCGAGATCTTGTCCTGGCATTTAAGAAGGCAGGGCAAGTGGCAGGACGCGAAGAAGTTCGATGCGACGTTGAACGCTGTTCGTAAGCCTCCCAAGGAAGATCCCATGCTCAAGGAGCGGTCGAGGTTCTGGACGGCACGCGCTCCTAGGTTCAAATTGGAGGCGATTTCGGCCACGCAAGATCGCCGTGATTTACATCGGGACCCGCCAGTCCTAACCTGGGGCACGGAACATGAAGCGATGCAGCGGGACGCGTCTCCACGCATCAAAGAAGCTTATAGACAGAAAGCTGCTGAAAGAGATAGACAAATGGCCATTCGAGAAGCAGAAGAGCTACTGAGGGACGCCTGCGATAGTAGGGATGCGGACAGTGTGGACCATGCGCTACGCCAGGCCAAACACGTAGGCGTGCCTCGCGATTCGGAGGCCTATGAACTTGCTAAATTTGTGCAGAAGGATCTCGTGAGGCAGCGGGCCTACGACGAGAAGCAGGCTCTGCTGAAGCGAGACAAGCAGGAGGTCGAGAATGTCGGCAAGTACCTCTGGAAGGCGCGGCACTACACGGACCCGACGTGCTTCGGGACTGATGACGACATCGTGCGAAGCGCGAGAGAGGCACAGATGGACCTCGCCGACGGCTCCGTGTCGACCATAAAGTCGAACGTGAACCCCAAGAAGCTGCCGCCCGCCATCAAGCCGCACGCCGAGACCTTCCATCCACAGCGCGTGCGGCACCACTACACGCCCGGGTCGCCCACCGTCACGGTGGAACGGGCCGGCGCCGTCGTCTGCAAGCGCGCTACGCCTCATAGAGCCAGGCGGCGCTACCCCTAGCGTCGACGGCGTGCCGGGTAGTAAGACTCGAGAGTGCTAGTCCCGTGGCGGTTCGCGAGCGCGCCCGGCCCGAGGGTAAGGATTCCTGCAAATTGCCACGGGACCGCTCCTAGGCGTAAGCCTGTGGCCCCGACGCCCCTGATTCCGCGTCTCGTTCGCGCGGGTCTCGTTATCGGCTCGCTTTTGCTGGGTCGTTTGGGCGGCGCTGCGCAAAACGCGTTGCGCGAGGCCGACACAGTGCACTCATCACACCAAAGCAGCGCGACAGCAGCCCCGGCCCCCGCGCTACTCCATCGCACGAAAGGGCTGCGTCCCAACCGGGCCCACGAGCACTGCTCACCACCTCCACGCCATCGAGCAGACGCAGCGTACCAAGATGCCCCTCCGCGACTTTGCGATATTACACAAGCTCGGCAAGGGCACGTTCGGTACGGTCTACAAAGTACGGCGCCATGAAGACAAGCAGCTCTACGCGATGAAGCGCGTCAAACTGTCCAATATGCCCGATGTGGAGGTCGCCGACGCCTTGAACGAGGTGCGCGTGTTAGCGTCGGTCAAACACGCGAACGTTTGTGGCTTCTTGGAGGCGTTCTGCGAAAGTAGTGAGCTAGTGGTTATTATTGACTTCTGCGAACGAGGTGACCTGTCGCAACGAATCGACCGAGCGAAACGGGGAAGAAGATTGATTGACGAAGGTCAAATACGAAGCTGGCTCCGGGGCATCGCGAGCGGTCTACAATGTCTCCACAGCCATGGCATCGTGCACCGCGATTTGAAGCCGGCGAACTGCTTCATCGCTGACAACGACATCGTAAGGCTGGGCGACTTCAACGTCTCGAAAGTCCTCAAGAAGAACCAGTGTCTCATGAAGACGAAGATCGGCACGCCTTATTATATGGCGCCCGAGGTCTGGGACGACCGGCCCTACACGTGGTCGGCGGACGTCTGGGCCCTGGGATGTACGGCGTATGAGTTGTGTGCCTTGCGGCCGCCCTTCGTGGCTCGGTCGTTGCCGGGCTTGGGTCGGGTCGTGAAATCTGGAAAATTTGATGCTCTACCTCGTACCTATTCCAAGGAGCTGCGCGACGATGTTGTTGGTGTTTCTTTATGTGTAAGTCCACAACGACGACCGTCCGCCCAAAAGTTAGCTCAAGTGCTTGGGTCAACTGTCTCTCCACAGGATTCGGTCGCGACCGATGTCTCACTGTTGAAAACTATCAAGGTACCGAATAACCGGCAATTGATCGGCAAAGTATTGCCAGAAGCGCAGTACGACGAGCCGCGGTCGCCGATCGCGTGGGAGGAGAAAAAACAATTTCCGGACCCGCGGAAAAAAGCTTTATTGGACTTCGGCCGGAAGATCGAGCAGAGCAAAGCGGCCGCCGCGCCGCAAGCGCCCGCCGCGCCCGCCGCGGAGGACGCGCCGTCGCCGACGTGGGCCGAGCGGCGCAAAATGCTTGAAAAGAAGTCGGCGGCGCTGGACGCGCGCCGGGCCGAGATTGCCAGAAGGGCGGCGCCGCGCGACGAGCACCTGCGCGACTCGTCGCTGGAGCGTCATGAAAAAAGATGCCGGAGCCGGCGCGGCCGCCGCGCGAAGCCCGTTGTAAGTGCTGCAGCGGCGGCGCGCGCCCTGGCCCCCGCGTTCCCGGCGCGCCTCGCGCCGGCGGCGCCGCCCCGCGCCGGCGGGCTCGCCGCCGATCAAGCCGCGGGGCCCGCCCGCGAAGGTGATCCGCGGGGCGCTGCGCGACGTGAACGACGACGGGAGCGCCTCGCCGCAGAAGTCTCCCAAAGGCCGCAGCGGCCTGTTAACAGCAACGCCGCGGCGCGCTCGCTCGCCGCGCCGAGGCCAGCGATCCGCGCGAGCTATCCGCGCGTCGCGGCGTCCGGCCGCAGCGGCCGGCGGGCCTGCGGCGCCGGCCGACCCGGCCCGGAGACGTCCTCCCGGGGGGCGCGGCGGCGAAAATCCAATCCGTGATGCGGGGTAGCAAAACGCGGAGGCAACTCGCCGCGCTCAAGCCGACGCCGGCGCGCTTCTGGAAGCCGATGGACCCGTTTGCCGCCGCCGCGGCCGCGGCGATGGCGCCCGCGCGGCCGTCGCGGCCCGTGGCGCGGCCCGCGGCGCGGCGGCCCGCGCCCTACTTTTGACTAAGAATAACGCCATCGACGCGACGACTACAAAACTCCTCCTTACGCCCACGGCGGCACCCACACGCTCCGCCCACTCTTCCGCTCGTAGTAGAACGGCGGGTCGACGGGATCGTCCGTGCAGCACTCGACCCAGCCCCGGCACAAGACGTCCTCGGGCGCGTCCCACTGGGTTTGTCCTGTCGCTAAATCTTTGTAGAAGTAGTCGTCCGACGTCGACTCCGTACTACCGGCGGACCGACAACTTCCCACTCGCACGAAGCGCTTCCGTGCTCGAATCCACGGCCGTTCCAGCAGACAAAGGAAGTCGGCTCATGCAAGTAATAAGGCGGCTTGGCCGCGACGCGCACCCAGTCCGACTCGTATACACCTGGAGGGGGTTCTCGCGAGATATGTCCAGTAGTCTCGTCTTCGAACCACCTTTACCTCTCTCGTTGACGACGCGACACCACCGCGGCTGGGCATCAAACAAACTGCTGTAACCCACTCCGTCTTGCCCGTGATTCGTGACAAGACATAGGTCCTCCCACTTTCAGGGTCAAAATGCTCGGTAAATTCCGCTTCATCCAATGCTTTTTTAAGAGCAGAAGGCGCGTTCCAGCAGGCCGTGCCACCGTTGGGCGGGCGGTAGAAATGTGCTTTATTAGAATCGTCCCAGCACCGCGTCCAGCCCGCTGTGCGATCTCCGACAATCTCCGCATTGGCCGGTAGCTTCCAGCGCGCGGGACCCTTGTAGCTATGCGGCTCGTAGAACACGGCATTTTGTTTCGGGTCCCATTCGACCGTATACTGTTGGACGGGCGTCTTTGGAGGCGAGGGCGTCTTCTCTCGTCTCACAGAAGGGCTTCTAGCTGAAGGAACGTCGTCGTCCAAGACTTTGGAGCGCCACTCCTTCCGGGGCCCCGGACTGTAGGGAGGCGCCTGCCTCCTGTTGGCATTCTTGGGCGACGTCACGACTTTGTTATAGTGCGTGTTAAAACCAACGGGGTCTGCTAACCAGGCTTCCCGCGCGGCGACGCGTTTTTGCGCGTTCTCGAAGAACAGCTCCCACACTCGCGCAATCTTCTGGAGCTTCTCCTCACTAATGTTCGGGTCGAGGTCGAGCGAGGCGCCGTTGCCCATGGCGCCGACGCGGCGGCGGCGCTGCCCTCACGCAGCGCCTGGGCCTCACTCTGGTTGACGGCGGCCTGGGCTGTTGAGCGCTGCCCTCCGCTTTAACGATGGATCACCGCACTGCTCTAAGTACCATGGCTTCCCGCCAGGGCGCGGCGGTGGCGTGCCGCACGGACATCTTTGACATCAGCTGATCAGCCGCTGCAGTTCCAAGTGCGCTCGACGGCCGCGTCCGCCGGCGTCTTTTGGACGGCTGTGGCTTCGGAGCCGTGGGGTTGAGGGGTAGGGGGCTCGGGGACGACTCAAAATTCGCTAGTGTCTTTACGCAAGCAAAGCTCGCCCAACTCGCGATTTTGCTCATTTGACTCACTGTACGCGCCTGTGTAGACCTGAAACGAGAGACGGGCTGTCTACGAGTCGCCTGGGACGCTCTGGGACCGCTGGCTGCCGCGCGGCGCTCGGCTCTGGCGAGTCGCTGAAGCTTAGCTTTGAGGGCAAGCGCGTGCCTGCGCGGCGCGCGAGGAGCCCAGAGCTGGGGAGTCAATCTCCAGTCTCTGACAGCTGCGTAGCCACGCGGAGCACGAGGGACTCGGCAGCGAGTCTCACTGTTGCCCCCCGCCGCACCGCCACGAGCGCGAGCGACGGAGCACGGGCACGCCGTCGACAGCAGCTGAGAGGCTGTGAGAGAAAGCACGCCGTAGCGGAAACGCTCACCGTCGTCATCCACGCAGGTCCCTACAGATAGACAGACAGACAGACAGACGCAGAGAGCCGACGAAACGAAAATGTCGGAGGGCAAAGTAAGGTTATACGTCAAGGGCGTCGTCATGGGCTACAAACGGGGGTTGCGGAACCAGTACGCGTCGACGTCCCTCATCAAGATGGAGCACGTCAAGGACAAGGACGCCGCGAAATTTTATTTGGGCAAGCGCATCGCGTACGTCTACAAGGCGCACACGCTGAAGAAGGGCTCGAAGTTCCGCGTGATCTGGGGGCGCGTGACGCGGCCGCACGGCAGCTCGGGCACGGTGCGCGCGAAGTTCCGGCGGAACCTGCCGCCGCAGGCGATCGGCGGGCCGGTGCGCGTGATGCTCTACCCGTCGCGATCGGCCCTGGTCGTAAAAACCGGGTTTATTTAGGGTTTCGGTTACTGCCGTTGTGGTGGGGCGTCGTAGCCGATCGCCTCCGATAGTGCATGAAGCTGCGCGAGCGGCGCCGTCTTTCGCAACGCGCCTTGGCTATACAGCTCGACGGCTCCACCATTGATAGTGGCGCGGTAGGGCTTGGGCGGCCCGAAGCGCCGCCACCACGGCTCCGTCGCGAGCTTCCAGGCGACGGGCGCCGTCGCGTCCGCGCCGCGATGCAAAACTAAAGCGCCCTGCGCCGTCAGCCGCAACAGCGACGGCTCGCAAGTCCCAACGGCGCACTCGCCGGCGCAGCCCCGCAGCGCGTCGCCATTGGCCAGCGAGACGCCCTCGGCGAAGGGCACGTGCCGCGCGCACGGGCCCCAATCGGCATCCGCCGGCGGCAGCAGCAATTTGGCCCTCACAAGGACGCGCTGCAGCCCTTCCCTGCGGCGCGTCGCGGCGAGCGCGAACAGGCCGAGCACGTAGGCTAGTGCGAGGCCCGAGCCGCCGCGCATTTTATCGTGGTGGCTGCCCAAATCACTCGGGCTGCTCTGTGCGTCGTCTCACGCCGCTGTCGCCGTGGGAATGGGTCAGAGAGCGTCCTGCGATGGATTTGCCGTCCGGCTGCGGGCAGCGCGCTCCAGATTTCGCGTGATCTTGTGTGTGGCTCGAAATCCTAGTGTGTCGAAACGCTAGCTCTCTCAGCTTTTGCTCTGCGGCCTACCGATGGACAAGTGCCCAATATGCCTCGATGACCTCGACGAATCGTCGCCCGCGCTGCCTTGCGGGCACCGCTGTCACGCTGATTGCCTGGGGCAGCTTTCCGAGGCGACCGGATCGGCACCTACTCGGCGGGGGGCGGTGATCGCGTGCCCCAGCTGCCGCCAGGAGTCACGAGTCGCCGCCCCGACGCCCGTCGCCGCGTTTGGCGTCGGCGACGCCGTTCTGGCGTTGTGGGGCCATAAGTGGTACCCCGGCGAGGTCTACGCGGTCAAGGACGGTGGCAGCGCCTACGAGATCGCGTGGGACGACGAGGATTCCTCGAACGAAATTCCCGCCTCTAGAGTCCGGGCCGCGCCGCTCACGGTCGACGTCGACGCGCCGACGGCGCGCCATGCTCGCCGCGCGGCGGTGGTGACGTCGCGGGCAGCGCCACCGGCGCCGGTGCCGCGCCACGTCCTTCTCCAGAATTGCGACGAGGATGATGACGCCGCGTTCGGCATCGAGAGTAGTGCCGTGAGCTTCTCCGCGCGCGGCAGCGGCGATCTGCGCGCGCCACCGGCGGCGCCGCCACCGTCGACACGCCGAGCGGGCACGCGTTCATCCGGCCCACCGCCGGCGCCGGAGCCGCGCGCCATCGTGCCTCGAGAAGCACCGCTGAGACTACGCACCGTAGCAGTGAGGGGAGCTGCTGTGCCCCTCACCTATCCGTGCCCGGCGAGCTGCGGCTGCGGCCTACGCCATCGGCGGTGTGGTGCATGTGCCGCCTGCCGCAGGAGACTTGGCGACGCCTGCCTTACGCCCAAGCCGGTGCCGAAGCCGACGCCGCCGCCGCCCGTGACGGCCTCGGCCGTGGTCGCAGTCTGCACGGACCTGCTCGAGGCCGCCAAGGACCGCACGAACATGAGGGGCCTCCGCAAGCCGCTGACGAGTCGCGGCTTCCGCTGCGGCGCCGAACAAAGGAATGGAGCACAATTCTCCATCACAGTCCCGCCGGACTTCCCATGCTACTACGACGTCGTCGGCAAGAACTACGTGGTCCAGGGTCACGCGAACACGCTGCCGACGTTGCGGAAGTATCTCGAGGGCGCCCTTGCCCTCGCGCGTGCCGGCGGCACCTACCGCACCGACGCCGAGTACAAAGGCGCCCAAGCCTTGGCGCTGCCCCCCGCCAAGACCAGTCGATTTACGGGCGTGCACTTCAGCAGGACTTTCGGCAAGTGGCGTGCGGAGATCAGAGTGCGAGGGTCTTATATACCCCTGGGCTACTTTGACGTCGAGGAGGACGCCGCGCGGGCCTTCGACGCAGCAGTGGCGAGGTACGAGCTTTCTGAGAGGACGCTCAATTTTCCCGGGGAAGCGCCGCTCGCCTCGGTGCTGGCCGCGCTACCGGCGGCGCCGGCGGTGGCTCCACTGCGCCGATCTGGACGCGCGCCGGTGCCGAAAGTCAAAGCCGACGCGCCGGGATCAGTTCTGCGGTGCGAGCGGGGCTTGCGAGATTTCACCACGGACGAGGACCAGCAGCCGACACGGGAGCTCCTCCCGTGGTGGTCGGCGAGCGAGGACGCGGAACTCACGCGGTTAGTGCAAGCCCGGGGCCCAAGAGGGTGGGCGACTATCGCCGCGGCCATGCCCGGTAGGACCGGAAAGCAGTGCCGGGAGCGGTGGCTAAACCAGCTCGACCCGGCGGTGTCGAAGGCGCCCTTTACCGTCGACGAAGTGAGGACGATCCTGGTCGAGCACCATAAACGGGGCAACCGCTGGGCCGAGATCGCGCGGATGCTGCCGGGCCGCACGGACAACGCCGTGAAGAACCACTGGAACGCTTCCTTACGGAGACGCTTCGAGCACTTCGTGGCCGAGGAAGTGGGTCCCGAGGCCATACAACAGCAACCGTCTCGCCGCAAGGGGCCGGGCTCGAGGGGCCGGGACGCGTCGACGCCGGCCTTTGACTTGTCCGGGCCTCTATTGGAGAAGGCCGTTGCGGCTTGCGGCTTGCGTGCCCCCTGGGCGAGACCAGGAGGCCGCCCGTCGCCGCCGCCGCCGCCGCCTCAACCGTCACGCCGATCCGGACGCGCGCCGGTGCCGAAGGTGATTGTCGACGCCCCGGACGAGCGGGACCCCAGTCATAAAAGGCGGGCGGAGCGTCGGAGAAAGCGGGAGACCGGCAGGCATGTTGGAAGGAGTGTCGAGGGAGCCACGCAGAATAAAAACGGCAAGTGGAGCAACTCCGAGATGTTCCCCGGCCGCGAGTTCGACGACCTCGACGCCTATCGCGCGGCGAAGAAGCAGCGCGCGGCGCTGCGCAGCGCTTATTTGGATCAGGAACACCGGCTGATGAACAACAAACGTAAACGCGTGGAATATAGGGGAAGACTAGTGTAAGACATCATGTGCTAGGAAAATTGTCTTACGCGGTAAAAGGTCAAACCCGGTCCGCCCACCCGTACGTCGCCTCGACGGCCGCCCGCCACGATTCTAGTTTTGCGGCGCGCGCCTCCGACGATATTGATGGAGCGAAGCGCGTCGTGCCGCCTGTGTCAATGGGGACGGCCTCCAACGAACCAAAAACGCCGGAGCCCAGGCCCGCCGCGACGGCCGCGCCGAGCGCCGTCGTCTCGACGTCTGAAGGTCTCGCAACTTCAATCCCAGCACAGTCGGCCTGCATCTGCAATAAGACGTCGGACTGCGCGACGCCTCCGTCCACGTACAGCGTCGCCGCTTCGTTGGCCGTGTCCTCGGCCATGGCCGCAATGACGTCGTTGCACTGCAATGCGACGCCCTCCAGGACGGCTCGCGCGACGTGCCTTCGGTCGTGGGCCAGCGTCAAGCCTACAAGAGCTGCGCGGGCGTCGTCGCGCCAGCGCGGTGCTAATAAGCCAGAAAAGGCCGACACGAAGTACGCGCCCTCCGTCGACTCGACCGAAGAAGCCAGATCGGACAGCTCCGGCGCCGTTGCCACCATACCTAGGGAGTCGCGGAACCAATTGAGGCCCACGGCGCAGCACGCGACCGCACCCTCCAAGGCATAAGTTTTTTTCCCACCAAAGTCGTACAATGCTGTTGATAGTAGACCGTGCTTCGAGGGTACTGGACTATCTCCAGCGTTCGTCAGGAGAAAGGCGCCCGTCCCATACGTTATCTTCGCGTCTCCGACCGCAAAACATCTTTGCCCAACTGTCGCCGCCATCTGGTCGCCCAACACGCCTGTTATGGCACAACCTTGCAGAGGGCCTTTATCAATGACGCCTAACGTCTCGGCACAGCCTCTGATCTCCGGTAGAGCGGTTATCATCGAGGGAGGCAGTCCCAGCGCATCAATACAACCTGCATCCCACTCACCAGAAGCGAGATCCATCATCAGCGTTCGGGACGCGTTCGTGAAGTCCGTGATATGGTTCCCAGTCAGGTGGTGCATGAGCCACGTATCCACCGTGCCGAAGCGTAACGAACCTTGCTCCAGGGCGTTACGTATTGATGGTACCTCGTCCAGGAGCCATTTCAGCTTCACGCCCGAAAAGTAGGTCGAGATAGGTAAACCAGTGACACCTCGCAAGGCATCAATACCACCTAACTTATCTTGTACTGATTGGGAGACATCTCTAGTACGAGCGTCGTGCCATAATATACAATCATATAACGCGTCTCCACTTCGTGAATCCCAGCAGACCGTGGACTCCCGTTGATTCGTGATGCCCACGCCGACGACGTCTTTCGCCGACGCGTTCGCCTTGTCCAATGCACCAGCCGCTGCTTGATCGACGCTCTTCAATATGGCTGCAGGGTCCATCTGGGACCAGCCCGGCTCCGGAGTGGACGTGGCCGACTGCAGCTCGACTTGGTGCGAGGCGACCGGTTCTAATGTTTCGGCGTCGTAGAGGATGACTCTTGAGCTGCTCGTCCCTTGGTCGATGGAGGCGAGGTAGCTCAGCGCCCGGAGCCGGCGCGTCGTCGGGCGGAGGGCGCGCGCGACGAGCATTTTTTGGCAGCTCTAATCTGGCTTCGAGTTTGGTGCGGCTATTCTGAGGCACGCGACGCTGCGTTGATGGCGTGCACGCAGGGTGTGAATGATATACGGCTCCAGAAATGCGAAACAAACTCCTGGTCGGATGCACGGTGAGCAAAACAGGCAAAAGTGCGATGCTGCCGCGATACGATACCGGTACCATACCGGTACCGGTACCGTAGTACCTCTCGTGAGCTCACGCCACCGACGCGTTCATTCCGAAGTCTTACCCCCGGCGTCCGCGGCGCCGGCGACTTGGGAGGGCTATCGAGCGACTCGCGCTTCGGGATGTCGATGCCGCCGAGGTTCAGCGACCCTCGACTAACCGCTCTAGAGGGAGGCTGCGACATGGAACCGCGACTTCCACGCGACGCCGTCCGCACGCGATCCACCTCCATGGAGGCCCGCTTGCGAGCCGTCGCCACGCGCAGCAGATCAGCTAGTTCCTTCTGCGCGGCCCCGATGTCTTGCAGCGCCTCCAGGACCACCACCGACGGATCGCTCACGCTCCGCTTAAAGTCTTCGCTATCCGTCTTCCGGTCCTCGAAGGGGTCCTCCGGTATTTCCTCCTCCTCCTCCTCGGCCTCCTCCTCCTTACTCTCTTCCTCGTCCTCCTCGTCATCGGTGTCCTCATTCGCTAATTTCAAGAGACTGCGTTGATCCGGCACGAGCGCCCCGACGATAGGAACATAACCGAGCACCTTGCAAGTAGGTCTAAAAAAATGAGCTAGATCCTTCAAGACTCGAGGCGTCTTCTCGTCCTCGGTACTAGCGTTGGCTTCTTCGATCGCTTCCTGCGCCGCCGACACCATGGCGAAGAACATGGACAAAATAATGAAGAAGACCACGACGCAGTAGATGCCGAAGGCGATGAGCGCGAACATGCGGTTGTCGACCTCCATGAGTTCCCCGAAGTCGGCCTCGCCGAATATAACCTTCACTAAGGTTAATACGGACTCCATGAATGATCTATAATTGTTCAGCTCATACCCGACGATCATGTTCATGGTCACGCCCCACCCGATCAACAAGATGCCGATACACACGGATAGGACGTTCATCCTCATCATCGAGGCCATGAGTGTATCTACTGGTAGTGTCAAAGTAGCTGAAAATCTAACATACTTGAAGGCCTTCATAATAGACAGTATAGCATTGATCGCCGAGGTCCGGTCGTAGTGTAGGATCAAGTCCCTCAGCCGGATCGGCTCGTCGAACCTCCCCTCAACATTACCAGACTCCATGGTCTTCCGCAGCGTGCGATCGAACTCACTTTGCATGGCCAATCGTAATGCGAACGTAAGCACGAAGCACAACAAATTGGCCAGCTCGATGCAATTGTAGACATCGGTCGTAAAATAGTGGTGCCACCCGTGCGGGAACTCGTAGCAGCAGTATATTTCATAAATGAGCTTGAATAAGATATAGACGTACAAGATGACCTGGTTCAGCGTGTAGAGTTGATTGGCCGGCGTGTCCATGGGAAACTCGAGGTCCCTCATCGCCGCATGCGTGAACCGGGCCTCAGGCACGAGATCACCAGTTGGGGTGAATATAGTACCTAGCTGTACTATCGACACAATATCCGCATCAGGACTATATAACGCGTATTCGACCCAGACACCGCGAGTTTGTCTATCGAACCACGACTGGTCGATGAGCGACTGGAACTCCTCTGCTGGATTGTACGAGTCGAGATAAATCGTGTGGCCGCCATACGCATAGTTCTCCTGCGTGCCTATGGACCAGTACGCCGAGAACAGGTCCTTCAGCGAATCATCAGCTTGTTCATACTTGATCGGTTCGCCGGTCCGAGGAATCTCGCCGTGCGGCGTCGTCTGCACGAGCGTTCGCTTCCGCTCGTTTTTGTTCTTAGAATGACTCCACCGCGCCGTCGGCGTCTCGTCGCCGTAGACGTAGGGACCGACGCAGCCGCGCCCTGGTCCGCGCACAAGTCGTCGACTTTGCCGGCCGGACAAAACTCTAAAGGAATCGCACATTTCGCGTTCATCTTCATCCGCAGCTGTCTCACCCGGACCTTGCCGACGCGGATCGGACCCCAGTCGGCCATGAAGCCGGGAGCGGCGTGCGCGCAGTCCGGGCTGTATTTGGAACCGCACTGCTGCTTAATCTGGGTAAAGTTCTTTCCTAAATAATTTTCTGACGGAAAGGTAGCCGGCACTAAGAGCAACGAAGCCCACGACAGCCAGTCTTCGGAGGTCACCGTGTTGCCGTAGTACTTTTTCGGATGCCATTCGCCGCCCGTCAGTTGGTTTTCGAGGTACAACGATATATAATATTTGGACTTGTTCTCGAAGGTCTGGCCCAGGTAGATGCCGTAGATAATTACGAAGAGCAAGAACGTGGCGAGCTCCCAGAAGTCCCTGCCGTACTTTCGTTTTTTGAGCGCTTCCTTGGGCTTGTCGAGGAAGGTACCTTGTCTTTTTAGTTTGGGCTTCTTCTTGAGTTTCGGGGGGAGGAGCTTGTCCAACATGGCTGCCTCTCACCACTGGCTGGGGGCTGCCTCTTGGGGGCTTGCCTCGGTTCCGGCTGGGACTGCCGCGCCGGCGGTCGCGTCGTCGACGGCGCGTGGACTGACTCGTCCAGAGTGTGTGGACTGACTCGTCCAGAGGGTGCGCGCTCAGCACCAGCGGCGCGGCGCTGCCCAGCAAACTTGTCTGCGCTGCCTCTAGAGGCTGCCCACTAGCTGCCCGGCGCGGGCGCATGCGCACGTCGTCTAGCAGACGCGACGGGCGCGGCGGCGCGCCGACACCTCCCTCGGCGACGGCCCGGAGCCGTACTACCGACGGGGCCCCAGAGTGTCTATCCCGGGCTCGCACGCGGACGCCAAACTACTTCGACGAGCCTTAGCCCCCCAACCGAAACGACGACCGCACGGCCCGAAGACTCTTCCCGTAGCTCTTCCATTGGCGCTGGTCCACGCCGCACTCCCACACTACTAATTGGCCGTCCGCGACCGTCGCAGAAACCAGGGCGACCTCGACGGGCGGGCACACAATCAACTCCTGTTCTGATCTAGCACAGCCGTTCGTGGGGGGCACGGCGAGGTCCCACTCGTAGAAGAGGCGGTCGCCGTCTTGTCGCCTTTTGGCCGCAACAACGTCGCCGTTTCCTCTATTGCCCCGCAGCCCCAGCTTCGTCAGGTCTAATTTGTCTATGTTCCCAAACTGGTCGATGGACTGCGCTTGCGTGGACGCGCTCCGCGCCCGTACGGACGTCGTGATTGTCCCTAATATCGACTCGGAGATGCTCTCGCCGTCGATCTTCCACGTGCCCGGCACCTCGACCGTGCCCGGGCCGTATTGGACCCTCTTAGGTTTCACGTCGGCTTCCTCGTCGGCGAACGCCGGTTTTGTTGTGATGAGTGCCGTCGCGGTTGGTATGAGCGCGCGTCTCGTGAGGCGCAGCCCAGCCGCGGGGTATAGCGCTGCGACTAGCGCTGCCAGGCGCATCGCTAACACACTTATTCCGGCTCCGGTGCGTTCGCTGGGGGTTTTGTTGCAGCACCTCTGTCAGTGCTCTCCCTCTAAAATGAGGGCAGCGATGGCTGCTCGTTCCAATTTTTATATGCGGCGCTGCCGATCTTATGCAGACGTTCCGGGGCCCGCTCGATGTATTTTAAAGGGCGCGCACAGGCAGCACGCGGGGCGTGCGCATGCGCATGCGAGTTAGCTAGCGGCCATAAGACACTAGCAAAATCCGACGCCGTCGACGCGCACAAGGACAACTTACACATACCTCCCCTACTGCGACGGCGTCCCCAGGAAGAACCAGTCAGGCCGCGCCCGCAGGACCGCGAGCTCGGCCGCGCGGTCCTTCACGAGGAACGAAACGAGGTCAAACAAAAGGCGCGCGGATTTCCGCCACGGCGGGTGCGCGGTGGCGTGCTCCTCCAGCAGGCGCATGAGCCCCTCCACGTCCTCCAGCCGCGACCGCTCGACGAGCTCCGACGCGAGCTCCAATAGCATAAAACGGTCGCGCGGTTCTCGGGATCCGCCCGTCCAAGGAACATGGCGACGGCGGGGCCGACCGCGGCCCAGGATTCGACGCGCCCTAATAACGACGGCCCTTGCACATATTCTTCTTCCGGAGGCACCTCTACACTCGACACCGACGACGCGTCATCCACAACCTCTTCCACAGCCTCAGATCCAAACCCCGCCTTCCGCAGGTTGTTCCGCGCGCGCACGACGGCCAGCGCTTCATTTGTAGGACCAGAGGCCCGCCACAATAAATACGGCCCGGGTCCTGCCGGCAGCGCCGCGCCGCGCTGTCGACGACCCACTGCGGACAGACGGCGGGCTTGGCGAAGCCCCGCTTCCGCGCCTTCAGCTTCTTCGTCTGCGCCGCCGTCATATTGACCGCCACGATGTGCGTCGCGCGCCGGTCCCGAGAATCGCAGACGAGGCCGCCGCCCGCCACGACTAGCTGCTCGAGGTCGTCCGCCGGCGGGTCCGTCAGCCCGTCGATCCAGACGACGCAGCCGGCGAACCAGTTCCCTTCCGTTCGCCTTCGCTGGTCGTCGAGCTTTCGGCGCTTTTGCTGCAGGTATTGTTGGTGGTCGCCGCCGTGGTCGCCGTACTTGTCCTCGCGCTGCTCCGTGTTCTGCCAGTGGTCCATTTGTTATGTCGCGGCGACGGCGCGTTCGCGGGCCGCGCAGGGATCGATGCCAGTGCTGCTGATTACAGCACTTCTTGTCTGAGCTGCGAAACGCAAGCAGCGCTTCAAAACTTGTATGAGCGCTGTGCAGACAGTGTTTTTATCACGCGTGAAGCACCGCACGCACCGTCGAGCCGCCGCTTCGCGCGCGCGCGTTTTTGAGGCTAGCGGCCTAAGACACTAGCAAGCGAGGCCTTGCACGGGCGTGAGATTCTTGCTGCGGATGCAAGTATCCGTCTCGCAAGAAGAGAGCTGAGCGGCACGCCGGGCGCACGAGTGGTGGAGGTTGTGTGATGCACATGGTCATGCAAAGCTGCCTCCAGTGGACGTAACCATAGATATTCGAACGATTAATCAGTCGAAAGGCATCTGAGGACCGTGCTTGAACGGGGCGGAAAGTGTACAAAACGCCAGCCGACGTGTGCTGTGCAAAGCAAGCACACAGGCCTGCATCATCATCATCGCGCGCAGTCGTCGTCGACGATGCGACGCAGCATGTACCTCTGGATGATGGGCGTCGCAGCAGCCCTGGACTTACCAAGAGGCGGCGTGACGGCCATGCGCGGCGCCTCGAACGTCATACGGAAGCTCGGCGGAGCGTCGAACAGCGACAGCGCGCGACATGGAGACTTTTTCGATCGGAGCGAAGCCTTATTACGCACTGAAAACGAATTGGAGGAGTTAGATGGCGGTCAACCGGCGGCCGGTGCGGTCGTGAACGTTTTAGCGTGGTGCGTCATTTTGGGCGTTGTTTGCGGCTCTCTATACCTAGTCACGGCCGACGCCATCTCGAAGTACGCCCACAAGCTCACGGAGGAACTAAATGTAAGTTCCGAGCCGCTGCAGGCCGCCTTGGCTGTGTTGGGTGTTTTATACTCCGTTCTACTGGGGTCGACTTTAGGAGCCGCGATGACGCGGCAAGAAACCCAATTACATGCGGTCGGGGCGGAACTCGCCGCCGCCGAACTATTGGAAGGCGGCCTCAACGATTTAGATGCGCCGGAGACGGAAGTCTACTTTCAAAGAGCATTGGCGGCGGCGGCCGCGCACTGTCGACGACTAGAGGCGTCCATAGACGACACGCAGCGGCGCGGGCGTCGTCCGAAGTCAAATGAGAAGCAGCGCTTCGTCGACCCGCTGGCGGACTGCGCCGCGGCTCTGGCTGACGCTCGGTGTCCGCCGACGCCTCTGGGCGCTCGCGCGGACTTGGAAAGACTGCATGAATACCGAGCGCAACGACGGGCGGCGGGCGCGGGGCCGCGCTTCCCCTCGGGCCACTGGGTCGTGCTGCGGACTCTGGGAGCGTTCTGTGCGGCAACTGTTGCGGTCGTTTGTGCTCTAGATAGAGGAGCAGCCGGCGGCGCCGTGCTCGTCGGCGTGACCGCGACCGCCTTGGCGCTGTCCGAGACGATCGTGGCGGACGTGGCCGATCGGAATTCTGGGATGTACACCGCGGCGCGGTCGTTTCTACCGGCGGTCGCGCGCCTGCGCGCGCGTCTGGAGCGCAAAGCGGCAAGGGCAGAAGCTAGGATAGAGATGGCCGCGGCCTCTGCGAAGCCGGCGCCAAAAGGCCTCGCTGCCTTACTGACGCCGCCCGCGCCGCCGCCCGAGCCGCGGCCGGCGGCGTCCCTCGATCCGGGGCTATCGTGACGTAAGTTTGTGGGAAATCAACTGTGCACACGAGTCGCGGCGATGGCGTAGTCGCTGACCAGCACGCCGTCGCCCCGAAGCATGCCTGGAACTTGATGGCGAGCTCTTACGCAGTAGAGCAGTGACGGCGCCTAACACGAGGGCCGCCACGGGCCGGGGGATGGGAGTGGTGGATGGGTTCAGGACGAGGCCGGAGCCGACGGCGAGGCCCCGCGAAAGAGCGCGGCTCTAGGCCTGCTCCTCGGCGACCGGCGGCGCGCCGTCCTCCTTGCGGTCCTCCTTCTTGGCCGCCGAGTCCGACGAGCCGACGATGGGCACGTGGACGCCGGCCGCGAGCACCGCCAAGATCGTCGTGATCACCAACTCAATGAGCAAGAAGGCGGCGACCGTGTTCGCGCGCGGGTTCGAGTCCTTCCAGTGCTTCTTCGTCGCCTTGTACTCCGAGCCGAAGCGGTTCTGCGCGCGGATCGCGTTGAAGGCGTAGACCGTGGAGAAGAAGAAGAGCGTGGCCTGTGTGGAAATCAAACGTTCGGGTGAGTAAGCCTAAGACGCCTCGTGTGAGGACGCCAAGCACTCTCGCGCTGCGTCGAGACGGCCAGAATAGTAAATAATACATCCAGGCCGGCCTGACGCACTTGTTGATTTCCTCACTGAGCGTGGCGGAAAGGATCGCCGCCTGGAGCTTCGTCTTGCCCGTCAGGGCCTCCTCGCCGCCTCCAATAAACACGACGAAGTTGGACAGGCCGTTGAAGAAGCCCACGACGAGCGAGATCGTGATGATGTCCACGATCGAGCCCGGCATGCCGAAGCCCACGTTGTTGCCGTTCTTGTTCGGGTTCTGGCCCGGCCGCAGGCGGTCCTGCATTACATACAACCCGTAGATGACGAAGATGCCTGCGCGGGCCCGCGTGAGCGCGCGCCGTCGACCGCGGACGCCGCCGGCGCGCAGAAGTAGCTCAGGACGTGCATCGCGGTCTCGATGAGGTTCGCCATGGTTTTTTTTGTGCTTTTCTCTTGAGTTGTTGGAACCTGCGCGCGCGGGGGGTCAGTCCGACCGGTTCGCGGGAGTGGCTCTCGCGCGCGTCGGCGGTGTGGGTGGGTGAGTCACTCGATCCGACGTCGACCGGCCGCGGCCGCCGCCTGTTTTCCCTCGCGCGTCCGGGCGGCCAGCGGCGCGCGGCGCGGCGCAGGGCACTCCTCGGCGGTCCCGCGGCGGTGGTTTTGAGGCGTGCCGACCCGCTCCGCGGCGACCAGTTAGGAACAGAGCTAGGAACAGGGATTTTGCTTTTGAGCGCACGGGGGGCTTGATCGCGCCGGCCAACGGTCTCTCGCGTGTCGTCTTGACTTTGGCGAGACGTTTGAGTGTTTTGACGATCGATGAGGACGCCCAGGCCGCACAGGAGGAGAGCTCGGACTTGTTGTCTGCGCAGCTTTACGCGGAGCCAGGTCTGCGTGGCAAGCCGAAATCGCGCGCCTCGCGCCACAGGGCGATGTGCGCGGTTACCCAACGCCCGCCGCCATCAAAACACCCCCGGCACGAGCGCGTGCGTCGCCGTGAACGCCTCCTCGTCCTTGAACTTGCGCTTGTACCGCTTCAGTTTTTGTTTTGACCAGATCCCCATCTGCAACGCGCCCAGAGCCGTGAACGCCCAAGCTCCCAGAGACTGTGTCGCCAGGGAATAACAAATCCACGACCCGATCTCGAACGAGTAGTTCGGCGAGCAGAGGCGCCGGAAGGGCCACGCGGTAGGGATTTTTGCTTCTCTTGACCCATCGCTTCTGAGAGAAGCCAGGTGGAGGTGCGTATATAGGTTCAGCACCTCGCAGAGGGCCCACGCGCCGACAAATATTTTCGTCTCTGTTGAAAGCTGCGCGAAGAGTTTCGCGAGCTGCGCGCTGTAGGGGCCGCGCCGGCTCACGTCCCATCCGACCAACGCCGCCGCGCCTCCATAGTACCCGCAATTTTTAAATAAATTCGTGAGAGGCATCGTGCCCTTGCTGAATTTGTGCACGAATAACGTTTCCAGGAGCCGCTTCGCGAAGTGCACGGTCCAGAGCGTCGACGCTAATGTCGAGAAGGGCCCGCTTCGTGCCACGACGGGAAATACTATGAGAGGCGCCGTGTACTCGCAGACGAAGACCGTGCGCCACGGGATGCGCGCGGCCATCGTCGTGGTCATTGGTCGCGGCGGCGGGCGTCGCGGCGTCGACAGCGTGCGGCGCGGCGAGACGAACGCGTGCGCCGCGGCGAGGGCCGCGACCAGGATGCGGAGCGCCATCCGTGCGGTGGCGACGTGCCGAGTCGACGCGATGTGTTTGATGTATGCTTGCGGGGCTCTACGCGCGTCGCTTCACGGCTCTGCAAGCGAGAGTGCCAGTGCTCTGAGATGATTTGCTCCGCAGCTGCGGCACGAGCCGAACGCAGCGCTGCGCAATTACAAGAGCACGTACGGAACGGTGCGTCAACAACCTCGTTTGCTGTCTAAGGCGCTAGATGGCCTACAGCCCAGAGCACTTTTGCTGTGCAGGCAGAGCAAAAGCCGATGGTGTGCTAACTCAGCGCGAGTCGCCGCACCGCTCTCCAGACGCTGCGACAAGGACGCACGGATACCATTGATCACAGCGCAGCGCTGAGCTGGAAAGCGACGACGTCTGCCGCTCGCACCAAATGGCAGCCCAAACACTGGCAAGCAAAAGCACCGCCATCGTAGAAGGCACCGCCCTCGTCGCCGGCGCCACACGACAACTCACCGGCCGCCTCGCGTTCAGCGGCACGGGCCTGAGCTTCTGGGGCGGCGTCGATCCCGTCAGTGGCAAAGTTATCGACGAGAGGCACCCGTTGTGCGGGAGACGAATCACCGATAGCATCCTGGCCATTCCTTCCGGAAGAGGGAGCTGCACGGCGTCGCAGATCGTGCTCGAGCTCGTCCTGAACAACACGGCCCCGAGGGCGATCGTGTTGAGAGACCGCGACGCCGTCGTGGCCGTCGGCGCCCTGGTGGCGCGCGAGTTCTTCGGTGCGATCCCGCCACTCATCTTGGCGTGTACGGATTTCGACGCGTTGGAAAGCTTGGACGGCGAATTCGTTTCAGTGACGGCAGACACAGCAGCACTACCACTCCCTCAATTAACAGAAGCGGACCAAGCCGCTTTGGACGGTGCAAATGGCCCCGCGGTGCAGCGGGCCATGAGGATCGTCGTCGAAACGGCGAGGATCCAAGGGGCGGCATCACTGGTCGACGTCGCCGCGGCGCACATCGACGCTTGTACCTACGTCGGGCCGGGCGGCCTCGCCTTCGCCGAGAAGCTCGTCGAGCTCGGTGGTAGTGTCAAAGTGCCGACGACCACCAACAGTTGTTCGGTGGACCGCCGCAACTGGCGCCGCCTGGGCGTTTCTGAGGAACTGGGAGAGCCCGCGTCGCGCGTCGCCGACGCGTATGTCGCCTTGGGCTGCACTGACAGCTTCACGTGCGCGCCCTACTTGCTAGAGTCGGCGCCCTCCCAGTCCACACATGTAGCGTGGGGCGAGAGCAACGCCGTCGTCTACGCCAACTCCGTGCTTGGTGCGAAAACACAAAAATACGCCGATTATTTGGACGCGTGCGCGGCTCTTACCGGAAGGGCGCCGCTAGCGGGAGCTCACATCGAGCGGGACGCATCGGTAGATATTGTGTGTGACCTGAGTGCGGGCGAGAACGACTTCTGGCCGCTCCTGGGTTATGTGGTGGGCCTGCAGGCCGGTTCCAAAATTCCTTATGTAAGGTTGGAGGCGTCGCCCTCCCGAGACGACCTCAAGGCGTTTGCCGCGGCCTTCGGCACGACCAGTGGAGCGCCGCTCTTCCACGCGCCGTGGACGCCTCGTATCGGTTTGATCGAGCGGCCCCGGCCGTCCATGACATTGAGCGAAGGCGACCTCGCGACGGCCTGGGCCGATTTATGTAAAGGCGAAGGCGACGTCGATTTGATAGCGCTCGGGAGCCCTCATTTATCATTGGATGAGTTGGAGGCCTTGGCGTCATATGTCGCAGGCGAGAAGAAGCACGACGCCGTGCGAGTCGTCGCGACGCTCGGCGGCGCCACGCGACGAAAAGCTTCGAGCGACGCGTTGAAAGCCCTCGACGCGTTCGGCGTCGAGCTCGTCGAGGACACGTGCTGGTGCATGCTCACCGTCCGTCGTGCCGCCTTCTTCCGGAAAGTTGGCGCTGACGGACTCCGCGAAGTACGCGCACTACGCGCCCGGTCTGGTCGGCCGCCGGCCGCGGCTGGCTTCTATGTCTCGTTGCGTCGCCTCGGCTATTTCCGGGCGCTTCGCGGCGCGGCGGCCGGCGTGGCTTCAGTCGCGCCGGGGTTTCGCGGCGGCGGCGCGGCGCGTCTTGTTGGTGGTGCGTTAGTGTTGTAATCCTTTGTTGGTTGTATCGTAATCGTTTTTTACGCTGGCGTGCGTGCTTGGTATTAGTCCGCCGCTAACATTAACTGACGGGTTTCGGGACACCTTTGCAAGATTGCTGCGTCCTTTTGCAGTGTGCCAGCGACGCGAGGGTCCCAAACGTCCAGAATTAGTATCTCGCAGTGCGCTTGATACCGACGAGCGTTCAATACGACGGGATTCGTGTCGAAAACCCAACAAAGTAAGCTGAAAGATCGCGGCATCCGCCTTGCGTTGAGCAATCTTGCGGAAGGAAAAGATGCGTCTCATTCTCACGGCCTTAGCGCTAGGACTCACCAGCGGCTTCAGCTCCTACGAGCGGAAGGAGGGCTGTCCGGAGCTCTACTCGCGCGGCGTGCTCGAGCTCGAGTTTAATCCGGCGTTCCTGCACGTCGACGAGTACGCGGACGGCCAGGCGCTCACGATCACGTCGTTCTTCAATCTGCAGGAAGTCGTGTTCACACCGCCGCCGCCGTTCCCGCCGCCGCCGCCGACGTTCGACTTCTTCAGCCCGGACCTCGTGGCGCGTGCGATGCTCGACGCCGACGCGTCGTTCCCATATACTGTTGATCCCGTGCCCGTCGAGGTGCTCACCGAGCCGACCGGACCGACGGTGCCCAAGTGGCCCAACGAGGCCGAGCTGGCGCCGGCCGGAGTCTTCCCCTTCGAGGCGCTCGTCGTCTGCCAGGGCTTCCTGAACCCGGGCGCGCGGCCCGGCCGCATCAGCGTCATCAACATGGCCACGCATGAGGAGCAGAACATCTCCGGCGGCGGCGACTGGTTCTACCACCGCGTCGTGTATTTGGACATGGACGGCGACGGCGACGACGACGTCGTGACGGTGCGGTCGAATTGGCCCGCCGGGCCGCCGGACGCGAACACCCGGGGCGAGCTCGTCTGGTTCCGGAACCCGGGCACGGATGCGTTCCCCTGGGAAGAGACCGTGCTCGTCTCGGCCCCTGCGATTGGCCCCTGGCCCGCCGCCCCCGACATCTTCCTGCAGGCGGCGGACTTAAATGGCGACGGCACCGAGGAGATCGTGGCGACGTCCTTCTTCGGCAGCGAGATCACGCTCTACGGCGCCGCCGGCGGCGGCTGGGCCGCGACGGACGCCCACAACATCCGGAGCGCCACGATCTCGGACGGTCGAGGGAGGCCTTTCGGCATCGAGATCGTCGACCTGGACCTCGACGGGAAGTTAGATGTGCTGGCGACCAATCACCAGCAAGACAACTGCCCAGCCTTCCCCGAATCCATCGCGGGCGCGGTCTACGCGATCGCGCAGCCGGCCGGCGACCTGTTCGCGGACGCCTGGACGACGACGATTCTCTTCGACGGGATCTTTCCGCAGCCGTCCGTGGCAGGCGCGCGCTCGAGCCGCCTCGCGCCCGGCAAGGCGAAGGCGTTCTACCCGAGCCGCGCGCAGGAGGCGGACCCCTCCACGCGCCCCTGCATCGTCGTCGGCGGCGACGAAGCCGGGAAGGTCTGGATCCTCACACCGGTCGAGGGTCCGGTGACCGGCGACCTGGAGTACGAGGACCACGTCATCTTCGACATAAACGTCAAGTTCGGAGACACGTGCAAGACGCAGACGGACGTGCGGCCCGGCGTGACGATCTCGACGCTCGGCGCCGTCGAGACGCGCTACGACCGCACGGGCGCCGACGGCGTGACCGAGATATTCATCCCCGTCTTCGAAGGGAAGGCGATCTACGTCTACTCGTTCCGCGCCGAGGGCGAGCCGGTCGAGTGCCTCCCGGACGAGACCCTGGGCTGCACCGAGTGCGGCTCGCCGGGCCCGCCTTGAGGCGCGCGGCGCCGCCGGCCCCCAGGACACCCTCCTTAGATGCCCCCAATAAGCTTGCGATTCGTGAATTGGAATCGTATGCGGTAAATTAGTTAGTCTCGACCCGCGGGAATAGGAGAGCTTGCTAGTGTCTTTACAGGCCGCTAGCTCGCTTGCTCTTGCCGACAGTCGAGCCGCAAGCGCTGGTCTACAGCTCGCTGCGCGTCGCCGAAAGTACCTCTACGCACGGCATCATTGGTTCAACCAGCTTCGCTCGCTAGGCGACGTGTGAGCTCTCACAAATCGATTGCACTGTGACGCCGCAGCCGCACGCCATCGCAGCGATGTCGACACCGACCTCGCCCACGAAACCGGGGTCGCCCGCAAAGATGCCAGCGCCACCACCGGGCCCGCCGCCCCCCGAGAATGTGCTGCCACCAATGCCGCCCGGGCCACCGCCCACTGAAAATATAATAGACCCAAAAAAGAAACGCGAACGCGAAGAAGACGATTCAAGACGGAAGAAGAAGAAGCGGGTCAAGATCGAGCTGGAGCGGGATCTCGATAATGGGATCGGCTGGCCGAGCGGCCGACCGCGGGAGCCGCGATACCGGCACGGCTGGTTCCTACCCACCCATGAAAGAGTTTTCGAAAGGGTACTGGCAGATGTCGGTGAAGTGAAAGTAATACTGGAACTGGGGAGCTGGTACGGTAGCTCCACGGAGTGGCTCTGTGAAAGGTGTCCGGACGCCGCGGTGTACGCGGTCGATCTATGGGACGATTCTTTCATCCTAGACAAGCAACGGGACCACTACAGCACGATGGGCGACCGGAAGCTCGAGAATCTGTTGAATAACCATCCTCTATGGGATACATTTTTGGCGAATCTGTGGTCGTTTTCGCGATCAAGTGGTACCTAAAGATGGAGACGACGGCGGGCGTCAAAGTACTAAAGGACAAGGGCATCAAACCCCAAATCATCTACATCGACGCGGACCACCACTACGCGCCGTGCAAGCGGACATCCGGGCGCCTTACGAGCATTCCCTGACGCCATTGGCGTAGGAGACGACTACGGCCACTACGAGTCGGTGCGCAACGCCGTCACGGAGTGCGCGTTGGAGTTCAACAAGTTTATACATGTAGACCAGAACCGCTGGACCTACCACCGCGGGAGTCCGGACATGGTAGAAACGTTCAAGCCGAAGCCCAAGGCCACCGACTCCTTCGCCTCATTGTTAGCGGGCTACGCGTGACTAAGTCTACTTTCTAGCATCGGTGGCGTACAACTCCCCCACGCCGTCGCCGCGACGCCCGCACATGAGACAAGATACTTACAGCCGCCGCCGCTTCCGCTTGTCCCGCCCGAGCTGCTGCTTGCCGCCCTTGCCGCTCCCCAACTTCCTCTTTTTCAGACCGTTCAGCCGCGACTTCTTCTTCTGCACCATCAAGTAGTTCTTCGTGCGTCTCTTTTCACTATTGGTCTTGCCGCCGGCGTGCGTCTTCAGCTGGAACTTTTCTCGGTCCAAGACTTGGCGTGCTTTCCGCTCTTCGACGGTCGTCCTTCTCTTCACGGCTTCTGGGACGATGTCGGCGCCGGACAGCAGGCCCCGATTTGTCGCCGTGCCTTTGAGCTCGTCGGCCCGCGCCTTGAGCAGCTTGATGCGCGCGAAGTCCTCCGCCGACAGCACGCGCGCGGCGGGCGCTACCTCCTCTTCCTCGTCGGCGTCGCCGTCGTCGTCGCTTCCAGCATTACTCTCGGCGTCACTATCGGAACCCTGGTCCACGTCGACCCAGCCGTCCTCGTCCTCTTCATCATCGGAGCCGGAGTCGGCGTCCTCCCAGCCGTCTTTATCATTGTCGGCCGCCGCCGCACCGTCTTCCTCCCCATCACTCACATCAACCCAGCCATCGCCGCCGCCCTCCAGGTCGTTGCACGCTTCCACGACGTCCTCGAACTCCTCGGGCAACTGCCCCCGCTCGTACAACCTCAACAGGTCCTCGCCCGGCACTGATGACGTAGCAACGTCAGCGCCGAACGACAACGGTGTCGCCTTCGAGCGAGCTTTATCTCTACCGCGGTCCTTCTTCTGCAGGAGCTGGGGGTGGTGCTCTCTTACAATATTGATCCAGCCCCTCGCAGCGACCACAACCGACTTGTCCCTATGTTTTGAGTAAGCGGCTAAATCTCTAACTAGTCCAAGCATCTCCGGCTCGTCCAACACGGCGGGGCACCGTCCACATACCTCCCTCAAGGCATTGATACCCAGCGCCATGGCCTCGGAAGCGTTCCGATCAGAAACGAACGCGTCGGCGACGTGTCGAATAATGGGTACGAGCTCGTCCGGCGGCACCAGCTCGTGGCACGCTTGCGCGAACAAAGCTAGGAGTCGCGGCGCTTGCTCTTGCGACGGCTTCAGGTATCTCCTCATATAGGAATAAAACGCCACGAGCTGCAGGCGATGCGTACAGGCCACGCGACTACATAAATCTAACCGAGCGACTCTCTGTTCAAAAGCATCCACTTGCCTTCTTGCACGAGCTAACAACGCGTCGCACAAGCGATGGGGATCGTCGAGCAGCTGCATCGCGGGAAACTTTGGTTCGGCCCGTTCCGACTTCCCGAGGGCCTTCTTTTTGGCGGCCTTCTTCGCGCGCTTCGTCTGCCGCGCGCGCGCCCGCGTCTTCTTCGAGTGCTTGTGCTCGTCCACCGCTTTGAGAGCATTTTTCAGGTCTCTACCTTTTTCGCCCTCGTTCTCGTTTTCAGACGATTCGGAATCTAACACTGGTGCTCTATCAACACCTAGGAAGAAGTAGACCGCCCCGAGAGCGACTCGTGCTCGTTCGTCCGCGGCGCACCTTCCTAAACAATTAACTGTGGCCGCGTCGGTCCACGATCCACAAGCGTACAACCTTACTAGGACGTCTACCGCTACTCTTGCAGATGCGGCAGAATTAGCTTCCGACTGATCCTCGGCCGCCTTGAAGACGCAGCGTCTCAGGTTCCTACCTAACGTGCCGCTCGAAGCTTTCTTGCAGTCGCGGACCACGTGGTCCGCGAGGAACTGCCTTGCGCTTTATCTCGTACTCTTCTTATTAATTCAAAACAAAGATCAGCTAGGACCAGGGGATCCAGTAAACCCTTGCTTCGAGCTAAAGCAGCAGCTTGCGCTAGACGTAATCGTAAATCCGGCTGTAACGTCGCGCAGCGTCCTTGAGGAGTGCTACGAGGTCCGTGGCGAACCGCTTCGACGCCTCCTTGTAGTGGACGCCGCAGTGGGCGACGAAGGTCGCCAGATCCCCTAATTTTCTTTCGTCGTCCCCTCTCGTCTTCTTCTGCGACGCGCCTCCCAATCGAAACGCGCCTCAATGCCGCGAGGTACTGCCTCCAGATGGCCTCGAACTCTTCGCGGTAGGCGGACGGGTCCCTCTTCAATAAATTTTGGAGCACCGGGAGGGAGTGCTGGCGGACCTTCATCTGTACGTGCGTTTTTTGTCGATATCGCCTGTTTTGCCTCACGCGGCGCACCGGTCGACCTGGCACTTCGTGCTTGCACGAGCGGTCGTCCGCAGCCTTCTGATGTGTCTGCGCAGCTTGGAGCCTGAGCTAAAGCCGTGCGGACGCCTAAGTCAAGCGCTTTGCAAAGGCAGAGCAATATTTATCTAGCGTCGTGTAAGACACTAGCAAGACAGAGGATCGCATTTAACTTGCGAAAAATTAAACTCGTATAATACGTTCCCGAGACTAGCCATGAAATCGCATAAAAGACGAGTCCGAAAACGTCTCCGGTTGCAAGGGTCCTAATTCAGTCCTAGCACCTCACCAGAGGCAAGCGTTCTTGACTCCAAGCACGTTGGAAGACGCATCGAGTCCACCGCACCGCTTCCGCGCCAAAAAACGCACGAAAACAGCAATCATGTCCCTCACAGACCTGCCTGAAGAGCTGGTGCCCCTAATTGCAAAGTACTTGCCGCGCAACGATCTGCTTGCGTTAAGACAGTGCAACAAGTCCTCGAGCGCTGCAGTGCATCGCTCCATACAAACCGACGACCGCTTCGCGAAGATGATCTTCGACGCGCTGGCCGAGCCGCGCAACATCGAGGCGGAAGGAAGAATCTTCGGCAGCGGGGCGAGAGAGCTCGTCAGCTTCTGCGCGGCCGACGCGGCCCTCCCCGCGCTGCAATCTACCATCACGGAAACGGCGGGAGGTCTCCAGAAATTGTGCCTCTACCGCTGCGCCGTCACGGACGCGCGCCTCCTCGAGATGTGCCGCGCGTGCCCGTTGCTGCAAACGCTCGTCTGCGTCATCGACGTGCCGAACATCGAGACGGCAGACGTCGAGGACCTGTCCACCAAGATATCGCAAGCGTGCCCGCTGCTCGAGGTCGTGAAGCTACCGTGCAACGGCAGCGCGGTCGAGGTCCGGGCCAGTGCGCAAAACATCGCGTCGACGTCGCTTGTGCTCGAGAATGATTGTGAGATTGTGAGGAATTACAAACGCCCCCGCCACACTGGTTGATTTCGCGCAGAGTTACGCGGCCGCGTTCCCGAACCTGCGCTGCCTCGAGTTCTTCAGCCACGGCCACGGGTCGCACGTCATCCCGTCGCGCTTCGACCGCATCGAGCGCGCGCTGCATACCTGTACGAATGCGGACCAGATCGACTTGGACTTTTGCGTGGTGAGTCTGGCGCTCGTCGAGTGGCTCCTCGCGTCGCCGCTGCCCGGGCGGCTCGTGGCGCTAAGGATGGGTAGGACGGCGATCAGTCCGGACTTGATCCTCGAACTTGTACGCGCCTGTCCGGCGCTGGTCGAGCTCGCCCTGCCGTCGCTGATGTGCCTCGGTCGCCCCTTCTACGAGGCGCTACACGCGACGCGGCCGACGCTCGAGCGTATCTCCCTCCCCCACTGCGGCAACGACGGCGACGAGTGCTTCCGGGTCCTGGCGAGCTTCGGCCTCGCGGAGCTCAACGTCGCGTCGATGGACGCCACCACGCCCCGCCGTCGTCGACGTCGTGCTGAAGGGGAGGTGCGCGGCGAGTTTGCGAGCCGCGAATCTGTCGTGCGTCCCGGCGCTCGGCGCCGCGGAAGTGCTCAAGCTCGTGAAGGGCTGCCCGGCTCTCAGGACGGTCGCGTGGGAACTGGCCGGCGAGGGCGGTGGCTGGGGCCGCGTGACGGCCGACGACGAAGGCAACCTGAGAGCCCTCATCGCGCTCCTCGAGACTCGCGGCGGCGGCCTCGAGTCGTCGGAGTCCGGCGTCGGGCGGCTCCTCCACCCCGAGGACTATTCTAGTGAGGAGGACTACGAGGACGAAGACGCGGACGACGCGTCGGGGGACACCACGGTAAGATAGTACAAGTGTTTACGACAACGGAGGCGGAGTGCGGGTTTCCTCGGCCGGGCGACGCCTACCCAGTAGGCGTCGCCGGGCGTCATAGCGTCTCCTTCGTCGCTTCTTGCGATGGTCGCTGCGGCGCGGCGCGCGTCACCCGAGTCGCGGCGCGCGGCCGAAGTCGACGACCTTCGGCCGCTCCGGTCGGTGGATGTAGATATGCACGGGCAGACAGAAGAGCGCGACCGGCCCATAGACCGCAGCAATGGCGCTCATGACGAGCGTCGCCCCCGCCGCGAGGTACTTGCCCGCCCGCAAATCCCGCGCGACGGACAGGACCATGAGCGCCACCACCACCACCGTCACCACCGTGACGACGGATTGGCCGAAGACCGTCCTTTTTTGAAAGTTGCACCAGAACGCATCCTCCAGGCAAATCTGGTCAGGCACGCTTAATACAAACACCGGCTCGTACGTCCGTAGCACGTTCTCGGGCGCTTCGTCTAGTTTCGTGGAGTCGTAGCCTATTCTTTCGACGACGTCGTAGCCGTCTGTCAATCGCGCGAGGCGGTCTTTTCCATATATGCGCATCAGGTTCCAAATAATCCTGTCGGGCCCCACCGGCACGCTCAGGATAACTTTAGCTCCTGGCGCGAGCGCTCTTAGTAATAACCGCATCGTCAGGAGGTCGCCGTCCGGCGCGATGGGGTCGCCGTAGCGGCCCAGTCCATCATGATCCAGCGATGAAGCGGAGACAACGACGTCGTATCCTAGATTCGCGTCGTCTAGTTGATTCCAGAAGCTCGCATTGACCTGGTCCAGTTGCGGGTGCTCGTATTTTCTTGAACCGTAGTCGACGGTCGTCACTCTTGAAGCGCCCAGAGCGAGGCACACGGCCTCGTGCCAGGGCTCAGCGCTGCCGACGACCAGCACCGACGACCCGTTGGCCACGTGGCCCACGAGCGCCTCGAGGAAGTGCGCGTCGTTCGGGCGCGAGCCGTATTGTCGCTTTTCCACGACGGCTTGGGCCCTCTCTACCAACGCCTCCACGTCTTCACGGGCGTAGCCATAAGTCGTGCCCGCGCCTTCATTGGAATCGTCCACAAATAAATCCGTGTCGTTCGCGTACTTCCCGCAGCGCGTGAAGCCGTTCTGGATCGTCGCGTTGAGGTCGGCCCAGCGCGGCGGCGTCGTACTATTCGCCGTCTGCCAGGGCTCGCGCGCCGCGAGGAGCTGTTTCGCGCCGTAGGGGCAGGTCGTGGGCTCGAGCGTCAGGACACACGCGACGCCGATCGCAAGGGCCATGAGCACGCCGAACAACACCGGGTCCTGGGGCTCCGTGCGCGGGCGCCGGCGCGGCCGGACCGTCGTCTGTTGTTCCCCATAGCCCCGCGACTGGTACTCGGCCCACATGCGCGTCTGCTGGGCGTTGTGGTGCTCGGCCGCTCTTCGCCACCAGAGGCTGCGGAGACCGCCCATGATTCTTCGTTTCTTTCGACGGAGCTGTTGCGGCGGCACCGGACCAGCTTATCCGTGAGCCGTCACAAATGCCGTGGCGTCTGTAGACCGATATATGACTCAGCTTCAGCGCAAGGCTGCTTCAAAGTTTCCAACTCGAAAACAGGGGCGAACTGACGCTTCTCACGCTGGTGGCCGCTCGGAGCTGCGTTTTTTAAGAATATGCCTATGCCGCGGCACGCTGGGGCGTTAGCCCAGCTCCAGCTTCAGCGGCGGGAGCTAGCAAAACCTGGCTAGTGCCTTACATGCCGCTAGCTACGGCTGCCTTACCTTAGCAATTTGTTTTTATCAGTCGCTCTTGCAGCAGTACTACATCCCAGACATCCGTTGGAACCGAATTGAGCACGGCTGTCGACGATGGAAGCGACCCCTGCAGACAACACTGATGCCGCAGAGGTTACGACGCCGCTCGACGCCGCATTGCCGCTGATCCTCCCGTTCACGTCTTTACAATGCAAGGGCAGAGCCCAAGCGACGAGCAAAATCGTCCGGGAGAGCGTCGTCGTCGACGAGCTCGACGCGCGACCGCTCTACTCCAAGCTAGGAGCGACAAAAGCGACAGCACTCTTCCCACAACTCCTGGAGAAACACCGCCTCGTTTCATTAAATCTCGAGTTCTGCCGCGCCGCATCGATCCTCGACGCCGTCGCCGACACTCAGCACGCTACATTAAAGCACATAAACTTAAATGGCGTGCCGGACGCGGACCCGGCAACAGTCTCAAGATTACTAGGAAACTGCCGCCGGCTCGAGGTCGTGGGGCTGTTCCGGCAGGTCCGGTTGGGTGACGACGCGTTGGCGGCTCTGCCCAGTAGCTTACAAGAGCTCTCCGTCTCCGGCTGCTCGTTAATTAGCGACGCGGGCATCAAGGCTCTGGTCGAGCACGCTCCTCAATTACATTTCCTCGACGTTACAAGGTGCCCGGAGCTCACCGACGCGTCTCTCATGACTCTTGCTTCCCTGAAACTGACGGGCCTCGTGTGCTACGCCAACGCTGGACTATCAATGTACGGTCGCCTTCGAGCGTTTGACTTAAGGCGCCTCGACTGCACCGGGAGCCGCGGCGTCGATGGTTCTGCAATTGCGAAAATAGCGCGCGCGGCAGCCGCAAAGCTGGAAATTTTGAATTTGAGCTGGTGCGTCGCGGTCGACGATGAAGCGCCGCTCGCGCTCGGTGAGTGCTGTCCCAATCTGACGTGGCTCTCGCTCCACGGCAACCGCAACGTGACCGACGCCGGGATTGATGCCCTGTCGACAGGTTGTCTGAAGTTGACTTCATTGGATGTGAGCGGTTGTAGTCAAGTGACGGACTACCTGCGGCGCGAGGGTTTGCTCGTGGGGAAGTTTCCACATGTTGTGAAGTGGAGGCTGCACACGTGAGGCGACGTTGGTCCGCGCCGTCGACGCGATTGCACGCGTGGGCGACCCCGCTCCACGCCGTAGACGCGACCCCTTTGTTTAGCTAATGTTCTTGTCCTTGTGACTTACGCGTGCCGTCGTCCTTGTGACGACTACGAGCGCGTGGGGGGCGCCGACGCCGCGCGTTGTCCACCTTTAGGACGGTTGTACGGCGACCAGAAGGGGATGCCGAAGCCGTAGTCGCGCTTCTTCTCCTCCGAGACCTGGCCCATCTTGAAGCCGAACTGGCTGAACCAGTACGCGTCCGCCGGGAGACCGGTTCGAACCAACGGGCCACCTGATCGAACGCGACTATAAGGAGACCAGCCCGGCACCCCATTCCCGTAGTCCCGCTTCTTCTCCTCCGAAACGGCCCCCTTAAACCCAAACTGCTCCCACCACTCCTGGTCGCCGAGAGCCGACTCCACAGGCGCAGCAGCAATGGCTTCGATCTGCTCCTTCGTTTGATTACTACGGTAGTAGGGACTCCACTTCGGCGCGCCGAAGCCGTAGTCCTTCTTCTTCTTTTCCGAGATCTTCGAGGGGTCGCCCACCGCTTTAAAGCCCTGCTCCTGCCAATACGCCTCATCAGTAACCAGACCCGCATCGCGCCGCTTCTTGTACTCTTCGATGAGCTGCTTGTCCTTCCAGGTCACGTTCGGCAGGTCGCGCACGAAGGGATCTCGGTACGGGTCCTTCTTGTCCATGTCACTGTAGGGGTCGGCCGGAGGCTTCTTTTCCGGGAAATTGAGGGGCGCTTGGAAGGCTTTGGGCTTCGGGTCTCGTCGCGACGGCGCCGACTGGGCCCGCGACGGTCGCGGCGGTCTCTTGGCGGGCTGGCCGTTGACGGAGCATTCGGACTTTCGGACCTTGAACCTTTGCCCGGGTCGCACGTTTGGCGGGACCTTGGTCTTGCATTTCAATCCACCGTCGCGGAAGAAGAGCGCTTCGCCGGGCACCGTGTTCTCGGGGCAGACTAGTACTACTTCGTCGTCCTTGGGTCGTGCTGTCAAACCAGCATATTCTTGCGTCGTCGGCCGTCGCGTCGTCTCCATGACTCTCCTACCCGTAGACGCGGCGCTGTTCGGTCTGGAGTTCTTGGGCGTGCTCCTTCTACTCGTATCTGGGGTCTTGCCTCGCAGCGTCGCGTTGCGCGCGATGACCTGCATCTGCTCCTTGGAGAGGGCCATACTTAACGTGTGGGGCTGCCCCGCAACCTTCTGCGCGTGTGGGGCAGCCGCTGGCGTCCGTGGGGGGCTCGCCGGAGGCCGCGGAGGCGCTGGCGACCGTCTGGGTTGCGCTACGACGGCGTGTGATGGCGCCGAGCACAGCGCGGCCGCTGATGCCAACGAACTCGGCTCGCCGCGCCGCGCTGATGCTCATGGACGCCTCAGTGGTGGGCCCAGAGCTCTGCGGGCCGGCCGGCGACGGGTCTACGCCTCCGCCGAAGTCTCGAACCCGAGACAAAAATGGTCTCAACGCCGCGGCCTCTCCCGGACGAGCTTGTTGAAAGGGCTGCCGAAACAACGCCGCCGACGACGCACCGCGCGCGCGGGACCAACGACTGGCGCCCCAGCGGCTCCCGTGAGGACCGGTACCAGCGGACCGCCTGAAACCAAACACAGCGACAGGGCAGCCTCCAGACGCCGCCGCCGCGCCGCAGCCATGGTCGCGCCCCTCACGCTCATCTGCCCGCCCGGCGCCAAGCCCGGCCAGCAGCTCCTGTTCAAGGACGACGACGGCCAGCGCTTCACGACGGAAGTGCCGAAGGGCGTGCGGCCGGGCATGAAGTTCCTCGCGCATCGCAAAGCATTGGGCACGGGCTACGTCGGCAAGGACGGCGTCCGCTTCTCGAAAGTAGCGTCGCAGTCGAAACTAAGGGCGAGACAGCCGACGCCGATGCCGAGCGCGGCACCGACGGAGCGGTCCTCGCGCCAGCCCTCTGGGTACGGCTCGCGCCAGCCCTCGGCGTACGGCTCGCGCCAGCCCACGGCTCGGGGCGTCGGAAGCAAGGATCCGAACCGAGCCAAGTGGGACATCGACACGCACCGAACGACGTATCGAGCACCCTCAACTCAGAGATCCTTCCCGCCCGATACACCCTTAGGCGACCAGGAGTGGTTCGAGCAGTTCGGCTTTAGTGGAGCGGTCAGTGAAGAGAAAGCTAGAGATTATGGCAACGGCGTGCCCATGTGGTCGCCCTACTTCCGCAATCCGAAAGACTACGTCAAGCAGCCCCTTTCTGGATTGGCTCCCGACGCCTACTGGTTCGAGCAGTACGGCTTCCGGGGCGGGAAGTTGTCCGAGGACCAGATTAGGATCCAAGGCTACGGCGTGCCGTCGTGGTCGCCCTATTACCGGACGGGGGGGCCGAAAAACGTCGCCGAGTCGTTGGCGTCGCGCGATCCTTCTAGAGCGCCGAGCCGGTTGCCCACGACCCGCGAGGAGTAGGGGGTTCTATAAATTTTATCAAGCGTCATTACGCGGATCGGCGACTACTCCGTCATGAGCTTGTGGAAGCCGTGCCTGTGGGTGTACCGTCGGCGACGCGCTCCTACTACAACATCACCAGTGACCGATACGCGATTCGAACGCGTAACCTTCAGGACTGGAATCTGACGCGCTGCCGTTGCGCCAATCGGTCGAAGGCGGGCGAAGGCGTACGAGGACGCCGCCGCGGTACCGCGCCCTAGTAGATGACGACGCACCGGAGGCACTCGCCGCTCTCGAGGATGTGGATAGCCTCGTTCGTTTTCTCGACGCCCTGCAACGTGTGCGAGATGAAGTGGTCGATCGGCAGCTGGCCGGCGAGGTGCTTGTCGACGAGGCGCGGGACGTCCGTGCCTGTGGGCGTACCATCGACGTGTCGACGGAACATCAAGTGACCGATACGCGATTCGAACGCGTAACCTTCAGGACTGGAATCTGACGCGCTACCGTTGCGCCAATCGGTCGAAGGTGATGTACCGAGGACGCGGCCACGGTACGGGTCTTGAAGCCGCCGAAGGCCGTGAGGTCTGCGTCTGAGAAAGTTTGAGGTGGCGAGTTTCACAGCAAATTCTGCTCTGAGGGACGACGAGTCTAGTGGTCCTCCGATTTGCAGAGGCAATGTAGATAGGGCTACTAACGTCGATTCCAAGCGCAGACTGGCCGACGAGCGGCAAGCGGCGGAGATGCAATGGCGTAATTGGCCTGAAGTGAGAGCTCAAAACAGGTTTTGCAACCTCCGCCCCGGGAAGGCTTCGGAGGTTTCCAGGTTCGAAAATACAGACGACAAACATTACGCTCACTTCTCCAAGGACGCCGCCACCCCGGGCTCGAGCGGCCGGCCCGGCCCGAACGACGTCGCGTACCCGGCCAACGATAACTCGCGCAGCTTCTTGTGCCGCGCGCGCGTCGCCCGCAGCTTCTGCTTGTTCTTGCGTGGCGTGTACCGCCAGCCATCAACGCAGCCGGAGCACTGCTCTCCACATTTTTCAGATCCAGTCGGGTCAACGCCGCGCGCCTCCAATCCTTCGAGCACCTTCTTCCCGACGGCGTTGTCCCGCGACAGCAGTTCGTCGGCGAGCTGGGCATGCAAACATTTGACGTCGTCCAGTTTTGACGGAGTGAGGCCCGTGATGCCTGAGTCGAGGGGCGGCGCACGGTGTCCGCACCTAAACGAGCCTCGGCCCGCGCGAGCGCCTCGCCCTGCACCATCGACTTTCGAGTCACCGCGTGGCGCTCGTTCACTTTTCGCAGAGCGTCGCGGTTCGCGTCCTCCGCGAGCAGCTCTGCTGACAGCGCGCGCACTGCGCCCTCGGCCTCCCACGCGTCGACGGCCTCGCAGAGGTGAGGGCACGTCAGGCGCAGCATGCCGGCGCCGAACTTGTGGGCGCCGGGGTCCTGGAGGACGGCCTGGGGGTAGCCGTGCCGACACAGCGACACCGCGGGCACGCCGACCATGTTGGCCGGGTGGCCCAGCTGCCTTTGTTCCACGACGTCGGCGTCGGCGGCGGACGGCGCGGCGACCTGCCAGCCTTTTGGCACGTGCTTGAGGCGCTCGGGGTTTAGCGACGCGCCCCGGCGCAGCGCGGCGAGGAGCATGGCGATGGTGAGCATGTGTCGCTGCGCGGGGCGTGCGCGGTTACGCGGACGTTTGCGTGCAGGTGTCGCCGTCGCGGCGAAGAGCCGTGAGCCGTCAGGAGATTGAAACGTGTCTCGTCAAACGCGCGCGTCGGTCAATACATGCATCGTTTTGGTTGTTTCATCAGCCGGCTCGGAGTGATCAATTTTGGACGCCGCGGCGCGCGGCGATGGCGTGGACGCGTTGGGCTTCAGCTGCAGCGCTGCAGTGCTGCTGGCTGAGTCTTTAACGAAGCGCAGGGCGGCGGGTGAACATGCAACGCCTGCACTTTGATGCTATGTACAAATAGAGCTACCCAGCGTAAACCAGCGCGTCAAAATGCAGCGCTTTGGGCAAATGCACAGTGGCAATGGCTTCGCTTTGCAGCAGCCTGGGCTAGAGCCCTATTCATCGAACACAACCTCGAGCCGCTCTCGGAGGAGTCCTCCAGTACGCGGCTTGTTGTCCTCGCGACCTTTGGCTGGGTGCTCTCCGACAGGCCAACCTGCCATCATCTCGAATCCTGGCGCTATATCTCCGGCTGCACGCGGCTTTGGAACCCAAGGCATCGTTGAGACGTTCTTCAGGAGCAGTGTTCCTCGCCTTCAAGAGCTTGCATCGCTCGGTTTGCTAGAAGTCAACAAAATGACCTCATAAGCCATTGCACCCTCTGCTGCAGCAATGCTCAAGCTCTGCTGCGCCCTCGGCGCCGTCGGCGCCGCGGCCTACACCGCGCCGCTGGCCCGCCACCGACGACTAGCGCTGCGCACGCCGTCGGCGCGGCGCGCGACAAACGAATGGACGGGCAGCGACGTCGACCCCTGGAATCCTATATCTGAGGATAGAGTCTTCGAAGTGTGTTACTTGGACGAGGCCGGCGAGCACATCGAGGAGTGCGTCTGCGAAAGCGAAGCTGAATTAATAGAAAAGGGCCTCGTGCCCCCGCGACGCGGCAAGGACAATTCTGATCTGCTGTTCGCCGTGCCGAACTCGGGCGCGGACGGCGAGACTCTCTTCAGTTTGGCGGACTACGAGACGTGCCTCGCCGACGACGTTTGTGAAGTCAGTGACGAAATTGTGGACAAGGCCTACGGGCCGGGCGCCCTCGAAAGATCAAGGCCGCGCGCGGCGAGGAGGAGACTGCCTCGATCCCCTCGGCGAAAGCGGCTAGATTTCATGTTCATTTTGGCGCGGGGCGCTTGGGTCTGGGACTCGTCGTGCCCGCGATCGCGGCGTCGGGCGTCCCTTCAGCGGTAGTACAGAGACCAAAACCTAGATGGGAGCAGTTGTTTGCCAACTCCGAAGAGATCGACGTGAGCGTGAACGGCGAGGTGAAGATGAAGGGCGCTCAGGTGCTGACTCGGCGTGAAAAATGACCTTGAACTTGACGTGGTCGCATCGATGGCGTCGACGCGATGCTGCGCCGCCTCGACGCCGTCGACGCGGCCGCATGAGGGAGCCGCGGCAGTTTCGCGACGGCGTCGTTCCCGCGCAGGTACTGGCAGCGCACGAACGACCCCCGGAGACGGTCCCGGCCACGTCATTGGTCTTTGGAGCTTCTTCGGAAGATCTAGCATCCCTCCTGTCGCGAGCGACGTCCTTCTCCTGCTCGCTGGGTGCGGCCATGCGAAGGGTGATGACCTACGTTAAGTGCATTACCGGAAGTAGTGTCGGAGACAGATGTGGCCATCGAGACAAGAAAGGAACAGCTGCGATCTAGGAAACTACGGAAACGACGACAGTTCGACCCGTCCTACGAGAGTGCCACGGATCGCGTCTACTCTGGAGACCTCTCCCCAGAAAAGGACCCGAGGCCCGTACTCTACTGCGCCGAGAACGACCACGAGTCTGTGGCTCGTCTGAAGAGGGAGTTGAGGACAAGAGTCCGCGTCGTGGACTGCATGGTGGATAGGGTGTGTACCGGTAGGAGGATCGGCCCGCGGTGTTGAAATTGATGCAGAACCGTGGCCAGGATCCATAGTGGTGTTAGAACCAGGATTCGACCCGCGCTACGTCCCCTTCGCGCCGTCAGTAGCTACCCTACCAGAAAGTTTGAGACATGCCGATTATCTCTCAGAGAGAAAATTTTCACTCGTCAACGGCATGCACACGGTCGTGGCCTTTCTGACGCTGGACTACATGTACAACCCGGTCGATCCGGGCGGGCGGGAGTATGTCTTGATCAAGTACTCGAAGATGCGAAGGGCCGAGCAGCGCAAGGTCGAGGCGTGGCGGACGGCGCGCATCGCGAGACTGATCGAGCAGTTCGGGATTGAGAGCATCATGCGCTGGGAGGGGGCGGACAACGTGGTGGAAGTGTGGAACTCGTTGCTGGCGTTTGGGGACGAGGTGTTGACCGAAAGGTTTTCTGCCGTTGACGACTTAGTCTCTCGAGTGCTAGGTGGCGGAGTGGCAAATAGGTACGAAACCCGATTAAAACCGACCGTCAAGTGGCTCACAAACAGACAACCGGACGCATTATCAGCGTTTTTTCTCCATGCCGCGCGGTGGGATCGCGCACAAGCGGCGAAGACGGAAACGACGTCCCTCGAAGCACCGATCCAGTCAGCAGCCGAGGCCGAAGCCTTCGTGCGAGATACCTGCTCAGAACTCCTGAAGCGAGGCAAGCGCTTCTGCAACAAGGAGCTCGAAATTACTCATAAACAGCTCATCCGCGAGCAGCGCCAGTTCGGCGGCAAGAAGTTCGCGCCGCTCGTCGTCGACGCCATCGCCGAGGACAAGGCTCGGGCCGTGGCGATTCTTCAAGAAAGACGACTGAAGCGGAAGAGCGCGAGCGGAGATGCGCGCGGCTCTACAGTCGTCCACTATGGTCTGATGCGCGGGATAGCGCACGACCTGCACCCTGATGTTCGATGTTTTTTTTTTTCGTTCGTCGGAGCCCTGTCGATCGATACCCAGTACACCGCCGCCGTGCCCGATTTTCGAGCACCCACCCGCCCTCCCCTAGGGGTTCTGGTTAGCACGCCCTTCGGGTCCGTGCGACGGGCGAGCAAGCAAGCAATAATGGCATCTTCGATGAACTCATCTCCGAGCACAGTAAAAGCTACTAGCCCGCGGCGGAGAGCCGAATCCGTGATCGCCTCGACGCCCCGCGACGCCGCTTCGACTTCTTCGACGTCGACGCCGCTGCCCATTCGACGCCGCTGCCCCTTCTGCCCATTGACACATCGAAACCTGGCGCTGCTTTGAGGCTACCACTGGAGCTTCCAGCTTCTGCCACTGGCACAATGGTGCTCCCCGACAAGATACGGGTCGCCGCGAGGGCCGGCTACGTCGACATCGTATCAAAATGGCTCGACGCCGACGCGGCGCACGACGTCAACGACGTGGCTGCGGCGGCTGATGACCCGCGGGTCCGAGGCTGCGGCTTGTTGTTTTCGGCGCCCAGTACCCCATGCCCGGGCACGACGGCGAAAGCGCGGAGGCGATGGTGAGCTACCTGGTGGCCCGGGGCGCGGACGTCCGGCATCGCCCGCGGCACGGGCCCACGCCGCTCCACATGGCGTGCAGCCGGGCGTTGACCGGGGCGGTCCGCGACTTAGTGCGGGCGGGCGCGGACGTGAACGCGCCGTTCCTCCTCTCCCCGCTCTCCACCCCTCTGTCCACGATTTTCTCATCCCTCCGCTCGATGCTGTTCAACGATTTTCTTCTGGAACTCGCGCATGGTGATAGCGACGATCGCACGACCGGCGAAGTGCAGGAAGACATGTACGCGTGCATGTTGGAACTGCTGCGCGCCGGCGCGGCCATTGACTTCTTCCATCTTGCCGAGGGCGCTGGCGACCCCACCGCGCGAGGCCTCGAGGACGCGATCATGGAGCTCATGCGATCGGAATACGCGGGCGAGGATGCGGAGGACGCACCGCGCCTCAGCCACATCTGCCCGCCTGGGGTAGAACCGGGCCAGCGGTTCCTCATCGAGGACAGCGACGGCGAGGTTTATGCTGTGGAAGTCCCGACGGGCATACGGCCGGGCATGCCGTTTCAAGCTCATCCGAAGACGCTCGACAGCTTGAATGAATGCTTGGAGGTGGCGCGGGCGGTGCGAGCGAGCATGTATCCGTCGGCGTCGTCACGCCTGACGCCCTGGCGCCAGTACCTCCTGGCCCCGCGGCTCGAACTCCTGCGGCTCAGATCGCTCGTCGGAGGTAACAGAGCCACGTCGAGGCTAAAGCGGCTGCCGTCGACCGCCGCGAGCAGCGACAGAACGCCGGCTCGGGCTGGCGGTCCTACGGCCGCGGCGACAGGGGCCCCGACCCGATGCTCCCCGTGGACCGGACGCAAGTTCGACTGCACGACGCGCGCGGGCGTCCTAGACGCCCTCGCGCAGACAAAGCCGGAGCCGGCACCGACCGGCCGCATCATCCCGCCCCCGCGCCAAAGCTACAAGCAGCGGCCCCTGTCCGTCGCCGCGATGCGCCATATCGAATGGCTGATGGCGCCTCAGACGCCCAGAAGGCCTGTCTGGAGGGTCCTGCGTACCAAACCGCTGGCGTAGGGTGGCGTACCCTACCTACGCGACTCAGTGGCAGAGCACCGCGCAGACCGTCTGCAGCTGGAGGTGGTCGTTCGCGCCGTCGGCGAGGCACTTGTCCGCGGCCGCGACGGCCTCGAAGAAGGTCGCCTTCTGCGCGTCCGTGACCGCCGCGTCTTTGAGGACGATGTCGTGCAGTTCGGAGAAGCACGTCGCGGCCGAATAGCCTTCCAGGGTCAAGGAATCGATCAACCGCGACATCTCCGTCAGGTTGTTCGCCTTGACGGCGGTCCAGAGCGGCTCTATTAAGGAGGCCGGGACACCACCACTTAATTCCTCGACGTTCGGCGTCTTGTCGCCGTAGAACGTGTGGCACGACTGTAGTAACGTCACAGCTCTTCTCATGTCGCCTCCTGAACGATCTAGGATCTGATCATAGATTGTCGCATCATAATTCACGTCTTGCGCCGAAGCGATATCGAGCAGACGCTTCTGCATCGCGTCTCTTCCTAAAGGTGAGAACCTTAATTTAGCACAACGCGACACCAGGGGCTCGATGATGCGACTCACATAATTACAGATCAGGCAGAAGCGCGTCGTCGACGAGTAGACCTCCATGGTACGCCGTAGGGCGCCTTGCGCGTCCTTCGTCATGCTGTCGCACTCGTCGAGAATGATGATCTTGAAAGGAGGTGAGGGATACCCATCAAACTTTTGCGAACTCACACTGTGGGAGGCGAAGTTCTTAATTTTGTCTCGCACGATTTTTATGCCGCGCTCGTCCGAGGCGTTCATCTCCAGCACGCGATCCTTCAGTACGGAGGGGTGGTACAAGGTTCTCGCTACGGCTAAGATGGTGGAGGTCTTGCCCGTGCCCGGCGGGCCGTACATCAGCAAATGAGGCAGCTGGCCCTGGGCGATGGCGCCCCTCAGGGTTTTGGTCACTTCTTCTTGCGACGCGAGGTCGTCGATGCGCGTGGGGCGGTACTTCTCGACCCAGAGCTGCGTGCGGCCGCTCATGGTTGCTGCTGTCGCGTCGACGGCGTGCTCGATTGGCGGCTTTTGGTCACTGGCGCGCTTTTTGGCGCTGCGGGCACGGGCGCGGCGAAAGCTAAAGCGCGCGCTGGTAATATATGGGCTGTTTGGACTGCGCGAGCTGGCGCCAGATGTGGTGTCGATTGCCGGCAGATAAAAAGGCTTTAGTCTGAGGATTTGAACTAGCGTATAACGATACTAGCTAAATCCTGCTCTCAGCCAGGTGCTCAGCGCAGGCGCACCGCTGGGCGTAGAAAGCCAAGACCGGTGCTCTAAAAAACACCGCAGCGCTGCCATTGGGCGCCAGGGGCACCGCTGAGTGCGTAGTGAGCCGCAGGATGGTGCGCACGCAGCGGGCTCACGCGGCCATGCTTTTACGCCTGCCGAGCGATATGCTCCTTAAAATTGCCTCCCACGTTGTCGCGCCTGGTCTTGTCGTCGCGGCCGGCAAGAACCTGGAGGCGCGGACGGCGCTGCGCAAGGGCACCGACGCGGCCGAGCGGTCCCGGTTCGGCGGCATCGGGCTCACCATCAAAGAGGCGGAGCACCGCCTTCGCGGTCCCTACATGCTTGACGGGCCCGTAGAGGCCAAGCACCTCGAGACGCGACGGGCGGCCGGCTCGGCGCTCCTGAAGGCAATTCCCTATCCGGACGACGAGCTCGCCATAGCCTTAATCGCGTACGGCGCGGACGTCAACGCAACGCACCCGGGGATCGGATATACGCTCCTGCACACGGCCCACGAGGCGAGGAATCCGCCGCGGCTCGCTTCATTCTTGATCGCCGCCGGGGCCGACCTCGACGCCCGCTGCAGAGCTCCAAATAGCGCGGGCTTGTCGCCGTTGACCTGGTCTATAGATTGCGGGAGCGGGACCGAACGAAGTTACGCGTTGGCGAGCTTTTTGATCGAGCAAGGCTGCGACATCGTCCAGGCCGACGCCGACTTCGCCCATCAGAGCGAACACGAATCTCTACTCGCGGCCTTGGATGACCACCCCACAACGCCTGCGAAGACACGCCTCATGGAATCTATCAGCCTTTCGCTCGAAACCGCAGAGCCAGCGCGTCGCCAAGCGGCGGCTGATGCGGCGCGGAGCCTCCCCACTCAATTTGGCCCCGATGCTGTGGGCATGCACTCAGGCTTTGATTCTGACGCGTACTCGGACTACTAATGTACTAACTATAAGCAACCCGCTACGCCCTAGTGCCGTTGTACGCTAGCTCGCCTGGTCTTTGCCCCTTTTGTAACGCGGCGCTGCGTCACTATAAATCCAGGCACAGCAGCGACGTATCTCACTTCACGCAACGCGACCAGCGCTGCGTCGAAAACGGGAGCGTTGGGCATCACTAATAGCCCAAATTCATAGCCAGTCTAAACCAGTAAATCACAGTGCTCTTAAATCATGGTGCAAACGCGCCGCGCGCGACGCGTTGCTACGGCTCCGCTGCTGCGGCTCCCGGCCGAGATTCTGCGTAAAATCGCCTCGACCAGCGTCTCGCCGGGACTCGTCGTCGCCGCCGGGCAAAACGTCGAGGCGCGGACCGCCCTACGCAAGGGCACTGACGCGGCCGAGCGATCGCGCTTCGGCGGCATCGGCGTCACCATCAAAGAGGCGGAGCAAATCCTGCGGACGAGGTACCGGGAGTACACGGACGATCGTTGGCTCGCGTCCCGCGCGGCCGCCGGGCGGGCGCTCTGCCGGGAGAACTTATTGCGCTGGGCGGACCGAGACAAGGACCAGGACCACCCCGATTTCCCGGAACGCGAAGAAGACTTGAGATGGGAATTCTCGGAGCGCGAGCCGGGCAACACGGATTCGGTCTTTTATTTCGAAGAAGTGGGCGTCTTCTTCGCGACGGGGTGGTGCAAGATGATGATCGCATACGGCGCGGATCTCGACGCGCAGAACGCGGGCGGATACACGCCGCTCCACTACCTGGCGGCGTACGCCCCTCCTATCGCGCTGGCCAGCGACCTTGCCCGACTACTTATCGGGGCGGGCAACGACATGGATGCCCGTTGCCAGCCCTACTACGAAAGCCGTGGCCCGACGCCCCTCTGCTGGTGCCTGACGGCGCACCCCTGTCAGCTTGGTGGTCCCACCGACGCCCATTACGAGCTCGCGACGTCCCTCATTGAGCAGGGGTGCGACGTGCTCCTGTCGCATCGCGGGTACCTGAGAATGGGCCGGTCCTATCCCCAAGACGACGATTGCCCCTGGCCCTATCCCGAGCCGCTGCTCCATGTCGTAAAGCGACGAGCCTTGCACCAGGCCGACCAGACGCCAGAGGTCCACGGGCGCTTCATGGCGTTCTTCCGGGAGAAGCTCGAGGCTGCCGGCCTGGAGTTGGACTCGGACGGCGAGGAGGTGGTCTCGGACTCGGACTCGGACTCGGGCTCCGCGTCGGACTAATGTACTAACTATAAGCAAACCCCGCTACTTAGACGAGCTGTAGGCCGGGAACAGGATGTTCGGGAACTTCTTGCTCACGATGACGAACTCGTCGAAGGTCACGACGCCGTCGCCGTCTTTATCGGCCTGCTGCATGATCGTGTCCGCCTTGCGCGCGACCTCGGCGTCGCACGACGCCATGTGGTTCGCCCGCAGGATGCGCGTCAGTTCGCCCTTCGTGATGACGCCGTTTCCGTCTTCGTCCTGCGCGGGGCGATTGCGTGACGGCGGACGACGTCGACGCGAAGAATCAAGGACGCTGGAGTCAAACGAAGATCATGAAGGCGAACTTGAGCTTGTCGTCCTTGCCCGCGCCCGTGAAGTTCGACAGCGCGATCATGAACTCGCGGACGTCGATCTGCCCCGATTTCTCGTAGTCGAACAATTGGAACAGCCGCTCGCCCTGCGGCGACGGGTCGCACTGCAGCACCTCGCAGAACTCCGTGTAGTCGATCATGCCGCTCTTATCTTTATCCGTGGCCTGGAAGCGCTTGTAGGCCTTTTTGATACTCTCGGGCTTCAGGTTGTTGTCGCGCGCGAATTCGTCCAATGCCGCCTTCTTGGCGTTGCGCGCAGCCACCACACTTTGTCCTGTTGGTGGTGCCGCCGATGCGGAAGCGCCGGGCGCGCCCATGCGGCCACCGCCACCAAGTCCGGCGGGCGGCTGGCGGCCGCCAGTGACCATCTCGAAGAACTCCGTAAAACTGACCTGCCCGTCGCCATCCGAGTCGATCATCCGAATCATCTCGTCCACTTCTTCATCTGTCACTTGTTCTCCTATATTAATGAGCACGTGCCTAATTTCCGCGGCCCCGACGAAGTTGTTTTTGTCGAGGTCGAACGCGGTAAACGCCTCCCAGATCTCCTCGTCCGTGAACTTGCCGTTCGGGTCGCGCGCCGGTCCGGCCTGGGCCGCTCCGACATCTTTCGCGGCTCCGGCTTCGTTGCTCATTTGAACTAAATCTGTAGACTCTTTCGTCGCGCCTTGCGCCACCAATTCTCCGCCCTCGCCCGGTCGGAAGAACGTCGCTTTGAGGTTGACCTTACCGACGGGTCGGTCGGACATATCCGTGACGTCCACATCTCCGGTAAAGGTACCGGCCGCGATCCAATCTACTATGGAAACGCGGGCGTGGCCCATGAACTTGTCGTTGCCCACCTGCTCCTTGTCGAAGACTTCTAAGAGGAGTTCTTTTTCCGTCGAGATCTCGAACGTGTGGTCGGCATTCCAAACGGGGTCCTTCCCGCCGTTCGCGTGCGGGTTCGTCGCAAACACTTGATTGCCCAGCGTGAGCTTGGCGTAGGGGTCCGCGCGGCCGTACATGGACTGGCCGGCCTTTAATGAGGAGCCTCGCACGACGTGGACCTGTGCGCGGGAACGACACTGTCACGAAACTGCCGCGGCTCCCTCACGAGACGCGTAGACTCTCGTGCGGCTGCGTCGACGACGTCGATGCGACCACGTCAAGTTCAAGTTCATTTTTCACGCCGAGTCAGCACCTGGAGCTGGCCAAATTTGGGCAAATCGGGCGCGCCCGGGACCTGCGGAGCCCCGCCGCCCGATTGCGGCGGCGGAGGCGGTCCTCGCGGCGGCGGACCCCTCGGAGGAGGTCCGCGAGGCGGGGCACCCCTCGGAGGCGCTCCGCGCGGCGCTCCGGGCGGCGGACCTCGCGGTGGCGCGCCGCGCCTGTGGGGAAATCAACCAGTGAGTCGGGTGTCGCGTCCATGGCGTGGAGAAGCCGCAAAATCTGATTTCTACACAGCGCTGTGCGGTGGCGGACCTCTTGGTACCCTAGGCGGCGGCCCGCGGGCGGTGCGCCTCTCGGCGCGCCGGGCGGCGGACCTCCGGCGGAGGGCCCGCGGGCGGCGGGCCGCGGCCCTTGCCACCTGGACCTCGGGGAGGCGGTCCTCGCCTGTGGAAATCAACCAGTAATCACGAAGTCCGGAGGTCGACGCGACGATTCAGCACGAAGATACGGGATTTTTTTTTTCTACACTGGTCTTTGCGGTGGCGCGCCCCTCGGAGGAGGTCCGCGAGGCGGCGGACCCCTCGGGGGCGGCCCGCGGGGTGGCGGGCCGCGCGGCGGTCCGCCCATGGTGTTCTACGTCGCTTGCAGCCGCCCTCTACGTCGCGGCTTGCGCCCGGCGGCTGTCCTCTACGACGCTCCGGCTGGGCGCGCCCGGCGGTCCACTAGGGCAGCGACGTAGTGGCTGTCTAGACCGGCGCACCCAGGGCTGCCCTTGACAAAGCGGCAGCCCAGCGGTTCGCAGCGAAACTCAGGCCACGGCCGGTCACTCTCCTCCAGAGACCGTACAAAGTACCCCAAGGCAGCGACAACGTCGGGGTGCGGCGTACGCGCCGAAAAACTTAGCAGCCAGCGGCTCTCCTCCAGGTTAAGCTGGCGCTGGCGCCGCCCGAAAAACAAGCGAGAGAGGCGAAATATTCGTCCCCACGGCGTGCTTGGAAAGGTGGATGGGTGCAAAGGCAGAGAATGGCGAAAACTCGCGTGTGGCAAAATGGCTCTGCCAATCTCTGCTCTGCGGCGGCGTACACCACGCCTGCTCCGCTAGCGCTGCTAGCGTGAAGACCAGGCTTTCTCCTCAACGTCGTGGTCAAGCTGCGCAAGCGTGCGTTTGCTCTAGCTCGCCCTGGAAGCCGTACACTGCCAGCCTGCTGGGCATTGCTGCCTACAGCTGCCCGAAACGATAGAAATAATGAAGACAGCCTTGGCAGTCACACTCCCGCTCTGCACGGCGATGGCGCCGCGCTTCGTAGAGGCAGGCGAAGCGATCCGCGCCGCCGGCGCGGCCACGAGCGACGTCGCCGAGAGGCTACCGAATTGGTACTCGTCCAAACAGGGCCTGACCGAAGAAAACCCCACTGTCTTCGGCAGTGCGGGCCTCGGCCTCGAACAAGCCGGCGACCGGCTCGTCGCGGGAGACGACTGCGTAGCGGACATCACGTTCGCGGCATGTGCATTGGAACCAATAGAATTGGACGCAGACTTGCACGACGCCGCGGACGCGTTCCTCGCAAACGACCCTCACGCGGCGGCGGAGTCGTTCGACGCCGCGTCGGCGGCGTTCGACCAATACGCGGAGCTCCTGAGCCGCGAGGACCACGCCGACACTCATGAAGGTGCCGGCGCCACGTTAGCCCGAGCGGCATCCGCGCTGCGGGACGCGGCGAATGCACTAAGATGACGATATTTCGATTCTTAGGAACCTACATCAGCGCTCGAGCCGCGCCACGACGTCGCCCGCCGTCGCCACGCCGGACTCGAAGAAGTCCGCGAGCTCCTCGACGGACCGCGTCCGCGACTCGAGCAAGCGCGCCGCGTCGCCCAAAGCCCAGCGCGCGTTGTCCTCGTTGCTGTTCACGTCCGTGAACTGCCCGCGGCCCCGTAAGAGGGTTAAAAACGCCACGGCCTGGCGCGGGTCCGACGCTAGGAGCTTGCGGTGCTTCCTCCGTTCACACGCGACGGGCGCGCAGAGCCACACGAGTAGCGCGCGAACGCGATTCTCGTCCACGCTCCCATCCACAACAGCGGCGTTGGCCGCTTCGACAGCAGTAGGCGAAAACGCGAAGCAGGGCAACCCTAACCTATACCCCAGGTCAAAAGAGGCCGCCTCACATTCCGCCTCCCTCCTCGCGTCCCTGGCCAGTAACCGATCGACGCCGGCACCCGCCTTCTTCGCGATCTCGCCGCCCAACAAATAGGCGTCGGCGCCGAAGGCCGCCGCGTCCGCAACCAATGTGAAGGTGGCCGGCCCGGGCGCGTCGCCGCCCGTGATGGACGCCGCGACTTCGGCCAACGCGGGGAAACCCACGCAAGCGAGAGCCGCTAGAGCAGCCGCCGTCTCCGTGGCTCGATCGTCCGTCGGCAGCTCCGGACATTGTTGGAGAGAGCTCTGGAACGCTTGTGGAGAAGAGGGAGGCAGTTTTGGCGAACCCGCGGCAGACCCATAACTCCGCGCGCCGCCCGAACGCTTCGCTACCGTTAGGACAGCATCGACCCTTCGCGCGTCTTTGGTGGCTACCGCGGCGTCGACCAACGCGCCTACGACCTTCGCGGGCACCTTGCCCACGTTCGTCGCGGCCATCTCCTCGATGAGTTGCAGCGCGATATCAATATCGCGCTGCTGGCCGCTCAGCGCGGCGAGTAGTAAAGCTTCGTACTGCTGGGCTTTTGGTAAGCTCCCGAAGCGGTCCGAGGGCGACGATTGTAGGATGCATGCGCGTGGTCGTCGCGGCGGCGGCGCGACGAGGGCCGTCGTCTGCAACGCGGCGGCGAGCAGCAGTGTAGCTTGCATCCTCATTTGATGGCCTCTGGCGCGCCTTGCGCGGGCTGGCGCAGCGCGTGAACGGCTTAGCGGTCGAGTTCGGATCCGAGTGAAGCCGTGCGACGAGCGATTCTTCCCACCACTGCTTAGTTGGCGCGCACAAGGTCTGATTTTGCTGCTGCTCTCACCTCCAGCCTCTCGCAGTTTTTGGCTGCCTGATAGCTCGCCTGCATCAAAAGTCTACACGTACGCACTCCGCAGGCGGCTGACGAGCACCGGGAACTCAACTCCTGTGGCTCCCTTTGGTCGCCACCGCGCCCGGCGCGAAGCAATCAGCAAAACACGCCAGGACCTGATCTGTGGCACTGTGCCCGCCGCACCGCGCAACGTGTGAAGAAAGCCGCCTCCGCGGCCCCAGGACTCGCGCGCGGCACAGCGACGCCAAGAGCAACAATGGTCCGTCCCCCCTCGACGCCCTGGCGGTCCCTCGGCCTGTCCGCCGGAGAACTAAAGCTGGCGCACACGCTGCCGACGGGGCAGGCGTTCGGCTGGCGGAGAAATGGAGACGAGTACCATGGCGTGTTAGGTGATGCGGCCGTCGCGGTCCGCGAGCATCCGTCCACGAAATGCTGCGAGTGGCGCGCGGCCGCCGATCGCGAGGCCGAGGCGAAACGTAGGTTAGACGACTACTTCCGCGTGTCCACGTCCTTCGAGGAGTTGTATGCGGGCTGGTCGGCGTCGGACGAGCGGTTTGCCGCCGTAGCGCCCGCCGTCCGCGGCGTGCGCATCCTGAGGCAAGATCCTTTCGAGTGTCTGATTTCCTTCATTTGCAGCTCGAATAATAACATCGCGCGCATCACGCTGATGTTAACACGATTACGGGAAGCGTTCGGTACGAAGGTGGAGCTGCCGTCGCTCGATGATGGTGAATCTATCATATTACATACGTTTCCTTCTCCTGACAAGCTATGTGACATAGACGATAAGGTCCTGCGGGACCTCGGGTTCGGGTATCGGGCGCCCTACGTCATCAACACGTGCAAGACTATTGCTGAAAAGGGTCCTGGTTTTCTGGAAGGATTAAGGACGAAGACGCGGCAGGAATGTAAGGAAGCTTTACTGGAATGCAGTGGCGTGGGCCCGAAGGTCGCGGACTGCGTAGCTCTATTCTCCTTGGACCAAGCAGCGTGCATCCCCGTCGACACGCACGTCTGGCGGATCGCGCGGCGAGACTACGATGCGACCTTGGAGGACGTCGCGTCGATCACTCCAACAGTATATGAGCGCGTCGGCGACTTGTTCCGGGACCGCTTCGGTCCGACGGCGGGCTGGGCGCACGCCGTGCTGTTCGCGGCGGAGCTGCCGGCGTTTCGAAGCGCGCTGCCCGCGGCCGTTGTCGAGGAAATGGACGCGTTTCGGGACGACGAGAAGCGGGCGGCGAAGGAGGCGCGCGAGGCGCGCAAGGCCCGCGTCGCGGCGAAGAAGGGCGGGACGCCTCCAAAACCCGCCTCGAAGAAGCCCGTCCGGAAGGCGACGGTCGCGAAGCAGGCCGCGACGCCGCCGCCGGCGCCGGCGGATCCGGAAGACGACGCCGACCTGATCTGCCGGCCGAAGAAGTCGCCCGCGAAAAAGCCGTCGGCGCGGAAGCCAGCAGCCAAGCCGTCGTCGAAGCCGGCCAAGCCGGCGGCCCGGAAGCCATCGGTGGCCAAGCAGGCCGCCAAGCCGGCGAAGAAGGCGACTGCTGCGAAGAGTCCGCGAAGCCGGCGGCCGCCGCGAAGCCGCGCGCCGCCGCGAACGCGAAAGCTCGGCGGAAGAAGGTGGCGCAAGGGAACATCTCTATATAGGGCCACGCGGCGGGCGGTGGCGTCGCCACGGCGTCCCGCGAATCCTAGTATGTCAGTCGCTAGATAATTACGGGGCGCTGCGGCACCACGTTGCGCCCTGGTTTCTAGCACCCGAGCGTAAGTTCGCGAGCAGCGCTTTGGATTTATCATCTCTACAACGTGCTTGGTCTGTGCTAGGACGGGCGAAACGCAGTTGCATCCGTAGCCTCACAAGCCAGGAGGGCAAGCAGGGCAAGGATGTGCCGCGCCCCGCCGAAGCTTGTGACAGTAAAACACGCCGTCGACGGCCCCTACGCCGCCGCGCTCCGCAGCGACGCCTACCGGCTGAGTTGCGGCACCTTTGCGGTCTTCACGGTACTCTCGCTGTTGTACAGACGCGACGAGATGAGCACGGAGGCGTTAATACATGCGTGTATTGGACCGTTGCAGTCCTACGCGTCGTACATGGGCGACGTCCATCTGTTGGGACGAGGGCACAACTACTGGCCGGATTTAGTATTGGCGCCCCTCGTGTCGTTGTGGGCGATGAAGCTCTACGGCGCGCTGCCGGCCTTCCGGCGGAGCGCGGGGTTTTCCGTGTCGTGCTTCGCGCTCGCCTTGTATCGCAACCACAAATGTAGAGCGGACGACTGGGTGCTTTTCCATATTTTCTGGCACGCGCTGCCCCTGACGTTGTACGCGGGGCTGTTTGTTGATGGTCCCGACGTTTTGATAGCCAAAGGGTTATGTGTGGCATTGCTGGTGCTGCAAGCCACGTCGTCGAACCGCCTCGCGCCGAAACTCCGAAGACCATGACCACGATCGCTCGCTCGCCGTTTTTTTCGTAACAACAAGACTAGTTAACATTTCGCGCCCCACGCCATCGACGCGGCACGTGTCGCGGCACCGGCGGCGCGTCCGTGGTCGTGCGCGGCGACAACAGACGTCGCGTCGACGGCGCGGAGGTCGACGCCGTCACCGCCGCAGCTGCGCCTGGGCCTTGACGACGGGCCGAGCGCGCAGAGGCGACTCCCGCGACAACTCCTCGACGGTCGCACACGTCGTAAACCCCCAGCACTCGAAGTTCACGACCTCGAAATCCGGTGCTGACGAGAGTTGCGGGTTGTTGTATGTTTCCGACGTGCCCGACGTGCCTCTTGAAAAATCCTCCTCCACCAGAAACCCGAACGACCCGCCGCCGCCCATCGCGACACTTCTATCGGAGCAGAGCGCGAAGTAGGAATTATTGCCCGTCCAGCCGTACACTTCCACATTCGTGATACGTTTCTGGCGCGGGGACGACGAGAAGCCTCTCAAGAGAGATCCAGGCCTCTTGATGTCGCATTTGTTCGTTTTTCGCCACAAGAATGACTGCCCAGTCCCGTAATACTCTTCCGACGGCCGCCAGGGCATGGTCATGTAGCCGCCAAACACTTCGCCTCGCGTCGTTTGTATCGCTATGAGTGTCCGGTGGTCGAATTGACATCGGGCGTAGAAGGTCCCGGGGTCCGCGCCGTGCTGCTGGAGACTGTACAGTAGTTTGAGGTTGTAGCCTTTCAGCGTGTCCGGGAGCTTGTTCGATAGGGCCGCCGCGAGTGCGTCGTCGAGGATGTGGGACTTTGCCAGGAGTCTAGCTACAGGCGATTCGGGCGGCCGCTTCATGGGCGGGCTTCGTGGGGGCCGCGGCGGCGGCGGCGGCGGCGGCTTCGAGGAGGAAAGCGACAGCTTCGACGCTATTGATGAAGCTAGGTCGGACAATGAAGGGTGCGAGGACTTTTTCGGAGGTGGGGGCGGCGGCGGCGACGAGTCCGTCGGCTGCTGCGTCGTCGCGTCCATGTTTTCCTTGTGGCGCGGCGTCCCGCGGCTTCGATGAGTTGTCAGGGCCTCTGCTCTCTGTAGCTCGGTGGCGCCTCGGGACTGCCGGTTTGACACACCGTGCGCTCAAGCAGAGCAGTGGGCTCCTCTGCAGCGACCAATGCGTCTCAGCGGCCCGTGGTTGCCGCGGTCGGACCGCTACGCTTTTTTCGCAGTGTTAGCTAGCGGCATTAAGATACTAGCGAATCGTCTTGTTCCGGCGTTGGCCTGGTTGGGGGCCAAATGGTTGCCCTATTCCCGCGAGGACTGGCGTAGGGCAGCCCACGCACAGTCAGGGGCACGCCATCGACGCGTCGCCCCAGGGCAGCTCAAAAAAGAGCACAATAGGACAGTAACACAGAATGGCCCGCCGCGGCGGCACGGACTACGCCAAGTGGGCCGCCTTCGACGACGACGACGACGACCCCCTGGCGAAGCTCACCATCGGCAACGAACGGCGGCACCCCTCGTTGCCGAAGGTGGTCCGCAAGCTCCCCGAGGCGCCGAGCAGCGCCAGCAAGGTGGTCCCCAGGCCAAGAAGCGCCAGCAAAGGGCGCCGGGCCCCGACCGAGCCGGCAGCACCGCCGAGGGAGCTGCCGACGGTGCGCGACGCCCCGACGCCCGCCGTCGCGCCCGAGCTCGCGCCCCTCAAGGCCAAGTACTCCATTGAATTATTGTGCGACCCGAACTGACTCTGGACCTGGCCCTGTTTGAAGCGCCTCCGGAAGGCCATCGCCGCCATGGGCGCCGCGGACCGATTCGACGTATCAATCTTCCCGATGCAGGCGTATATGCACTTCAAACGAGGAGAGGACGCTCACGACCGGAGGGCGGCCTACGACGAAATTTCCAGAGCGCACGGCACGAAAGGGGATGATGTCTGGGCTCGGCTGCAGGAGGTCTACGCCGAGGAAGGCTTGACGTTGACGCGGGACGGGAAAGTGGGCAACCCCTTCGACGCCCAACGGCTACTCTGGTTCGCCGAGAAGTCAGGTAAGTCGTTGGACGTGCTGGAAGCGCTCCTCGAGGCCTGCCACGCCAAGGGCCAGCCGTTATCTGATCTTGCCGTGCTCAACGACTGCGCCTTCGCGGCTGGTTTAGCTAAAAGTGAAAGGGACGACGACATGGCGCGCTTCCTCGTGTCCCCTCGCGGAGGGTCGGACGTCGCGTTACGATTGGGCGAATGTCTTACAAGAGGGGTAGTTGCGTCGCCCGTCGTCGTGCTCGACGAAAAATTTCCCCTGGAGGGCGCGCAGCCCTACGCCGTCGTCGGCGCCGTTTTAGCGGAGCTCCTCGCGACGGGCACGAACTTCCGCGTCGTCGAGCCGTCGGGCATGGACTCATCAAAATGGCCCTAGCGGCTCCCGTGACGGTCTCTCACTTAAGGGTGTGGGGCCCGACTGCTGCTTTGGCTAGCTCATAATATGGTTTCTTGTAGTTACTAGCGTGGATAGAACGTGATGACGACCGCGCCGACAGCTGCTAACCCTGCCCCGATGCCGTCGCCGGCGTCGGGCCGGTTGCCGTCGACGGCCCAGCCCCAGGCCAGCGACAGCAAAATGAACCAGCAGCCGTAGGCCGCGTAGACGCGTCCGAAGTCCTCCGTGCCGGCCGTCTGCGGCTGGAACGTCGGCACGACGCCGTAGAGGCAGAGCATCGCGCTCCCGATGACCGCGTACCACCACGGCTTGCCCTCCCGCAGGGCCTGCCACCACATCCAACCGCCACCTGCAAATCCATCAGTCGCGTCGATGGCGTCGTGGATTTTGATTTCCGCGCGGGCGGGCGCCGATTTCGAGGACGCCGGCCGCGAGGAAGAGGGCGACGATCAAAACGTATTTTGTTGCCGGATCCATCTTTTTCGCGGGCGCGGCGACAGTGGTGTCGCTTAGGGATGAGGTGTGAAAGCGCAGGAGGCTCATGCAGGCGTGCGGCTGGGAGAGCGTGCAGAGCGCGTGGGGTAGATGGTGTTGTCTCGCGCGAAAGGCTTGCGTCTAGGCCAGAACGCGACGTCCAATGATCAAATCCAAGTCCTTGATAAGCTGCAGTGACGGTGGCAATCAGCCAGCCAGCCTCAGACTTGCAAAAACGCTGCTGCTAGTGTCTTACAACCCGCTAGCTCGGTGCTACGGCCCCGATGCGAGAACGCGCCAAATTCGGCCGTTTGCCATCTCTTTTACAGTCCAGGAGAGCCACTGTCTTGCTGCGACACGCTGCGCTAGGTTGCTGCAGTGACAGCCCTCGCACACTGAGCAGTGCTGCACTCCGCAGCTCAATCACAGCCATGCGCCGCCGCCGCATCATCGCAGTCGCACTGCTCGCCACGAGCGTAGCGCCCCTCGCGCCGCCGGCGAAACGACGCCTCAATTTCATCAACCTCACCAATGGCATCGAGGCGCTGCCCGTGCTGGACCACGCCACGAACATCTGTAGAATCCAATCATCCAGATGTGAAGCGAACGATTTTTATGGCGTCCTGCAGGACCTGGACCACAACTTATTGTTTCATTTGGCGACGGGCGCCGAGTGCCGCATCTATGACTACGGTTCGCGCGGGACGCGGTGGCCCGGCGAAACGGAGCAAAAAATACCAAGAGCGATCTGGTGGGGCTTGGTGTGGGTCCGTTATGCGCTGGAGGACGTGTGGAAGATACCTCATGATGATACACCTACTTTACGAGGCTACAACGTCGAGACTTTATTTAGGGAGAAACTGGGACGGTTACCTAAACCCATCTACAAAAAACTAAAGTACTACCGCAAGTTCTCTCCAGCAAAAGTGGATCTGGTGGGCTGCTACTTCGTCGAGGGTACCGTGAACGACGGCCGCGACGACGTTTATGCCGAGATTGTGGACGAGTGGCTCGCGGGCGCGCCTTCTGCAAGCGAGGCGCTCCCGCCGGGCTTCAACATGTATCGGGCGGCGGACTGGGCGGGCGTCGGGCGCGGGAGCTGCGCGCCGAAGGTAACGTAGTGAGGTTGTGTATTTTCTTTTGATGTGACATGCGGCGATGGCGTCGGGGGTGACGGCGTCAGCCCAGGCCTCCCGATCTACTCTCGGATACGCTAGATAATCCCGCTAGAAATCCGCAAACTTGAGCTTTCACGTTGCTCGGGCTTATCTCGCTCCGTACTCAGCTTCCAGGGCCCGCTGACCTTAGGCACAGCGTCCACAGCCTCACAGCGACCGGTGCCATAGTCTGAATTGACGCGCGCTCGTTGAAACAGCGTGTAGTGGCAATATCTTGGCCTGAGCGACACACAAAGTGCCACGCGGCCTAGACAAGGCAAGACAGCGCAAAATACCAACTGCGCGAGCAATCTCGCCGCAGTACAGGACACGCAAGCTACAAAACTCGCAAAAAACTCGGCTACCCTCAAAGATGGTGAGATCCCCAACGAAAGCCGCGGCCGCGGCCGCGCTCTGCGCCACCACCGCATCGGCCTTCCACCCGCCCGACGTCGTCGGCACCAGCAGCGTCATGCGGCCCGACCCGAACCCCTACGGCGGCCCGACGCCGGCGCCGCGGCCGGCGCCGCGACCGGTCGCACGACGGAGGAAAACGCAGCGCAAGATGGTCGACGTGAACCAAGCCGCGGAGGAGAGCGTCGCGCCCCGGGACAACACGCAGGATTTGCTGCGCGGCGCCGTGGCCGTCGGTTTGCTCGGCTTCGGGACCGTGGCCTGGGTCCAGGAGTTCCTCGCCACCCAGGCGCCGGGCCTGGCCGTGTCGGCGCTGTGCCTGCTGGGGGGCTGGGCGGCGCTCGTGAGCCGCGTGACGGGCGGCGTGCCCGACGACTTTTATGATAACAGTCAAAGTTAGTTCTCCTCGCGCTTGTAGACGCAGCGCTCGACGCCGTAGTGGCGGAAGACGGCCATGATCGACGAACCTCGACGGTGATGGTGCCGCGCGTAGTCGAGCGCCGTGAGCCCGTATAGATTCGGCCGCGCCGCGAGCAGCACGCGAGTTTTTTCGTCCGCGAACCTCAAAACCAGATTGCATCCTTTCACGCAGTCCCGCGAGGCGAAATAAGCCAGCGCCGAGTTCCGGTACGAGTCCATGCGCAGCAAATCGTCGACGCGCATCGTACGCAAAAGTTCCCGGAAGTTGCGCGCGCCGTCGATCGTCAGCGGCGCCGCGACGGCCGTCGCCTGCCACATCGGCGGCTCGCCGTAGCGCGGCGGCGGCGCTATGGGCCCGAAGTTTTGATTGCCTCGCATCAGGGCCGACTTCTTTTTGCGCATCGCGTCGCTCACGGACGGCTTCATCGAAGGTTGCGCCTGCGGCGTCTCCACCAATAAAGGAGAGGGCCCCTTGATTGTTTCTGTGGCCGTCCAGCTCCCGGTGATCCATCGTTCCCTCGCGCGAGGACTCGAGGCCGTCATTTTTGCGGCGTGTCGGTCCTGCAGGTTCAGCGCCTCGACGCCGACGGGCGACTCGTCCTCGAAGGACACGCTCTTCTCGAGCTCCTTCGAGGGGCGCCGGCGCGGCTTGTCGCGCTTGTCGCCGTCGCGCAGGTCGCCGCCGCGCCTGCTCCCGTCGCGCTTCACGCCGTCGCGCCGGTCGCCCTCGCGCCGCCTGCGCCGCTCGCGGCGCTCGGCGCGGTCAGTGCCGTCGCCGCGCCTACTGCGCCGATCGCGCCGGTCTTGCCGTTCCTCTTCAAGGCCCTCGTCGAACTCCTCCGGCGCCGAATCCGTGGCGCCGGGCTCCAGGCCCGCGGGGAGCCCGCAGTTGCAGAGGAGCCACTCCATCGGGTTGTTGCCGTGTGTGAGGGGCAGCAACTGGGGCAGCTACCGATGGGTTTGTGAGGGGCAGCCCCCGAGCGCTCGCTTTAAATTGTTGCACGCGTCGACGGGCGTCAGGACGGGCGTCGGGCGTCCTGAATCTGCCCGCGCGTCGCTCGTGAATAGGCTCAGCGCCGTAGGCTCAGCGCCGGCGCTGGCGGCCATGATGAGAATTAACTCTCGAGCAAAGGCAAAGGATCCTTTCGAGGGTTCCGAAGATCCATGTCTCGCGGCGGCCCACGGCTGGGCGCGCTGGTGAGGGCGGGAAGAAAACCCGCAAGGCGCGGCGCGCAAACCAGTCACTACTCTTCTTACACAATCTCTGCAGTGATGCCGGCGGTCGGGACGACGGAGGGAAGATCGCCATTGATCCGGGCCGCCGCGGCTTCCGCTTGCTCGATCGTGGCGAATTCTACAGTGACGCGCCCGCGCCGCGGCGCCGGCGTCCGTCCGGGGAGATAGACGGTGGGGTCCTTGTTGTGGCAGAGGTCCTTCACGTACTTCCAATCCCAGGACGACGGGATGCCTTTGAGGAGAAGTGAGGCCGGCCCGCCGCGGGGCTTTTTGCTCGGCGCGGCCATGTCGACGCCCGGCGGCGCCTCGTCCACGACCGAGGCGACCGCTCCGGCGACCTCGCGATTGATGCGCTCGACCGCCGCGGCCGCGTGCGCGGGCGTTGAAAACGGAACGTAGCAGACGCCTCCCCACCCCGTCGCCGCCGTCAGGCCCAGCACCGACGTCGAAGGGCAACCGGCGACCTTCACGAGGGTCGGCTTGGCCTCCTCGTCCTCCGCTTTGCGTTTGCTGGTGGCCTCTGTCTTCACCATAATCGATTGCTGGGTCACTCTAAAATTTTCAAACCTTGTCTCTCGCGAGGCCGCGCGGCCGTGGAAGACGGACCGCACTGGTAGCAATCAGGCACGCCCGCTACTTGGCCTCAGACTCCCAAAAAAAAACTTGCTAGTGTCTTACACCGCTAGCCCACGCTCTCTCCTCTTTTGAGAGCAGTTGAAGGCCTTGTTTGACCAGTTGAAGACCTCGTAACGTTGCAACTGTCATAATAATTCAATACGGTCGACTGCACGCCAGCTGTGCACGTTCTTGCAGCGGTTGGCTAGCGTGCACTCCACTCTCTTGCAGCCACCTGGTGACAAAAGCAGCGCGGACGGAACAATGCCGACCGCCGCCGCCGAGGGCAAGAGGCCAAAAGGAAAACACGGCGTGCACGTCGCGGCCTCGCCCACCCCGGACCGCTTCCTCTTCTCGGACCTCCCGACGCGCGAGGTGAAGGCTCTGATTCGGGCGGCGCTGCCCGCGGGCGCTCCGGTCAAACTCGTGCTCGCGGTGACGGCCAAGGGGCGGTGGCGGGGCTGGGCGAAAATCACGGCGGGCGACGAGGCGCGCGCGGCCGCGGCGGTCGCCGCGCTGGACGGCGCGGTCGTGAAGGGGGTGTCGCTGCGCGCGTCGCGCGGGCTCGGGCGGCGCGACAATATCTTCCCGTTCCTTGACCGCGGCCTGCGGGAAAGCTTCGAACTCGACTCGACAGCCGCGTACTCCGCCATGGATGAGCACACCACGGCGCTGCTGGCGTCCTTCCTGGCGGTCGTCTACGCAGGGGAGGACCTGGCAACGCTCGCCATAACGGACGCGTGCGCCTGCACCGGCGCGTGCGCCGTGGTCCTGGCGAGGCATTTCAGAGCCGTCGACGCCGTGGAGCTCGACGCGGGCCGCTGCGCGGCGCTCCGCAAGAACGTTGTGCTGTGCGGCGCGGACGTGACGGTCCACCACGGTGACTACAACGCGCTCTATGACACGCTGCGCCAGGACATCGTTTTTCTTGACGTGCCGTGGGGAGGTCCGGACTACGTGGAGGCGGAAGGGTCGGCCTGCGACGCGCTCGGCGACGTTCCCCTCGTCGACGTGGTCTTGAGGCTCCGCCGGCGCGCGTCTGCCGTGGCGCTGCGGCTGCCGACGAAGGGCCGCTTCGACGTCGACGCCTTCGCCGCGGCGCTCGTCGCCGATAGCGCATGGGCGGACGCGGAGGAGCGGTGCCTGCCGTTCCGGATCACGACGCACCTCGCGCACCTAATTGTCGTCTGCATGCCCGGCCCGCGCTTCGGCCTCCGGACGCTCGACGCGACGATGGCGGCGGCGCGCGCGTGGGACGAGCGCTGGCGCCAGGACCTACGGCCCGCCTTCTACGACTACGAGGCGAAACGGTGGATCAGAGCGAGCCGGTGGATCCCGGCGCGCGCGAGGAGGAGCCGACCGGCGGAAGACGACGCTCCGACGGCCTCGGATGTGTAAGAATAATGTGCATCTGACCTCCTCTTAACTACATGCCGATCACAAGCTGAAGCCGCAAAAGCAGAGAATAATTCGTTATGTTCAGGTCTGTTACTCACCGGGGGGATTGCAGCACGTCATTGTTCACGCCCAGCCGCTGCTGCAAGGGATGGAAGGGGATGGCGTCGCGGCGACCAGGCAACTGCCGCGCGTCCGCCAGATATATAGGAGGGGGCCGAGCTCGTCGTCGATGCCCGGGATCGACGCCGTTCGTCCGCGGCGTCGTCGGTTGATGAGTACTTGTAGTCCGCCTCGACCTCACTGATCCGCAGCGAAATGATGACCGAAAGTATATTCAGTTCCGTCCTCCGGCTCAGTGTCAACCTTATGGCCGTGGCCGTGAGCCGAATACTTGGGATCAGCACCAGAAGCGAAGAAATACATAACCTCTTCGCCGGAGCCGGAGCCGGAGCCGCTAGCCGGGTGGCCACCCGAGCGTAACTCGAGGGGAGTCGTCTCGTTCATGACCGCGCCCCGCACGACGTAGCCCGCGACGAGGCCGAGAACGGCGGCGACGACGACCGCGAGGCGCCAGGCGGACGAGGACTTGGCCGGCGCGGGCTTGTTGAGGATGGGGGCTTCTTCGTCGGCCATGGCCTGCGAGGCGGATCCGGGGTGGACGACTTCCGGGGCGCGCGCGGCGGCCGAGGCGGCGTCTCGCGCGTGCGCGCGGGCGCGCGGCCGGAACGGGCCCGAGCGCGGGTCGCGGGCGCGGGCGCGGCCGTCGCGCGGGCCGGCTGGCGGCCGGGGTCTTGCCGGCGCGCGGGCCGCCAGGCCGCGCCGCCCGGCGCCCGCGCGCGCGGCGGCGCGCGACGATCTCAAGGATTCCAGGCCCGGTTTCGCTTCCAGGGCCGCGCGGGGCTCCGGGGGCCGCCTTTGGCGCCCAAGGCGCCGCCGCGCCGCGGGCATTCCTTTGATCAATAGTGCAACACCTATTTTGGGCCTCGGGGCGCGGCGCGCGGCCGCAGATTCGCGCGGACAGTGGTCGGTCGCGGCGCGGAGGCGAGGGAAAGGCGAGGGGACTCGGCCGTGCGCGCTAGGAGTTGACGATATTGTCAGGTTTGTGCACGCTTGCGAGCAAGGAAGCGAGTTGGAAAGGTGTGGTCGTGAACCGGAGACTGCCCTGGGATGAACATGGGAGAACTCCACGCGATGCGCTGCAAAAAATATTGGCTACGTCCTCGCGCGAGGTTACGCGCCGTAACAGCTTGACGATAGTCAAAGAAGAGGCACACAAAGATCTTCTTAAAACAACCGAATCGCATTCTTCTTCCGCGCGCGCGGCGCCGGCGACGCCGGCGCTGGGCTCGACGCCGCCTCCTCGGCCGCGAATTGATCCGCGAGCTGGCGCGCGAGGGCCTCGTCGGCCAGCTGCTGGGCCAGGGCCGCGTCCTCCGGCGCAGCCGGAGGCGGAGCGTCGTCCTGCGCCAGGGCGCGCGCGAGCGCCTCGTCGCGCGACATGTCGGCGCTCATGTCGGCGCGCGACGCGGCCAGCGCCCGCGCCAGGTCGGCGTCCTCCTCCTCCGGCGCGTCGTCGAACGGGTTCGGCGCCAGTTGTGGCAGCGGCGGCACGGGCGGCACGGGCGGCGCGGCGGGTGGCACTGGCGTTGCGGGCGGCGCGGGCGAGACCGGCAGCGACGAGTAGTTTGGTGGCGCCGGCGGCGCCCGCTCGCGCTCCGACTCGGGGTTCGGTCGCGACGGCACATGCTCGGGGGGCCGCATGAGCGAGTCCCAGGCCGGCGGCGGCGGTAACGCGGGCTCCTCGACGGCGTGGTCCGGGCCGCCGGGCTCCTGGCTCCAGACCGACGAGGCCTCGGACTCGTACGCGGCGTCGTCCTCTTCTTCCCGCGGCTCCTCGGGCGCCTCGGCGACGGGCTCCAGCGGCGGGGCGAGCGCAGAGTAGCTGGGTGGCGCGGGCGCCGGCTGCGGCGCCGCCAGCGCGAAGTAGGCCGGCGGCGGCGGTAACGCGGGCTCCTCCACGGTCGCCGCCTCATCGACTGGGAGCGGCTCCTGCGACCACTCGGAGCTCGAGTCGGAGTCGCCTTCGAAGGGGTTGGGCGCGGCTTCGTCCGCCTCGGCCGCGGGCGACTGCGGCGGCGGCGCCAGCGTAAAGTACGCCGGCGGCGGCGGCAGCGCGGCCTCGTCGTAGGCGGGCGGGGCCGTGGCCGCCGGCAGCGGCTCCTGGGAGAACTCGCTCGACGCGTCGGACGCGTACTCCGGCTCTGACTCCTCGGGCTCCGGCGCGGCCGGTAGTGGCGGCGTCGATTCCGCGGGCGGCGGCGCGGAGGCCGGCGGCGGTGGCGCTTGCGGCGGTGGCGTAGGTGCTGGCTCCGGCGGCGGCGTAGGTACTGGCTCTGGCGGCGCGGGCGGCGCGGGCGCGGCCGCGGGCGGCGCCTCGGTGGCCCCGCCGCCGGCCATCTCGAGCTCGAGCTGGCGCAGCTCCGCCTGCAGGTCCTCGCCGAACTCGGAGTCGAGCGTGCTCCGGCGGCTCGACGGCGCGGGCGACGGCGCCTGCGGCGCCGGCGCCGGGCCGCTGGCCGGCGCCGGCGCGGCGGGCGGCGGCGGCGCGCGCCGCGGCCGCGCGGGCCGCGCGGCGGCGCTGCAGCGCGGCCTCGAGGGCCGCCTCGGTCAGCTCCACGGGAGGCGCCGGCGCCGGCGCGGGCTCGGCCGCCGGCTCTGGCTCGGGCGCGGGCTCGGGCGTCGGTGGCTCGGGCGCCGTTGCTTCGGGCGCGGGCGTTTCTGTGGGATTCGCCTCAGCCTCCAGACCCGCCAGTGCATCGGCAGCATCAGCCTCCAATTGGCGTCGCGCGGCATCGGCGGACGTAGGCTCGTCCTCCGGGACCGCGGCGCGGCGGGACCCGACGCCTCGTCGAGCGCGTCCGACGCGGCGACGCGCTGGAGCGACGACGACCGCGGCAGCTCGGGCAGCGGTCCCACGGAGAGCGCCTCGACGGCCGCCGCCGCGTCGTAGCCGTCGGGCACGCCGTCGGGCACGGGCGTCGCCTCGACGGCGCCCAGCGACGCCGCGGCGACCGCCCGCAAGCGCCGCTGGTCCTCCTCCGCGAGCGACCGCCGCGACGCGGCCAGCGCCGCCGCGAGGGCCTCGTCCTCTTCCTCGTCGTCCTCCTCGTCGTCCTCCTCCTCCTCCGCGTCGCCGGCCTCCTCCTCCGCGTCCGAGTCCACTTCGAGCTCCACTTCCGGCGGCTCCGCCTCGTCCTCCTCGTCCGCCGGCGCCTCGCCCCGCAGCGCCGCGAGCGCCCGTAGGAAGCGCCGCCAGCGCCGGCCACGTGTCCAGCGACAGGACGTCCTCCGCGTCGGGTGTCGCCGCCAGGTCGTCGAGGCCGTCGCACGCCCGCAGCACGAACACCCGCCGCGCCTCGTCCGACACGTGCTCGTGCAGCCACGTCAACAGCGCCGCTCGCTGGGGCGCCGCCGGCGCCTCCGGGGGCGCGTCGAAGTAGCCCGGGCGAAAGCCGATGGTGGAGGCGGTCTCCAGCAGGACGCGGATGGGGTCGCACGTCGGCGCGGCATCCTCCAGTGGAATGAGGCGCCCCGCGAGCGCCGGGCGCAGCGCCGCCCTGTTGTCGCTTGCGACGGCCGCGCGCGCGAGCGCGGCGAGCACGACGGCCGCGCAGGGCCGCGCCAGGTGCGGCAGGACGGCCTCGTCCAGGATCGTGCCCAGCAAGCCCTCGTCGCTGATCGTCTGGGCGTCGACGACCTGGGCGAGCGCGCGCGCCGCGGCCCCCTCACCGACGCAATGCGCCTCGTCCTTGTAGAGGCGCACGAGGCGCGCGAGCCGACGGACCAACTCCGGCGACGCGACGAGCGCGCCGCGCGCGGCCATGCGGTAGGCCGCCCTCGCGGGGTGCGTGAGACGCCGATGCTATCTTCGTCCAGCTCGCCCGCCTCCTCGGCTGGAGGCGGCGGCGCCTCGTCGTCGCTCGACTCGCGCGCTTCGGCGGCGGGCGGATCGGCGGCCTCGGCCGCGGCCTCGGACTCGCTGGACGCGCCGGATTCCGCGGCCGGCGGCACGTACAACTTCGTGCCGTCGGCCATGACGAGCTCGTCGATGTACGACGTGACGAACTCCTCCGGGTCGCTCCCTTGGACCGCCACCTCGCAGATGCCGTCCTGGATGCACGCGACGACGCCGTAGCCGCCACCCTGCTGCATGGGAATGACCACCTTCTTGCCGATGACCTGCGCCAGGTGCGGCGGCAGCTCGTCTAAGGAGACGGAGACGTCGTCCTGGACCAGCGGCGGGCTCGCGGGCAGCGTGACGGCGACGAGCGCCGCCGCGACGGCGGGGCCGAGCGCGTCGCCCGGCGCCGCGCAGAACGCCAGCGCCGCCGCGCACCGCGCCGCCGCCAGCGACCGGTCGTCCTCCAACCGCCTCACAACTTCGTCCACGACCGCCGCCCTTGAATAAACGCGCGCCCGCGCCGCGTCGCCGGCCGCCAGCAGCGCAAAGCACCCGAGCGCCGCGTCACTCTCGTCGCCGAGGCGCGCTTCTAGAGCGGCGTCCACGTCCGTCGTAACGGTCCGGCGCGCACTTGTACCGAAGGTCAAGATGGCTTCGAGCGCGCAGAGGGCCGCCGCCTCCTTGGAGACGCTCGGTCGCTGCGCGTGCGCCGCGGCCCGGTCCAGCGCTTCGGCGTGGCAGGCCCCCGCCGCCGTGGCCGCGGCCCGCGCGATCACGTCGTCGCCGCACGCGCGGACGCCCGCCGCCCGCGTCGATTCGTCTGATGACGTGAGCGCGCGGCACCGCGACCGCGCGAGTACGGGGCCCAGATCCGTGAGCAAACCGCGCGCGTCCAGCGCCGCGAGCGCCGCGACGGCGTCGGGGCCGGCCGCCTCCGCGAGCGCCCGCGCCGCGGCGGCGACGGCCTCGAACGGAAAGGCGCGGCACGCCTCGGCGAACGCGTCCTTTTCTAGGCCGGCGACGATGGCCCGCGACGCGCGCGCGACGCACGCCGACGTCCGGTCACCCATGACGAGCGGGGCCAGCGCGCGCGGGTCCTCTGCGCAGGCGGTCCAGAACGTCGCGCCGCCGGCCGGCCGGCGCCGCCCTCGCCAGGATGTACGCGGCGTCGTCGCCAGAAGCGCAGCGCCGGGCGAGCGCCGCCGGCGCGCCTTCCGCCGCGGCCGCGGCCGCCTCCACGACCTCGTCGGCCGCCCGAGGGCCAGAAGCGGCGCGGCACCGCTCGAAGGCCAGCAGCGCGTCGTCGGCCGCGTTCAGCTCAAAGGCCGCGGCGATCGCGGCCCCCAGCAGGCTGCCCGTCGCCGCCACGGCGAGCGGCTCCGCCTCCGCCAACTCCGCGACGGCGCGGATCGAATCCCAGGCCGGGTGCACGGATGCGTGGCGCACGAGTGCCGCGACGGCGCCGGGCGCCGCCGCGAGGCGCGCCGCCCCCCCGCCCGACGCGACGAGCTTGAGCACGTCGCCCCCCAGGCGCGCGACCTCGCGGTCCCCCCAGGCGCTGCCTCCCGGGAGATTCGGGTCGAGAACGGAGGCGATGCTAGCGAGGCACTCCGGGCCGATCAAGTTCGTAGAGACGCTTGCGCACATCAACAACACGTTCTCAGTATGTTCCGTGCCCAGAAATGTTCCGCAGGCCGCGTCCAGCGCGCCCGAGAGGTGCGCGTCGTGCGCGTCGGTTTCCGACCGGCGCGCGACGACGTGTAGTAATGCGAGGGCCGCCTCCTTGCAGCGCCGCGCGTCGACGGACCACGCGCCGACGAGTGACTGAGACGAAGACATGGGCGGCGGGCCCACGGCGCCCGGCGCCGCATCTTCAATAACCCTCCGCTTCCGCGTCCGCGGCGCGACGGGCCGCAGGAGCCATTTTAAGGACGCGCAGGCTCCCGACGGGCTCCACTCGTGATACGCTCCCGCGACCGCGGCCAGGCACCCGCACGCCGCCGCCGCGACGGCGCCGCCCCGCGCGCCGCCCACCAACGCGACGACGCGCGGCAGGGACCCCTCGACGACCGTGGCCTCTGCAATGCGGGCGTTCCCGCGGCACAAGGCCGCAAGCGCCCGCAGCGCAGCAATACGCACGAACTGGTCCTCGGTGTCTCGCCGCGCCGCGGCCTCGCCGGCACCGAACGCCAGGTCGTCGCCCGTCGCCAGCTCGAGCAATCGAGACAAGGCCGACCCCGGGACAACCACAGATTCCTCCTCATCTATCATAGTACCGCCGTCGACGTACGACGGCTGGGTCGACGCGGAGAGGACGCGCGGCGCGTCCCGCACGAGAGGTATGTCTTCTGATTCCTCGGCGTCGGCGAGCGGGACGCGCGACGCCGCCTCGTCCCGCGAGACCGTGGGGTCCTCGTCGTCGGGCGTCCACGAAGCTAATGACTGGACGCGGCCCGGCTCGACGGCGACGGCGTGGGCCGTCGCCGTGCGCACGTCCATGCACCTCTGGTAGATGATTTCTCGCGGTTCTGCCCTTTCAATAATTTTACACGCGACGGCGGCGCCTTCACTGGTATAGAGGAGCTCCGCTATACATTTCTTGAGGAAGGGTTCTGGTAGTTCCAGAGCGTCGCCTTCTTCTTCCCTTTTTGGAGGAGCTTCGTCGCAATTCTCGGAACGGCGCCGCAACGACAGCCGGAGCGGAAAGCCCAGGCCCGCGAAGAAGGTCGATAGGGCATCCTCCTCGTCACTCTCAAAAGGCGGGGCGTAGCCGTTCGCGGCCTCCACAACATCATTCACCAGCACGCCCGCATGTGCCGCGCGGGACCCCTCTTTGACCGAGGCGACGCGGCAGCACCTCACCCCCTGATCGCACCGGTGCACCTCCACGACGCATCCCAACGGTCCTTCTTCTAACATAACATTGAGGGAAGATGCGTTCCTTCTCTGTATAACATCGCCCCAAAAAAAGTGCTCGTCGTCCGTCGGGAACGCGCCAGCCACGCCGGCGTCGTCATCATGGTCAGCATCATGCGGAAGGCAGGCCGCGACCAGCCTAGCAGCTGCTAAATGGTCCATCTGCGCCGCCACTGACACAGCTCTCTCCCGTAAATCAGGAGACAGCTCCCTCGCTAAAGCCGCGCACGCGTCGCAACTCAACCTAGATTGTTCTTCTTCCAATCTTCGCACACATGCTTCACCGACCCCGGCCTCCGTCAATGTACGTCTCGCCTCGGAAGCTGATGCTGATACTCGCTTATAAGGTGCTTCGACCGCCCGTCTCCTCAGAAACACCAACCGCTTCGGCCACGGCGCATCTCTGACGGCCGCACACGCCGCGACCATGGCCTCCCTCACTATTTGAGAAGATGCGTCCTTCTCTATTGAGTACTCGACCCTTCTACCGTTCACCTCGACCAGCAAATCGCCTCTCTCAACACCTTGGCGCCGCGTAAAACTATTGGCGCGGTGCACGGACGGCGCCACACCACCGTCAGACCAGGGCCCCGCCGCCAATTCTAGACCCAGTCCCCTCGCTCCTCCTCCTTCAAACACAACAGCGTACGCCTCTCCCTCTACTTGAGGAGGCGTGTCGCCCTCGTCGGACGACCACGCCGCTCGTTCTGCGTCGTCGTCGGACGACGCGTCGTCGCCACCGCCTTCCGTCTCTAATGAAAGCGGCGGCTCGCTCAGCGCCGCATCGTCTCCGATAAGTGCTACGACCGCCAGGACGTGATCCCCCTGTCCTTGGAGCGCCTTCGCAAGCGCCGGCGCCAACGACGCGTCGTCGACGAGCGCCGTCCGCGCCTTCTTGCGCGACGCCCGTGTTAACGCAACACACAAAGCCGCGGCGCCCTCGGCGCCCGCCTCCAGCAACCGGGTGACGCGCGTCCAACAAAGGCGCGCGAAGGCTGCGTCGCCTCGTTGTGCGAGACTTCGCCTCCGGTGGAGCGTTGCTGCCAGAATGTTGCAGACCGGTGTAGGGGGACGTTCCTCGTTTAATAAACCAGCGAGGGCAAACAAAGCGCGCGGCGCGCGCGCCAGGCGCAGCAGCGCGGCGCGGCCGACCGATGTTGGAGACGATATAATTGCCTCGAGCGCGACGCACGCATCGCGCGCGGCGGCGCCGTCGTCGCGGCGGCTCGCGCGCCGCGCGCCGCCGCAGAGCGCGACGGCGCAGTCCGCCGCGACCTCCTCCTCTATCAAGTCGACGACGTGCGCCGCGGCTCCAAAGGCCGCGCGCGCCACCCTTGAATCGTCGGCCGCGCAGGCTCGAGCCGCGGCTTGAGCGCCCTCCCGGAGCCAGACGAGCGCGGGCCGCCGCCCGCGCGCGAGGGTCACCATGTCCTCGTGGAAGGGCACGCGCCGCGCTGTCATCAGCGCCCGGCCGACGGCCGCCAGCGCCTCGGCTCGATCGGTGTCGCCCTCGCGCAGTTTAATAGCGAGGGCGCCGCACGCTACAGGAGGAGGCGCTATACAGCCCGCCAGCACGAGCTCCGCGAGCCACTTATCACGGGTAGACGCCGCCGCCGCCGCGGGACCGCAAAAGCCCAGATCTAGCGGTGGCGTCGCCTCGACGCGGATGCGAAACGCGGGCCGCCCGCCGGGAGCGGCCTGGAGCGGCGTCGTCGCCAGGGCGCCGGTCTTCTCCGCGATTGAGATGGACAGATTGCTCAGCTGGAGCTCTCTCACCAATGTCGTCTTTTCCGTCAGCTGCAAACAGGCCTCCGCGGCGCCGTCGCCCCGCGTCACAATCGCAGAGCAGCGGCGCCAGCCCAGGCGCGCGTTATCGCGCCGCGCGTGGACCTCTCCACTAAACGCGGTGCCCGGGAGGGCGGCCAAAGCCGTCACATCGGGCCAGCTCTCTCTACTGGCATCCGAGGCGGCGTCGTCGTCGACTTCCGTGGGCGTGTCCTTGAGCGGCACCTCGGCGGCCGTGGGCGTGTCCGGGACGTCCATGCTTTGGTGGAGTGCGCCTTCGGGTCTCTGTTGTGCACAGCTCTCCTACGCGGCCCAAGACTTCGCAGTTGTTATGGCGTGGTGTACGATAAAAAGTGATGAATTATCGACGTAATTCGTAACTCGGCTGTGTGCGTGTGAGGCAGCACAGCGGCCTGAAGAGCTTTGCTCCAAGGAGAGCGCTAGTGTGTCGATATGCTAGCTCTGTGCTACGTTTTTCCCTTACTACCCCCGGAAAGACGCCTCTTGTCATCCTCTTCGACCGGCGTCGCGACGACGGCGCGCCGAGAAAGCCGCCGCCGCCAGAACGGCCGCGACCGCGCGGCGCCGAGCAGCGACACCTCCCTATCACTGGTCTCGTACCGCTCCCGCGCCTCCTGGGCGGTCAGCACGTAGCCCGTCGCGCGCCGGACCGCCGTCGCCGCGCGACCCCAGTGCACGTCCGCGAACTTGTGGCGCTGCGCCGCGACCTCGGTGCGCAGCACGGCCTCGGCCTCGTCGGACCACGCTGTCGAAGCCTCGGGGGGGCGGGCGCTCTCGTCAGGCGTCGCGAGCCCCGGTGGCGGCGGGGGGCTGCAGAGCCAGTCGTCGCCGAGGTCCTTGGTCATCTGGTCCTCAATACCATTACATGCCAGCCGCGTGGCGACGGCAGCGGCAGCCGTAGCCATGAGTTATCTTCGTCGGAGTGCTTCTTGCGTCCACTCGTGCGATTCGCGAGCAGTGGTGCCGGGCAGGGGCAGCCTTTTTTTGGTCTTTTTACCACCCAGCTGCTCGTCCCTCGCAAGGATTGTGGCGCGAGAAGGAAGCTATCCGAGCTTCCTGCTGAGCGACGATAGGGCCACGCTGGGTCCTCTTTAGGAGCCGGACGCTGCGCAATGAGCTAGCGGCCGGTAAGACACTAGAAAATGCGAAGGGTCACGTGCGGGAATCAGCCGCCGGTGCAGCCAGAAATAGCAATCAAGATGAGCGACGACTCACCCCAAGCACCGCCGCGGCGCAGCACGAGTGATACCGAGGGCAGCCCTCCACCCTCCCCAGTGGCCATGCCAGAGAGTAGCACCAGCCAGCCGGAAATGGCGACCGTCGACCTCGAGGCGGCGCCAACCACGACCGCCGCGCCGCCGACGCAGCCGTTGCCGCCGCCGCCGCGGCAGCCGTCGCCTCGGAGAACGGATCGTCAATCTATGGCCATCGACGCGCCGCCTCCAGAAAACGGAACTAGCCCGAGCCTGGCCTCTCCGCAAGCAGCCCCCGAGATGACCGTGGATCAGGACGAGGGCGACGTCTACGGCGGCTTCCGAAGGCGTTTTAAACTGAAAAAGTCGCGGTCCGCGGAGCCCTGGTCGACGACACGGAAGCCGCGCTTACCTGCAATAAAACGTAGAATCGCCTCGGCGTGGGCGCACAATTATTTTTGGTTGTTTCTCGTCGTACTCGCCGTAATCACATCCATTTCAGCTTTCGTCATGGACGAAACGGCCGCGAACCTGAGGAAAGGACTGGTCAATGGTGTGTTAAGAACAGGAGGGTCCCAGAAGGACTACGGTGTTATTCTATACATTTTCCTGCGAGTATGTATCACGTTAATCGCCGTCGAGCTCACGAAAAGAATCGCCCCAATTGCCGCGGAAGTGGCATTCCGAAGTCAAGTCGATCCTCGCGGGTTCTCGATACCGGGCTTCTTGGAACCGAGGACGTTAGTGGCCAAAGTGCTTGGCGTTGTGCTTTTATTGGGCGCGGGCCTACCCATCGGCAAGGAGGGGCCTTTCATCCATACCGCAGCTATTTTAGCCGAATTACTGATGCGCGTGCCCTTCTTCGCGAGGCACACCAACGAATTGTTCAGGAACCAGATGCTGTCCGCGGCGGCCGCTGTTGGTGTCTCTGCTGCGTTTGGCGCGCCCATCGGCGGCATTTTGTTTTCTATCGAGGCGACGGCGAACTATTACGCTACTTCTCATTACTGGGGCGCGTTCCTATGCGCGACGGTCGGGGCGTTCACCGCGGGAGTTGGCGTTCAAGTCCTACGGGGCGTTCTCGCCGCACTTTGATACGGTGTCCTATAAGCACTGGGAGGTCTGGATCTTCCTACTGTTATCAGCGGTGTGTGGCATCCTGGGAGCTTCTTCTTCGTGACATTATTTACAGCTTTCGTGGGGCTGCGGCGGCGGTGTGCCGCTCTGAAGATGAAGGGTTTATCCGCGATCCCGAAAATAGTTCTAGGCACGAACCTCGGCTTCTCGGCGCTGGTGGCTCTGACCAGTGGCCTCTTCGCGTGCTGGATCGGCGACTTCGCGCTGCTGGGGACGCGCGAGGTCATGGACGACCTCTTCTCGGAATTTCCGCTGCGCGAGGACGCGAACCCGAAACTGCACCAGCGGTCGAGGTGGGACGAGCGCGACGGTGGTGTTGGGGCTTCTCTATGTCTGTTCATTGTCTTCACGTTCTTCTTCTCGACGCTGTGTATTGGCCTTCCCGTGTCGAACGGCCTCGTGACGCCGTCGTTCGCGATCGGCGCCGGGATCGGAAGATTGGTGGGCGAAGCCTTGAGGACATTAACGACGTCCGTCACGGGAGAATGTCCGTTGTCCCCCGCCGGCGGCTACGCCATCGTCGGCGCCGCCGCGTTCAGCGTTTCTGTCACGGGCAAGCTGTCCATCGGCGTCGTCATCTCGGAGCTCACGGGCCAGTTGTCCTACTCGATACCCGTGCTGTTCGCGTGCGTCGTCGGGTTGGGCGCCGGTCAGTTAGTAGAAATTGACATCTACGCCATGATCGCCCGACTCAAAGCCCTGCCCCACTGGCCGGCGATCCATGCCGCGGCAAACTTCTCGAAGACAGTAAGCGATGTGGTCGAGTGCACAAAGGCCTACGAGGAGCCTTGTTTGGCTCTCGTGGACGACCACCCGCCGGCAAACGTCCAGGACACGCTGAACAGCGCGACGCACGTCGTGATTCCCGTGGTCCGGAACGGGGTCTTCGTCGGCGTCATGCGCGTCGCCGATCTAGCGAGTGCGATGGAAGGTGACTTTACCGCTGCTATTGATGATGCCTGGCCGCGGTGCGCGCCGTCGGCGACGCTGTCGCATTTGTGCTTCCTGTTCGACTTGCACCACAAGGACCGGGTCTTTGTTGTCTCTGGTGGTGGGCGGCTCGTGGGTCACGTGGACGCGTCGGAGGTTGGACAGGCTCTGGCCGCGAAGATGCCAGCACAAGAGACGTCTAATCCGATGCGCGACGCGTCGGCGGCGTACTGGCGGGGGCGGCGCGCGCAGCTCTCGGTGCAAGGTTCGGGGGCCGTTTAGTAATCTTCAAGTTTAGTTATTGACACAATACACTGTACACATCGCCGCGGCGACGGGCGTCGGCGCCTGGTCGCCGCCCGCACGCCGTCGCCGCGCTGGCGCCGTCGCCGCGACTCGGCTTTCGGGCTAGCCGCCGGCGAAGCACGGGGCCCCGCGCTCCGTTATTGTGAAATACGCGTCGACGGCCGCCGTCGGGATGGGGGGCACCGATTCCTGGCGCCGCGGCCGTCTCAATCGTCGCGCCGACGCCGGTAACTCCTTGGCCATGACACAGCCGAGCGAGAATAGCAGGAATAGTGTCCCAGTCGTCGGCGAAGGTGCTGCCCACACGAGCACGGCAAGCGCAAACCTTACTGCAAGCATAACGCGCCGAGGGGTCCAGCCGCGCTCCGGCGCACTGCTGCTGACACTTTCAACGCGCCGCGGGGGCACCGTGCGCAGGCGATTCATCGTCATGATGGGTGTGCAGCGTGTTGCAGCGTGCAGTGTGTACGAGGAATGTCTCGAAGCTGGAGGAACTGGCGTAAGTACGTTCGTTGGGCACTGTTCGTATGCTCTGCACAAGAGCAGCGCTCCTGGACAGCAGTTATTCGGCACTGCAAAAAAGAGGCATGTCAGTGTTTTTTGTAGCTCGTCCCAACGTGAGAGGCCGCCGCGGACGTGTCCCGTCAATCGGTTCGTAATGCTAATCAGGCTTATGATACTAATACATGATGATGCGGGGTCGCTCAGAGGCGTGCGGTGATGCGACCGCGCGCGACGAGCGCGCCTTCTTCAGCCGCCGGCGTAGAAATTCTGTTGCTCAACGGCGTTGTTCGCCTCATTCGTCGGTCTGGGCCACGTTACGGTTGACCGGCGTCGAGGTCGGCGGCGTCGCGAGACCGGCACCGCCATCGCGGCGACGATCGCAGATGACACACAAAGCAGCGCAGCGGGGTAGCTGTTGTGCGCGACGTCTACCGCGAGCAGCAGACATGAAAATCCAATGAAATACCCCACTATTTTGTCCATAAGGAGCGGTTTTTGTTTTGTATGGCTCATAGCTCGGGATAGGCGTAACCGCTCGGGCTGAACGCGCCGGAGGACGAACATTTATATAAATGGCGGCGGGTGTCGATAGGTCGCGTGATCTATACTTATTTATTTCGCGTCCGACAGGAGCCTGGCCATGTGCGGCAGGCTCCGAGCGCCTGCTGCGCTTTTTTTTCGACAAACCCATGCACGCAGCCATCTTGGAGGAAGGCCCGTGTACGTATTCTTAACGACGTAGCAAGCAGCCATGGCGTCGTAGTGGGTTTCGCGGAGCGTCGCGGCCGCCGTTGGCCGGCGGCGGTCGCACGCCCCCGTAGTCCGGCCATTGGTTCACACAGCGGCTTCTATGCTTCGGTTCCAGCGTGAGAGGCGTGCGTGGGTAAATTCGGGTGTAGCTCATCGAGCGGGTTTTCACTGGATTTTGCCTAGGCTTCCTGTCGCCGCGCGCGGGTCCACACGCCTGCGATCGAACCGCTCTGTGAACGCGCCAAATCCGCCAGCAAGAGATCTCGGCCTGAGGTCGCCCTGGTAATAAAAAACCAGCAAGGTTGAGATCCAGCCTCCGCGGACGCGAGGCCGCGCTAGACCCGCGGCGCGAGACACATAAGGCCCGCAAGAGCCCCGGAAGACTCATCCAAGACGGCGCTACGCGGCCGCCCGAGACGGAAACGACGCGCATCGACGCCTACCTCGCTACCGGATAAATATCACAAACCCGACGCCGCCGCGGTCAAGGACAGCCAAACGCCACCGCCGACGATGGAGATCAAGGTAGGCGAACCCACGACGCCGCCGCCGAACCTGCCGAGCCCGACGCCTTCCCGACGCCGACGAACGTGGTCTTACCGAGCTTCGCCGAGCGCGGCGAGGACGTGGACGTGGACGACGACGGCGTAAACGAGCCCCAGCGGCCGACGCCCGTCGGCGGCCAGTCGATCTGGAACCTCTTCAGTCCCGTGAAAGAAGAAACACCCGCCGAGAAGCGGCGGGACAGCGCCATGTCCATGGCGACGCCGGCCAACGACGACATGTCGCTCGCGTCGCCGGACAACAAGCCCGTCGCCGCGCGCCACGTGTCGGAGCCGCCCGACACGCCGAAGGAGCCGCGCGAGACCGAGGCGTCGAAGATGTCGTTCCTGAGCGTCTTCTCCTTTGGCGGCTCGCCGACGTCGCAAGACGCGCCGACGCCGACGCCCGTTCAGCCGGCGGCGGACGAGGTCGTCGAGATTAAGGTCGAGGCGCCGGCGCCCGAGCCCGCGGTGGAGGTCAAAACTGAGGAGCCGCAGCCCGCGCCGGCGAAGAAGGCGTGCTGCGTTGTTTGCTAGGCCGCTCCCCGCTGCTAAGTAGGTCATCGATCTCGAGAGGGAATGCACGTCACGTCGAGAGGCCCCGAGACGCGTCCACGATGCCGCGGCGATGGCGTCGGGGTGGCGTCCGCTGGACGACATCGACGCGGGACGCCGTCGCGGCGCCACTAGGGGCTCCAATGTAACTACAAACTCTTACGCGACCTTCCGCTCGTCTTCCCGGTCGTGGCCCAGGATCCGCCCGAAACAAAACAACCCGGCAAGCGCGTCGTTCGCCGCGTACCGGATCATCGCCGGCGTGTACGTCCGCTGGCCCCAGGAAGCCGTCGACTGGTGTTTTGATAGTCGTCGACCACCGAGTGAGGCCACTAAGCCCCGCAGGCCTCGTCGTGTCAGCGAGGGAAACCTCGCTTCTGCTAAAGGAGCCAGATCAACAAGCCCACGAACAGTCAAGCCGGGCGCGTGCCTCGATAACGCATTCGTGTCCTCGGATAACGCCACGCCTACTTTCAGCACGCCCGGGTCCTCCAACAGGTCCTGTAAAGAAGCCGGTATATGCCTCATGTTCTTCAGCAGAAACAGCACGACGAGGTCGTGACTGGCCAGCTGCAGGCAGGCCACGGGCTGCTCGGGCTGGCCTAGTCGGAAGGTCGGCGTCCGCTCCGTGTCGAAGCCGAGGCAGTGGAGCTCCTTGCCGTGGAGCGTGAGGGACGAGTCGCCACTTTGTAACGCTTTCCGTAATCTTTTGACGCCGAGGTCGAAGCCCGTCTCGGAAGCACAAAGTAGAACCTCCGCGTCCTCGGCGGCGTCGAAGCGCGGCAAGTTTTTTATGTGCTCTTTGTCGACGTCCGTGATTGAGGCGTCCGGCGGCAGGAGTTCGGAGAGCGTCGGTCTCTGGTCAAAACCGTTCAAGAGGCTCTTCTGGAGCTGCCGGATGCCATTGACGAAGCCGATCCTGCCTCTCGGTAATGTTTTACTGGTCAAATGCGGGGGCTTCGGCGAGGAGTACGCTCTAGCTTGCTGCGGTTGCTTTCGCGCGGCGACGACGAAGGTGCGCTGCTGCGTCCTCCGGGGCGCGCGCCTGGCCGCGGCGCGGAGCAACATGAGGGGCGCGGGCGGCCCTCGACGTGAGCCAGAGCCAGTGGCTGTCACGCGAGGCTCTCCCCTCCCTGCTACTTCAGGGACCACAGTTCGGCACGCGCAGCAAAGGTGCGATCAAAGGGGATGTGTACAAGGCGTGCAACAGCTCAATTGGGTCGGGCGGCCGCTACGCTGGCTTGCACCGCGACGTATGCGTTAGCTAGCGGCGTATAAACACACTAGCAAAACCTCGCGCTCAGATTGATAAAAGGGGCCTCGGGAGTCGTGCGACTGATCTGGAGGGGCCTTTGGATTGATGGCGCTGGACTCATTGCCAAGCATAATCCACAGCCTCGTGATTGGCAGCCTCGCCTGCCCTCGGGACGTGCGTGAGGGACGTCTCACGCCTCTCGCGTCAAGCGCTGATAGGTAGGCGTTAGTCCTCGCGCGAAACCGCGGGCCGCCGGGCGCGAGGAGGCGAGAAAACTCGACCAGAGAGCATTCACACCAAAACCACGATGGCTGAGACCGCGGCGCGGCACGTCAACACCATGGAGGCCCACCACGCCCCCAACTGGTCGCGCAAGCAGCACGTCGACGGCGCGCACGACAAGCCGAGCGCCACGTCCGGGAGCCACGGCCGGCGGCCGCACAACGCGACGAAGCCGAAGACGAAGCACGCGCCCATCGACGGCGAAGCCTGGTCCCACGCCGACGCGCGGGCGGCGCGGCTGGGTAGGACCGAATCACTGAGCGGCTATCTGTTCGGTTCAGCGTTTTCAGCGCCCGAACGGCAGCGCCCGGCCGAAGAGAATAGAAGATTGTGGCCCGAAGAACACGACGAGGACGCGGCGACCTACTTCACGCCCTTCGACGAAGGTAGAAGTGGTGTGAGACCGGACGGCCCCGAGACGACGTCCACGGGCGAGAACAAATTCCACCTAGAATTTCAGGGCAACCACGAGCCCCACGACGGCGAGTGCGAAGCGGTAAGGTTGCCCGGTGAAGACCACCGGCCCATCGACGAGGACGAGCCGTTGTACGCCGGAAATGTTAGATTAGCAGAAGTATTAGGAGAGCGAAAGGAGTCCTTCGACCTCACACCGCGCTTCTACGGCCCCGACGAGGCTCGAGCTCATGTTTTGGAGCGGGACGAGCCGCAGCCCGAGTTCGACGTTGCTGGACATGTGCGCCTCAAACCAGCTCTACACGAGGAGACGCCGGACCTATTAGCGCTGGTTGGTCCGGGTTGAACGGGGGGAGGGCCTGAAATTAAGGATGGACCATTTGGACGCGATTGACGACGAAGTGGCCGCGATCTATGCGGAGCCGGCCGTCGTGGCCAAAGTCCCTAGCCGTTTCGTCGACAGCTCCTCGACTAAGCCTTCGCTGATTAGTTTGTCGAGATCGTCGTCCTCCTCGAAGTCCTCTCCGTTTTTCTTGTAGTACACACGCATCTTGTGGCTCCGGTCGTGGCGGATGTAGTGCCCGAGGAACGACAGGCCCAGCGAGAACACCACCATGCCACCGAGGATCCAGCAGAAGTTGTAGACTCGGGCCAGGATCTTCTTGTTCATGCGCTCCGACGTGAGATGATAGTCGTACTCACACTGCGGCTCGCAAACTGGTGTGCCCGTCGGTGTGATTGACGGAGCCATTGTCAGCGTCGGCGCGAACGTCTGCGCGACAGTCGGGCTGAGCGACGGGCTGAGCGTCGAGTTCCGGACCGGCTGCGCCGAGACGCCGCCGCGCAGTGCGAGGGCCGCCGCGAGAGCCGCCGCGAGGACGTGCATAGCGCTGGCTGAGCCTGGCACCTTGGGATTTCAGTAAACCTCGTCTCCCAGTTCGTGGAAAGCCGGTGCACAGGAGCAGGCCGTGTCGTGCTAGATCACGGACTCCCGTAGAACAAATTTACTAAGGAGGAAAAACGCGGAGCGTCGGGGAAAGCTACGAATGTGGCTGGAAAACCCGTGTCGACTACTCCGGCCCCGCGACCCGCCCCGGGAGACCCGCTCATAACACAACACACTTACCAAGGCGCTTGCTCCAGTGCGGATCGTCTTCGCCGGCGGCGTGGCGACGGGCTTCGTGGCGGGGCGATTGACGGCGCGCGGCAGGGGCTTACCGTTTCTTCTTCCCCCGAAGCTTCGCAAACGCTTTCGATTTCTTCTTGGCAGTCTTCTTCTGGCCCCGTAAATTTTTGACGGACTGGTGCGACGCCGCCGCCTTCTTCGACGGATTGTCCAGCGCCTCCAGCGCCAACAGATCGGGATCGTCCTCCTCAATTTTCTTCTTGCGCGCTTTCTTGTGCCGCCGTTCATCTTCCGCAAATTCACTCCAGTCCTCGAGGATCTGGTCGTGCTGCCCTTTTCTTTTCCGCGGCTCGTCTTTCCTCTTACGTACCGGAGGAGGCGCCGCCGACGCAGCGAGCTTCTTCTCCTCCCTAACAACTTTCTCGGCCGCCACCCTTTTCAGGCGCGCCGCTTCCCGTTTTTGATCAGCATATTTTATGGTACCGGTCTTGACGTCGCGCCGCTCAAAGGCAAAGGCCGTCATCCAGTCCTTGCCCCTCTTCCCAGCAGCCTTGGCTCGTTTCCGCAATTCCGGCATGTCCGGCAGCTTCAGCAGAGCGTAGAGCCGCGCCGTCGAGCCTGTGCGTGAACGACAGCGTCGCGACACGGCCACGGCTCTCGCGTGATCATGAAGACGGCGTCGAGGCGGCGCGGCGCGCCGTCGACGCAACTGAAAAGTTCAGAACGGACGCTGACTCACTGACCGACGTCTAGCTTCTCCCACCGAAAGATGTACGGCAGCCGGTGCTCCAAGTACGCTCGCACATGACTAGTGAAGGCGATCGTGCCCTTCTCGAGGATGGCTCGATCTTTGATGCACGCTTCTTCCAGAGATGTTCTCAACTCATCAGCACCTGTCACCTCAACTTCTACAGACGTAGTAGCGGCCCCCCGCAGTCTCAACAACTCCGGGTACGCGTCCTCGTGGGGCTCTAGTAGTAAAACCGCCCTGCCACTACGACCAGCCCGCGCCGTCCGCCCCGCGCGATGGACAAAAGTGTCGGGTTTTTGCGGCGCGTCGACTTGGATCACGAGGTCGACGTCGTCCACGTCGAGGCCCCGCGCCGCGACGTCCGTGCACAGCAGCGCGACCCTCTCGGAAGTACATTCGCGGAACTGGGCCCAGACGGCCCTCCTCTTTTTTGGCGCCATTTTCCCGTGCAACGCGTTTATGATAGGGAGGCCCCGTTCCGCCACGTTCGCGGCTTTGAGAGCCCTTCCAAAAAAGTCTACGGCGGCGCAGGAGTCGAAGAACACTAACGACTTCCTCGCTGTTTTGAGTAAGTCCAGGGCACATCGTAGCTTGTCCTCGGCGCGACAAATGACGTGCTGCGAAACTAATTCTGTGGGCGTCTTGCCCGTCTCAGATCCAGAGTTGACCTTGACCGAGACAGAAGCGGGGTTCCTCAATCCCGCCCTCGCCAAGTCGCGGACTGCTCGCGTTTGCGTTGCCGAGAAGAGACACGTCCTTCTTTGTCGAGGTAAGCGTTTCATGATGCGATCGATCTGTAAGGCAAACCCCAGCTCTAACAAGACATCAGCCTCATCTAGAATGAGTAATTCAACACCGGAAACGTCTAGGATTGCTCTTGACAGTAAGTCATCAAGTCTACCGGGCGTCGCTATTAGTATATCGCATCGTTCCGGCGCCTCCACTGTTGAACCGCCCGTGATCAACTCGCTGTTGAGTGAATGCGCTTTGCACAGCGTGGCGAAGACTCGGGAGGTTTGAGCCGCGAGCTCCCTTGTTGGAGAAACGCAGACAACACGAATAGGTCCTCTCTCCAGACGCGCAGTAGCCTCGACCGCCGCGACGGCGAACGCAATCGTCTTGCCCGATCCGGTCACTGCTTCGGCGACGACGTCCTTCTGCGTCAAGAGGAGAGGTAATGAGGCGGCCTGGACCGGCGTCATTGTTGAAAAGTGGAAGTCATCTCGTAGACAGGCTAACGTTGCTTGACTGAGCGTCGGGCGGAGGGCGGCGAAGGACTGCTGCGCCATTTTGTCCGTCCTTCGCTGCGGCGGCGTTTGAGGCTGGGTGTAGCAAGTGCAGCCTAAGCAGCCACGCTCGCGTTATTGCCACAAACCGGAGCAGCGCTCGGTGACGGCGTGGGTGTAGCCTGAAGCGATTCTGCGGCAGCCAGAGGCGTCCACGCACGCGTATCGCCCACTGAACACAGAGTCGGAGAGCTTCCTAGTGTGTTACATTCGCTAGTTCCGACCTCGGCGCCTCTTTTTTTTGGCTCTGATCGCTGGCCCAGCGGTCGTCCAGGCGGCTAAAAGCCTATTATTTGTGCCCACGCGTATCCCAGCTAGCTGCGCGCGCTGCACATTTGCCCGACGCCCACCAATCGAGCACCAGAGAGGCTGCTCTCAGCCTGCTCCGATTTGCAAAATCGGGGCGAACGAATCATCGGAGGCAAGTGCTACGCCTGAAGAAAGCACAGCCATGGTCAAATGGGTCGTAGGAGATTCGGTCGACTACGAGGTGAACGGCACCTGGTACCCGGGCTACATCGCGCGCAGCGACTCGAAGAAGCTGTACTTCAAGTACGAAGCGTCGAAGTTCAAGAGTTACGAGGAGCCCATCGACAAGGCGAGCCGCGACGATCTGGCGCGGCTCCGCGCGGGATCGGGCAGCGGGCCCCCGGCCGCCGCCAAAAAGAAGAAGCCGGCGGCCAAGAAGTCGTACGAGCTCGGCGTCCGTGGCGCGATTGTCGTCGCATCGATGGCGTCGACCGGTCCCCGACGCAGGCCCGCGAAGAAGCCGGCGCGCAAGCCCGCAGCCAAATCTCCGGTGAAAAAGAAGACCGTCGCGAAACCCGCGGCCCGGAAACCCGCGGCTAAGCCCGCCGCCAAGAAGTCGTGCGAGCCCGGCGTCCACCGCCGCGCCGTCGCCGCGGCGCCACGCGAAACCCCGGCGCAGGCCCGCGAAGAAACCGACCGCCAAGAAGTCGCCCGCCAAGAGGAAGTCGCCCGCCCGCAAGAAAAAGAAGTAGCAGTCTTAAGGACAGTATATTTACTCGCGAAGACTACGTGAAATTGAACCTGTGCGGAAATCAACCAGTGAGTCCCAATCGCGTTGCAATTGATTTCTAAACGCAGCACGCGACCACCCGGTAGTGATGATCTTCTCCTGCGTCGGCGACGGCACGCCGCGGTGCGTGAACGTCCAATCGGCCGGCCAAATCAGAGTCAAGCCCTTCTTCGGCTGCACGATCAGGTTCTGGTGGCAGAACTCCGTCCCACCTGCGCGGGAACGACGCAGTCGCGACGCCATCGACGCGACCGCGTGCTCTCCGACATGCCGCGACGGCCCCGACGTCTTCCAGAGACTCAAAATCCGAAAAGCGACCACTCACTTCATCGGAAGATGGAGACGATTCATGAAGATGGCGCAAGGGCCAATGTCCACGTCACGTTCAAGATTCAGTGAAGACGCCGCGTCGGCACCGGCATCAGTGACATCATTTAGATAGGTCATGAACACCAAATGACGACTGCCTTCGGGTTCGCCCCGGCCCGTGCGCTCGGTGTGAAACGTCTTGTAGCCCCCTGAAGGCGGATACAGTTGGACGTTCGTCCGTCCCGTGATGGAGAACGCTCCATAAGCCCCGGCATACGGGTAGTCCTCGAGATAAAGACCCATGGCCGCTTTGAGTGAGAGCAGATACCTTCTCCAAGCAATAGAGGGATCGTTCGCGGGAAAGGACATCTCCAGCGAGTCCTTCACGGACGTGTCGACGACGGGCTCGCCGTTCGCCGCGTTCGAGACCATGCCTCGGAGCTGGGGCCTCCCATGAAACTCCTTCACGAGGTCGTCGGCTACCGATTCGTCCTCTATGAGGAAGGCTCCCGTGAACTGCGGTTTTATGCCATCAGCGTTGAGGACTTCGAACCTCGAGACGGGAGGGACGCCGTCCAGGCCCGGCGGCAGGGGCTCCAGGGGCTTCGGGGCCTTCGGGGCCTTCTTGGTTTTTTTCTTCGGCTTGGTTGCCGCGAAGCCGCCCTTGGCGAGGCCGGTTGCGGGCCGGAGCAGGAGTGCTGTCAAGAGCCACCGTGTGATCATCTCGGATGGTACGCGGTCGCGTCGATGGCGTGAGCTGGCGCCGCTTCGCGTCGGGCGGCGCGTCCGAAAGAGCCTGGTATTTGAGGAGAGTGAACTCGGCTGCCGCGTGGATCGGTGCGCAGCAAGGACCCGTCGAAAGGTGGGTTGAAATGTCTCTTTATGCTGGTCAGCCTTTAGCTATAGCACTTGTGCGTTGCGCTAGTGCGGTTGCTGTTGTACGTCTGGCTTCCTAGTGGCCTTACGCCGCTAGCAAGCTGCCAGCTCGGCGCGCGTGCACGCTTGTTACAGCATATATACGCACAGTAGAATTTCGATAGTGCTGCATTGCAGCGCACCAAGCTGCACAAGCATCAACAACTCGGGTGCTTGACCACAGGGCTCAACACAGCACTCTGCCAGACTGCTCTCACAAGACTGCAACAATCATGAGCGACCGCGAGACCCGGATGATGGCGCGGATAAGGCGCGAGGACGAGGCGCGGCGGGCACGGCGGGACCAGATTACAACCTACGGCCTCGTCGCTGTTATTGTGACGTTCGGCGGCGCCAGGTACGCGGGCCACCGGAGCATCGAGCGGGCGTGCCTGGCGCTCCTCGGCGCGTTCGGGCTCTACGCCGTCGGCGTCTGCGGCGGCGTCTTCTATCCACGAATATCGCGTCGACGGCGCGGAGGCCGAGATCGCGTCGATGGCGTGGACGCGGGACGCTCGGCGCCGTCGCCGCGGCGCGAGAGTACCACGCGCAGGTCGCGCTCGCGGCCATGAGCGCCTACTCCGAGTCCATCATGCAGCTGCCCGAGCCCGATTCGGACGACGAGGACCACGACCACAGCCATTTTCATGCGGGGAGTATTAGTAGTTCCGACTCGGAAGAGGATAAAGACAAATAAACTTAGACACAACAGTCATTTCTCGAGCGCCCGTATACGCGCCCTCAACAGCTCTAGTTCAACATCCGCCGACGGTTTCGAGAGGACCGGGAGCCTTCTACTCGCAGAAGAGTCGTAGACCGGCGAAGAAAAGCGCCCCGGATCACTTTCAACCACCCTCCACACACTCACGGCGTCGTCTCCACACCTCTCCGCATCCGAGTCCCTCAGAAAGTTCCCGAAGAACCGCGAATACACGTGTTCTTTGAGCAACGCCAGTAATGATTCAGTGAACTCGAAGGACGCCGGCGCGCCCCGCCGCAGCGACTGCACGCACTCCAGGAACTGGTCGAAGACCGGACCGGCTTCGCCCTCGCCCTTCGATCCACTTCTCATTGCGAAGGGGTGGCCGAAGGCGCAGAAGTCCTTTTCTATGAGCACGGCGAAGCCTTTTATTGTTCGAAAGTAGGGATCCACTATTATTTGAGCCAAAGCACACACTTGCGGCGTGCGGTCCCAGCCGTCGCTACAGTGCACAAAACAAGGATCGCCTCTGTCCAAATGATCCGCGACGACCTTCGCTGCACTAATTAGTGCTTGGACGTAGACGGGCCAGCGCGATTCGTGCAACGCGCGGTAGTAGTCCTCCAAGGTCGAAGCTTCTGACAACCGTTTCTTGGCGTTGCGAATGACGTGGAAGTTCTCCAGATCCAGAAACTCGAGCGTCGCGGCCCTCGAACCACCTAATTTGGAGGTAGTCTCGTGGCCCCGGCCGGCCAATTGGTTCGCCTTGGCCGCTACAATAGAACGACAGTCGCAGATGCGCAAGATCGGCGCCGTCGTGGATTTGTACGGCGAACTATTCGCAAAACCTTCCTCATCATCAAAAGCCGTCGGGTCGTCCAAGCGCGCCGCGACGGCGCCGCGGCTCCGCGCGGCGGCCGCGCGCACATGGAGGAGAGCGGCGTCATCCACATGAGCGCCCGTGATGCCGGACTTTGGTTGGGATGCTCGTATTAAGGCCGCACCACTAGCTCGATCGTACCAGGTCAAGACAGGTACGCGCCGCTTGGACCGCCATCTGGACCCTTCCTTGAGTCGGGCGTCGCTCAACGCCGCCGGCACGATGAGCAGAGGAGGATACGTAGCACAAAGGTCATAACTCGAATTCGCTTGCGTAAAGCGCCAGCGCGCGTCGGTGGCCACGCCCTGCCTGGCGAACTCTGCTCCTAGGTCGACGTCGGCGCCGCTTTGTGACGGCGCCCGCTCCTTCTGAGGTTCGATGAAGCGCTTCAGCCGATTCCGTCTCAATGCGCGGTCGTCGAGATCATTCAGGCCGAGCCTCGAGAGCAGCTCCGTGTCCTCATCTTCATCGTCATTATCGTCGTGATCCGCCGTCACAACCTGTGTGAAAATCAACCAGTGAGCTAGGTTACTACGGAGACAACATCGCATCGATGGCGTGGGGCGTCCAAAATTTGATTTCCACGCAGATCACAACAGCCTCCGGCCTCGCATAGAAGCGGTCCTCGCCGACGCGCCACTGCCACTCGGAGCGGCACCAGCTCCAGTCGCGATTGGTGGCGCTGCCGACGAGAACGTTATTGATTTATAGGACCGCGTCGTCAGCACCAGCACCAACGCGTCGTCGCGCTGGACGACCTCCACATTTAAGATGGACGCGTGCGGCACACTAATAACATCTAACGTATGAGCCACGTGCAAAAAACGGTGCGACGTGACTATGAGGCACCCTCTGTCCACGTCGGCAAAGGCGTCCAGAGCTTGTTCTGACGCGGGCACTATGGTACCATTAATGTGCTCAAAACAGGCGTCGTGCACCGTGGTCCCGGGCGGGTACAACTCTGATAAAGCCACGGGCCACATGTGTTTCGACGTTGAGGTGGTATCGTCGCGACTTGTAGAGGTTTCTTCGCCGAGGACCGCGTCGCTTTGACCAGTACGGTGCCCTTAACACCACCGTCGCGCAGCAACTGGATATGTCGTTGGCCTTCTTCGAGGAAGACGCGACCTCTTCCCACGACGTCGTCCCTCACTGCCGACGACTTGGACTTATCACGAGCCGTAACAATGACGTAGGCGCCCGCGACGCGCGTTGATGATGGCAATGTCATACTGAACGAATTCCCGTCGCTGAGCACGCGGCCGTCGGGCGCCCGTACTTCCAGAGCTATGTTTCTGATACCGTCGGCGGCCACATCCATCAATTCAGCATCATACGCTACATCATCGTCGGCGTGATGTGATGGAGGCGGCGGCGTCGCGCTCCGGCCGCGGCCGAGCCGCGCCCAGCAGTCGTCGCAGACGCGCTCCGATTCATTTGTAGTGGTGGTGAGCATCGAGGCGGCCGTGGCCAGCGTCGTCTTGGCCAGCTGGGTCCCTACATTTCGTATTGAGGACGAGGGCCGCTGGATGCTCTCCAAACGCATGCTCCGGCTCGAGCAGGCGCCGCAGACCAAGCGCGCGCAGCTCCGGCAGTGGTGCCTCCGGTTCGTAAAGCTAAAAGCCTGGTGGCAGAGCAGGCAGTGCTGGCTCGCGCCGTCGTCCATCCAGGGTCTCGCGGCCATTCTTTGCGCGGCGGCGTGTTCCGACACGGCCTTGCACCTCCTGATGGGCTTGAGGTCTCTCTGCTGCTCTGCGAGTTGTCTGCGGCCCCTCGGCCCGAAGCGGTTGAAGCAGCGCAAGCGTGGCGATTGGGTCACTAAGTGTAGCTCCTCTACAATACAAAGGCTGTCCTGGGGCACAGCTTTTGGCTTTTTTGTTGCGGCAGGGAGTGCTGGCTAGTGTGTCTTACATGCCGCTAGCAGCTCGGCCAAAAGCGCGCATTTGTTGACGAGGCGTCACACCGGTTGGCGCAGCAGTGCTCCGACCGCGGCTGAACAGCCTACGAGCGAAATCGGCGACGCCTAAGGGCCTGGTGCAGCGTAGCGCCTTGCACACTTCTTGGGTGGGTCATATCGGCGCGCTGCTGCAGAGCCAAGCACTGGCGTGCGGCGCAAAAACTAGGCGTAGGAGCTCACCGCATCAACCACCAAATGAATAGCGACTCGGAAGAAGAAGCAGCAGGGGTACTTCCAGAGGCGATCGGAGAGGCCGCCAACGAAGGAGACTTCGAACGGGTCAAGGCTTGGCTAGACGGCGGTAGCGAGTTGGCTCCGCGTTCTGTTAACGACCTCGACGAGGACGGCTGGTCGCTTCTCTTGTGGGCTTCGGGCGGTTACGGCGATGTGCTCACTGAAGACCACGTCAGGATTGCCCGCTACCTAGTCTCACGGGGAGCCCGCCTCGACGTTGCGAGTCGTGTCTCGGGATCCACAGCGCTGCATTTTGCTAGTTCATCGCGGGGTGCCTCCCCAGAGTATGTATCTGTGCTCGTCGCCGCTGGCGCGCAGGTAAATGCAGAAGATAATGATGAGGTGAGACCGCTTGGTAGAATTATATCGGACACGGTTCCTAGTCAAATGCACCATGTAGAGATCGTAAAGATACTTCTCAGATCAGGCGCAACGCTGGATTCTGCCTGTGGCGCGTATCATTCCTTCGACGACGCTTTGCGGGATTGTCGAAGACGGGATCCTACGCGCTATGGCGAGCACACCACTGCAATCGAAGAACTAGTGGCAAGTGTGCGCCAGCATGGCTCCTGGAAGGCCCATTGTCGCGCCGGACATCGGCAAATCCTCCGGATCAGGTCCCTCGTCGCGCACGGCCGCGCCAAGCTTCCTCGCACGCGCCGGAGGCCGCGCGGTCACGACGCGCGGCAGCAGCTCGCCCTCGAGTTCGTCCTTCGCCAGGGCGACAATGGTATTGTGTGGAACATCCTCTCCTACTGGCGGGAGACCGGGTAAGATGTAAAAACGAACCCCACTTATATCAAGAAGGGGAGAGACCTAGGCGTAGGCCCCGGACATGATGACGTCGTCGATCTTCAGAATCATCTTGACGACCTGCGTCGCGAGCTGGACCTGCTGCTGCTTCCCGATCAGCGTCTCGAAGACCTTCTGGCGCTTCATGTCGTTCGTGCCCTGTTGCAAGCAGTCGACGCCGAGGAACGGGCAGTTTTGTGCCACCTGAGCCGCTTTGACCGCGGTGAGCTCGGCGATCGGCGACAAACCACTGTTCTCGGCGAGGGCCATGGGCACGTCGTCCAGCGCGTCGGCGAAGGCCCGGATGGCGTACTGCTCGGGACCCGTCGCCGCGTCGGCGGCTTTGCTGACAGCCACACTACACGCGATCTCGGCCGCCCCTCCACCGTACACAATTCTATTATGCTCACCAAGTTCCGCACGACGCACATGGCGTCATGTAACGACCGTTTCGCCTCCTCCACGATCATCTTGTTGCCGCCTCTCACCAGTACTGTGACCGCTTCTGAGGACGCGCAATCTTCGATCACCAGCATCCTTTCTTTGGTCGTGCCGAAGGACACCTCCCTCACGACTCCGGCCCGGCCTAGTTTGGACGCATCGAGCTCCGAGAATCTAGGGACGATGCGGCCACCGGTCGCGATCGCAATGAGTTCGAGCTCGACGCCGCCGACCCATCTCACCGCGGGCAGCTCCGCCTGCAACAGCAAATGGTTCGCCTCGTCGTCGAAGCCCCACTGGCAGATCACGAGGTTCGCCCCGCAGGCCTTGCACTGCTCGACCATGTCCCCGAAGTAGGCCTGCTCCCGCTGAAAAGCTTGTCGTAGTCCTCCTTCGAACTGATGTCGAGCTTGTGCTTCGTCTTGGGTTTTGGGGGTTCAAACGGACACGTGAGGATGCACATCTTCACGTCCCGGATTTCCTTGGGCATCTGGGGGTGGCTCATGTCCTTGTCGATGACGATGCCCTTGATCAGCTCCGTCTCCTCCAGCCGCCCGCCGGGCTTGCCCTCCATCTTGATCAGGTCGAAATTCACGTCCGTGTGGTCGCCCACCGTCTGCGCGACACTTAACACGGCGTCGACCTGCGTTGTGGAAGCGACGCGTCTCGTTTCCACCCAAACTCGAACAGCACGCTCTGCGAGGCCCGCGACGCCGTCGACGCGACGCGGCCGCGCCGTCGCCGCCACGTTGAAGTGTCAGACACGGAAACGCGTACGGCGATCTGCGCCATCTTCCTCTTGTGCACGTTGATGATCTTCGACGAGAGCGTGGTCGACGCCGTCTCGACCAGTACTTTATCATCCACCTTCTTCTCGAAGTGCACCGTGTCCGCGATCTTCTCGAGGGTTTCTAGCGAGACCTGGCAGGCCGCTTCGAAGCCTTCCGCCACTCGCACGGGATGCAATCCGCGATCGAGCAACTTCTCGGCCTGTTCGAGCAAAGCACCAGCTAACACGACAACGCCCGTCGTCCCGTCGCCGATCTCGTCGTCTTGGGACTGCGACAACTCCACAAGTAATCTCGCGACCTGGTGCTCGACCGCCATCTTATCTAAGATGGTCGCGCCGTCGTTCGTGATCGTCACGTCGCCGTCGGGCGAGACCATCATCTTGTCCATCCCTTTTGGGCCTAATGAGGTTCGCAGCAAGCCGGAGACCGAGCGCGCGGCCATGATGTTGTGTTTCTGGGCCTGCAGGCCCTTGATGCGACTCTTGGCCTGCTGCTCCTTCAGGATGATGAAGGGCCGGCCGTACTCGTCGAAGACCATGGACATGGTGGCTGCCTAGGTGCCGCGCAGCGGTCTTTCTCTTTGCAAGGTTTTATTTGCGCGCGGCTAAACGCGACGACGGCGTGCAGCGAGGACTTCTCGACGCGCGCAGCGCTGCCGGAGGGTTCGATTGCTGGCTTGCCAACGTTCGGTGGCAGCGCTAGCAATCGAGCGCGGCCGTGTACGGGCTGCCTCGCGGTCGTCCTCTTTACAAGCTAGTATGCATACCGCTACGAAATCTGCGATCCTTCATAGAAGTCGTCTCCAGCAAGACAATAGAGACCTCCGACGCTGGCTTGACCCTTCCTTTCTGCCGCGCCAGCTTTTTGTTTCTTGCAGCTTGGTGGCTGGCTTGGCTGATGCTCACGCACGCGCACGGCCGGCATCGTCACACGACAAAGGGTGCAGGCTGCGGCCAGCAAGCCTGGTGAACGCTCGACGAGGCTTCGCGCTCTATTGCATCCGTGCGTTCGATTAGCACCTTACTGCCAGCTGTGGCAGCATTGATGTGGTCTAAACTCCAGCCGTCCGTAAAGAGACTCTGGCTCGGCGCCGGCGGGTTATTCATCGCGGGCAACCTCTTCAAATATTATACTTGGGTCATTGCGCACGACGCTGTCAGCAAGGTCGAGCAGGAGGCGCACGAGGACGCGAGCCGGCAACTGCGCGAAGCAAGAGACTCGGCCCAGAAGTACGCGCTGCCGCCGCTGAAAAAGTAATGACCACTGCAGCGCGTCTCGCGCGCCTCGGCCTCCGCCTCGGGCCCCTGGGCGCGCCGACGCTCGTCGCGAGTTTCGCGCCGCCGCGCGGCCGGAGCGCTCGTGCTCATCCTGCACGGTAGGACGCTTCGAACCAACGGCTGATCTTCCAGAACCACTCCGAGGGGCCCGACGCGACGCTGTTACCGAGTCGCTCGTCGAAGCCGGCAAAGGCGCCGAGGTGTTTCTGGACGCCTTCGGCGACCGCCTCGAGAGGTGCAGCTTCCGGCGGTCGCCGCTGCCCGCTGCGCTCGGGCGAGGGAAGCGCTTCAGCCGTCTTAGCGGACCGCGGCCTGGAGGTTCCCGAGATCGCGGTCGACGAGGCGCTCGTCGAGATCGACCACGCGAGCTGGCACGGCAAGACCGTCGACGACCTCTCGGGCGCGGACCGCGCCTCCGCCGCCGCGCATCGGGCTGGCGACGTGCTTGCGAAGCCTCCCGACGGCGAGTCGCAGCTCGACGTGCTCGAGAGGGCGGCCGCTTGGGTCCATGGGCTCGACGCGCCCGACCGCGTCGTCGTCGCGTTCGGCCACGGGACGATGCAGAACGCGATCGAGGTGGTGCTCCGGACGTACGGATCGCGGCCGCCGGCCGAGGTCTTTACGCGCGTGCCGGGCAAGTCCCATCTCAAGCGCGGGTTCCCGCACGTCGTGTTCGACGCTGACGGTGGGGCGCTGGGTCCGCTCGGGTAGCGTCGCTCGCGTGTTTATATGTTTTAAGTAAGAAGTTCCTAATCGCGCGTCGATGGCGTACTGGTGGCGAGAAAATATCACGCACGCTGTTAGATGTTACGGTGCTAGGACTAGTAAAACCTAAGCTTACCCTAGCGCATAGCCCCTCTAGCCCGGCTGCATGCGATCGCGCAGTAAAGTAGGGTGCACTCGCCCCACGCATTGGCATTCGTCGCCCATTATTGCGGGCGGGCACACACGCATACCATAGACCCAACTGCTGGGTCTTGTGGCACGGTTCGTGCAACACTGCTGCTAATTGCACTGCTGCTAAAATTGCACAGCACAAACTCACACATCAAACGCAAGCATGCAGCGCTTCCGAGCGGCCCAGAATACGCTGGTGCTCTGCGCCTCCACGTTGGCCCTGGCCCCCAAGACCGTGATCCTCGTGAGACATGGAGCAGTGAACCGCCGGCCGCAGGATTAACCCCAGACGGCCTTTATGGAGGTGATGTGGATGTACCGCTGAGCGAACGAGGCGAGGCCGAGGCGCGAGCGGCCGCACAGTTCGTCGCCGATACCTTCGGCAGCAAGGTGACCTCCGTTTTTGCGTCGCCGATGAAGCGCGCCATGTACGGCGCCGAGCGCACCGTCGAAGCCCTCGGCAAATCCATGAGTGTAGAAGCGAGGGAGGCCTTCCGCGAAGTTAGGAGGGGCGACTGGGTCGACAAGAGCATCGACCAAGTCAGCAAGGAGTACCCGGGCGAGGACATGCAACGGTTTTTAGATGATTACGACTTCAACCCCGCGGGCGGCGGCGAGTCCGTCAATGAAGTGCAAGCTCGGGCGAAGAAGTGCCTGCTGGAGGACGTGTTACCTTCTATTAACGAGGGAGAGTGCGCCGTCGTCGTGTCGCACCTCTTCATCACGCGGTCGCTGCTGTCGTTCGCGGAGCCGAGCACGCCCGTCGCGGAAATCTCCGTGCCGACGGCGAGCGTGTCCACTTTGGAATTTACCGGAGACGACGTGTCCATCGACCTGCGGGGCGTCAAGCCGGAGCTCAGCGCGGAGGACGACGCGCGGCTCGCGCCGGGGTCCGCGGAGACCTAGATTTAACAACACTAGCTTAGTATGTATGCGGGTGAGACGCGGTCCCGGGGCCGCCGTCGCGTCGATGGCGTGGAAGAGCGGACGCGATCACGGGGGTGTCCAGGACGCGTCCTCCTTGAGGAGCGCTATCCCGGCGACGACGGGCCCCGGTGAAAGCTTGCACTCAATTGACGGGATGCCATTCTGCAGGCGCCGGTGCTTCTGCCCGGCGGTGATTGCGTGGGCGACACACGTGTCGACGTCGTCGCCGCTGAGGCAGAAATGGAGCGCGCGCGCGAGTTGCGGCGTGGCCTTACAATCAATTGACGCGCCGTCGTCGCCGCGCAAGCGCAAGATCAGCGGCGCGTCGCCATTCAGGACCATCATCAGCAGCCGGCCCACGGCTTGATCCGACTCGCCCCGCCCGATGCGCGGCTGCGCGACGCTGATCGCGGCCCGCGTCCAGACGCTTTTCGGACTTTGCACGGCCGCGCCCAGCGGCAAGGGAGACCAGTAGCTCCCGGCCGGCGGCGCCGGCCGCGGCCGCTTCGCCGGCCGCGCCGCGCCGGCGACGCGCTGGACGACCGCTTTTGCATGGGGCGCGTCGCCGGCGCGCCACTCGACCCTCAAGTCGCGGCAGCCCTCGCACACGACGACCGCACCATCACAGTCGCTCCGCTGGACGACGCACGACACGACGGCGCCGACCTCCACCAAATTCACAGCCGCCTCGGCCTCGCCCCGCCAGAAGACGCACCGGCTCCGGCCGTCGCCGTCCTCGCCGTGTATTTCGAGGCGCGGGATCTTCTTCTTTGGCGTTGGGGATGGATCGAACGACGTGACCAGGATCACGACCCGGAGCGGCGGGTGGTTGCTCCGGTTCGGCCGGGCCGCCTGGCTGCGTAGCTGGGTCGGGCCGCAGTAGGCCATGGTCCGCGGCGGCGGCGTCGACGCAGCGTCCTGTTGCAGCGCGGCCTCCTTTGCCTTCTCTTTTTTTGCCGCAGGCTGGTTTGGTTTGTGTTGCGTGCCCGTCCACACGTAACTCGCGCCTCCTCGAGGCCGCAGCAGCAGTACGGTACTTTTGACAGCGCAGGAAGGCCACTGCGGACCTCAGCGGGTACAAATGCGAGAGCTCGGGTCGGTCTCGAGACCGTCCCCCCGGGCACATAATCCCAAAGCTCGGCTAGCGTTGTAAGACACTAGCAAAAATCACTTGTCCCGCACGTAACATTAGACTAGTCCCGCACGTAAAGAAAAACGCAAAAGAACGGACGATTACACAAAAGAAGAGGGCTACTACTAGGCGGTCCGCGGCGGGTCGCCCGGCCCGTAGCGGGAAAAGGACTCGTCGTCGGACGACGAGTCGTCGGGCGGCGGCGGCGCGGCGGCCTGCAATTGCATCCGCGCGATATCTAAGACCTCGTGGACGCCGAGCTGGGGATTCGCGGCCTGCAATTCATGCAACCACGTCCGCACCTGCTCGCGTTCCACTACGCGATGATTTGACGTATGCCCCTGGTCGAAGCGCCCGCTCACGACGAGAGAAGAGCCGCGGCACTCCGCGCAGAGGTCAAAGCCCACGGCGTCGGGGCAGTCGAGACACCGAAACGCCGCCCCCCTAATAGGAAAGGCGCCGCAGCCGTCGCAGCCCACGCCGAAGTGCACGTACGGGGTTTCGTCGCTCAGTGCCCGTTCCGGCGCCGGCGCCTCCAAGCACTGTCGAGGTGCGCCCGCCGGCGCCCTTGTTTTGTGGGACGCGAGCTCTAGGAGAGCGCAGGGCACGCGAGGCGTGAACACACGCCTCGCGCCGCAAGCACAGTCCTGGTCTCGACAGTCCTCACATAACGCATGGCCGCAGTTGCCCACATAAACGGAACCGGGGGCGCCGCAGGTCCGACAGCAGAAATGTTCATCCTCTGTCTCTTCATTACGAAAGGTCCGGCAGATAAAGTTATGTAAAGGCTCACAGACCGCCCCGAGATGCCGGAACGGCGCGCGACACAAGGGACACGCACTATCGCAGAGCTGGTCCATGGCCTTGTGCGTACATAGAAAGCAGGCCGCGTGGCCGCACTGCTTGATGACGGGTTGGTACAGTAGTTCTCTGCAGACCGGACAATGGAAATCTTCTTGGTCGAAATCCCTGGAGACGCGTTCTTGCCTCTCGGGCGGAGGCCGCCTTTGAATTAGCGCGCGCACGGCGGCCCGGTCTCAGGCTCTTGTCGCCTCGTCTAAGGCCTCGGCGTCGTCCATGGGTCCTACTAATCTAGCTTCTCCCACGAGCCGCTCTTCGGTCTCTCCGAAAAAGCGCACGGCCCACGTGTTCGACTTCGCGTCAAAAGCGTCGCAAATACCGAAGGGCCCCGCCCGGAGGCGAACGACGGCGCCGGTCTTTAGTAGAGTCTTTTTCGTTGGCTCTACGTCGATGTAGGGGCTGTCCGCTCTTGACGGCGCCGGGGCCGGGGCCGCCGCGGCGACGTAGTGCCGCGCGCGGCCGCGCGAACAGGGCCGGCGCGCCCGCGACGTTCGCGGCGTCGTGGGAGCCAGCATCGTGGAGGCTGCCCCTGGTAAGCTTCGCTGGCACTCCGGGCAGCGCGGTTTCTCGCCCCAGGCGTGAGGGCCACCTCGATCCGAGCGCTGGCGTGCCTGGCGGGGCTCGGCGGCGTCTGGTGCGGCCGCCTCAGCCGGGGAGCAAGTTGGCAGTGTGAGAGCAAGGCTCAGCTGAAGCGCTACCCCCCCCCTCCGGCCCGCGCCGAGCGGGAGAGCTCGCTTTGTAGTCGGGGACGGGTCCTTCACGCCATCGCGCGGGCGCTATGCCATATTGGGAATTTCGACGTGGCGCGACGCGGGAGGACACAAGACTAGCTAGACGGACCTTAGGCCGGAAGCTCCTCAGTCGAAGTCGAGGTGCTTGCGCAGGTCCGAGTTCTCGTCGCGCTTCCCCCCGAAGACCGCGCCCGACCGCGTCCGGTTGAAGCCGTCGCCGTGCAAGATGCGGGAAGCCACTCCCGGCGAGTCGATGAACTGCTCCAATCCACTCCGCAGGACCCGCTCCGTCCTCCTTCGTTTCGACGACCGCTGGACCCTCACATCACTGAAACCCAATTCGCTGAAGTCCTCGTTTTCATCCTCACTTTCACTCTCATCACTAAACTCGGAGTCACTCGCGACGTGGTCGTACTCGCGCATCAAGCCGTACATCGTGTCCACGTGGGCCTCGAGGTCGGCTCGCCGTTCGGGCGCGTCATCCGACAGATGCTGCAAGTGGGGCGGCGATTCGTAGTACGCCTCGCATCGCGCGCGGCACCACGCGGCATACGTTTGTAAAGCGCTATCAGGTGCCTCACCGCGAGAAGATGCTTCCGTCGCCCTGTCTTCTTGGGCCCGTTCATAGTCCGCGTACTTCGAGCGACAGGAAGCAGCCAACGTCGCCTTGCGTTCCATTCTATCTAGGTGGGAATCGATGCGCGTCGACGTCCGGTGCCCCAAACACGCGCAAGAAGGAGCGTTGGGCCAGTCGCAGCCGGGCCGCTCCCACTGGCTCGTCGCGCCTCCATTCGGTGAGGTATGAACATAATACCAGTCGCCGGTTGATCTACTTTGTTTTGCGGACCAGCCTTGTCGGCGTAGTTCTGGAGAGAGTGCTGGTGGCTCTCCTCGACAATCGACATGGTGTCTCAGGTCCAACGCGGCTCGGAGCTCCGGCGCTCTTACCTCTATCGTAGTTGGTCTTCGATTCGTGCCCGCAGATGATAGCGTCAGGGTCCACTTTCCCAATAAACCCAAATCATCGCCTTCGCAAGAATGCGACGTGACCGTGGCCCTTCGCAACGAGGGTGTCTCGTCTGACCAAGACCACGCCATGCACCTCGATCCAATCGCTTCCGAGGGAGGGTCCCTTTCAACGTCTTCATCCGATCTAGGTAATGATCTACGAGCCATCTCGGCGTAGGGCTGCTTGCTTCTCGAATGGACCCAGAGCAGCCGCTCGGCGTCCCAGGTGTAGTTTTGAGGTGGCAACGCGACCTTCGCGCCATTCAGCGGGTCGTCCTCGCGCACGCCGGGCACGCTCTCGAGCTTGCAGAGCTCGTAGTCGCGGCGCTCGTCGTCGTAGGTTAAAGTGGCGCCTCCGTACTGGTCGTGGCTGACCGCTCGTACTCTCGTCAACCGCGGGAGCGACACGCGCACGCCGGAGAGCTTGCGTTCCGCCATTTTTTGTGCGGCGCCTAGCGTCGGCGGCGTGCGCTGTCTTTATAGATGCGCGCTGCGTTTGCTACAGCTGATTTGGCGGCACAGCTAATTTGGCGCGCTGAGCGGTTTTTGACAGCGCTCTTCACGTGGCACTTGATGGGCGCAATGCGTGTGGCCTGCACACAATCTCTGCGGGCCAGCGGCAGCTTACGCGCTGAGTTAGGAGCTCTTAATTATTCAAAATGGCACCGCAAAAAAAAAAATTAGGGGGGCTCCTGAATTTGTTGCCGTCGTCTTTGCATTCGATTCTTCCGTATCCGTCTGACAAGACACCCTGGCCGCAGGCGTCGTTCAAGTCTAGTGTCTTTCACTCCGCTAGATCGTCGCGATCGCGCGCGCCCGCGCTCGCTGTGTGCCATCAGCGGTGCCAGTAACGTAGAGACGGGCGCTGTTCGTTCGATGGACAGTGCTCGCTAACCTTTGCTGCTCTCGGGTACGCTTTGGGGTTCAATACAGCATATCCCAAGGAGCAGGGAGGGGCGCCGCGACGCAGCGATGAGCGCGATGGACACGTCCCAGACGCCGCCGCATCGGCACGCCTACCGAGCGGCCGACGCGGTATTAAGGAGCCACACGCCGACGAGCCAATTCGGCAAGAGCGCTTTAGTAAGGCAGTGCCTCGACGGCACCGCCTTCGCGCCTCCTACTAAACAAAGGGAGCGCAAGGCCGACGCGGCATCAGCATTGAGGTGCTGCGCGGCGTGCTTGCGGCCGGGCGCGACGCGACGCTGCGGCCGCTGCGGCAAGGCGTCGTACTGTAGCAAGGATTGTCAAAGAACGGATTGGGCTAGACATAAAAAAACATGTCTGGGGAGAGATGATGCTCTAAATGCGCCGATCCAGTCGTTGACGTCGGAACTGTCGAACGTCTTCCGGTTGGGCGAGGACGCTCTGAAAAGAGCGGGCCTGCCGAACCCGTCGGTGAGCTGGTCGAAGGAGGTCCTTGAAGCTCTCTGTGATTGCTGCTTGTTGCCTGGCTTACAATTGGTCCCGTCCGACGACCGGCCCCACGAGGGTTTGGGATTGGGCCTGCGGACGATCGCGTTGCTGTTTTTGAGGCATGGTGCGACACCGACGCCCAAGCTCCTACAAATGGTCCTCGCGCACAAATCCGTGGAGAGCGGGCCTGGCATGGAGGATCCGGCGGCTTATATCGTGGCGCGCGCGCGCATGGGGCCGGAGACGTTTCCTTCCGGTCATCCCTTGCGCGGGCCCTGCGACGACGCGTTGATTCGGCTCGGGCCGTTGCTGCGGCACGCGTCTTCTGTCCAATTGCCACCGGAGCCTTTATTGGGACTGGGGTCCGGCGAGGATGATAGGGTGGAGATCATCGAGGCGCTACTGCGGTCGCTGGCGTACGTCCAGGAGCCGGCGCCTTCCGGGAAGGTGGATCTTGTTCAGAGGTAATTTATTTAGTCTATTTTTTGCGTCGATAGCGCTCTATTCTATTCGTTGCGTCGATGGCGCGCCGCGGCCAGTTTGCGAGTTTCCCGCAATTTATTCGTACGCTGATGGTCGAGAGACGTAGCGACGCTTCGCGAGACGTGTGATTTCGGCCGTAGCGGGCAGTTCAACCACAGGAAGTTTGCTCAGCTCGAGATTTACCCATCAGCTGAGCTCTGCCTCGTTTTTGGTGTGTCCATATTTCCGCCCACCTTCGCAAACCTTTGCGTACGAGCCAGCGTAGAGCATCTCGATTGAGTCCTTACTCGGTTCGCAGCGAAACTGCGCTGCGCGGCGCGACAGCGCTGCCAAATTCAGCAGCAAAATCGAGCGGCCTGGCCTCCGCGCAGGCGCGTTCCCCGGTTGCACAAAACTGCGTAAAAAATGGCCATCAAAGACGCCTGGCGCTTCGACAAGTCCCAATGGGCGCTCAAAGCCGGCATCGCTTCGGCGCTCGTCCTCGCGACCATTGCGTGGTACGCGCTTGAGTGCGCCCCGGTGTTTCCGATCCACGCCATCGATGCGACGTGTCACAGAGCGAGCGCGGTTTCGCGACGATGGATTCACGCAGGCTGATACCGGCGATAGAGTGCAATGACCAGACGCTCCTGGTCTTCGGCATCGTCTACGTGGCCCGCCTCTACTTCGCGATGCTCGTGCTGTGGTCCCGTCCGCCGGATTGGCACGAGATCCCCATCGTCTACGTCTTCTTCATCCCGTCGATCTTCTACACGATGGCCCGCGGCAAGGTCGACGAGTGCTCGGCGCCCGTGACGGCCGCCGCCATCGTGCTATACGTCGTGGGTTCGGGATTCTCGACCATCGGCGAGTCCCAGCGCTACATTTTCAAGAAACAGCCCGCCAATAAGGGTAAGCTGATGACCGGCGGCTTGTGGTCTCTGACGATGCACGCCAACTACTTCGGCGACACGCTCCTGTTCACGGGCTGGACGCTCGCGTCGAGCGGCCTCGCGGTGTCGTGGACGTGGTGGGCGGTGCCCGTCATGACGGCGTTGTTCGTGTTCATGCACATCCCGGGCCTCGACGAGTACCTCGCGGACCGCTACCCGAAGGAATTCCCCAAGTACGCCGCGACGACGGCGAAATTCGTGCCTTTCGTCTACTGAGAAGCCCCTCCTCCCCTTTGTACACAAATACGCCATGGCCCACCCTAAGATACGTCGACTCTCTTACCCGCGCCTACTATCCCAGGTAGATGCCCCCCGCCGTTTTTTGGGGCGGCGGCGGCGGCGGCGGCGGAGCCCCTCCCGGCGGCGGCGGCGGCGCGCCGCCCGGCGGCGGCGGCGGCGGCGGCGGCGGCGCGGCGCCGACGTCCGTCATGAGCTGGTTCGCGCCCTCGTCGTCCTTCGAGGCCTCCCAGTCGTCGTCCTCGAGGAGGTCCTCCCAGCCCCCGTCAACGAACGCGTCCCAGTCGCGCGACCGAGTCTGGCCCAGCTCGACCAGCGCGATCTGGAAGTCCTGCCAGGTCACGCCGTCGTTCTCGGGCGCGAGCTCCATGAGCTTCTCCTCGCACGTGTCTAGGCTCAGTGAATCCTCGCCACCTAACAAAGCGAAGACGGCCCGGCCGCCGGCCTGCGAGTAGGTCTGCGCTGCCTCGCTCTTGGGCGAGTGCCAGGGGTCCGCGAAGGGCAGTGCTTGTAAACCTTCCTCGAACTCGGCCAGGGAAATGCTTTCCTTGCCCGCAAACACTTCCATCCACGTCGGGACGTGATCTTTCCTGAAACTATACGCGGGAATCCACTTCGGTTTCTTGGCGGTTTGCGTCGTCTCGCCGTCCTCGGCGACGCACGTGCTTTCGGAGAGGCGGCCGTAGATGCTGACCATGTCGGGCGTCGTTAACGCGCTGAGTTTTGTTGCTTGTCTTATCGACGAAGGCTTCTGGAAGCCGTCGGCGACCGCTAGGGTTACAAGGAGTTTGCTGAGGGAAGGCATGGTTGCGTTTGCAGTCGAGTGCTACCCAGGCTGCAGCGACAAGGACTGTCTTCAACTGTGGTCGGGTGGTGCCAGGCTGTGCGTGGGGGTGCTGCGACGACGAGTAACTGTGGTCGTGCCTGTAAGGTGAGCACGGTTAGCTGCACGGGCAGCGCAAAGGTCGTGTCGACAAGTCTGCTTGCTAGTGCCTAACGCCGCTAGCTGCGGAAACGCGCCCCAGAGCCCTGCGCGGGTGGTTGCACTAGCGTCGACGGGTTTCGGATTACGCCAGTACAAGGAAATGGGGGTCCATAACGGGAACGCGCGCGGCCGGCCGGTCGACCTAGGAACACATCAAGTACAACTTAGCTCACCAGGCAGCAACCCCCCGTAGGCGGCGGAGCGGGCGCCGGCGCCGCGGGACGCGCCTCCGAGACCACAACGTCAGGCACCGGCCCGAGTCGCCCGAGCCGAGCCGCGTAGCGCACGAGCCGCCGCTGGAAGTTCGTATTCGAGAGGGCGTCGTTGCCCCGCCGCGCCCTCAAAGTCCGGACGGCGTCAATGACAGATACGCCGTCTCTTACCAACGCGGCCGCGACCACCAGGCCGCTCCGGTTCAAACCCTGGACGCAGTGCACCAGGACTCTTCCCGACGTCCGCGCTTTTGATAGGAAGGCCTCGACGTCGACGTGGCCATCCAACAAAGCACAGTTTTCATTGTCCTTCGCGGCCACGGCCATACTCCGTATACCGTGCTGAAGATAAACGGCACTCATGTCGCGCGCGCCGCCGGGCGCGCAGTTGAGCACGTGCGTAATACTCAAGCTTTTGAGCCGTTCCATGTCGGCGGCGCACCCGGCGTCGCCCAAGTAAAGGTTTGGAGTCACGTCGACGGGCAGCCGGTGCATGCGCCGGACCTCGGCCCCTCTCTCATCGTCATCTAAACCCGCCGCCCAGTCGAGGTGGCGCCTATCTTTGAGATAAAGGCAGTAGGGCTCGAGGCGCCGCTCCTCGTCCACGCCTCGAAATAGATTCGATGGGAGCGCCGCCAAACACGCGTCGAAGCCGCCCCGCACGACGGCCACGTCCAAATTCGGATACTCCCTTCTCACAGCCCGCGCGCTCCTCACGTCGAGGAAGATCAATTTACGATTGGCCTCGCACAGCTTTCGCGCCTCGGGCGTGAGGAAGTCCCACTCGTGTTGGGGCACGTGGACGCTGTCCAGGAGGTAGCCCTTCGTGCGACTCGCGTCGACGACCGTGGCCGTCGGCAATAGTGAAGGCAGGTCCGCCGCTTCTATGGATGTGAGGTCGTCGTCGACCTGTGTGGAAATCAAATTTCGATGTGCTTCCGTAGCTGCGTCTGCTCGATGGCGTTCAGGTTGATTTCCACACGGTCGTCGACGGGAAGCGTCAGGCACTCCCCCCGCGCCACGGGCGGTGGCTTTTTTTGCTTCGCCTGCATGGTGTCGAGGTGCCGGCGGCTCTTCTTCGCGGCGGCGCCGATCGCTTTGCCGCGGCGGCCCATGGAGTCTGCTGCTTGTTTGTGGCTGCCCCTCTGTCGGGCTGTGCGGTGCTGGTGCGCTCTCGCCGAGCGCTGCACGCCCGAGACCGATGGATTTCAAGTCGTCTGACGCTGCCCGATGTGTGACCTCGCTATAGCTGGGCAGCCACTAGCAAAAAATCTGAGGCGTGCTAGTGTCTTACGACACGCTAGCTCCGATTTTGAGCGGAAAGCCCGCGGTCCGAGCCGTTTAAGGCAGCGTCGGAGCAACCTGGTTTCGAGGCCTCCCCGACTGCCTATGACCTCTCCTTGATGATCCGAACAGTGGTGGCAGCGATGCTCGCGCTCCGAGCTGGCGCGCTGGTGGCCAGAGCAGCCTCCCGGCGGCCGCGCGCCGTGCTCCGAGCCGCGAAGAAGTCCACGAGCGCCGAACCACTAACAACGAACTTCGAGGCCGCCGCCGCTTCTGTAGTAGCGAAACCGCAACGATTACCTTTACCGGCCAAAACGCGGAAGACGGTCGCGTTCAATCAACAGTACCTCTGCGCGGGCTGCGGCTGCTTGCTGCCGCCGGAGCACGAGATCGACCACATCGTGCCCGTGGCGCTCAATGGTTCGGACGCCCTGTCGAACTTGCAAGCGTTGTGCAAGCCATGCCATCAGCAGAAAACGCGCGACCAAAGGCACACGATCCTCGACGCCGTGAAAAAGGAACCACCAGTAGTGGAAGAGAAGGAGGTGAAGCGCGTTCCACCGCTGAAGCTGAACGACCAGCAGCGCGCCGCCGTCGAAGCGTCTACGGAACCGATACGAGTCGTCGCCGGCCCCGGCACGGGGAAAACTCGAGTGTTAACGCGACGAGTGGCTCACTTGGTGGAGAGCGGCGCGCGCGCGTCGTCGGTGCTCGCCTTGACCTTCACGAACCGAGCTGCCAATGAGTTAAGAGAGCGATTGGAAGAGGAAATAAACCCCCAGGACGCCTCGTCCATCAGCGTCGGGACCTTTCATCGAGTCTGTTTGACGATGCTGCGCGACGACGTGGAAGCGCTCGAGTCTCCTATTAAGCGCGGCTTCGCGGTCTACGACCAGGCCGCGATGATCAAGCTCTGTGTGCGGCGGCGTCCTTGAGCCATCTTCACGAGGCCGTGGGTGGTTTCGTTTTCGATTTCGAGCCGTTTCGGACCGCGTCGGGGCCATCGTCGCGTGAGAGACCGTCGTACAACGCAGGTGGCCGCTGCATCGCCGAGAAGCCTCCCGTAGGCTTAGGCTGGGACAAGTCGGAAATAAAACCGGCGCGCGTCCAGTCCGCGATTTCGTCCCTAAAAAACGCGGGCTTCGACGCATCATCATATGCGGACCTTACGAAAGAGGGATACGGCGACCGCATCGTCTCGAGAGTTTTCGATCTCTATGAAAAGACGCTGCAGCAGCGCAACGCGGTGGACTTCGACGACATGCTGTCGCTGACGGCGCGGCTCCTGGAGCACTCACCTGCTACAAGAGCCAAGTACGCGGGCCGCTGGAAGCATGTGTTAGTGGACGAGTTCCAGGACACGAACGGCGTGCAGTACGACGTCCTCAAACTCTTAGCGTCGGATAGTGTTTTCGTCGTCGGCGACAGCGACCAGGTCCGTGGCGCGGCGTTGTGAATGAACTTGACCGTGACGCCGTCGCGGCGATGGCGTTGACGCGACACCACATCGTCACTGATCATCAGAGAGTCTACGCGCCTCGCGAGAGAGCCGCGGCCACATCACGACGGTGTCCGTGCCACGCAGGCCATTTACGGGTGGCGCGGGGCCGACTACGAGAACCAGCAGCGGTATGACGATGATTTCGGGGCGCGATTACTTAAACTGGAGAGGAACTACCGCTCCGCGCAGCCGATCTTGTCCGCGGCGTCGGCGGTCGTCGAATCTACAACTCGTAGAAGGGACGCTCTGTCGTTGGAAGGGCGCGAAGGCTCGTTGGTGCCGTCGATCGTCGAGCTGGAGGACCAGGACGACGAGGCGCGGTGGATTGCCGATGTGTGTGTGAGAGCCGAGGGCGACGTCGCTGTTTTATACAGGACGAACGCCCAGTCGCGAGCCGTCGAGCGGGAGCTGCTCAAGGCCGGCGTGTCGTACCAGTTGTTGCACGCCAAAGGCTTTTTTGAGAGGAAGGAGATCCGCGACGTCCTCGCGTATTTACGACTACTCGCGTATCCGAAGGATGATGATGCCTTTGAGCGGGTTGCGAACGTGCCGCCGCGGGCCGTCGGGCCTCGCTCTCTCGAGCGATTACGGGTCCAAGCTCTCGAGGGTGGAGAGGGCATGCTGCACGCCGCGGCCAACGCGAAGAGTCCGGTGCCCGCGCGCGCGGCTTCCAACCTCAAGGTGTTTACCGATGCTTTGGATGAGTTGCGAGAGCTACAACAGGCGACTTCAACACCAATCCCCGCCGAGGAGGGCCACGCCGGGCCCCTCGTGGGGTCGATGGCCTGGTTTTTACTGGAAGTGCTGGTGCGTGCGCGGCGTCCCTTGGCCCTTCGACGTGTGTGGCGCCTCGCGGCGATGGCGTTTTGTGCGCCTCGACGCCGCCACAGAGATACGCTGTCGACGCGACGCCGTCGACGCGACGCCATCGACGCGACGCCATCGCCGCGCCGCCGTCGACGCTTAATACAACGCAGGCCCGCACGGGCTACGAGCACTACCTGAGACATGAATCTGTGGATGGCGCCGACCGCTGGCGGAACGTGAGGGAGTTGGCCAACCTCGCCGCGCCCTACGCCGCGGGCGAGCTCGTCGAGTTCCTGGACACGCTCGCGCTCGTCCAGGACCAGGACATGGCCGCCGACGACACTGAGGAGAAGACACCCCCTAAAGTTCGCCTCATGACGGTCCACGCGTCGAAGGGCCTCGAGTTCCAGACCGTGATCATTGCGGGCTGCGAAGAGGGGTTGTTGCCGCACTACTACGCCACTGCTGATAAGGATGGCGAGGAATTGGCCCAAGCTGTGGATGAAGAGCGGCGCTTATTGTACGTGGCCATGACGCGGGCCAAGGAGTCGCTGGCCCTGACGCGGGCTAGGACTCGCTTGACGTGGGGCGTCTCAAGGCAAATGGAGGCGTCGCGGTTCTTGGATGAAATTCCCGCCGATTTACGGCGCGACGTCCGCGTCGCTGCGCCTCCTTCTTCATCGCGGCGGAGGCGGTGGTCGTCTTCTCGCAGGAGGAGTGATGGGATGCTTGCGGGGTTCTAAGTCTACTTGTATTTTATATTTCGGTCCCGCGTGCGTAAAACGGGTTCCTGTGAATTTGCCGACTTGGCACGACGTGCGTGAGCGCCTGTTTGACGAACGGTCCGAGATTAGTCACGGCGACTCTCCGAAACAACGCCTGCGACGCGTAATCGTCGAAACTGAGCCGGAGCGGCCTGCTCTCAGCTTTGAACCAATGACCACTGACTTTTGTTGATGGAAACGCCGTCGGAAGTCGACCTCCTGCTCTCCGTGTCGCGGCCGTCGCCGCCGCGCGACGACCACGGGCCGCCGAAGCGCCGGCGGTCGCAGCGCCGGCCCAAAACGAAGCCCGTCGGCGACGCGTGCGACGCGCCGCAAAAAGCACCGCGGCAGCCACGGCGGCGCGGCGGCACGCGCGCGCGGGCGGCGCCCGCGCCGCCCGCGGGCGTCGGAGGCATCGCGGGGGCGCCGCCCGCGATGCCTCCGACGACCGTGACGCCCGCGACGCCCGCGCCACCGCCGCCCGCGCGGCCCCCAGAAGCGGTCGACCAGGACGCTCTCGCGGCGGAGGCGATGCGTTTGCGTCCCGCGTCCCTTTTTTGGCTTTCTACTTCTAGCCCTCTCGACGGTTCTGGCCTGCGACGGCGGACCGCCGCGCTCATGATCTAGCCCACGGCCGAGCTACCGCTCGACGACTGAGCCTACGGCGAGGTCCCCACTCGTGGCCTACGGCTGACCCCGCGGCCGAGCTCCGCGGCCGTTTGGAGCCTGCGTTGGAGCGCCACGCGCACGACCTCGCGGCCGCTCGACGGCTGAGGGCCAGCATCTACCCCACAAATACGCCATCGCCGCGACCCGCCACCAGGACGCCATCGACGCAGGCCTGGACCGGGAAATCAACAGATGGCCGACGTGGCCGACCAGCATGACGCCGAGAAAAACAGTGGAGGAATTGAGGCGGCGGGCGGGCGTGCCGCCCTACGACCCCGCGAACGCCTACACGCTCAGCGCGCTGGTCGCGGCGCCCGCGCCCGCGCCGGATTTCGACGCGCAGCTCGCGGCGGCGCTCGCATCCGTGCCACCGCCGCCTGGTCCTCCCGCGCCTGCCTGACCTTTGGCCCGCGCTCCTCTGCGTGGTGTTACAATAACAATGCACATTAGTGAATCTCGGCGACGCGCCCGAGCATTTCTTGAACTTGAAATAACAATTCATTCACATTAGTGACCCCCAATATCCCATGAAAAATCGACGACGCGCTCGACCATTTCGACGGGAAGCGCAGGGAATTTCGGGAGGAACATCGCCACGAGGCGCTGGCGGTGGGCCTTCTCGTAGGCTTTGTATCCTCCCGCCGCGCGGATGTTCTCTATGTACGCGCGCGTTTGCGGGAAACCGCGCCTTGGCGGATACTGCGGCGGCGCGGTTATTACGGCCGGTAGTGCCGCGCCGGCGCGCAGGAGCGGAGCGCAATTGCGTTGTTTGCCACTACCAATCGCAAGCTCCAATGCTCGATCTAAATCCACGGCGCCTGCAGCGATGAGCTGCCTGACGGCGCCGGCCGTACCCTCCTCTGCTGCGCTGGCTAACACGGATCGATGATATTCAGTAGAGGTCCAAGTCCTGTCCGTGAAATTAGGATCGGCGCCTGCCTCCAAGAGCATTGCGATGACGGCGTGGTATGCCGCGGACTTGCTTGTCACACTCCATTGCAACGGCGTTCGTCCATCGGTAACCAAGTCTACTGAAGCACCAGCCTCCAGAAGCACCGATATGCATTCGAGACGCTCCTGAAGACGCTCCGCAGGGTACTTACTCCGCCAAAACACCGCGTAATGCAGAAGTGTGGTGGTTGACCATTCGTTTTCTAGCATGTCAACCTCGCCGCCAGCCGCAAGTTCGCGCCGCAACGCTTCGGCGTCGAAGGCCCTGACAGCAGCAAAAATCGGGGGCCCGGGATCTTCCTGGGCCATGCTACGCGCCGCGCTGTCGGCTTTGTTGAAGAACGCAGCAGATCGGCGGCGGAGCCGACGCAGCGATGACGAGCGGCAAAGCCTGGGTGAAAAACGGGAGCACAAGCCTAGCGCTCTATTGACACACTAGCCCTCAGCTTTGCGCGAGCTAAGCTTGCTTGATCTCCCGCGTACCGGTGCTCAGCACGCTCGTCGGACCACCCACGCACCGCTCGTGACGAGACGCCTGGCTGGCGGTGATTCCTCGCGCCGGGCTAGCACCTTGATAGCGACACCACTGCGAGACGCCGTCGCCGCGAACGCAGCAACAAATGACGACGACCGCCGAGGCCTGCGTCGAGGCCTACCTCCAGGAGCAAGCCAAACAGCAACCGGTCGACAAGAAAACAAAAAAACAAAGGGCCGCGCTGCGCAAGCAGGTCGAGGCGCTCTTCGCCGACGACGCGCTGTTACTGCTCGGCCGCGCGCAATTATCGGAGATAAATGCCGCGGGCAAGTATGCGTTACCGCTGAGCGAGCTCGCCGCATTGCCACGCTTGAAATCTCTCCTCAAGAACCAGGACGGAGAAGCCCTGATCCGCGCCGCGCTGGAGGACTCGGAACTCGTCTCCATCAGTGACGCGTGCGTCGAGCGGCCCCTGGCCCAGGACCTCGTGCAGCAGTACGACGCGCAATTGAGGAGACACGTCTCGTACATCTTCTCGGACGACGGCCTCCAGTCCTGCCCGCCCGGGAAGTTGAGAAGTATGCTCGACGAGGACGAAAATACGTTGTTCCTGCCGCTGGCTTCCGTGGTTGACATCAAGAAGATCAAAGAATTGTTAAAAAACGAAGCTGACAAAGTAGACGCGTGCCGCGCGGCGATCGACGCGGCCGAGCCGGGCACGCTCATCTGCCGCGTCGAGGATCATGAACAGGGGCCGAGAGTGGTAAGGACGCAGGACCTGCCTGATGAAATTTGGGAGTGCGTTTTTCTGCGTCTTCTTTTGTTCTATGTGTTTGGCGGCGCCTCGACGGCGTTCCCGCGCGACGGCGTGTTGTCATCGTTCCACGGCTGAGCCTACGGAAAAGTCCCGCGGCCGCCCTCGCGGCTACGGCTGATCCCGCGGCCGCGCCTCGCGGCCGTTGAGCCTGTGGCGAAGCGCCCAGCATCTACCCCACCGTCACGCCGTCGCCGCGACCCGCATCCGCGCGCAGGCTCCTCGAGTCGAACCCCGCCGGCGGCCGCGCCGTCGCCGTCACGAACATTCGAGGCAAGGACGCGCCGGCTTTGAGATTAGCCTTCGCCAAGGTCGGGACCATCGAGGCCGTCGAGCTCGGCGAGGACGAGCGCGGCGCGCCGACGGCGTCGATTATTTTTGACGAGGAACTCGGGGCGATCCGCGCCGTCGAGGAATTGAACGACGAGGACAACTGGCGCTTCGGCATGCGCGTCCGATTAGAATCGGGCATGGCGCCTTCTGCAGCAAGGAAGGCCGCCGGCCTGCCACCCCGGCCCAAAGAAAAAAAGCCCCAGTTCAACGAGCGCTGCGCGACCGAGGGCTCGAGCCGCGCGGCGGCGCCGCCGCCTCCACCAATACCCGTCGTCCCCGTGCCCGTGATTGTGGAGGAGATCCCGAGGGCCGGCAGCGCGCAAGCTCGTTTATTTGAAGGAAGGATTGTGTTTCTGTGTCCGCGGCTTCCATCGACGCGCCGTCACCGCGTTTCCAACCGCAGGCAAGTTCGGCTTCATCCGGCCGCGCGACGCCAAGTCCAAGGACGACCACGCGTTTTTTAACATGAACGGCGCGCGTTTTTCCGTCCCCTTTGTCTGCGCACTCTCGGACGCCTGCGCCTGCGACAACGCCATCACCGATGCCTCGTAGCCCCCCCGACGCCATCGCCGCGACCGCGCCTCTCCTCCGCAGGCCGAAGAACCTCAAGCTCAAGCTCGGCGACTACCTCGAGTACACGCCCGCGACGGGCGAGCCCAAGAACGGCGCGCCGGGCAAGCCGCGCGCGACGAAAGTGGAAAGGGCGCCGCGGCCAAAGAAGCCGTCGAAGAAGCAGCTCGAGGACGCGGCCGAGGCGGCGCGCGTCGCGGCGCTCGCGGCCGCCGCGCTCGAACGACGGAACGCGCCGCCCGTGTCGAAGCTCGAGGCCCTCGCGCTGCGCGTCGAGGAGCGGCGGTCGACGTCCGAGAGCGCCGAGGTCGACGAGGCCGAGGAGCGGCCGGACCGGCTGCGGTCGCGGCTGCGGTTGAAAGCTAGGTCGGCGTCGGAGCCCGAGCAGCCGTTCTCCGACGTGTCGAAGCTGGCCAAGGGCCCCGACGGCACGACGGGGTTTCTTCGCACGCGGACGATCAAGCCGTTTGGGTTCTCGGCGGAGGTGGCGGAGTTCGTGCCGTCGTTTTTGCCTGCTGATCCTCCGCACGGTGGTGGTAACATATATTAGTTGATATATGTATATTTTAGAATTACCTCTGGCGATTCCGGGCGCCGCGTTCGACTTGCCGGCCAACCGCGGCGCGCGACCGCCCGCCGACCATGAGCGCCCCCTACTGACTTTTCGTAGCGGGTGACGCACCAGCACCCGCGCCGACCACGCGGTGCGCGACATTCGTCTCCAGGGACTTCTACCCCACCAGCACGCCATCGCCGCGATTTTACGCCATCGACGCGATTCAGCAAAACATCTTGCTTCCGCGACCGCCCGTGTTGAAGCTCGAGGTCTTCGCGCTGCGCGTCGAGAGCGGCCGGACCGGCTGCGGTCGCGGACTCGCGGCTGCAGCTCAATGCTCTCCGACGTGTCGCGGCGGCGTCTCGCGTGACGCCCTGTCCCGCAAGCGGATCTGGCACCCTCGCATCAGTGCGGCGGTGGCGACGCCGGCCTTTTGAGATAAAGAGCCTGCTACTGATGCTCCATCATCTTTGGTGCGCCGCGACGCTTGCCAGGGCGTCTGTCCGACTTCGGAACTCAGGCGGGCTCTCAATACTGCATCCCTGACCGTGGTGGCCACTCGCAGCGCGTGGCCTGCGACGGAGCACCAGCAGCAGCTTTTGGCCTCCGGAAGAGAATGATTCAAAAGCGCTGCGCTCATCGGGAAACCAGCGCTCACAGAAGTGCAACCAGAGATCCAGGTTACGCAGGAGACCAGTAGCTGTCCTCAAAGGACTGCTGGTTCCGGTTCAATTCCCTGAACGCAGACGTGTTTTCACGCATGCGAGGGCTCGGGGAGCTCAATACGACGTCCTCGTTAGTATAGTGGTCAGTGCTATCTACAGCGACTTGTATTCCTGCCTGTCTGATCTCTCTTTTTTTTGCTCTCAGACACGTCGAGACAAACGAGCGCACCGCTTTGAAGGAGTTACAGCCATTCTCAGCCATTTTTGGGTGGATCACGGACACGCTGTGAGCCCGCGAGCAGGACATACACGCGCGTAGCCAAGAACAACGACCACCCCAAGGGGCAGGCATCAACATAAAATTCTCCGACGCGCCTGGCGCCGACGTAGCACCCTCCCGTCGCCGTGCGCGTCGTCGGCGCGCTCGCGAGCTCATTCGTTTCAAGACGTGCGAGCTGCGGCGCTCGCGCTGCGGCTGTCCGCGGCCTGCTCGCGTGTCGCGCGCGTCTCTCCATCACGGCGCCGAGCAGGCGAGGCGCCGCCGGCCACGGGCAGCCTGCAGCTGAAGCTCAGCGAGCAGCAGCAGAGCAGCAAAAGAGCGCAGGGCAGGTGCCTTGGCCTTTATGGCAGCGCCGGTTGGGTCTGCGAGTACGATGAGCCTGCAGCACTGTGTTTTTTCAGGAGAACAAAAAGTCGGCCGCAGCTTCCTACCAAAAATAATGTAGAGAAGTAAGATTAGTAGTAAAATTCTATCTCAATCGCAACTAATCGTACCTGTGCGGACACGGTGAGGTGCGTTGAGGCTAGAGACCGCCAAGGCGGAGACTCGAGACTTGATTGTTGGCTTGGAGCGCCTGGAGAAGCCTGGCTTTGCTTGCGGATCCGCCGCGCGCGGCCGACCGAGCCCGCCGAAGGCAACGCCTACTCCAGAGAGCGCCGTCGAGCCGCGCCGAAGTTAAGGAGTGCTATTCCGTCCCTCGGCGCTCCGTTGGCGGAACGGCGCACGTGGAGGGCATTGTCTTTCCTTTCGAATCCGCCGCGCTCCGAGCCGGGCCCGCCGACGCCAACGTCGGCCGCCGTACGGACACGCTGATGTGTGCCGACCTTGCCGAGATGTGCGGGCTATGAGCGGCGGCCCTCCCTGCGCGCCATCGACGCGGCGCCGCCCAGCATCGCCCGTATTCGCCGGCGCCGTCGAGACGACCCCGTGGCGTCGTTAAACGGTACGCGATGGCGGCGTCATCTTGCCTAGTAGTAGTCCAGGTCCCGATCAAAGGTCCCTTAAAGCGGAATAAGGAGAGAACTCGAAACGGCTCCAGTGTTGGCCCCGTTCAGTGCGCGACATCGAGACGACCTCGCGGCGTCGCGATCTAGTACGCGTTGGACGCGTGACCTCGCCTGAGGCGTCCTTCGGGCCTCCCTGGAAAGCGGCGTAAAGCGGGGAACCGCGTCGATGGGAAATGGGCTTGACGTTGGCCTCGTTCTGAACGCGACGTCAAGACGACCCCGCGGCGTCGTGAAAACGTACGCGTTAACCTCGTGTCGCTGGTCTTGGGCCCCCGATGAGCCGCGATACAGGGTATGGACGGGTGTGGACACGAATTTCAACTCAACGTGGTCTGTTCGAGGCAGCGCTCGGCAGCGGGCTATCTAACTGTCCTGAAGAACAACTTCGCCTGTACGCAGGCAGCGGAAATGGGCGAAGACCCGCCACTAACTTATTTTTGCAGGTCTAGAGGCACATGCGACGTCACCTCGGCCCGATCGAGGCCACGCCGACTCGGCGGCACGACAGAAGTAGCGAGGGAGCTCCAATTCCACGTAAACAACTTAGCGCCTCTAGTAGCGGTCCGTCCACCGCCCGGGGAGTGGAATTTGCGGACTTGGAAGCAGAGTGCGCGTGCAGCGCGCTGCCACGCCTGCTCGGCGTCCACGCAGCCGCCGTACGCCGGTGTGGAGCGTCAACCTAAGTGCCGTCGAGCTAAAGGCGCCACGGCGGCCGTCGGCTGCGCGTCGATGCAGCGAGAACCAGGCGCCTGCGCGCACGACGGTGCGCACGCGAGCTGCACCTTGCCTAGCCTAAAATCGAATTTGCCATGCGAGTTCCAATGAGCACCGGAGCCCGCCCGCACCTGCATTTCGCGTTCATGTGACGGGCAAGGGGCCAGGGGCAACTTCATGCACCAAATCGGAAGTGGAGTGTCGAAGTGGCACGTTGCCTCCAGCTGCCGCTGCTGCTGCTTGGCAGCTGCCCTGGGAGCCTGGCTGCGCGCTGCAGCACGGTACGCAGCTGCAGAGGGCCAAAAAGTGCCAATTTGGACGTGCATTTCGCCTTGGGAAAAGTATTAGGTATAATGGGTTGCACAAAAATGGTGATTATACACAGTAGGGTACTAGATAGGGGGTTCGCAGTACTTTTCATGGCCATCACCGTACGTGGCGACACCCGGTCGCCGCCACCGCTAGGCGGAAGGTTCTTAGCAGTAGCAGTCGTCGTGGTGCACTGAGTGTTGGGGGCTGGGGGCTTGGCGAAGTTGGCGCGTCGACGCCGGCGCTGAGTTCGTACTGATTGTCAGCCTGGCCTTAGCAAGACTCCGCCGAGGCGCCGCCGAGGCACACGGGCCACGCGGGGCGGCCCTCGCAGTACGCCGTCGACGTGCCGCAGTACAGCTTGGCCCGTTTCCGTACTTCCGCACCGCGTCGAGGACTCGTACTTGTTGTCCGCTTGGCTTTGAGTGAGACGCCGCCGAGGCACGCGGGCCACGCGGGGCGGCCCTCGCAGTACGCCGTCGACGTGCCACAGTACAGCTTGGCCCGTTTTCGACGAAACGGTCGCGCGCAGCGTCGAGAACTCGTACTCATTTTGAGCCAGGCCGTGCCTACGCTCGCCCAACAACTTCTATTAAGGCGGGCGGGCCGGCCCCGTGCGCCGTCGACGCGCCGTCGGGGCCCTGTGCTCTTTTAATTGAATAAATTATTTTTTTACTCTATATATTACGTTAATGGGGTTTTTTCCGCGTTTGCACGTTGGCGCGCGGCGTCTGGGGTCTGTGGGGCTGCCTGCATTGTACTGGAACTTCATACCGCTGCCCACGGGTGCTGCGTCGCGCAAACAAGGCAGCGGCACGGTGGGCGCTTCGTGGTTTTGGCTTGGGACGCTGTCATCCAAAATTTGGGCTTTTTGGGGGTGCTACGGCGCCGTGCGGGACGCGGAGAGCGACGTGGGGGCGGCGCTGCGGCGGGATGGTGGTGCGGCATCGTACGAGGACACTGGCGCTTGAGGCTGCAGCGCGTGTCGACGGCGCTGCAGTGATTCCGGTGCTGTTGGGCGCTGCCCTTGAGCGCCGTGTTTATGGAGCGGCGCGCGCGTCGCGGCGCCAGCTTGGGCGAGCGGCGCGCGCGCGTACGACGCTGGCGTAGCTGTGGGAGGGCGTCGCGTGCGGAGCTGTCGCGGCGACCGGCACGCGGAGAACTGCTCGTGCCGCCCTCGCCCTCGGCGTCGGCGGCGCCCCCGCTTCGCTCGGCGCCCTCGCACTCGCGGTCATGGCGACGTGGCCTGCCGTGCGAATGCCCTCGACGCCGTCGGCGCGGCGGACCGACGCAGGTGGCCGCGCGCTCGGTGCCAGGACCCGTCTTATTAACTAGGTAGTTCCACGTATCTAATAGCGAACGACGGCGTCGACGCGTTTCCCGGACACCATCTCCGGACCCATGTCATCTCCGGACCATGTCACATATGTGTACGAGAGCGGCGCCGCTGCACCCACACGTGTCGCACGGGGACCCGCATCGCTGCCCGACGTATCCCTCGGGCCCGTCGCAAAGCGCTGCAGAAGCTTGCTCTTCTCGAAAGGGCGGCATTTCACCGGCCTTGCCCAAGGGCTGCCGCATTGCAGCACATCCGCCGAGCGCGCGCGCACGTATAGCACCCAAAGAGATCGACCATGCGGCCCCGCTCCCTCGCCAGCGGCTCCACCACTACACGCCGCGCCCTGACCACCGCCACGCCGCCCGCGCCGAAGTCGCACGCGCTGGCCGCCGTCGGCGTCGCGGCCGGCGCCCTCGGGAGCGTAGCGGTGGGCGGCCTTCGTCGCGATTCTACTCACGACTCGGCTGGACGTCGCGCACCACGCGGTCAACGGGACCTTTCCCCTCGACGTCATGTGCATGGGCGCGGCCGACGCCGCTGCCTACTACGCGGCCCCCGGCGCCGACGACGTGAATGCGGCCGCCGTCACGGTCGCTCCCGATCCGGTCGTCGTCAACGACGACGCCGCCGACTTCGTGGCGTCGGGGCCGTCGCGTCGCGCGTCGCCGACCTAGGCGCGGGCTCGGTCCGGTCGGCCGGCGCCACGCGTCCGAGGCGCGGTCGACGTCTTCGCCGTCGACGCGATCGACGTGCGGCCCCCGGCAAGCGGGCACGCGGCGGACGTCGTCGCCTCGCACCGTTCCAGCCCCGAGCGCGCCGGCGGACGTCCCCGAAGATCCCTGGCCGTCGCCCCGTACATGTTCGGTGTCCGCCGCCGTGCCTTCACGCCACTACGGCCTTGTCGTTTGCGCGGCGTTCCTACGACCGAGCGACCCCAGGGCCGCCGCCACGGCTGATCCCGCTGGCGGGCCCGTGGGCGTGCTTGAGGCGCTGCCCATTGCAAAGCCTGGAGCCCACGGCCCGTCCTCTACCGCATCGATACGCCATCGCCGCGACCCGGACGCCATCATCGGCGCGACGCGAGTCGTACTCACACAGGGGCCCTCGCCGCTGCGCGCGCGGGGCGCCGCGGTCCGTCGACACGCTGGCGCCGAGGGCGCGCCCTGGCGGCGCCGCGTCGTGGAGTCCTTGTGGCCGCTACGGAAGCGCTGACGGTCGGCGCGCGCCGCGCGCGAGCCGCCGCCGCGACAGCGTCGCCCGCGGTGATTGTCTGGACGTCGGCGGGCGAGCTGCGCGTGCTAGTGCGCGCCGACGACGCCGACGCCGCGCCGCTCGCCAAACGCCTCGGCTTGCGGTCGATGGCCGACGCGCTCTGCTGCCGACGCGCTGACTGGCACCGCGTCGCGTGCGGAGCTGTCGTGGCGGGCGGTATGCTCGTGGGAGCGCGGGTCGTCTGGGCGCGGCGAGCGCCGATCGGCGCGCCCATGTTGCCCTCGGGGTCAAGAGAGACATGCTGATGCTGTGGGTGCCGGCGTCGCGGCGGCGTTCCTCGCGGGCTGCCTCGCACGGACTCGCCCACGGCGCGCTCGCGGACGACGACCGTCCGGCCAAAGAAGCGGGCTTACGTCGAGGAGACGACGCCGCCGTGTCCTTCCCAATGTGACGCGCACGAACCGAGCGCGCTATGCGCCCGTGGTCTCCTGTAGTACTAAGGTGTGAAGTATAGTAATGTAATTTATCCGAGGGCGGCCAGCCGGCCTCCGCCGGCCTGTCCGTTCGCGTTCGGCGCACGACTCCAGCTAGAGTTGTGAGACACTAGCCAGCAACCAAAAATCGGCCCGCCAGTGCTGCGTATACTGCCGTTATTGCAGTAGCTGTTACGTTCGCGGAGGCCGCCAAGGACCGCGTTGCTCAGAGCCTGGCGCTTGCACCAGAGGCGGCCCCGTGCGCGTGGTAGCAGCCCCCTGCACAATGAGTTTCTGGGACGAAATGAATCGCGTCAAGAGCGAGCGGACGGGCGACCAGATAGCTTGCGGTCGCTGCGGCTACCCTCAGAAATGGTGCACGTGTGAAGGCGACGACGACTCCGGCGAGGACGCGCCGGCGCAGGACGAGGAGGCCGCCCTCGAGTGCGCGCCGGCGCAGGACGAGGAGGCCGCCCTCGAGTGCGTGCCGAGGAAGGTGGCGCGCAAGAAGCGCAACAAGGCGCCCGCGCCGCGCGCGCCGCAGCCGGCGCTGCCGCCGCCGCGCCAGCCGTCGCAGCCGCAGCGCGCCCTGCCCGAGCCGCCCGTGCTGCAGGTTGTGTCGCCTTCGCCGTCGCCTTCGCCCACCTTCGCCGCCGCGCGCGCCGCGAGCACGCCGACGCGGGCCGCGGGGATGGACGTCGACGACGACGAGCCTGCGGTCTGCCGGCCCGTGCCGACAGGCACGATGCTTGAGGGGCTGACCGTAGCGCAGCTCAAGGCCAAGTGCGAGGCCAAGGGCCTCAAGGTCTCCGGCACGAAGGACGAGCTCATCGCGCGGCTCGAGGGATGGGAGGGATGGGCTGTCGAAGACAGTGCGCCCACGTCAAGCAGCCAGCGCGGCCCGCGCGGCGAGCCCACGGAGCCGCTAACGACGCCACCGAAGGCGGACCTGGAGCACATGCCCGGGATGATCAAGGCTTTGCGGATCAATGGCACGCACCTTTCAAACTACGCGCTAGGTCGGAGCAAGCCTGTACGCAAGGCCTGGTCCCCGGCGCTCCTGAATTTAGCTAAAAAAAAGGCTCCGCCGCGGCGCGTGACGGTCACCAACCTCGGCAGCAAACCTCACCCCTCGAGCATGCGCAACACCGAGTCCGCGGGCGACGACGGTGCAAAGCGCGCGCGGACGGAGGACGACGAGCAAGGGACAGAAGGGCCCGGTCACGAGTTAGACCTCAATGAGGGCGAGTATCCGGCAGATCAAGCGTTGCAATGGGACAACGTCTCGAACGGCACGGACCAGTGTGGCGAATCTCACGGCCCGACTCCGGTTTGCGAACTCACTGGTTATTGCACACAGGTTCCCAACAGTGGCAGGCGGCCCAAGCGGCGTGGGCGGCGGCGAGGGCGGCCGCGGAGCCGCCCGTCGCGGTGACGCCCGTGCCAGCTGCTGTGCCGCCCGCGCCATCGCCCATGGCGCGGCGCGTCGCGGTGCCGGCCGCGCGGCCTCCCGCTTCGCCCGCCGCGCCGACGCCGCCCGCCGAGGCGACGCCGCCCGCCGCGCCGACGCCGCCCGCGGCGCCGCCGGCGCCGGCCGCCGCGCCGCTGGCGCCCGCCGCGGCGACGCGGCCCGCCGCGCCGACGCCGCCCGCCGAGGCGCCGCCCGCCGAGGCGACGCCGCCCGCCGCGCCGACGCCGCCCGCCGCGCCGACGCCGCCCGTCGAGGCGCCGCCCCCCAAGAAGAAGGAGAAGCGGCGGTGGTCGAAGTCGGAGCCACCACGGCACAACCAGATGGTGTTTGGCGAGGACCACAGAGCGGCCTATGCGCCGCGCCAGGCGGCTGGCATGCTTTGCTCGGCGATGTTGCAGGAGGTCTTCGGCGCTTCGGCACAGGAGGCCCGCGTGTGGTGTGTGAACCACGCGGACGTGGCGTTCTCGGTCGAACTCTCTCATTTAGCTAGGAATCAATGCGGCGGTGTCAACGGCAAGTGCTTGGCCGAGCGGACCCCCGGAGTCGGCGCACGACCGTATTACGGCGTCGCATTTACGAACGTCACGGGTGAGGACCGGCCGACGGCGGTGGCTCGGCTTATCCGGGGCCTGCGGGAGACGAGGACGGCCTGGCTGTGCGGAGACTGTGGGAGGGCTCATGCAGAGACCGTCGGGTGGTTTATGTTTAACATGCATGGGGCGAGCGTACTGTGCTGCGGCCCCGGCGGCCGCGGCGACCCCGATTCCTTCTGTCTCAGAAACGACGGGTTCGGTTGTTTGGCGAGCTTCGCGCTCGGCGACGTCGGCGGTAGCGTTGACGAAGCGGCGATCGGGGCCGAGTACGATCTGCTCAACGAGGGCCGGCCGCAAGAACGGAACATCTTCTGCGGAAAATGCGCCGAGGAGGCGGCGGATCAGCGCGGGGGAACTGTGTTTCCGATTGCTCTTCTTGGTCGAGGGGACAGGGACAAGGCCATCAAACGCGCGAAGAAGAGGGCCGAGAAGGTCGCGGAGAAGCTAGGGTCACCGCGGCAATAAACTTGTACCTGTGAACTTAATCTTTCGTGCCTCGAGGCCTCGAACCCCTCCCCGCACAGACTCTCTCTCTCTCTTACCCGCACCTTCCAGCCCTGGCAAGTATGGACCCGTAAAACCCGTTTTTATTGAAAGAAATTTTTTTTTCTCTCGCGCGTCGCGGCGCACGCGGCGCACGGACCGCGCGGCCGTTTTGAGGACCCGAGGGGTTCCACGCCGCGTACCTAAGTAGCGTCACACAAGAAAAAAACACCGCGAAATGGCCGCTTTGATAGCTGCAGTTACAGGCGCCCTCCTCCAGCCCGCCCCCAGGGGCGGCGTTCACTGGGAAGGAATTGTGCGGGTGCCCGGGCACCGAGAGTCCCAGGTCTTCAAGAAAGGCGAGCGGTATTATACGACGGACGGCTCCACCCTGCCGCACTGGACGCACGAGCACCTCGAAGGCCGCCCCGAGGAGCCGCTAGGCCCCGGCACCTGGTGGGGCCGGCCGGAAGAGGAGTCGTTGGCCGACGTCGTGGGCAACCCCTCGCTGCTCTACTACACAGAACCCGATGCGACGTGCCTGGTGGTCGCTCTCTTGGACCGGCCGCGCTTTTCTCAGGGCATGTACGAGAGTAGATACATAACACTCATGATGAAGATCATAGCAAAATTGCGGCCCTGGCAATATAAACATCGTGTCTGCAAATGCAACTTGGTGGCCGTGGACGTTTTCCCGGACGTCGACGAGTTCCGCCCGAGCCCGAACTCGAATGCCTGGAAATCCACCCACATCACCATGCCCGACCCCATTTGGACTGCCGAGGAGATCATGGCGTACGTCGACGGGCTGGGATCGCCCGATGTATACTGGGCTTCCTTCGGTTATTACCCTACGACCTACGAACCGATGCTTCGAGCGGCCTTCGACGAACTCGTCGACGCCCGCGCGGCCGCGGAACCCTAGTATCTAGCTAGCATGCACTAATATTCTTATGGTCCACAAGTGCCACTAACAAAGTCAAAACACGAACCACCCAGGCCCCTCCTCAGCAGAAGCAGCAGAAGCAGAAGAAGAACCAAACACCCGTTCCACCGCCCGCTCCACGTCCAGAAACGCCGACGCGTTCGCCAGCTGCTTCGCCGCCGCGTGCGACGCCGCGTCGTCGCGCCCGCCGTCGACGACGCGCCAGCCCGCGTCCGACGCCGACGCCGCCGCCGCCGCGAGGCCCCGCGCGTGGAAGCGCGTCGCGTCGAGGGCCGCCACCCGGAACCGCGCGGACCGCGCGCGGACGAGCGGCCGCCGCTGCGGCGCGAGGCGGCAGACGAGCGCGACGTCGGCGTCGCCGCGCACGACGGCCCAGCTCTCGCGGACGGGGCCGAGGTCGCGGTCCGCGCCGGCGACGTGGTCCGGCGCCGACCAGACCTTTGTGGAAATCCCCGTCTTCCGTGCTGGCTGAATTGGCGTCGCGTCGATGGCGTCGCTGGTTGATTTCCACACTGGACCAGACCTCGGGCGCGGCCGGCACGGCGCCGGCGCCGGCCTCGAGCGCCCCTGCGCGTAGGTCCGGGTCGCGGCGATGGCGTCTTGGCGGTGGGTCGCGGCGATGGCGTATTGGCACCGCCTCAAGCACGCCCACAGGCTCGCCCGCTGGATCGGCCAGGAACGACGCCGCGGAAACGACAAGACGCCGGCGCAATACAAGCGAGCCGCCGCGACTTCGACTGCCACTGCCAGACGACGACGTGCTCGGCCGCGCCGTCGCGGAGCCGCACGCGGACGGCGACGCCGGCCTCGTCGGCCGCTTGCAGCCACTGGCCGAGGCCCCGGGGCTCCACGACGCAGCGCCGCCAGGGCGCGCCCTCGCCTGCGTTTCGCGGTCGCGTCGATGGCGTCGTCTCTAGGCCTTTCCGCCCGCCGCGAACCCGTCGCGCCCGGGCAGCCGAGGGCTACATGCAGCGAGGATGCGCTCGACAGAGTATCGCCGCGGAGGCAGGGCAGGAGCCGCGCGATAACACCTCGAAGTTGAAAAGCGGACGCCGCAAAGGACCGTCGAGCGCGAGCGTGCCGGCGGACCGCGCGCCCGCGCGGCGCAGCGCGGCGAGGGCCCCTGTGTGAGTACGACTTGAATCGCAGGAACGCCGCCGCGGAAAAACGACGAGACGCCGGGTCGAGACGGGGCGACGGCCAGGGGTCCTCGGGGACGTCGGGAACGGTGCGAGGCGACGACGTCCGCCGCGTGCGCACCGAGCGGACCGAGCCCGCGCCGAGGTCGGCGACGCGCGACGGGCCCGACGCCACGGAGTCGGCGTCGTCGTCGTCTTCGTCGCCCGGCTCGGGCGCAGCCGCGGCCGGCGGCGCGCCCGCCGCGTCGAGCCGCTCGAGGGCCGCGCGCGCGTGCCGGAGCCGGAACTCGACGCCGGCGGCCTCGAGCGCCGCCAGTGCCGCGCACGCGCGCTTGGCGCACCTGCGGTGGTCGTGGCTTGGGGCAGCGCGGCGGTAGCGTGGGCGTGGTCGCGAACGGTCCGTCGAGGGGAATCGAGACGAGTCGCGGCTCTGCGGCGCATTCGAGAGACCCCTCTGCCGTGCAACGAAGAGACAGTCGCCGGGCCGTCGACGCCATCGACGCGACTCGAAGACGTGCAAGGACGCCGCCTCAGAACCGTGGATCAGCAAACAACGCCCCGGCGCCGTAGTGCGCGACGGCGTGCTCCGCCGGCTTGAGCTGCGGCTCTTCTTCCACCGCGAGCGCCGCGAGGCTCGCGGCGAGCGCGCCGCCGTTGAGCAGTTCGATGAGCGCGAGGCGGCCGCGGCCCCTGTGCGCACGACCGTCGCGGCGATGGCGTCCGGGTCGCGGCGATGGCGTCCGAGTCGTGGCGATGGCGTCCGAGTCGCTGCGATGGCGTATTGGCGGGACGAAGGACAAGACGCCGGGGCACTACCAGCCGACGCGGCCGAGCCAGCGCCCGAGGCGCGCGTCCTGGGCGCGCGCGACGGCCCGCATCGCGGCCTCGCGCGCGCCGCGCGCGGCCTGCCCGTCCTTGGCGCGCGCCGCGGCGACGGCCGTCGCGGCCCCAGCCTGCGTTTTTTTTGAGGCGTCTTCCCCCGCGATGGCGTGGAACGCGACGCAGCGCGCTCCCACCAGCACGCCATCGCCGCGACGGTGAAGGCGCCGCATGGACACCGCATGTCGGACCTCGAGCAGGAACGCCGCGTAGCCCGCGGCCGCGCGGTGCGCGAGGCACGCCTCGACGGCGGCGACGACGCGGCGCGCCACGCCGTCGCCGTTCCGGTAGGGCTCGCCGCGCCAGGCCCGCCGCGCCTCGTCGCAGGCCGCCTCGAGCCGCGCGAGGCGCTGGTTCCGCTCGTAGGCCCAGCCCTCGGCGCGCCGGTCCCACGTCTGCGCCTCGTCGCGCTCCGCGGCGGCGTCCGCGTCGGCGCCGTCGTCGCCGCCGTCGCGCGCCGCCCGGCGCCGGAGCGCCGCGAGCGCCTCCGCGAGCGCGCGCGACGACGCGGCGCGGGCCCGCGCGACGTCGACGCTCCGTAATTCTTCGGCCATGGAGAGCTTGCGCTCGAGGGCCTGGGCCTCGACCTCGGACTTCGCAGCCCGCTCGCGGACGCGGCAGAGCTCGCCGAATAGGAATGCGCTCGGCGCGCGCTCCTCGCCGTCCGTCTCGGGCTCGGGCGTCGGCGCGCGGCCGGCGTCCCGAGGCGGGGGCTCGGCGGCCTCGTCCGCGGAATCGGCGGAGTCCGAGTCGCCGATGAGGGCCGCGAGCCGCGCGGCCTCGTCGTCGGCGACGTTGGTCGTCATATTGGCTCTTGCTGTTCGTGCAGCTCTGTCACTGGTGGCCTATTTCGATCTGTGCGCGCCGAGAGACGGTGCTCTCAGGTTGGTCACTGAGGAGCACACCCTGGTTTGTGGGTATGCGGTGACCCGCAGCGCTGCGGCAGCGTCGATGGCGTATGTGCTGTGGCACTCCTGCGCCAGCGTACGGCGACCAGATGTGCGTAAAAGCTCACTACCCCGTGGCCGGCCAGACGCCGAGCTAGCGGCATGTAAGGCACTAGCAAGCCAGCAGGAAACGACATGCAGTCGCTCGAGTAGCGTTCGGTTCGCTACTGGTCCAAAGCGATCAATGGGACACATACTGCGGGCCAAAAAAATTAATTTCTTGATGTCGCGATATTGACGACGCCGCCATGGCGGGCGCGTCGGTGGAATCCTGTCGATTCGTGGTCCTGAGGTCTCCCCGAGGCCGCTTATGGTCGGTTAAATACATGTGCAATCGCCTACGCCGCATGCGCGGGCGCTTCCCGCCAGAGATACATCTGCCAAGATGCATCTCAAGCCAGATGTCTGTAGCACAAAATGCCAAGGTTTTGGATCCAGAGCTCTCTGGAGAGCCCCAAGCACCGGCGCATCCGGCGTAGGCGACTACCCGACCACAGACCTACCCCCGAGGGAGTCCGGGAGCCGATCTGCATCCGAAAAAGTAAACAATTTGGGCCCGATGGCGCCCCGTTCCCGTAAAAAACGTCAATTACCCGAGGGCCCCCAGTAGTCGCCGTAACGGTCTCGTTGGACCCCATACTACCCCAGCGATAGTCAATTACAAGTATATGACATCTACATCATAAGAAGGGTGCTTTTGGCTGCTCACGCTCGGGACGTGAACATCTTTATCTGGACCTCGCGCAAGTCCGTCGGTCATGGAAAAAATGATCGCGTCATGGTCCATGGTGAAGGTACACGGGCTGATGGTCGCAGATCCAAGATCTATGTCCCCCTGTAGAAGATAGTGGGGTCGCAGGATGGACGACCCGCGCCGAGCATCGTGGGGTCTCGAGCAATGTAGTAGCCGCTCAGGCCGGTTATCTGGCCCGTCCCACAATAAAAGCGCCTGAAACGCAAATTTACTTTATAATCCACCGGTCTGGGGCCAATTCAGTGCCCCGCGTACGCACCGTCGTCCGCGGAGAACGGGCAGGTCGGTCGATCGTGCATAGAACGACGGCGTTATGGTCCATCTGGGTAGTGGCGTCGCTGATACTCGCGGGTTCAGTTCCAATGCTCGTTTAACATAAAACGTGGGGTCGCGAAGACGACGAATCTCGCGGCTCTAACGGACTATCTAAAATAGCTCAGTGGGCGCCGATGCGGGTTAGATGGACTCTACCACTAACAAACGGAAGGAAACGAACATAAACTCGGGAGTTGTCTAGTGGAATTCTTCTCCCGCCCTCCGAGCGCGGGCCGTCGGCTCCGGTTCCGTCGATTGTGTATGAAAACTGGGCTGGAGTTGATATAATGTCCTATCTGGACGGTGGATGGCAGCGTCAATCGCTGGTGTATTGTGGCAACACGTAAGACTCATCCGCGAATGTCGCAGCGGGGCACTTCCGCGAGTATGTTCCTCGCCTTCTCAGGAAACGTCGTATCGATCTCATTGGACCATTAGCGAACCGAACGACATTCAAACAGCTCTAGGTCGCGTCTCTCGCGGGAATTGAAAAAGCAACAAAACGGGTTTCTCACGCTTACGCGCCGCCGCCGCGACCCTCACAGACCCCGCCAACGCAAAATGATCCTCACAAATTGCGCCGCCTGCGCCGCCCCACTGGCCCACAACGCGCCGCGATGCGTTAGATGCAAAACGAGGTACTGCAACAAAACTTGCCAGCATGACCACTGGCGCCGCGGCCACAAGCAGATTTGTAAACGTATCCACCGCGGCGGCAACGCGGAGCAATACTACGCCGACAAAAAATACAAGGAGGCCGTCGCGGTCGCGGTCGAGAAATGCGCGGACGACACATAATATAAAAATTGCAAGTTACGAGGAAGCCTCCGAGTCGACGCGGCGGCGCTTGGCCAGCGACTCCGCACGATAGGCCGCGAGCGCGTCCCGCGCGCGTTCATTTCTCAGCTGCGCCTCCGCGACCTCCGCCTGCACCTCCGCGAGCCTCGCCTCCATGCGCGCGTGCGCCTCCTCGTAGCATACCTCCGCGAAGCATTTGGTTTCCGCCTGCGCGATCTTCGCCCTGGCACTAGCCTCCCGACCCCTTGCGTCTGCTTCGGTCATTTTCCAAATGCCATCCACAACTTGAATAGCCGCTGCCGTTGCTTCGCTCTGGGCCTCTAGTAATTCCTTCTGTTCCCGGCAGGCGGCTGGCGAGTTGCAGTGCGCCATGAGGCGTTCTATGTTCTTGAAATAATCCGATGATTTGATTTTGTCTGCGACGTCCGCGCGCAGCTCCGCGTCTTTCCGTCGCGCCTCGGCTTCGGCCGCGAGCGCCGCGGATTCTTTCCGTTGCGCGTCGATTTTGTCCATCTCGGCGCGGTGCCAGGCGTCTCGCAAGGCGCGGCCCTGGACGCGCCATGCGGCTTGGGCTACAAGCATGGTCAACTTGATCAGCTGTCAGAGGTCGAGTTTGCAAGCAACGGCCCACAAAGGAGCACGACAGACTGCGCGCGCGTCCTGCGCGAACCGGGACGATCGAGACTCGTCCGCGAGTAAGCGATCGCTCTTGCGACACAGGGCTTAATGCAGACGACAGCACAAGTTTTTGGCAAACGCATCAGACGCGTCGACGCCATCGCCGCGACCCATAGGAATCAAACTACAAATATACACAATCCTCACGGGAAAACTAGTGCGCCGCGCCCGGCTCCGGGACGACGACGGCGGCGACCGCCTCCCCGGGCGCGGCGCGCCGCCGGGGGAGCCGCCCGAGGACCTTCGCGAAGTCACGGCGCCGGTCGTAGGCCTCGAGAACAAAACCAGCGCACACGGCCGCGAGCGCGGTCCGCCGCCGCGGCGCCGCGAGGCGCCCGCCGAAGCCCGTCAGCGCGAGGCCCGTCGCCGCCGCGCCGCCGAGGACGAGCAGCGCGCCGACGCCGAGGCGCCGGTGGCTCTGGTCCGACCAGAGGAAGCGCGGCGCGGCGCGCCAGGGCGGCCCGTCGCGCCAGACCTTGAGCTCGGCCGCGAGCAGCGCGCCGAACCACGCGACCAGGGCGGCGGCGCCGGCCCGCGCGTGCGCGCTGACGAGGTGGGGGCGCCGCGCCTGGGCCTTCGACAGGAAGACGGCCGCCGTCGAGAGCACGAGGCACCACGACGCCGCCGCGCTCAGCACAAAGTGCAGCTTGACGCGCCGCTCGAGCGTCGCGCGGCGGTCCGCGCCCGAGGCGCGCTTCGCGGCGGCGGCGCGGCCCGCGACGACGACGCCCGCGGCGCCGCGCGGGGAGCGAGAGCGCCGCGAGCGCGGGGTGCCAGGCGAAGAGGGTCGTCGGGACCGGCGCCGTGGCGGCGAGGGCTATGATCGCGGCGGCGACCTTGAGGCTTTGGGGGCTTTTGTTTTGTTGCCGTTTTTTGTCGGGTTTTGGCTTCGTCTTTGAAGGTGGCGCGGCGACCGCTACAAGTGTTACGGCGTCCATGGCCGTTGGCTGCGGCGCCGCGGCGGCCGCCGGACCGGCGGCTCCGTCGATGAACCCGGCCTCGGCCTCGACGAAGGGCTCGGCGGCGGCGACGGCGCCTTGTTTCCCGACGTTTTCGTCCTTCGACGCGGACAGCGCGGTCGTCTGTCGCTTTGGCGCCGTGCGCGCTGCGGCGTTTGGTGCTTTGGTTCTGCGGCGCTTTGGTTGGCAGGGTGGTGCTCTCCTCATGCTGATGCCATGCTGCCGTGGGGGAAGCAGCGCTCGCGCAGCCGTTGCGAGGAGGATCGGGAGGAGCCGTTTGGTGTTTGGGCGAGCCATTTTGCTCGCCGCTTGTCGCAAACGGCTGCGGTCGGAAGCTGTGGAAAACCCGTTTTGATTGCACCCGCACGCGGCTGTGGATGCGCTTCCGAGCGATTCTACCCATTCAATCTTTATAGCTACAGATCTCAGCGAGAAAAGTAGAAGGTCAATTCAATTTAACAGGAGACCACGGGCGCGCGGCGCGGCGCGCTCGGTTTTCTTGCACATCAAGTAGGGGGAGGGACACGCGACTACTACAGGTTCGCGGCGGCGTCGTCGTCGACGCGGGACCGCTTCTTCTGCGCGAGGCTCGCCGCGAGCTCGGCGACCGCGGAGTCGAGCCGCGTCCGCAACACGTCCTGAAGAGCCTCGTTCAGGCGCGCGATCTCCTTCTGCGCGGCCGCTAGTTTGATCTCCAATTTCCCGACCGTTCCCTTCAGCACGGCCATCTCGACATAGTGCCCGGGCCCGGGTCCGCCGGCGTCGACGCCGCCGAGGCCATTTCGCGTCAGGTGGTTCTGCTCCTGAGCCGTGCGGTCGAGCGTACCGAGCATTTCGATCTCCCGTTGTGTTACCAAGAAGTCGGACTTGAGTTGCATATACCTATCTTCGGCTTCCTCTACAGGACATTCACATGCAGCCTGCATCGCGGGCTTCGCCTCGTCGGCGGCGACGTTGCCGTCCTCGACGCGGGCGCGCTTCTTTGGGCGAGCGACTTCCGAGAGCAGAGCGTCGTGCCGCGCCGTCACGAGCTCGAGGTTCAATTGGTGCAGGCGCGCGTTCTCCGTCTGCGCGGCCTCCAGTTTGACCTCTAGTTTCCCCAGCGCCACCTTCAGCTCGGCGATCGCGATATAGTGCCCGGGCCCGGGTCCGCCCAGGTCTACGCCGCCGCGGGCGCGGCGCGTGCCCGCATTCTGCTTCTGTGCTAAACGCTCGAGCAGCCCTTGCTTTTTGATCTGGGATTCGGTTAGTAGCGCCTCGCGCACGCTTCGATCGTGCCTGATCTCGTCTTCGTCTCCGGCCACTTCTGCGAAGTCCCATAGCGCCTGCTTCGCGCACTCGTTCTGGGATAGCTTCGCCAACACGGCGTCGTGCTGCGCGTTCAAGAGCTCGAAGTTCACCTGGTTCAGGCGTTTGACCTCCGCGTCCGCGGCCTCCAACTTGGCCTTCAGCTCGTCGAAATCTTTCCCCCGGTACGGCGCGGGGCCGCCGGCGTCCGCACCCGGTTCCTCCACATCCCCTCGAAGCGCCAGGGTCGTTTCGCGCTGGTCGCGGGCAGCGTCGGCCATGGTGACGAGGTGCTGTCGCGAGCAGCGCGCGCAGATTTGACCGCTCGCGGCGCCACGCGCAATTTGTGGCGCTTAAAGGAGAGGCCAGGCGACCTGATCACCTGAGGCGTGAACCCGCACGGTCCCTGCGGGCTCTACTTGCCGCCGGCGCTGGCTTCGTCGCATGCTGCATAGACCGCGAGTGCGCGCCAGTATTTACATGGGGGATGACATTACCAGGAGACCACGGGCGCGGCGGGGCGCGCTCGGTTTTCTTGCACATCAGGGGATATCAAAGGGGGAGGTTCGGAGGAGGCCGCGCCGGCTGGTGGCCGCTGCCTACGCGGAGTCCGAGCCCGCATCGATGAGGCCGCGGGCCTTGCGGTAGCAATCGCGGAGGGTAGTACCAGGGGGCCCCACATCGACAGGTAATCGCTCAATCATCTCCCACGTGGCCTTGACGTCGCGGTTCGTGATGAGGGCGTCAAAAGCCGCGAAAAACTTTTTCAAGGCCTCGAGCTCCGAGAGCTCCGCGGCGAGGTCGCCTGAAGAGCCGCGGAAGGGGCGCTCGCCGTCGGCTCGGAGGGGACGACTCCATCGGTAGCGTCGCGGGGCGGCGACTCCGGGGCGGGCTCGATGTGGCGCTCCGGCTGCCAGTCGGCGCCGCCGCCCGCGGCGCGCGTCTCCGCTCTCGGCTCCGCGCGGCGCTCAATCCGGCGGCGGCGCTCGGCCTCCATTTCCTCCCTCCGTTCTTCGGCCCGCCGCTGGTTCCTCTCCTCCCGTCTCCTCTCCGATTCACTCGCTTCTTCGCATTCTGCTATGAACTCCGCCAACCTTCTTTTGCCGAGGCGCTCTCTGTCCTCGCGGGCAGCGTCGGCCATGGTGGCGAGGTGCCGCTGCGCGCGGCGCGCGCAAATTCGACCGCTCGCGGCGCCACTGAGCGTAGCTCTATGTGCCTTTTGGCACTGTGTGCGCAAGCGCGAGACCCGCGCGCGGCCGCAGCCATCCGAAGAAGACACAGGGAGAGTTACAACAACACAACTACGGCTTCTTCAGCAACGTCTTCGCCCCGAGCGCGACCATGAGCGCGCCGAAGCCGAGGCGCATCGGCTCCTCGTCGAGGCCCGACGCCAGGCGGCCGCCGGCGAAGGCGCCGACGCACGTCCCGAGGCCGAGAGGCGCCGCGGCCGCGAGCTTGACGTGGCCGAGGCGTCGGTGCGCGAGCACGCCCGCGACGCCCGTGGGCACCATGGCGCAGAGCGACGTCCCCAGCGCCGTCTTGTGGTCGAGGTCCGTCGCCAGGGCCAGGAGCGGCACGACGACCGCGCCGCCGCCGACTCCAAACAAACCCGCGAGAAAGCCCGCAGCGGCGCCGACGCCGAGCAGCGGCACGACCTCGCGGACCGGGTCGTCTCCTGTTTTGGTGCGGTCCGTCGCGCCGATGGCGTCGAGAATCTGGTTGCGGCCGGGCACGATCGGCGCGACCGCGAGCATGAAGGCGCCGAGGGCGCGCGAGAGCGTAGCAGCGCTCAACGCGGCGGCGGCCCGCGCGCCCGCGGCGGCCGTCAGCGCGCCCGTCGCCGCGACGGCCGCGGCCGCCTTGACGTCGACGGCGCCGTCGGCCGCGTAGGCCGCGGCGCCCGCCGCGCCCGTGCAGACGACGCCGACGAGAGAAGTCCCGTGGGCCGTGTGCTGCGAGACTCCCAGCCGGGTCATGAGCGGAATCGCGACAAAGCCTCCGCCCATGCCCGCGAGGCTGCCGAGCGTCCCGGCCGTCGCGCCGACGGCGGCCATCGTGTGCGGCTTCGGGTCTGGCGGCTTGGCGGTGGTCAGGGCGCGGCGCGCGGTGGTGGAGCGGCTAGCGAGAGTGCGGAGCAGCATGCTTACGAGTCCTTGTTCACGGCTACGCGATGCGTGGCGCGGCGGCTGTGATGACAGCCTTGGAGCAGTGGTGTGGCGTCGCGGTGGCTCGACCGGGAGGCGGCGCGAGATTGCGCAGCACTGTGAATAGGAGTCACGCGAGTTGGAAAACGACGGCCGTGCCACGCCTGGCCGGCAGATTGCACGCCTTTGTGTGCTGCAGCTGGAGAGGCTGCAGGCGACCTCCTCGAGAGCGTGGTGCATTACCCGGCTCCCCTAGCGTGAGATATATATCGTACAGGCTGCACACGCCCAGACGACAGTCATGGCGGCCAATCGTCAGCGAACCTCCAGCAACGCGGGCGAGAAAGCCTTGAAAGCCCTGCATGTATTGAGACAGAGTGGCGTGGGCACGGTCCAAGCCGCGCGCTTAGATGCCGTGAGTAAGTCGCTCGCGCTCAGCGACCCCACGGACAAAAGTCCTGATGACGTGGTTGGGCGCCTGACGCTCGACGCGGAGACCGCGCGGCGACTCGTCGACGCCATCCAGACCACGCCGCCGCCGTTGTCAGAAGCGGGCTTCGGGCCCTTACGCGCGCGCAATGCTTCGAAGCGCGCCTGCGACGCGGCCTATTCCCTCTTAGAGTTTGCACGGCGCGGCGCGTGCGACGGCGCATCCCTGCTCCTCGAAGCCGGCTTCGTCCCGGCCGCGGTCGAGGCCTACCACCGCGCCGTGTCTGTGGCGCTCGGTGGCGCCGCGGACGCGCCGCTGACTGTCGAGAAGATCGACGCCTTCATGCTCGCTCAGAGCTGTGCCGACGCGCTCGAGAAGGTCAGCTACTGCACGGACCCTCTTTTTTCGGGAAACCCGCACGCGCTAGGGACGTCGCGGGACGCCGTCTGTGGAGAATATGCGTCGCTGGGCATCCTCAGTCCCATCTCGGTCGTGTTCGCGGCACGCGGCGACTCGCCGCAGCTCGCGAGTCTGCGCGAGGCCACGTTCCGTTTGTTGCGTGAGCTCTTCATGGGAATCAGCGACCGTTCGCTGGTCGATGCGTCGCTGGTCACGGCCCTTGGCGCTTGCCTCGGCGGCGGCGATGAAAAGGCCGCCGCGAGTGCTGTGTGCGCGCTATTTTCGCTCGTGGACCTCACCGGCAGGGCCTCGGGCCAGGACCTCACCGACGCGGCCTTACAGGCCTTCTGCACGCCCGAAATGGTCGGTGCCATCGTAGACATGCTGGCGCGCGGGCACGCTGTGGCTTGCGGCCACATCATCCAGCTCCTGGTCAAGTCGACGCCGCACGCTCGCGCGTTCGCGACAAGGCGCGTCGTCGGCGCGCTCCTACAGGTCGTTTCTCTCGACGGCGCCGCGCTCGCGGCCTATACGGAGCAGTTGCGCGGCAAAGAGCAATTTTTTCGTGTAGCAATTCACGCTGGTTTCCCGCCCGCGGCTGGCGGCCCGACATGGAGCGCCAATTTGGGATCTCCGACCGACATGGAGCACCGGGTCTCGGCGGCCGAACAGTGTGTCGAAACGCTGTCGGCCATGCTGGACGCCGGCTTGCTCTCTCGCGCACTCGCCGCCGACGTCATCGTCCCGCTGGTCGAGAAGCTCCGCGCGAGCTGCGTCAATCCGACGCCGGGCCCGAATCTCTACGAACTTCGGCATGTGTGCTTGGGTGTCCTCGAGGCGCTCGCGCCGCGCCACGCCAACGCGATCGTCGCCGCGGGCGGCGTCGACGTGGCCGTCGATTTGTTGAAGCAGCTGAAGCTGCCCGGGTCGACGGCGAGGCCCGAGCTGACGAGAGCGGCCGCGAGGAACGTCTGCGCGTTTCTCGATCCACTCATCGAGGCCGCCACGCCCGTCGACGCCAACAGGGCCCGCCTCGAGCTGAAGGCATTCGCGTCCCGCGAAAGTCCCGAGTTCGGGACCTTTTGCGAATACGCCGGAAACTCTCGCGGCTGGTTCGACCGGCAGCTCGTGGCCGCGCCCGGCGGCCCGCCGGACTGGCTCCAGGAGGCATTATTGCAGCAGCAGGGAAACTGAGTACATGTAATAAGTAAAATTTACAGTGACTACCCGATGCGCCAAGATACCCCCACAAACCATTACCGCACCCCATCACGCCCGTCGCCGCGTGTCGCCACGAAAAGCGCCACCGCAAACGTCACTAGCGCGGCGAGCGACGCGACGGGCCGCGAGAACGCCGAGGGGTAGAACTCGCGAAGGCAATTGCGTTCCACGACGAGCTTCGCGCCGACGGCGACCCAGTGCGCCGCGGCCGCGCGCGCGACGCCGCGGCGGAGCACTTTTTGATCCGCGGTCGCGAGCGCGAGCGCCGCCGCCGCGTAGAGCACTGAAAAAGCGCCAAAGGCCCGCGAGAGGCGCCGGCCCAGCATCGTCGGCAGCGTCGCGAGCGGGAACGGCGCCAGCGCCGCGACGAGCGCCCAGCCCGCGAAGGCAGCAGCGACTCCGCGCCAGACCGTCGACGGCGCGCGACCCTTCGTCGGCGGCGACGACGCGAAGGCCGCGCCGCAGAGCAGCGCCGCGCCGCCGTGGACAGCAGCAGCGACCGCCCGCAGCGGCGCGGGGTAGGTGATGGCCGCGGAGTGCGCCATGTGCGCGAGGCCGGGCGCGCGCGCCGCCGCGGTGGCCGTGAAATGCGGCGCGAAGACGACGGCCGCGCAGAGCCAGGTCGACGCCGCAGCGAGGCCGAGCTGTACGGTGCGATCGTCGGGGGCGGCCTCGAACGACGCCGTCAGCAGCGGTAGTGGCGTCAACGCTTGCAGGATGGACAGGCGCGCGTGCGCCGCCGGCAGCGCGAGCGTCGGATGACGCGACAGCGCCGTCACGGCGCAGGCCGACCAGGCCGCGACGGAGGCCGCCGACGCGAGGCGGTAGGCATTATTGCCTTTTTCTTGTGGTGCGGTGCTCGCGGCGTTGCGTAGTTTTGATCGGCGGTGCCGGCGCGTTGGCGGGGTTGAGAGGGCTTGTGCGTGAACGGAGAGCAGGAATAGGAGCGATACCCGCATTGTTGTGTCTATACGACGGACCCGCGGGTGGCTTGGCAGTGGTCACGGCGCGGCGCGCAGCAGCGGAGCGCAGGGCCAGGGATGTCAGCGGCGCGGTCGTAGCCTCTTGACTTGCGTTCGCTTGAAGATGCGCGAGGAGAGGCTGCCACAATGGCTGGCAGGTTGGCAGCTTTTTGCAGCGTGCAGCGGGGTTTTTGAGGCGGCAGGCTTTTCTCGCGGCTGTGGCACACTGCTGTGGTCTGCCTGATGCAAGCCCGGTGTAGTTTCGCCGATTCGCGCGCGGCGGCAGGGGTCAAATCGCGAAAAAGGTTTTCCCTAGCGCAATTTACATCGCGGCCGTTTTCCTCGGGAAGCAGCCATCCTCCTTTGAGGAGATGATCGCTTAAAAATAAAGGGCACGCCCTCCGGTTATTCATTGGTGAAAGCAAAAGATTGAGTCGACTTTAACCAGTCGGAAACCTGGTTCGAATCCCTCTGTGGACTGAAACGTCCGCATGGCCTAATGGATAAGGCGTTTGGTCCTTTTTTTTTTGTCTAAACCTTTTTTTTAGAGGAGAGGACCATCCTGACGGAGTTTGGGCCACATTGGTCAACCTTAGCCTCCGCGAGCCTCCGCGAGCATCGTCCGAAGGTTGTCGTGGGCATTCGTGGTAATGAAAACGGCGTGAAGGAGCATCGCTCTCGATCCTTGTCAATGCAAGAGGGTGTGCTTGACCTTGAGTTGCATGTAGACGCCGAAAAGTGACATTAGTGGCGTGTCGCATGCCATGACGTTACGGGCTAATGGACTTGAAATCGTTGTATGCGTACCGCCACGGATGTTGCTGCGGGTCCCCGGTCACCGAAGCGTGCTGGCCGAAAATGGCAGACCCTTGTAGAGGGAGTAAAGTGAAGTCGGCGTGTACTCGGAGCGGACAGGGGCGCGGCGTCGTAACCAAGCGAACTGCGCGTGAGTAATGCGATTATAATGTCCTTAGTCGTCGAAGGGTTGCCTCCAAACAGCAACGATGGCCCCAAAATAACATCGGACTTAGAGGCCACAGACGATGTCCGGGATCTGTCGACGCCGAGACATCGTGAAATAAACTCTGCGTCGCACCGCGGAAGTCGACGCGGGCCCGCAGCCACGGGATCGGGCCGTCCTTGAGTTGCACGCCGTTCTCGGAGCCGTCAAGTACCGCCGGCGTTGCCTCGGAGCTCGCGAGGCGACGTGCGGACCGCGATACTACGGACTTCTGGGTGGCGGCGCGGACGTCGTCGCGGGTCCGCGGCGAAGGGAGCAGGCCGTCGGTGGCCTGCAGGCCGTTCTCGGAGCCGTCAAGTACCGCCGGCGCGGGCTCGGAGCTCGCGAGGCGAATGGGGACTGTGGGAATGGCGACTTCTGACGTGCCCACCCCCCCCTTTCGGTAACTAGGGCACCTCAACGTCAAAAAATGCAAAAAAGAAGCCACCAACGGTCCATGCTCGTCGCGTGTGCGCGATCAACGAGAGGTCCTCGATGGAGATGATAAACCACTAGACTTTTCAGGAAATTTTATTTTCCTTATGACATCAGGGAAATATGACGTCACCGTTGAATGTGTAAAACAGGATTCGAGCCCGGGCTATCGATGCGTTCAATGATGAACACGTTCTCGGAGAAGCGGTGTGGCGGCTAGGAGGCATCGGTCGATCTTTCGCATTTATCCCGAGTCACGCAAAAACCCTTTTTTCGGAGATTTCCCGTGCGACTGGGTGCCGCCCGGCCGCTGCGTGCCAAGAAAGGCGCTAAGGACGCCCAAGGCCCGCTTCTGACTGCCACTGAGCCGCACAGCCCAAAAAAACCAGCCCTAAGCCTTCAAAACCCCCGGGAGAGCACCTGCACTCTGGCAGCCAAAAAGCTGCCAAATGTACCCCGACGAGCCCACAAAAGCACTAGCCAAAGGCCGAGCAATAACAACAACACACGCGAACAACGGCTGGACCATCCGCACCACCCGCGCCCCCATCCTGAGCGTCGCGAAGCGGAGCCTCGCCGCCGACAGCCAGGTGGCCTGGAAGCGCGAGCTCGGGCTCGGCCGCGCGACGAACCAGGAGCTGCCGGAGGCGCTCTACGGGCGGAACCTCCTCGCGCTGCGCCACGACGCGTCGGGCGTGCGCCTCGCGTTCGACGCGCGCGAGAAGCGACGCTTCTTCAAAATGGGTCGCGTCGATGGCGTGTCGCGTCGATGGCGTAAGCGGGGCGACGGCGTGCCGGTGGGGTAGAAGTACTACCACGCTCTCGAGAGATTGCACGCGCCGCGCGCGGAACATTTGAGACGACGCTGCTTGCGCGGTTGTCTGCAAGCGTGCGAGCAGACGACCGCGGCCTGGGCCTCGCGGCGCGGCTGTGATCGGGACCGAAAGGCCAACACAAGGCCTCACAAAAGGCACGCGCCCGAGGCAAAGGTCGGCGCGGGCACCGGTCCGTCGGGCTTGACCTACAAGTCACAAGGGCACTCTCATGCGGTGAAGATGGGGGGGGCTAAAGCCCCCCAAAATTCGCGCATGGTCGGGGGTGGGGTCGCGCCGCGTTCGACGGCCGGCGAGCGGCCGTCGAACGCGCGCCCGGAATCGCCAGAGGCGCGATTCCGGGTGAGTGAACGAAATGACGGTGGTGTGCGACGGAAATCACTACCGCGAGCCAAACAACAAAGGGGGGGCAAGTCCAGGGGGCCACGGGCAAAGGCGAGCGGCCGTCGAACGCGGCGCCCCGGAATCGCCAGAGGCGATTCCGGGTGAAGGAAATAATAAAAATATTTCTACTGCGAGCCAATCACAAACACACGGGCCTCGAGGCACGGCGCTTGCTTGCTAGTGTCTTACAGCCCGCTAGCCCACGGCGCACTCGAGCCCAGGACAGCCCAAAGCCGTGCCCTCGCAGACACAGCGCTCGTCCACGGCTCGCATTCAACCAACCCAAGCCTCAAAGCAAAGAAAATTCCAGCGCTACGGCGGCCGTGCACAAAAAACCACTGAGAGAGCAGCTCTCACAAAAGCAAAAATGTACCCCGACGAACAAGCCGCCACACTAGCAGCCGGCAAAGCAATAACAAAAAAGCACACAACGAAAGACGGCTGGACGATAAAAACAAAACGCGCCCCCATCCTGAGCGTCGCGAAGCGGAGCCTCGCGGCCGACAGCCAGGTGGCCTGGAAGCGCGAGCTCGGCCTCGGCCGCGCGACGAACCAGGAGCTGCCGGAGGCGCTCTACGGGCGGAACCTCCTCGCGCTGCGCCACGAAGCGTCGGGCGTGCGCCTCGCGTTCGACGCGCGCGAGAAGCGACGCTTCTTCAAAATGGGTCGCGTCGATGGCGTGTCGCGTCGATGGCGTAAGCGGGACGACGGCGTGCCGGTGGGGTAGAAATACTACCACGCTCTCGAGAGATTGCACGCGCCGCGCGCGGAACATTTGAGACGACGCTGCTTGCGCGGTTGTCTGCAAGCGTGCGAGCAGACGACCGCGGCCTGGGCCTCGCGGCGCGGCTGTGATCGGGACCGAAAGGCCAACACAAGGCCTCACAAAAGGCACGCGCCCGAGGCAAAGGTCGGCGCGGGCACCGGTCCGTCGGGCTTGACCTACAAGTCACAAGGGCACTCTCATGCGGTGAAGATGGGGGGCTAAAGCCCCCAAAATTCGCGCATGGTCGGGTGGGTCGCGCCGCGTTCGGCGGCGGGCGAGCGGCCGTCGAGCGGCGGCGCCCCGGAATCGCCAGAGGCGATTCCGGGTGAAGAATGACGTCACGGCCGGCCTGTATAGTGCGACGGTTCGCGCCGCGAGCCAAACAACAAAGGGGGGCCACGTCTAGGGGGCACGGGCAAAGGCGAGCGGCCGTCGAACGCGGCGCCCCGGAATCGCCAGAGGCGATTCCGGGTGGAGGAAATAATGAAATTGTATAGTGCGACGGAAATTCGTCCGCGCGCCAAACAACAAGTGGGCCAAAGCTAAAGGGCCAAAAGCTAGAGGGCCAAGCTAGAGGCTCTGAACCGGCCAAGCCGTGGCCACGCTGCCACAGGAATCGCCCACGGACTCCACCGAACACCAACCAAAGCTCAAAGTCCAAAAAAGCCAGCGCTACGGCCGTGCAAAAAAATACCACTGAGAGAGCACAGCTGCCAAAACAAACAAAGCGCGTCATCCGCTGTATTGGCATACGCCGGCGTGTACTGCGCCTCTGCGGCCTACCGACGCTGTACCAGCAACGCCGCACGAACGCCGGTCTACGCGGCAGCACACCGCAATCGTGGGCGGCACAAGCTCTCCCAAACAAAAAAAAAAGAATGTACCCCGACGAACAAGCCGCAACCCTAGCCGCCGGCAAAGCCATAACAAAAACCCACACGACCGGGAACTGGACGATAAAAACAAAACGCGCCCCCATCCTGAGCGTCGCGAAGCGGAGCCTCGCCGCCGACAGCCAGGTGGCCTGGAAGCGCGAGCTCGGCCTCGGCCGCGCGACAAACCAGGAGCTGCCGGAGGCGCTCTACGGGCGGAACCTGCTCGCGCTGCGCCACGACGCGTCGGGCGTGCGCCTCGCGTTCGACACGCGCGAGGCGCTCCGGAGCTGGGCGCTCCTCGACGCGGAGCCGATCCCGCACCGGTCCTTGGCGGCGTCCTTCCGCTCGACGGCGTAAAACGCGGTCGCGCAGGTCCGCGGCGCCGAGCACCTGGGACTGGACGTTCACGACGCCGTTCGCGTCCGCGTAGCAATCAGACTTTGCATAGATGGCGCGGCGATGGCGTGCCGGTAGACGGTAACGTACAAACGCACAGGTACCGCGGCGCCACGGCCGTCGCCGCCATCGACGCGCCGCACAGCCGCCCCGGCGACTCGATCTTCCGCGTGCCCAAGGGCTGGCTGCCCGACTGCGGCTTCGGCGACGACGCGCCGCGAGTCCGGCGGCCGACGTGCCGCTGCGTCTACGGGAGGCCGCCGCTCCTCGCGTCCGCCGCGGATCAGGACGACGACGAGACCGACGACGGCCTTTGCGCGCCGCCGCCGCCGCAATGGAAACCAACAAAAGAGACCCTCGACCTCGAGGCCCTCATCGCCGCCGACGGCCGCGCGCCGCGCTTCGAGGAGTCCGTGGATTTGTGGCGCGACGACCTCGACCCGCACTCGTTCGGCTTCTTCCGCGTCCGCGTGCGCGCGCACGAGCGGTTCTGGGTTGCCTACTCGCGCTTCTTCATCCGCGTCAACGGCGTCCGCGCGCGCGTCATCGACGCGCGGTTCGCCGGCTTCGGCGACCGCGTGCTCCGCGAGCGGTCCTGGCGCGAGGGCGACTGGACGGCCGTCGCGGGCGCGGGCGCGCCGCCCTGCGTGGACCTCGGTGGCGCGGGCGACCGCCACTGCGCGCGCGCGTTGCCCCTCGTAAAGCGCGAGACGGACGAGCTGCGCCTGCCCGCGACGCTCCTGCGGCGCGTATCTGTGCCGCCGGCCGCGGTCGCGTGGTCCCGCGGGCGAGGCGCGACGCTCGTGGCCGCAACGGCGCGCGTCGCGGTCCTCGTCGACGACGCGTCGATCGCCGCCGTCGACCCAACAACGGGCGCCGACCGCTGGACGCGCTGCTGCAAAGCCGCGGCGACGGCTGTGGCCGCGAGCGACGAGTACGTGGCGGTCGGCTTCGACGACGGCCGCGTCGAGGTCTTGGCAGCGGCCGACGGCGCGCTCGCGGCGACGGTTGAACTGGGAGACGGGTCGTTGGACCGGGCCGTCCGCGGCGTCGCCTTCGCGAAGTCCGACGTCGTCGCCGCGACGACGCCGCGATGCGTCGTGCTGTTCGCGGCGGGGACGGGCGCCGTCGTCAAACGGCTGGCGCTGGACCGGCCCGCGACGGCCCTCGCCGCGGCCGACGGCGTCGCCGTCGTCGGCGCGGCCGCCGGCAGCGACGCGCTGCTCGTCGTCGACGCCACGACCGCGAAGCTCGCGTCTCCGGCCGCGGTGTGCGCGCTCGCGCTTCGCAAAGGTCGCTACGCGGCGGGCTGTCTCGACGGGGCCGTCCGAATATATGGAGGCGGCGACGTCACGACCTGGGCGGGCTTCCAGGCGCCGGTGCGCGTCGTCGCATTTTCGGGAGGCGGCTGGTTGCTCGCGGCGGGCGGGCGCGCGCTCGCGTGCGTCGCGCCGGGCCTCGACCGCGGCGAGGCGCCGGTGCTTGGCGTCGCGCCGCGGCGGCCGCGCTGGGCGCACGCGGCCTGGCGGCCCGGCCCGCGCCCCATCCTGGCGGCTGCGGCCGTCGACGGCCGCGTCTTCGTCTTCGACGCGGCGCGCGCCGACGACGCCGTCCCGCGCGCCGCGGCGCCCGTGCGCTGTTTGGATCTTGATGCCGCGGCGGCGGTCGCGTTTTCCGGTGGAAGGCTCCTGGTGGCGGGGCGCGGCGGCGCGGTCGGGGTCGATGAGTGTATGGATGATGTGTAATATTTTTGTACGGTCTTACTCATCGCGCGCGGCGACGGCGTCCTGCGCATTCTCGGCCTTCAGCTGATCGTCGTCCTCCAGGCCAATGTCCGCGCACGTCTGCTCGCCGTCGGCGACGCCAGCGAAAAGGAAGCGCAGCGATCGCCGGCGACGCCCTTGCGATTGGCGTACGCGTCGAAGATCTTTTGCAGCAGCGTCGTCGGCTTCACCTTGAAGTATACTTCGTCGCCCTGCGGGCCCGCGACGGAGATGACCAGCGGCAACAAAGGTTGTTCGCGGGCGCGGAGCGCGGCTCGCGCGTGTTGCAGATCGGCCTCAATCGCACCTGTCACAGGATGTGCGCCTCCGAGCACGCGCCGCGCGGTCGGCACCACATCCTCGAGCGTCGTCACGGCCTTGCGCAGATCGTCGAGCGTGGAGGCGCCGTCCTTGTAGAGCGCCTTCGCGTAAGTCCACCTCCGCCCACCGGCTCGTGCATCGCGTGCTGCCCCTTGTGGCGGGTGTTACATCCAATACACCTCGCCTTGTGGTCGTGGGCCAGTGGGGCGGCGCACTTTTGTGAGGATCATTTTTGGCTTGGCGGCGAGGCGTCTAGGGTCCAGTTGTTGCTAATGCTAGTGTCTTACATGCAGCTAGCTAGTTTCAGGAGCGCGGCTGTGTGAAGTTTGCTGTTCAGAACGATAGCCATCGTGCAGCAGTGCTGCGCCTCGAGCGAGTGTGCGCTAGCAGTGCTAACCCGAGCACCACTGCTACGAAGAGATGGCGCCACGCCTGCTAGCACTCATAACAGCAGCCTCCGCACTCATCGCGCCACCGCGCACGAAGCAACCAACAAAGCTCCACGGCACCTACCGCTTATATGACGTCGTCGTGCCGCAGGGCGCGGACCCCGGCGCCGCGGCGCCGTCGTCGCAGCTCTCGCCGGCGCTGAAGAAGGCCTGCAAGAAGCGCGTGACAAAAAAGGGGAGGCTCCGGCGAGTAATAAGAGTGGTCCGCAAGTCGCTCGACGTGCGGAAGAAGCTGCCCGAACCGCGCTGGACCTACGTCGTGGACGTCGAGTGCGCCGGCGCGCTCGCGGAGCAGCCGGGCCGCTGCGAGCGGCTCGAGGGTTTGACCGTAGCGCCCGCGCGCGTCACGGACACGAAGAAGAAGCGCACTGTCGTCGTCGTCGGCTCGGGCCCCGCGGGCCTCTTCGCGGCGCTGCAGCTCGCCTCCGACGGCTGCGCCGTGACACTGATCGAGCGCGGCGAGCCCGTCGAGCGCCGCGGCCGCGACATCGGCCGGCTCATGGCGGGGCGCCAGCTCCAGGCGCAGTCGAACTTTTGCTTTGGCGAGGGCGGCGCGGGCGCGACGGCGGCGTCTTAAGGAAAGCGTGGTGGTGGGGACCGTCGACCGGGGGAACGCGACGCAGGCACGTGGTCCGACGGCAAGCTCACGACGCGCATCGGCCGCAACTCGGGCGACGTCCGCGCGGTCCTGCGGACCTTCGTGCGCCACGGCGCGCCTTCGGAAATATTGACGCAGGGCGCGCCGCACCTCGGCACGGACGGCCTCATCGGCATCCTCAAGTCGCTGCGCGGGCAATTGACGGAACTCGGCGTGGACCTGCGCTTCGGCACGCGGTTGCTGGGCCTCGAGACGGAAAATAACGAGTGCGTCGGCGTCCGCGTGCTGGGCGAAGCCGGAGAGGCCACGATACATGCGGACGCCGTCGTCTGCGCCGCGGGCCACAGCGCCGACGACGTCTACGACGCGCTCGAGGCCGCGGGCGCCAAACTCGAGGCGAAGCCCGTCGCGGTCGGCTTTAGGGTGGAGCACCCGCAGTCGTTGGTGAATGGTCTGGCCTACGGCGACCTCGCCTGCCGCGTCGTCACGGGCAATTCTAGAACCGACAAGGCCAATCTGTTAAGGCACCCGACCGACGAAGCTTTGTCGAGGGACTCGGAGGCTCTGTTACCGGTCGCGGCATATAGACTCGCGGCGGACGTCGGCGACCACTCCATATATAGTTTCTGCATGTGTCCTGGGGGGCAAGTTGTTCCAGCTCTAACAAAACCGTCGGAGATGGTCGTCAACGGCATGTCCTACTCGCGGCGGCACTCGCTGTTCGCGAACGCGGCGCTGGTCGTGAGTGTTGCGACGGACGACCCGTGCTTGGATCAAACGAAGGGTGCGCGGCGCGTCCTCGCCTTCCAGCGGTCGTTGGAGAGGAAGGCGGCTCTCTTGGGTGGCGGCGACTACGTCTGCCCCGTCCAGCGCCTGACCGATTTCGTCGACAAGAAAGCGCCGCGTCAGAGACCGCCGCCGGCGTCGTCCTATAGATTGGGCGTGCGCGAGGCGTCATTGCACGACGGCTTACTCCCAGATCCCTTGGCGGACGCGCTGCGGGCCGCGGCGACGGGCGCGTTCGAAAGGTCCATGCCCGGATTTGTCGGCGACGACGCGATCCTCCACGGCGTCGAGACGCGGACGTCGGCGCCGTTACGGGTCGTGCGCAATGCTGAATGCGAGTCTGTGTCCCTCAAAAACTTATACCCGTGCGGCGAGGGCGCGGGCTACGCGGGGGGCATCGTCTCCGCGGCCGTCGACGGGCTGCGCGTGGCGCGGGCCGTGATCGGCGGGCAGTGCTCGGATGTAGGCGCGGCGACGGGCGTCGAGGACCCGCAGGACGTCGCGGCGGTGGCTTCTTAAGTTGCTTGTTTTGTGATATCCATGCTCGCGTCGAACGCCGGCGCGATATTCCCCAGGAACTATCGGCGGCGCGAAAACATGACGATAGAAGCGTACGTACCCCTCCGTGATCAGCCCGAGCGCGTCGAATCAGGTCGTAGGACGGGTCGCCCAGGCGAGTTCAGATAAAATTTTAGCTGCATCGTCATCTCTGTATCGCTTCATCTCCTAGACTTCGAGCAAAAGCAGTAGTCAGGGTTATATTTCGCGGCAACTACGCTCACTTGCTTAACTGTAAGGATACGAGAGCGATTTGCTAGAGCTGACTGTGCATCTCTGACAGTCACATTGCAACTCGAACTAACGCGCAACACGCGACTATGAATGAATCGCAAACGGCCGCCCGCGCCGCCCCGCTGGTGGGCCCCTATCCCATCGACGAGGAGGCGCTGCGGAAATTGAAGCGCTTGCACGACGACGGCGCCATCGACGATTACACGTTCCGGTGCATGAAGGCCGCGGCCCTCGGTCTCACGCGCAAAGCGGCGCGCACGAGACTAAGTTTGCTGCACCTGCCGGCCGACGTGCTCTCAAAGATTGCCTCGCACGCCGTGGTCCCCGCTCTCGTCGTCGCGGCCGGGAAGGACCTGGAGGCGCGGACGGCGCTGCGCAAGGGCACGGACGTGGCCGAAAGGTCACGCTACGGCGGCGTCGGCCTCACGGTGCGCGAGGCGGAGCATATCCTGCGGACAACGTATCGAGCGCCCCACGCTAACCTGGCGTCTCGTAGGGCGGCGGGGCGGACGCTTGGGCTGGTCACCTCGCTCGCGGCGAGGAATGACGGGTTCTTTGCTGAAAAGTTCTTTGTGGGATTTGAACTTGTTTCTCCGTTGGTTGCCTATGGAGCGGACCTCGACGCCTCGATCGGACCCAGTGGAAAACATCCGCTACACTTTTTGGCGGTGTACGCCCCTGGCGAAGCGATGAAATTCGCCCGGCTACTTCTGGCGGCGGGCCGCGACATCGACCCTAAGTGCGATATCGGCACGACCCCTCTCTGCTGGTGCCTCACCGCGGGGCGGCTAACCAAAGCTCATTATCAGCTGGCGACGTTCCTCATCGAAAACGGGTGCGACGTTCTCAAGGCGCACAGAGGTTGGAATCGAGCTTTGGTCGTTCACAACCCGCCCGGTGTTCAAGGACCTATGCTGATGGATATTCTACGTCGAGAGCCTCGAACGACGACTAATCTGCGCTTTACGCAGTACTTCAGGGAGAAACTGCTGCATGCGGGGGGTTTTAGGTTTCCTTCTGCTGCCCGCTTCCCCCCTCCCGGCACCAGCGCGGTAGACTCTTGCAGGCCGATGTAACATCCATCTTATCCATCTTAAGGGTTAGACTAGGGGTAGTAAGAGCAAACACGGCTGCGCGCGAAAAGACACGAGCTACAAAGGTCAATCGTTACTCCGAGGACTACATCGCCATCGCCGCCTCGAGCTCCCGCAGCGCGGCGAGATCCGCATCTTCCTGTTTCGCGGGTGCGGCCGGCGGCTGCGTCGGAACCGCAGGCATTGAGAGCGGTGCATCGGGCAGGGGCGCCACGGGGATCGGCGGCGCGTCCAATAATTGACTTTCGAGCTCGTGCTCCTCGAGCTCGTTGAGCTCGTCGAGCAGCTCGTCATCTCCCAACAAATCGCCGCCAGGAGCGCTGATCGCCGCCGAGATCTCGTCGGCGGTGGCCATCTCCTCCTGGATGTCGTCCATCAAATCACCCACGGCGTCGGCGTCGACATCAGCCCGCGCGTGCTTCATGGCGGTCGCTCCCGATTTCATCGCCGCGACGGTGTCCGCATTCGTCACCGTGCCCTCGAGCGCGATGATCTGCGACTCGAGGGTCAGGCGCGCGCCGTTCAGTTTCTCGATTTCCGCTTCGTACATCTTCTTCTTTTTAAGGCAAAATAAAGCGCCGCGCTTGTCCTTTTTGGCCATCTTCGCCTTGGCCTCCGCGACCTGCTTGGCGATTTGCTTGTCGAGGTGGGCCTGGCGCTTTTCCAACGTGTCGAGGGTGCCCCGCAACGACACGATCGTCTGCGCCGGGTCCTTGGACGCCGGGGCGCCCCGCGGCTTCGACCGCCGCCGCCCGAAGAGGTTCATGTTTGCCGGCTGGCCCGACGATTTGCTGCTGTCGTTGCCTATCGTGCGTCCCGGAGGGCTGACCGCGGTCGGCGGCGCCCCTCGTAGACGCGCGGCGGCTCGCGGCGTCTGTCTCCCGAGCTGAGCTGAGCGCACGCCCTGGCTGGCGCGCGCGGCCGCTCTGTCCGCTTGAGACCTGCCGAAGTTTCGACAAGGCAGCGGCTCTCTCCGGCGGGCGGAGGCGAGCGCTGGTCTGCGGAGCTGAAAGCTGTCACGCAGGAGGGTTCCGGCTAACAGTTAACGCGTCGCCGGCTAGCTGTGGGCCCGCACTGCGTAACCCCAATTAATCTTTGTCTCTTGGTAAAGCTGTAAAGCTAGCGGCAAGTAAGACATACTAGCGCCTGGGAACTATCGCGGCGCCTAGGGAGGGGTCTCGGCCAATAAGTAAGGCGGAAAAACGGGTTTCTCAGGCATCCGAAGTAAACTATTCATATATACCTCGGCGCCAGACGACGACGCCGGATCGGGTTCCACGTGGAATGGATCGGGGCAAGCACGCCATCGACGAAGGCAAAAAAGATTCACGAGATAATAGGGGTTATTAATAGGTGTCCCGTCCACGGCAGCATATCGCCGCCGCGCGGGGGACTCGATGGGGGGGGGTCGTTTTTCGCCGGAGGCCTGGAGCCCGCGGCACATACATAGGGTTGATATCAGTCAGCGGCTCGCCCAGGCCAGGATCTGCACCCGCGGCCCTTTTGGTAAGCCTAGAGCTGCCAGGTCGTCGTCCGTCATGCGCACCAAAGTTTGCACGCTCACGTCCTCGCGCGCGAAGGTGGCCTCGTACCTTTCTAAGCCTAATGAACGTAGGGCCTCGCGGACCGCCGGCTGGGCCCGCTCCGGCGTCTCTGTCTGAGCGAGGCGCACCATGAGGTCGGGCCGGCCCGGCTGCTCGACGAGCGTGACGACGTCTTTGAGTTGAGGCGCTCTCAGTAATGCGGCCAGGGACTCGTAGTCGCCGAAGAGCGTCTCGACCAATGCTGAACCGAAGTCCCGCTCGAACGCTCTGGACAGGTGGTTGCAGCAGATGCCGCGGGACTCGCCCCGCGCCAGTATCGACCGGAGTTGGGCAACGAGCTCGGCCCAGCCTAGGTTCTGGCGCGTTTCGGGGGTGTCGTCGGCCGTGGCGTCGACGTCGCGCCCGGCCAGTAGAGCGGCATTGGCCGTGAGCATGCGTCGGAGCGCGGCGCCCGCGCCCGCGGCGTTGACACCATAAGCACTCACGAAGACGCCGCCGCCGTCGCGCGGTCGCACCTCGACCCTACAATGGTCGCCGCGTTTCGCGCGCTTTCGCGTTTCTCTTCGCCGCTTGAGCTTTTGTATAGCGGAAGCATTCCCGGCCTCGACGGCGCTTTGCGTGTGGGCCCGGAGCTGCTCGATCGGGGCTGCTCTTCTAGCGGGTAAGTCCGCCGTCGCGAGCCAGGGCGTCTTCTGCTCGTCCACGGGCACGACCTTGAGCGCGATGCGATCCAGAGCGGAAGCACCGTCGGACGCGACCGAGGACGACACCGACGAGGCCCGCGGTCTTGGTAAAGGCGGCGCGCCGGCGGGCCGCGTCGCGGCGGAGGCCCAGGTCGGCTCCGCTTCAGCTAGACCGGGCGGCGGCGGCGGCTGCGCCGCTGCTGGGCGGTCGAAGGCGCCGAGCGGCTGCTGCGCCGGTTCGTCGAGCATGCCCGCCAACCACGGCGGCGACGGGTCCGGCTGTCTTGGAGGCGGTCTCTGTTCGGCGAGGCCCAGCTGCCGCAGGTCCGACGCGAGCTCCGTGTCGGGCCGCGGTGCCGGCCGTTGTGGTCTTTGCTGCGGCGTCCAGGCCGGCGCGTCGAGCGTCGCGAGTAGTGACGCGGCCCCGCGATCCGCGAACTCCGCCGGCGACGGTCTTGGCGGTGGCTGTTGGTAGCCCCACGGCGTATCCGAGGCGTACGAGCTTTCCGTCACACCATCTGAGAGATCAGACGGCAGTCGCGCCCGCCGATCGTCGAAGGACGACGCTCGCGGCCGCTGGTCGTAGTAGCCGCCGTACGGCGCCTGTCTTTGGGGAGGCGGCGCCCACGTCCGCGGCTCCGGCACGCGCGGCGGCGCTCGCGGGATGTCCAACGGCGGCTCGGGCCGCTTGAGCTCGGCCATGTCGCCCTCCTCCCAGGTCACGAAGCCGCTCTGCCAGCACAGACTTTTCGAGGAGAGATGGAGCTTGAAGTCGACGACCTGCCCTTGCTCGGGCAATTGCTTGCCCTGGCAGCGGTGGCGGTGGCAGAAGACGTCCTCGAACCTGTGTCGGGATGGACGCGTTCGCTTTTCGCGTCGTGGTAGTGCGGCGACGGCGTGTGTTGTGTGTTGTGTGCGCGCGGCGACGGCGCGCACAACGGTAAGTCCACCTCGACGCCATCGAGGCGACGCCGTGGGAACGACGTCGCGTCGATGGCGCCAACGTCGCAAAACCGCCACGCCGTCGAGCCGACACCGTCATAGAAACGACGGCGCGTCGACGGCGCCGCGGCGCGCGCCGGTGACGCGAGGCCACCAGTTCACACCAGTTCACACCAGCGCCACCGCGCCGTCGCCGGCAATGCGCGCGCCGCGCGCCGGCCGCCGCAAGCCCCACACCATTGTGAGTTGAAGGCGCCTTGAAGTTGACAAACACAGGAAACGCACCCGTCGTCCATCTCGATGAGGCAGTGGTCGTCCCAGTCCTCGCGCCTTCGGACGATGCCCCGCGCGAGCTCGCCGTGCTTTCTTCGCGGCCGCTTCTTTTTTGCCGGTCGCGCTAACTGAGAAGGAAGCGGCTCCTGGGCCCGATAGGGCCCCGGATCCCCGTAAGTGGGCGCCGGCTGCTCGTAGCGCGGCTCGGGCGGGCGGCCGTAGGCGGCCGCCAAAGCCATCGAGTCGGCGTAGGCCTGGCGACTTTGCGGTTGCTGGGCGCGGCGCCTGTGTAGTATACAAATCGTCGACGGCGTGTGGACGCGTTGGAACGCGAGTGGACGGCCGTCGGAAGGCCATCCTAGAGTTTCCTCGAGCGCCGCCGTTCGAACGCGCGCCGGCGCGACAGACTCTCCATGACAAGAAAGGCCCCTCGGCGGACGTCGGACGCCGAGCGCGCACGCGGCCTCCCAGCCGCCGTCGTCGAGGGGCGCCGGGCCGCCGAGGCCGCCCGCCGCCGTGGGCGAAGGCGCGCCGTACGGCGAGTAGCCTTGGGCCGTGTTTAAAATGGTGCTGTCGGGCCCGCGGCGGTCGTGGTGCGCGCCGCTACTTCTTTAGATGTTTGCTGCGGGCCCCTTTTTCAATCGGGGCCCTGGGCGCTACCCTGGAGGTGCGCCGCGAATCGAGGCGCTTTAAACTTGTTTGGGGGCCCGCTGAGCCGATTTGAATTCGCTCAGCGACACCAGCGCTGCAGAACGTCTTCGCCCGCGCCCTAAACGTGTCCTATCTGTTACACGTGGGCTAGTTGGCGCGTGGAGGCGTTCTTATCCACGCGGCTCCTCACCAGCCCAGCAACATTTTGAGTGTAGATTGGTGGAACTAGGCAGCCCCTAATAAGCGTCTCGACACCCGTCTGGACGTCAGAACGGCAGCCCGCGACGACCTGCGAGCGCTCGACGAGTTGCAGCGAGTTTAAACGAGTTTTGATTTCAGCCGTCCAACGCGTCCCGAGCTCGAGGGTTCTCCCCCAGCTCGCCGCACGGGTCTCTCCTGGCGTCCGAGAGGGCTGCTTCGGCGGCCCGGCGTACTCTAGTGAGCAGCGAGGCTCGACATCGCCGCTTAAGGTGCGTCCGCCCGCCGCCGCTTCGCCGCGGCATCGAACGTCGCGGATCCGAGACGGGCGGCGCGTCGTTCGCGCCGACCAAGCCGCGGTTCCGCAACTTTAGTTTGTTCTTATACAACCAAGATGACCTAAAGCAGTCGTGTGGCCGCGCGTCGGGGCGAGACTGGGCGTTTTGCCCTGTTGCTTTTGCCAGCGGTCTGAGCGAGACCTCGCACGGCTGGAGCGCTCGCCTGGAGGGCTTCGCGGGCGGCTCGCGGGCCTTTGTCCATTTTGCCTCGCTTTGACATCGCCGTCTTTTGGTGCGTCTAACAGAGCCGCTACGCAAAACCGGACGCAATCGCTCGTCGCACCGTCTTACTGACAACCCATCGCTGCTCGGTGGCTCGAATCGCTGCACGCCGGCGGCCGCACGGCACCCAAACAAGGCAGCAGCCAGCTTACGAGCAAGCGGTGCCTCGCCGGCCGCGCGCGCACTCCAGCTTACGAGCAAACGTGCCTCGCCGGCCGCGCGCGCACCGCACACACACAAAGGCTCGCGCGCCGCACGAAACGCAAGCAGCTCACCCCTCGCAACCGTAGGTACCGCTTGACTCGCGCACAGACGCGGTCGAGTGCCTCGTCGAGGCTCAAAGGTCTTTTAAGGCGACACAAAGATGGCGGAAGAAGAAGCCCCCAAGGCCTGGTCCTTCGCGGACCAGAACAAGGACGAGCAGGCCGTCGCGCTCGCCGCGCTGGTCCTCGACCAGTGCGGCGAGGGCGACGACAAGTTCGCGCCCGAGAAGTTCGAGGCCGTGCTGAAGGCCGCGGGCCTCTCGGTCGCGCCGCACTGGGTGTCGGTGTTCTCGAAGGCGGCGACGCTCGCCGGCGACCTCGACTGCATGTGCGGCGCGCCGGGATCGGGCGGCGGCGGCGGCGGCGGCGGCGGCGGTGGCGGCGGCGGGGCCGCGGCGGCCGAGGAGGAGAAGAAGGAAGAGGAGGAGGAGGAAGAGGTCGACATGGGCGGCGGCATGGACATGTTCGGCGACGGCGGCGGCGGCGACGATTATTAGTAAGTGTTCTTTCTCAAAACTCTACTATACACACTATACACACTATATCAGTCTCACGCGAGCTCACAGAGCGGCGCTCGGGCGTCGTCGTGCATGCGCTTCCACGCCGCGGGGAGCCAGGTGTGCAGGCGCCACGGCGCGAGGGGCCGAGCCCGGAGGTGTTGCTCGGCGTCGATGCCCAGCTCCGCGTGCGCGAGCAGCTGGTTGAGTTCGTTGTGCGACGGCAGGTTCACTCCCAGGTCGTTGTTTTGGCTGCCGAATTTTGGGAGAGCTTCTCCTTCGCGGCCTCGCCTCAACGGCGAGGGGGGGGTCACGCAGCCGGTGCGTGACCCGACGTTTCCTGGGCCCCGCGACCCGCTCGGGGTGCGACGAGCCTTCCCGGCGGCCGACGCCACTAGGACGCGAGCGCCGCCGGCCGCGCGCCTCGCGGTCGCCGCGGCGAGCGAGCGCGACCCCCGTACTCGTGCACCGGGAGCTCAACGCCGCCGCCGCGGAGACGCCTGCGTGCGGGTCGCGCCCCGCGACGATCGAGCACTGGCCACCAATCAAGCTGCCCGAGCACAACAAGCACTTACAGCGCACCATCGATCGTCATACTGCACGGAACCATCCCCCATCGATCGAAGCTTGAACAGAAACCAGCCATAGGCTGCCCGCGAAGCCGCAGGCATGGTCAGTTCCTTCCTGCTGAAAAAGGGCGGCTCGGTGGTCGGCCTGCGTAGGAATTGGAAGCGACGCTGGTTCCTGCTCGAGAACGACACGTGCGAGCTCCACTACTACGCGGACCCCTCTTTGATGGATCAGAAGGGCACCGTGCGGCTCTCCGCGAAATCGTCGGTGCGCGTGCCCGAGACAGTGAGCATGCGCGGCCGCCACCGGCCGAAGCCGGGCGAGGCGACGCACTATTTTGAACTCTGGGACGTCCAAGATGCTCATGGTAGATCAAGGAAAACTTTCAAGGTCCGAGCGGAGTCTCCTAGAGATTTTGCCAACTGGCTCGAAGCTTTGGATGCGTGCCTCCGCCGGTTGCGGGGCGACGCGGAGGCCATGTCGCGGTCCTCGAACGAGGCCTGGGCCGCGCCTCACACTCCACGCAGTTCAGGCGGGAGGCAGGAGAGCGTGTCTTCAATTGATGATGATGACTACCCCGCGGTGCGCGCGTCGATGGCGTCGCAGCGGACGCGGCCTTCTGTAAGGGCAGCATCACCACCGATGCCCGCCACATTGCCGTTAGCGCCCCATCCGGCGACCGTGGAAACACCTAGATCAGAAACTCATGACATCGACGCCATCCTGAGCCACAGCGAAACCTCAAAACGCGAGAAGATCATGGCCATCAACCGACTCGCGATTCCCGGTCCGCTGAAGATGGCCGGAATCCGCGCGGCGACCAACGGTGTAAAAGCTCTGGCGCCGCGGCCGCCTCCAGCGCCGTCCGACCCGTCTCTGCCAAAGAAGCGGGACGATTTGCGCGGGCTCATCGCGTCGACAGACGCCTGCGCGCTGGAAGCGGCCGTCGACGCCGTGATCGGCGCGGGCGCCGACTACGACGACGATTTACTGATAGCAGCACGTACTAGAGTAGACTTCCTCGTGAAGACGGACGACGCGCGCGCGGAGCTGGAAAAGGCCCTGGCGGCCTGCAGCGACGACGCGTCGGCTCTAGGCGACGCGGCCGCGCGCGCGGTCGCCGGCGGCCTCGATCCGGAGGAGCCGCTCGTGGCGTCCTGCCGGAGGCGCCTTGGGGAGCTGTTGGCGCGCGACGACGACCCGCCGCAGCCGCCGCCGCGGTAGTAAGAATAAGAATTGTGAACAACATTCTTAGACATTTCTCCAGGCTCGGACGTAGCCCCACACCTGCATCGGGACCTTGAGCCGGATCGACAGGTCACCGCTAAGAGAAAAGGTGCGATTGCGATATCCTCTATCAATAGAACTTGTCGCCGAGTAAACTCGGCGCTCTGCTGGAACCGGGAAATCCCCTCTGATCGAGAAGAGAGCATTCGGGGCGTGGGGCGAGGAGACGTCCATGCCGTACGTCGCGTGCAGAGTGATCACCCGATCGGGGTCATTGTTATCCCAAATGCAGGGATATGGGGTCTGGATCTGGACGGCCGCGACGGTTTCGTCCCAATCTTCGGCGTCCCAGCTCTCGGGCCACTCGCCCTCGGCCTTCTCATGACCATAATCTGGCGAGTCCCACGCGTAGAGGACGACCACGCGCGACCGGAGCACGCCCATGATACGGACGGCGCTTGCATTGGCCATACGCCTAGCCCGCTGCTCACCCCTTAGGGAGCCAGTGAGAACAACTTCGGGCCCGACCGCACGATCGTCGAGGACGCCGTCAGGATCGCGCACGACGCGCCCATGGCAGAGCGTCGCTTCCAGCGCCAGGCATTCATTCCACCTGTTATCAGGTGCATCGTGCCAGGGGAAAAACTCTGCCCAGAAGAACGCATCGGCAAGATCGTGTGGTGGCAGCGCGCCCAGACCAAATGAGAAAGCGTCTTCGTCAAACGGGCGGCGGGTAGCGTCGCGTGGTACCCAGGCGAGGGCGGTCCAGTGCGCGCCGCCGCCGCCGAAGGGCGCATTCGTGCGGCGGCCGAACCGTCGCGCGGCGCACGCCCAGCCCGCGCGCTCGCACACATCCGCGTAGCGCTTGGCAACGCATGCTAGCGCTGCAATAGCTTCCGGCGGCGCGGTGGCAAGGAGCTGGATCAGCACGTCGTCTGGCAACTCGCTAAGAAGAGGCGGCTCCGCGCACCGCTCGTTTGCATTGCGCGCCTTCGCCACGAACGCGGCCAACGCGTCCTCGAAGCCGTTGCCGCCGAGCGAGAGCTTGAGCCTGGCAAGTGAGTGATTGAGGCCACCCGGGTCAGCCATTGCACTCTCGCATGAATGCGTTTCAGAGTATGAGCCGCGGCGCTGCGAAGATGCCTTTGCAGGTGTTCTTTTGCAGCGCTTAGCTACAGCAATGGTTCGATCAGCGAGCTATAATTGCCTCTCCTTTTTTGCAAGACCCAATGGCTAGATGGCTAGCGGCCTGTAAGACACTAGCGAGCAAATCCGCATACGTCCGAGGCACGCAGTCCTCGCGCCCGACGCCTCCGCAAGCCTGAGGACCTATAGTGAGACACACTAGGCGCAAGGCAGCCCGAAGCGCCGCCGCTGCGGCCAAAAAGAGGCTGCCCCGCAGCGTGAACCGACGATGGCAACGTAAACAAGCCGCAGCCATGGCCGACGAGATCAACTACGCCGTCGGCAACGCCGCCGTCCTGAAGATCCAGAGCTTGTGGCGCCGCAGTCTAGTGAGGGAGCGCACCTACCTAGAACTCAAGGCGGTCTGGGAGAAGATCTTCGACCCCGTCCAGCAGATCTACTACTACTACAATACGGTGACCGATGAAGCCAGCTGGAAGCGGCCCGCGCCTTTGCTGTGGCGGGACCTCGGCGACGTGGCTCCGACGTTCACGGACGAGCAAGCGGCTATTTACATGCAGTGCGCCTGGCGACGACTCAAATTCCTGAGGACCGTGCGAAGATTGGTTGCAAGTGTCGTCTCCAAGGTCTACGATGAACATAGTCAAAATTACTACTACTATAATGCCCAAACGGGCCAGACGTCCTGGACGAAGCCTCTACTACTGGGATCGCAGGACATCGAGCCGGGCACGCAACGGTTAGTGTCTAGCGACGGCCGGATCTTGGCCGAGACGGCCGTCGTCGAGCTCGAGTCGGACGACGATAGTGAACGGGAATCGATTGGTAGTGGTTCTACTAGAAGAAGAACAAGATCGATGTCATCAGACGACCTGGGGTTGATGCCCCGCGAGTACCCCCGGAGCGAGGCCCAGAAGAGAATAGATAAAGCTGAGGATACGCCCGAGACCGATACTCTGGACCTCTCTGGACTGAAAATGGCTCGCATCTCGTTTCGCGCTTTGGCTATTGAGACCTTGACCCATTTAGATGTGTCGGACAACAGCATCACGCGCCTCGTGCCGGACATCGGCGGTCTAGCTTCCCTAGAAAAGCTTGATGTGTCGGGCAACCAATTGAGATCATTACCCAAAGAGCTGGAGGAACTGGAAGAACTCACGTGGTTCGCCTGTGCGCGCAATAGAATAGGCTGGTTCCCGGGCAATGTCTACCGACTCGAACAACTCCAGTACTGGGACCTGTCACAAAATCAGTTCAGGGAATTACCGGTGCAGGTCGGCGACCTCGAACTCCTCCAGCAAACGCGGGTCTGGGCCGTGGGACCCGGCATGCTTTCGGCACTGACCCATTTAGATGTGTCCAAAAATCAACTGACCAAGTGGCCGAACCAATTGGACCAACTACAACAATTAGCTTCGTTGAATGTCCGCGACGCGGCGTTTCGAAACAAATTTGAACGTGACGCCGTCGACGCCGCCGCACGAGCGCCCACGCGTCCCGCGCAGGTCTCGCATAACCAACTAAAAGTCATGGCCCCCTGCAAGATCGCGCAGAGCGCCGACCAGGACAAGCAAGAAGGCATCGGCGAGCCCGACTTGAACGGATGCGACTGGGGTAAGCTCGAGAGTCTGGCGTCGTTGGACGTTTCTCATAACCAGCTCGAGAAGCTACCGGATGATCTGGCGAAGATGACGGCGTTAGAAAGTGTGGATTGTCGAAACAATTTATTGATAGAATTGCCACAGACACTTGATCTAATGAACTGCACGTCCTTTTTACTAGACGACAATAAGCTCGAAGCATTGAGCGATGGCTTCGCCGTCGGTCTAGCGAAGAAGCTGGAAAGCATCTCCGTAAGAAACAACGCCATCACTTCGACCAGTATGCGAATAGGGGACATGCGCCAAGTTAAGTCAGTGTACTTAGAAAACAACGCGTTAGAAACTCTAGACAAGGGCGTGACGCAGTGCCGCCTGCTAGAACTACTCTCGCTGAGACACAACAAACTCATCTCCACGCCGAAAGGCTTCGCGACCATGTTTAGATTGAAAACGTTAGATCTTAGTTACAATCTGTTCGAGACCATCGACGAGAAGGCCATCGAGTCGCTCGTGTCGCTCACATCCTTGGATCTGTCGCACAATCGTTTGGTGAACTTCCCGCAGCGGTTGGGCAGGCTGAACAAGCTGCAATCTTTAAATTATTCGCACAATCAACTCACGCTCCTACCGCAGAACTGTTTTAAGGGCTGTGGGGAATTGTTCACGGTACGCATAGACCACAACCTCCTCACGACCAAGGGCGTGGAAGCCGGCCGGTTAGACAGCGTCCAGTCGTTGGAGGTGCTTGCTTTGGACTTCAACGAGATGGACCAGCTGCCGGAAGAGTTGGCTGACTTGCCGCAACTACGCTCCTTGACCTTCTCGCACAACCCGTGTTGTGCGAGGCCCGAAGATGCCCTCGAGCCGTTCTATCTGTTGAGGGATAGAGCCCAGTCGATACACGTCGGGGCCGCGGAGTTCGACGAGCCTATTGAATTAGATGAAGAGGACCCTTCTAGGGACGCGAGAAAGGCGAGGAGGTTGATGGTCTTGCAAGGCTCGTCGCGAGGGACGGAGCGGCTCGAGCGCGGCGAGCCCCTCGATGCGGTGGAACCTCTCAGTAGAGCGGCGGAGAAGCATGCTAGACTACTTGTAGATGAACCAGATACAGCGAACTTCTCGCACCATTTCCATCTGGGCGCAGCCTATGTGGCGCGAGCCTTGAGCGAAAAAAAAATTAGTGGCTGACGCGGAAAGGAAACGCAGACAGGACGAGGAGGACAAGATCGAAGCAGCTCGTAAACTAGCTGAAAGGAAAGCGATGCAGATGGGGATCTTTCCTGAGGATTCCGTCGATGCGACATTGGCGCAATCATCCCTACAGGACCCGTCGCTCATGGATAGCACCGTGGCGACGGATACGTCAGGCTTGAGGCTATCGCGACGAGCCCTCAACTCCAGATCTCCGGGTCGATTGGCACCGTCCCTCGGAAGCAATTTGTCGCACAAGTCGCCCGGCAAGCTCGACGCGGCGATCGACGCCGACTTGATCAAGGCGCAGTTAGCTTTGGACGAGGCCGTAAGATCGATGTCGAGCTACGGAGAGAAGACGGCGATATACAAGGTGAGGACAACATGGCCTTCCAAGAACCTAGGAATGTAGCCGTCGAGATCCTGCACGCGCGCGGTTCCGCTTCCCTCAGGCGAGGCGACGCGCGCAAGGCTGTGGAAGACCTGAACCAAGCGTTGTTAGCGAGGAAGGACCACGCGCCTTCCCTAGCGTTGCGGGCCCGAGCACGATTATCATTAGGACAGTTCCCCCAGGCTAGTCGAGACTGCCAAAAAGCCTGGCGCATCGAGCTGAAACGAGCTGACCTGTGGCCTTTGAAGGAGTTCGACTTAGATAACTTACATAGAGATGTCAACAAAGCACTACAACCATTGGATCTAGTCGAGTTGCGGAGGGAATGCGACCGGGGCGTGCAATCGATACGACTCATGAAGTGCGACCTTCCGGAGAACGATAGATGTTATTTACAAACGGCGGAAGGGTTATGTTATCGACGTAGACATGAGATCAAGGCCCTGGATGTCGAGGGTCGGTCGAAGCGACGACGGTGGCTGGCTCGGCGGAAAGCAGAACATGATGCTATAGAAAAGGCGGAGATCGACCGTCGAAATGATGAAGATGCGGTTGTCGCTTATAATAAAGCACTAATTGATCGGTCGACGGCCGAACTTGCTTGGCGGAAAGCTAGGTATGATTTGGAAATTATTGAAGAGCGTAAAAGACGCGAGGAGGAAGCTGCCGCGAAGGCCGCTGAACTCGAACGCCAGGAGAAGGAGGGCGCTGCGGCGCGCGAGGCGTATGAGTGCTGCATGATGACGGAGAACGAATTGCGAGCCGTGTGGATCGCGATCGACCGCGCCGCTCGGGAGGCGGAGGAAGAACGATCTAGAGCTATCAAGAAGGCGGCCATGGAGAAGAAGAAGAACATGGGGAAAAGGAAGCCGGCGGCGCGGAGGCGGCCCGGTAGGCGGTAAGTTGGGATTTGTTGTCTTATTGTTACGGTGCTAGGACTAGCCGCGCGTCGCGATTCATCGGCGGCGGGCGCGTGCCGCGATTTTTCATAACAGCACACCTCCTTCTATGCAGAACAGCCTCGGCAAACCCTCGGAACAAGTGCTGGGACATTTTTTCTAGTACCTCTGTTGCGCTGGTTTCACATCTTCGCGGGCCTCTATCGCGAGCGCCATTGCTCCACGTGTGAGCAAGCAGCGACTCACACATTCACAGAGCACTGGCGGTGGATCCAGATCTTACTGCTCACACGTCGTCACAACCGCGCGTGCCGTAGCAGCAGACATATCCAGCTCCTTAACAGGCACAGCTCTACACAGCTCTACGCCGGCGCCGCGACACACCAAGCAAAAAATGGCCCGGGACGACGACTCCGACGCCTCGTCGGTCTCGAAGAGCAAGAGCCGGTCGCGCTCCAAGAGCGCCGAGAAGGCCGACGACGGCAGCAAGAGCCGCTCGCGCAGCAGGAGCCGCAGCCGCTCGCGCCGCAAGAAGGACCGCAGCCGGTCAAGAAGCAGGAAGCGCTCGTCGAGAAGACGCCGCTCTCGTTCTCGAAGCCGGTCCCGCGGCCGAGCTGAGAACCAGCCGTCCGGCAACCCGACGCGGGCCTTCGGCGGCGCGGCCCGATTATATGTAGGAAACTTACCTTACGAGATGACCACCGAGCAGCTCGCGGACACGTTCAAGAGCTGCGGAACGATCGTCGATAGCATCGTGAAGATGGACGGCCGCACAGGTCGGAGCCGCGGCTTTGGAGTTGTGGAATTTAGCGATCCGAAGGAGGCGGAGAAGGCGATCGACGAGTTCCACAACAAGAACATCGGGAGCGGGGACGGGCGGCCTTTAGTGGTCCGGTACGACCGCGAGGGCAATCGCGGGGGTGCGGGCTTCGGCGGTGGTGGTCACGGCGGCGGCGGCTACGGTGGCGGTTATGGTGGAGGCGGCTACGGCGGCCCGGGCTGGGGCGGCGGCGGCGGCGGCTATGGAGGCGGCTATGGAGGTGGATATGGTGGCGGGCCGCCCCAGGGGGGCTATGGAGGCTACGGCGGCGGAGGTTACGGTGGTGGCTACGGCGGGGGCCCGCCGCAGGGCTATGGAGGGGGCTACGGCGGCGGAGGCGGAGGCGGCCGCGGCCTCAGCGACCACGACATCCGCGCGCGCTTGATAGAAAGAGAGAAAGCCCGCGTCGCCAAGGATTATAGAGTGGCCGACGACATCCGCAGCGAGCTCCAACGAGAAGGTATTCGTATTGACGACCTCAACCGGACGTGGTCGAGCGCCGACGGCCGCCACGGCCCGCGGCCCTCGGCCTACGACGACCCGTCTTTCAGAAGACCGGAGCCGGGCTTCGGGGGCGGCGGCCACGGTGCGGACCCGGACCGCCACCGCGACCGGTCGCGGTCGCGGTCCCGCGGTCGTAGGCGCCGCGACCGGTCCGCGTCCAAGGACTCGGCCAAGGACGACGACAAGGAGGACTAGGCCGCGCGCACCTCCCCGCCGGCGTAAGGGTGGCTGGTGATTTACTTGTGCGACTGCGTGAGGCGCCGCCGGCCAATGCGCGGGGTTCGGGCGCTCGGTGGAGCGAATACCTATGGTGGCGTCCGGCCCCGTCGCCGGCCGCCGCCGCCGCGCGCGCGTCCGAATCGCCCCGCGCGACGGCGGACGCGTCGACGGCGTCCCGGCGCCGCAAGGCCCGGCCGATACGGCTCGAGCAAGGCTCCGCCCGTCGGAATGCTAGTAGCTTTTCAAACAATAGGTATCCTAGTAACTCGCAGCGCCTCTCGCAATCTCCGCCGCGCCGGCCCGCCGTCGCTGCCCCAAGACCCATACAAGCTGCCCCAGCGCTAGAACAGCACCGCGTACCACCATGACCAACGTCTACCGCGACCCCCGCGTAATGGTCGGCAATTGGTCCGAGGATAGAGCTGAGCCCCTGGAAGGCGTGCTCGTGGACTACGGCTACCGCTCGTACAACACCACTTCGGGCGACGCGTTCCCCGTGCCGTCCAAGTCCCCGCCGAAGGACGCCGCCATGACGAGAGCAGCAAGGATGCAGCGCCGCGGCATCCGAGGCACGGACTCGACGTTTAACATGTCCCAGAAAGGGAATGTTTTTGAAGCGATGGCGCTCAGTGTCAACCCTGGAGATGGCACTGGGTTCACCTGGAGAGCACCCGCCCCCGAAAGGCCGGTGGGCCAGTACTCCACGACCTTTGGAGATACGTTCGGCCGCTTCAATGGCGAGCCTGCCGTGCCGGACCGGCCCGCCGGCGCCAAGCGGAAGGTCGACCGTGGGAGAAGTGCCACGGGCATGATCGGCGAGGTCTACATGATCCACGACGAGCCCGGCCTCGACACGCGGTGCCAGCGCTGCCTGGCTGCCGAACAACGACCTCATCATCAACCCCGCGGACCGCGGACATATCAGCTCCGCGACGCTCGCGCGCGGCTGATTCGTTTTGATGGGGGCGGGCGCGCTAAGTATAGGCTTTCTTTCAATCACTGCGGCGGCGTTCGCGGTGTTTGGCGTTTCTGCGGCGCACAGACCCGTGCGAGCAGTTCGATCGAGCAGTTCGCTCAGGCTCAGGCTAGTTACGTCGCAGGGTCCCCCGTACCCCTCCCTGCGAGAGTCGATGTTACGGTGCTAGGACTAGTGGGCGGAGCCCCTGGGGGGGAGACACCGCGCGTCGCCGATTCATCGGCGGCGGGCGCGGGCCGCTTCTTTCATAGCAGCGTACCTCCTTCTAAGCTGAACCGCCTCGGCAAACCCCCCCGAACAATGTGCAACGTTCGCCCGTTCAATCAACTTGTCCCGCGACTTCCCGCAGGCGACCTTGGACCGGCGCGACGCGTTCGGTACCGTACATTCCAACAAAGCCAGTAGACACTCGGCCCGACCCTTGACAATCGCCACGCCCCACTCCCGGTAGATCTGGGCCTGAATCATGGCCGCCGCGTCCTCGACCGAATCAGCGTCGATCAGGCCCTTTCGGAACTGCTTGCCGGCGATCTCGTCGGCGCAGACGCGTGCGAGGCGATGGACGTCCGCGGACGCCTCGCCGGCGCTGCCGAACGCGAGACCACAAACCTCGCCGCGGCTCCGGATGGCGTTCTCCATCGGACCGCACTCGACGCCCCCGACCGAGTTGTACTTCATATCCAGCTTGTGGGCCTTTTTCAGGTACTGCCCGTTCACGAGACGGGCGCGTCTATCAACCGGCGCATTACCGCGCTTGTGCTCCGCCCTCATGTAGGCCTCGATATGGCCCGGCGCGTAATGCTCGGTCGTCGCCGCGACGGTTTTGACGTCGTAGAGGACGTTCTCGATGGCGATGTCCGGGACTATGCTCCCTTCGAGGTCGCCCCCGTCCGCGTCAGTTAAAGAATCCCAGACTTTCTGCACCTGCTCTCCACCGAGCCCCTCGGTGCATAACTGGATCACCAGGCCCTCCCGGTTCGCGCCGCTAGTGTCTTACTGGCCGCTAGCGCGATGCTTTTTGTTAAAGCTGGCATTGGCGTGTTTTGGCGTGTTACCGCTGTAATTTGCAACGCGTGGCGCGCACAGGTGCTCCAAAAGACGCTTTGCTTGCATTCTTGAGAGCAGTGCGGCCAAGCTAGCCCCAAAAAACCTGCATAGCCAAAACACCTCAGCCCACAATTTGAGCAATGGCGCACAAATGGCTGCTGCTCCTCGTCAGCTCATGCACTGCATTCACCGCACCACGCCGTCACGCGGCATTGGAGCGCCACGCGGCGCTGCACCGCCTCGGAGCGACGTCGACGACGACGACCGAGATGTTCGACAGCGCCGAGGCGATACTACAAAGGGAAGCCACCTTAAAAATAGGCAACGTGCGCTTCACGCGCGTCCTCGACGCCGACGACGATGTAGAAAGGGAGCCGCTGCTCTACGTCCCGGGCATCGAATTTAGAGGTATCTCCGTCGCGGCGCAGCTCCCGAACTTAATTGAGAATGCCTACGACCCGTGGTACTGCTGGGTCGACGGGGAGGATCGGAGTTCGTTTGATGAAGTGGTGGAAGCGGTGTCACAATTCGTGCGAGACAAGGGCGGTATCCTGGCGGGCGAGTCGATGGGCGGACTCATCGCCACCGCGGCCGCGCTGAAGCTGAGCGACTCCAGACAAATAGACAAACTAAGAGCGCGTCGTACTAGTCAACCCGGCCACCTCTTATGATAGGACGCCCCTGGCCCCTCGGCGGTAGATTAGTGTCCTCGGCAGAAGGCGTCGCCTACGCGGGCGCGATCGGCGCCGCCGTCGGTTTACTAGCGTCGGACGGTCCATGGTCTCGAAGTCTCTGCAAGAGTTCTCGACGCGCTCGATTTCTCGGGACTAGAAAGAGCTGTCAATGGCGCCCAGGCTTTGGCTGACTTGGTCCCTCCGGAAACGCTGAAGCATCGAGTAGAAAATTGGCTCGATGGTGGTTGTGCCAAGACGAATGAAAGGTTGTGGCGCCTCAGAAGAAAGGGGCGCTCGACCAAGTTCTTGGTCATCTGTGGGGAAGATGATCGGTTTCTACCATCCAAGGACGAAGCGCAACGACTGAAGAAGGAACTCGATGCGGAAGCCATCACCTTGCGGGGCGGCGGCCACGCGGTCCTTGTAGACCCGCAGCGCCTCGACTTCGGTCAGTGTTTGAGAAGCTCCAAAGCACTCTATGGGGCCGAGATCCGCGCGCGCAAGCTTAAGAAAGCGCAAAGAGCAGTCGACGACTTCGTGAGGCCCAACGCGACGCAGATCAAAGAAACGCGCGACAGCGTCGTGGACCCCTTGAGGCGGCTCGTGTCGCCGAAGTTCTTCTCGACCGTTGAAGGGAGAGTGGTCGAAGGGTTACGAGGCGTGCCCTCGCCCCAACAGGGACGACCGGTCCTGCTCGTGGGCAACCACCAGTTGTTTGGTGCTGATCTCTCCATACTGGTGGACGAATTTTTGCGGGACCGCGACCTACTCATAAGGGGATTGGCGCACCCGGTGGCGACGAACGCGCCTTCCCTAATAGACGGTAACCAACAACAGGGGCCGCGGCCGTCGCCCAATTGGTGGAACGACGGGAGACGCCGCGACTCGTTTACGGGCCAGGGCAACGAGCTGTGTGGAAATCAAATTTCGGGCGCCCCACGCCATCGACGCAACTTCGTCCCTGTAAGTGCATCAGCTCGATGGCGTGGAGTTTTTAGGCCATGGACGCGAGTTAGTCGCGGTGACTGCGTCGGTTCGATGGCAATACCTAACTCACTGGTTGATTTACACACAGGCGACGAGTCCTTCTTCCAGAAGTTCGGGGCCGTGGAAGTGACGCCGCGGAATTTCATACGCTTACTGCAGCGCGACGAGTGCGTGTTGTTGTTCCCGGGCGGTGTCAGAGAATCAAATCATGGCAAGGGTGAGAACAACAAGTTGTTCTGGCCCGAGGAGACGGACTTCGTGCGGGCGGCGGCCAAGTTTGACGCGCTGATCGTGCCCTTTGGGGCGGTGGGCGCGGCGGACTCCGTGACCTTTCTGCGCGACAAAACCGGCGAGCAGCCGAACATTCCGTCGGCGCGGCGCTGGGCGAACCGCACGGAGGACTTCCGCTTTCCGCTGGCCGTGCCCACGAACCCGCGGCGGTTTTATTTTCGCTTCGGCGAGCCGATTTCTACCAGTGACGTGGACGCGTCGGACCGGGACGCATGTTCACAAATCTATGCGCAGTCCCGGAGCTCCGTGGAGTCGTGTATAGCGTGGCTGGTCGAGGAGCGCAAGCGCGACGCGTTCGACTCGCCTCTGGTCAGACTGCCCTTCGAGGCCGCGGGTCGAGGGGCGCAGGCGCCGACGTTTACTCTGTGATACTAAGTTGATGTGGTTTTCAAGTTCTCCTTCTCTCCACGTGGACTTCGCGTGGGAGTTGTTGGCATTCGTCGCGACGGGGGCGTGATGGCAACGACACGCCATCGAAAACGCCCCATCTTCGCGCGCGCGCGTTCGAGTTCGGGCCGAAGCGCTTGCCGCCGACGCCGGCGACGACGTTGACGAATCGGCGGTTGTAGAGCATGCGCTTCTTCGCGCGGCCCGTCGGGAGCTTCTTCTTCTCCTGCTTCTCGACCTTGGGCGTCTGGCCCTTGACCTTGCCGGCGCGCGCGAGCGAGCCGTGCACCTTGCCGCCGCCGCGTAACCGTAAAACGAGGTGGAGCGTCGACTCCTTCTGGATGTTGTAGTCCGAGAGCGTGCGGCCGTCCTCGAGCTGCTTGCCCGCGAAGATGAGGCGCTGCTGGTCGGGCGGGATGCCCTCCTTGTCCTGGATCTTTTGCTTCACGTTGTCGATCGTGTCCGACGGCTCGACGTCGAGCGTGATCGTCTTACCCGTCAGGGTCTTGACGAAGATCTGTGTTGTGTTGAGGGTGAGTGTCGCGTTGTTGGGGTGGCGCGCTCTCTTTCTCTCGGAGGCGTGCGGCGGTGGCGTGCGACGGGCCCCGCGGCGTAGCGCTCCACGCCTCGCTTGAGCCAAGGCCCGCGGCGCGGCGCTGCTCGCCTCGCTTGGGCTGGCGGCGAAGGCCGCGTCACGGCGTCTCGGCGGCCGGCGGGGTGACGGGCCATCGCGCAGCACCACCGCTGCGCCGTGACCCGTAAGGGTGCTAGTGCGGCTTTCTGGGTGGTCCGCGCGGTGCGCCGTCGCCCTCAGCCGTCCGCAGTGAGCCCCAGCCTTGCATGCTCGCTTACGCCTCTACACGCCCTCGCGCGTCCAAAATTTCTCGTGCACTGAAGCTTGCCTGCATGATGCCTTCTCTGACTTGCTCGACGACTGTCTAGTGTCAAATTACGGCTGCTACAGCGTGATTATTGATCGTCGCTCAGCGATTTTTTTTGCGGTCGGGTTTTTGAAATGAAGAGCTGCGACGCTTGTTTTCCCGTTTGTCATTGATACAACGAGGTCTCAAGATGACTGTACGAGCCACGCGCATCGAGAACCCGCTTTGGCCTCACCCACTGAGACTTGGCCTGCCACCCCCATACTAATACGCGGAGGCATTAGCGCTGAAAGGACGGGACGTCAGGGCTCCACCGAGACCACTCAGTACCGCTGCGAACCGCAGAAAACCGCCTCGGCACGCGTGCGCTGCAGCAAGCAGCAGACCACAGCAAATGCTGCGCCTCACACGCCGAGCCTTCAGCAGCACGCCGTCGCCGCGCGTCGCCGTCGTCGGAAGCGGCCCGGGCGGCTTCTACACGGCGAAGTACCTCCTGAGGGACAGCAAAAATGTACACGTCACGATCCTCGATAGGTGGCCGACACCTTTCGGGTTGGTAAGGTACGGCGTCGCGCCCGACCATCCCGAGGTGAAGAGCGTGCAGGACGACTTTGAAGAGGTCGCGACATCAGAGAGGTTCTCGTACGCGGGCCACGTCTTCGTCGGGCATCCGGCTGATGCCCCATCTCATACCGGTCCCGTAGTACCTCTAAACGACCTCATGAATCTATATGATGCCGTCGTCGTGGCGACGGGCTGCGATTTAGCGAGGAAGTTGGACCTGCCCGGCGCGGAACTGGAAGGTGTCGTCAACGCGCGGGCCTTCGTCGGTTGGTACAACGCTGAGCCGACGTTTTCCCATTTACAGTTACCTGACGTGAGCGACCAGCTCCGAAGCGTCATCATAGGCCACGGCAACGTTGCTTTAGATTGCGCGCGCTTGTTAGCCGCGCCTTCATCGCATCTCGACGCGACCGACATCCATTCAACAGCCTTTGAGGCGCTGCAGAGGCTCCCGTCGAAGCGTCTTATACACGTCGTCGGGCGGCGCGGCGCGACGCAGGCGGCCTTTACGACGAAAGAGGTCCGCGAGCTCACGGAGCTCGAGAACGCCGCCCTGGTCATCGATCCCGCCGAACTGGAAGCGGGCGACACGGAAGCGTCAATAGAAGAAGGGAAAGCACGACCACTGAAACGCAAGCGCAAGTTCCTCGATCAGGTCGCTGCTTCGACGAATACCGCGGAGCGGGAGGTGCACCTCCGGTTTCTGAGGCGGCCCGTGGCCTTCGAGGAAGGAGCCAAGGGCCGTCTGGGAGCGGTCGTCTTCGAGAAGTGCGTCTTGGAGGGTGATGTGAATGCGCAGACAGCCGTGGGCACCGGCGTCCTCGAAAGCATAGAATGCGATCTGGCGGTCTGCGCCGTCGGCTACACGGCGAGCCCGCCCTGCCCCGACGGCAGGCGCGCCAGGCCTCAAGACGGCCCGGCGGGGACCTACGCCCAGGTCGGCAGTCGCGTCGCGCCGAAGTTGTATTGCTCGGGATGGGTGAAGCGCGGGCCGACGGGCATCGTCGGCTCGAACGTCGCCGACGCGCGCGAGACGGCCGCGGCCGTGCTCGAGGACCTGGCTGCTAGTGGTGTTGCCGGTTATGGGGAGGGCACGTCGTGGGCCGACTGGCGTCGGATCGATGGGGTCGAGAAGGCGAACGCGAGGAACGGGGCGCCGCGGGCGAAGTTTTCTGACGTCGAGGGGATGTTGGATGCGGCGAAGTCGTCGTAGATGTTGTGTAAAAAGAGTTTGTTCCGCCAACAAATCGGGTTTTCAGAATTTTTCTTGGCGCTATCCGCGCTAGTCTGCAGATATCTGTGCCGGCGCGGTACCGATAAGGGTTCATAACAAGGCGCTTTCGAGGCTTAGCGGCTTCGCCGCGGTCGCGAGGGATTAAGAGCTAGGCTAGTCACCATGGTCATGTGGCGGTGCTTGATCGTCGCCGTCGGCGCGGCTCTGGCGCGAAGCGACGCGCGACGCAGCGGTAATCTTCAGGAGAAAATGGACGCGGTGGTTTCGGCACTTCAGAAGGGCGACGTCTCGTTCATGAATGACGTCGAGGCCGTGCGCGATTTTCTAGATGCTGGTTGGGACGCCAACAAAAGACACGAGGATTATGGAGTTACGCTCCTTCATTTCACCGCTGCGTACGGGGACCCTAAAGTCGTTCAGCTCCTTCTAGGGCACGGTGCGCACGTTGACCTTAGAACCGGCCGCGTACTGCTACGTGAACGATCCTGGTCGACCTGCGGGCGCCTCGCACCAGGGCGGCGTCGAGGCGAAAGCAGCAGTCTACGGCGTCGCCCACGCGATCTATCCCACCGCTCGTGCATCAATCCGCCGCGACAACTGCCAGGACGAGTTGACGCGGCTCTGCGGCGACGTGCCTCCGCCGCCAGATTTCCGGACGAACGCCACGTGTCAGAAGGCGCGGCGAGCAGTAGCTGAGGAGTGGCGCGCGGCGTTCGACGCGGGGCCGGCGCCCGAAGGCTACGGCCGCGCCGTCGGCGTCCACGTCCGCGTGCCGGAGGGAGGCGCGGCGCTGGGGCACCTGGAGCGCTACGCGAGAGAAATTGCACGACTTGCTGGCCGGGAGCAACGCGACGGTCGTGGTCTTCGGCGAGCGCTCCGGCGACACGATCAAAATCGTCCAGAGCCTCGGGCCCCGCACCGTCGTCGTCCCACGAGGGCCGGAGCCCCCTCGGCGACCTGCGGGCGATGGCGCACGTGGGGATATTAGCGGTCCACGGCTCCTCGTTTTCGGTCATTGCCTCGATCCTGCGCGCCGGCCCGGCCATTTCGGAGCACCGCGCGCCGATCCACGGCCGCTACGCGGGCAACACGTACCCGTGCCAACTCGGCGACTCGTGGTGGTGGTCGCCGGGCTTCGGGCGGGACGACTGCCCGGAGGGAGGGTTCTTCAAGCGACCGGCTCGCGGCGATGGCGGGGACGGGGTACGGTAATTTGCACATGCATGGCCTCCCGATGCAAAACGTTGTGGCTAGCGTCCTGTAAGACACTAGCATTGGTTGCTGCTGCCAAAACGCGCTCTGAGCCGTCAAACGCCAGCGCTGGCCGCTTCTATACTGGCCACGGTATCCACAGGACTCCTCGTTGCAGTGGGCAGCGGCGCACACAATTAACCGCATTCTCAGACCCAGCCAGCGCTACACTGCCCAGCTTCAGCAAGGCAGAGAAAAATCACCCATGGCGCGGCGCCGCCAGCGGTGGACCCTCGCCGCGCTCCTCTTGCAGCCCGCCAGCGGCTTTTACGCGCTCTCCCGACATAACGCCAGGACAGTGCTGCGGAGCTCGTCGTCGGACCCCGCGGCGGACGACGACACGCCCGTCCCCGTGCAAAAGGCCCTCGCGGCGATGACGGCCTTCAGCAACCGCTACGTCAAAGTGTCGGGGACCAAATACTGCTCGGAACCTTCTGTCCCTGCGGTCGTCATCCGCGGCCTGGCCGAACACAAGGCAGCCTTGGGCGCGCCGCTCTGCCCCTGCCGCAACTACGTCGACAAGGAGGCGGAAGCGAAGTCGGGGTATTGGAACTGCCCCTGCGTGCCCATGCGCGAGCCGGCGTGGACATCAAACAGAGTTAGGTTATCTCGCCATCGAGCGGACGCAGAATGGATGCAACCTCGCGTCGATGGCGTGGAAGCTCCACGCCATCGAGCAGATGCAGTACGGGGACGACGTCGCGTCGATGGCGTGGGGCGCCCGAAATTTGATATCCACACAGGCGCGAGCGCCACGAGTGCCACTGCATGCTCTTCCTGCCCGAGGAGCACGGCTTCGCGGGCGACTCCGACGAGATCGGGCTCGCCGAGGTTGAAGAGCTGACGGCGAATTTTAAGCCTCCCCCGCAGTAAGATTTTCGTTCGGTATTATACACATTAGGTAATGAATTTCAGTGCGTCAGGTGCCGCCCCGACAGGTCCTGGGCCCGCTCCATGTGGGCCAGCGCCCGCCCGGCCTGAGGCGAAGCGGCCGTCGCCGCCGCGGCCGTCACGCCCGCGCGCCGGTCCATAATCGAATCCTGCAGTTGGTCGATGACCGTGAGCTCCTGTTTTATGGACGAGGCCTCGATGTCGGCCACGCGTGAAGCGCCCCGTCTTAAGGATAAATGCCGCTGGCTCGCGCGCGCCGCTCGTCGAAACTCCGCCTGGGCAAATTCCCGACAGTTCTCGAGGTGGTGCTCGAGCTGCATGAGGCCCTCGCCGAGCTCATCCCGGTCTTTGGACGTGATGATCCCTTTGCGGTGGAAGCCCTCGAAGATGTGGTGCTTGACGCCCACCAAGACCACCTCCGCCAGCGAGTAGAGCGTCGACTCGAGCCCGCGCATGCGCCGGCAACTTCGCCGCCTCATCTTCACATTGTTTTATTTGCGAATCGATCTCCTCCTTGAATTGCTCGCGGGCATCAACGGCAAAGGCCGAACTCTGTACAAAGAACGCAAACACCTCGTCCAGATGCTTTGAGGTCCTCATATAGGCCGCATGGAAGGCCGTTATTAAATAATAACGCTCAGTTGCGGTCGACCAATGAGACAGCGAAGATATGATCCTATCACCTAAACAGCCTCGCTTCTCCAGCCCTTCGAGCAGGACACGAACAACTCCACACATTTCTCGATTTGCGAATAAATCGGGATCGACTCCGTACTCTTCCTCAGGACCACTTCAAAATGATGCAATTTCGTGTGCACATTTTGCAGCTCGACGCCACACGAAAAACGGCAATATTTGCGCGGGCGAAGGAACCGCGGGCACCAAGCCCTTCTCGATCATCTCCCAGAACTCGGCCTTGAGAGCTCTCAAAAACATGCCCCGCATCCTCTGGAGGACCTGTTCGTTGTTTTCCGTGCGAGCTTCCCTATCAGCGGCGTCCAAGTCGTCCTCGCCAACGTTGCCTCCATAAACACCCGTGTCGTAGGCCAAGGCTTCCTGCACGACGCCTAGTCGTGTGGCCGCCCGGACGCGGTTCCAGCGCTGCGTCGCTTGCCTTTGCAGTTGACTCTTCTCGACTTGCGCGGCGCCGTGGACGTCCAGTCCATATTTCGCCACGATGTCGTGCAACGCGATGGCCGCGGCATGGGCCGCTGCCTTTCGCGTAGGCTCTCACGTGCCTCGTGTCACTACTCTCAACGGTCATGCCCAGGTAGTCCAGTAACGCCTTGCAGGACCACCCATTTATTAATAGTGTTAACATAGCAATTCCACTCACTAAAAAGAGTAACTGTTCCGCACTCTTCGCTTCATCCGAATGGGCCCGTTCTTCCTGCACGACCAATGCGAGAGCTAGTCCAACAGCGCCCCGAAGCCCGCCCCAGGCCATCACGACGCCGTCCTTCCACTCGAGTTGGTGCGCATGACTATACCGCTGTTCCAACCATTTCAAGAGCGGCCAGAGCATGGCAATGGTCAAACATCTTATGATCACCAAAGCGAACCACGTAAATAGTAACCAGCCGAAGTCGGCCACGTCCAGCCAATCACCCTTACCCCCAGAGTCCTTCCAGTTCTCGCAGACGATCTTGCCCGTCAGGGAGCCGGCGAGCATGAATACCACGGTATTTCCCACGTGCTCGAGAAACTCCCAGACCGCGTGCACCGTGTGCGCCTCGTCGACGTAGACCCAGCCGTACCTCGCCACACAGAGGGCGGCCATCACGGTAGCTAACACTCCCGAACACCCGCAGGCGATTTCCGAGAAGTAGAACGAGGCATACGCTACTATGATTGTTGTTGTTATTTGCAATGTCGTCGAGACCTCGTCGAACTTGCGCTGGCACAACCGTAGACACAGCAACGCCGCGCCGCCAAAGGCCAATCCAATAAAACAACCTCCAAGGACCATCCTTGCAAAGAACTCGATAACCTCGTAGGGCGGGTTTCCCGCCCCAGAGATGTACTTCTTGTGTTTTTGGGCTAGAGAATCGAACAGTAAAAACAAGACCATGGCCGTGCCATCATTAAAAAGCGACTCTCCGGTGATGGTCATCGTGAGGCCGGGGGACGCGCCCAACGCATTCAGCAAAGCTACGACTGCTACGGGGTCCGTCGCTGCGGCGATCGAGCCGAACATGCACCGGAAGAACCAGCTCCACTCGTAGGGTAATAAAGCTGCAAAATAGGCGGTGGCAAAGGTCGAGATCAACACTCCCGCGGTCGCGAGCAGCAAGCCACCGGTACATCTTCGTGTAGAAGGTATGTAAATTGATCTGCATGGCATCTCCAAATAATAACAAAGGTAGAAAACCACATAAGAGCAGTTCGGGGTTCATGCGGCGCCATCGACCCATAGATCTAGAATAGACCCCTAATAACCTTTCTTCCGTCGCGTGGTCCACCAAGGCTAATACTAAACCAATGACAAACACGGCCATCGTGTAGGGCACCGCTTGATAAAAGCGGCTGATGATGAACAAACATAAGGCTCCGATCAGTAGCGAAGCGCCAAAATACACGCCCGCCTCGTACGTGTGCGCCTCGTGGTGCTCCTCGTGGTGCTCCTCGTGCGGATGAGGGGCGTGCGTGGCTGTTCCCAGGGCGCGCCGCGGCAGGAGGCCGTGCGTGGCGAGCGCGGCGCACGCGCGTCGAGAGGCCTCCTCCTTCAGTATAACGGCGCAGGCGTCCTCATCTGAATTGATGGGTATCACAAAGGCGGCCGCGAGGAGCAGGCGGAGCGCCGGCCGCATGGGTGGCTGCCTCTGCCCTGGCTAGCTGGCTGCTGCCCTGCTTGCGCGCTGCTGCTGAGCTTGCTGCCCCGGCTTGGCTGCAGGCCTGGCTCGCTCTCTTCCTTGCGTTGGCTGCCTTGGTGCTTGCTGATTGGCTACGTTAGACGGCCCACAATGTGTCCTCTCGACGGCTGCTGGACGAGTCGGGCGCTAGCTCGGGATGGTGATTCAAAAACGAAGCGTGGTCTGACTGATATACTGCGTCCTTTGGGGAGGGGCTTGTGCGGGCTAGCGGCCTGTGACACACTAGCAGCAATGCCCTGAAAGCCAAAGGCAGAGCAGGCCAGGGACGCAGCTGTGGTGCACAGCTCTGCTGGTCGCGGTCTGAGAAGTGAGCGATGGGCTGTGGCGTGCGCCGCCGCGTGTGATATCAACGGCGCGTCGACGCCTGCCGTAAAAACAGCAAGTGGAGCCACGAGCTGTTTCGAGCTGTTTCTGGTGCCGCGCGGCCGTCGGGGCGCCGGCGGCCTGCGCGCCGCGGCCCGCGGACCGCATCCGTGCGCGCGGCCCGTATAAATGCCGGCGCCGGGCGCGACGCGGCCCGCGGGCCGGACAGACGCAAAGGCGCGCGCGCGAACGCCGGCCTGCGCAAGCGGCCCGCCGCGCGCGGACCGCATACATGAGAGAGCGCGAGAGAGAGAGCGAGAGCGCCGAGAGCCCGGACGCGCGTACGACGCCGTGGACCGCGCGCGCGACCGAGAGAGCGCTCCCACTCACACAAAACAACGCAGGGCTCCAAGGCCGGCGGGTCGGGCGAGCGCGCCGACGCGAATTCTGAGTTTGCAAGGAAGTACAATTTAGATGATAAGGAGCTCGGCACGGGCGCCTTCAGTAGAGTCATCCTCGCGACGTCCAACGAAGGGACCAAAGTGGCCGTCAAGTGCATCTCCAAGAACGGGGAATTGAAGCAGGAGGATATTGACTCGTTGCACGAGGAGGTCGCGGTCCTACGGTCGGTGGACCACCCGAACATTGTCAAATTATATGATTTCTTCGACGAAAAGCGGTACTACTACATGGCCATCGAGCTCATGGAGGGCGGCGAGCTGTTTGAAAGGATCGTCAAGAAGACCTTTTATAACGAGATGGACGCGCGGGGATTAGTTCGCATATTGCTCGACGCGCTCGCGTACCTGCACCACCGGGGCATCGTGCACCGCGACCTCAAGCCCGAGAATTTGTTACTGAAGTCGCCGTTCAACGACTTTGATATCAAGCTCGCGGATTTTGGCTTCGCCAAGAAGGTCGAGGGCAAATCCTTAGATACCCAATGTGGTACGCCCGGCTATGTTGCTCCGGAGATCCTCAAGGGCAAGAAGTACGGCACGGCCGTCGACATGTGGTCGTGTGGAGTTATTGTCTACATTCTGCTCGGGGGCTACCCGCCGCGCGGCGCCGCGTCCGAGTTATTTCGCGGCGACGACGACGCGACTGCGCCGGCCCCATCGCGGCGAGGGACCGGCACGGAGGCGTCGCGTCGATTCGTCGCCGACTCGCCGCGCGTCTGCCGAAGCATAACGTCATCGACGCGACGCCAGCTCGACGACGTGGGGCGTGGAGGTCGACGCGCTGCCGCCCGCGCAGGTTCCACGACGACAACCACGCCGTCTTGTACCGCAAGATCAAGGCCGCGGACTACGCCTTCGACCCCCAGTACTGGGACCAGGTCTCGGACGACGCCAAGGATTTGATCAAAAAGATGCTCGTCGTCGACCCCGACAAGCGGCTGACGGCCTCCCAGGCCCTGAGACACCCCTGGTTCATGGTCGGCGACCACGAGCTCATTTCCAGAAACCTCGCGAAGACGCTGGACACGATGAAGAAGTTCAACGCGAGGCGCAAGTTCAAGGGCAAGGTCAAGGGGATCATCCTGGCCAACAAGCTGGCGAAGGGGGACCTGTTCTGAGGTGTAGGGGCCTCCCGTTCTTAGTACGTTCGTTCACGCTACTAGTACCTACCTAGGACGTGTAGAGCGCGTCGCCCTTCGAGTCGTGCGGCGCGTACGTTAAGGCCACTTCCTTCTGGAGCGAAAGTACTCTGCGAATGTTCTCGGCGACGGCCCGTTGGCTCACTTCATCCGTTCTGTGCTTCGTCCACACGCCTAGTCGCAGACTCCCGCCCTTCTTGAGGGACAGAGAACAGCCGCACACCTCGTCCAGATCCGCGTCCTCCGCGGACGGCGTCAATTGACCACCGATAGCAGCTAAACACAACCGCTTCCACTGGTCGTCCAAGTCGGCACTTCGTTCCAACGGTATGGACCATTCTCCGCCGTTCGCGTTTGAGGGGTCCTCCCACGTCGGCTCGACGTCGTTCCGGAAGAGCTGGTAGGTCGCGCCGTTGCCCAGCGTCGAAGGTTTTTCCAAGGCACCATGTAATCTGAAAAAGGCCTCCGCGGTGCGGATTTTGTGCAGCGGCTCGGACGCCCAGGCATTTTTCGAACCGCGTTCCGGCGGTCGCTGCCCGCGCCCCCAGAAGGTCCAGTGGTCGCTATCTAGCGCCGTTTCCTTGGAAGGGTCGCCATCTATTGCGACGGGTAACGCGCGGTCGGCGGCGGCGTCTCCCAATGGGCCGTTGGACGCCGCGCGGCGGAGGCTCGGCGGTCCTAGGCGTCGTCGCGGCGGGGCGGCGGCGGCCATGTCGTTGCTTGCTGATTGCTTTTTCGAGTGCTTGCGGCGGCGTGCGTATTGGCTATGCTGTAGATTGCACTGCCTGATTATCCTTGCAGCGTTGCAGTTCTAAGCGCCGCTTGGGAGTCGTTCAATTGCTAGCGTTTGAAAGCTACTTCTGCTGTCACAGTGCTTGCAATGTACAGATGCGCGTATTTGGACGCAAAGTTTGGTCTCGCTCAGCTGCTTGTCCCTCCTCAGCCATTTGCGGTAAGGGACTCACGACTCCTCGAAACCACGACAGACACGTCGCTGAGCGCGAATTCAGTATTTTTTGTGGCTGGGGCCGAGACGGCTTTGTGCACGGGTTTCGCACAGCAAAAACGCCAAAAAACAGGCGTTGCGGGCGGTCCCAACGCGTCGCAGCGCTGCTTCAGTATCTCTTAGACTTGCGGCCGTTCGACTGCTGTGAGAATCAGACGACGCCCGAGCAGCGTGGCCGCGTATAGAGGCACAGCTTTCGTGCTGCTGTGCAGCCGCCGCGCGCCGCAGCCGTAAACGATGGCCGACGCGCCGCCACCCAACGAATCGTCGGAGGACTACGCCGCCGCGCATGCTCTAGAATATAAGAACCGCGGCAACGCGAAATTCAAGGAGCGGGACTACGAGGGCGCCGTGCAAGCCTTTTCTGAGGCGATAGCGCTGGACCCGTCGAATGCCGTCCTCTACTCGAACCGCTCGGGCGCGTACCTCGCGATGAGCCACGTCTCCAAGGCCTTCAAGGACGCCGAAGAGGCCGTACGGTTGGACCCGCAGTGGCCCAAGGCTTTAGCAAGACGCGCGACGGCCGAGCACGCCCTGACGCGGTACATCACCGCCCAAGCGACCTGGCGGAAGGCGCTGCAGCTGGACCCCGGCAACGAGGCCTACGAAAAAGCCCTGCAGGCGGCGAAGGACGGCGAAGCGCAACAAACGAAGGAGCGAATTGAAGATGAAAAACGCAAGGAAAGGGAAGCCGAGGAGAAACGTCGAAGGGACGCCGCCGACGAAGCGAAAAGGCGGGAAGACGCGCGGAACGAGGAGCAATTGAAGGACTTCTTCGGGGTGCTCGAGGACGACAAAGTCCAGAGAGCTCGGAAGAAAAAGCTCGAGACGAATCCCATCACGGAAAAATATCAAAAACAGAAATTAGGGAAAGGTGCGGACCACGTCGCGCGCCTCACGGACAAGCACGCGCAGTTCAAGAACCTAGATCCGTTCCGAGTCCTCGTGTTAGATACCGATGCCACACCAGATGATATAAAGAACAGATACAAGAAGATGAGTGTCTTATGTCATCCTGATAAAAATGGCGGTTCCGAGCAAGCCAAGCAAGCGTTCGAGGCCGTGAAAGATGCGTATGCCAAGTTATCTGATGAAAAGAAGCGCGACCGGACGATCCTCGTGATCGAGGGCGCCCGAGAAAGGTGTCGGCAAGAAAGGGCTTTTAAGCTGTCGAAGGGCGTGGACCCTGCCACGTTGCCACCGGAGGAGGAAGCCCTGCAGAAGGAGGTGGCCAAGACTTTTGCGCAAAATGAAATGAAGCGGAGGGATGTGGAGGAACATAACCGGGTCCAGCAGCAGCGCGAGCGGGACCAGGCCGCGGAAGCGGAAAAAAAGGAGGCCGACGAGAAATTGTTCGAGAAGCAGTGGAACACGGACGACCGGCGCGGCGCGCGCGTGGGGATGTGGCAGGACTTCCAGGACGACAAAAAACGTTCCGCGAACGTCAAACGGCAGCGGACGGCCGTCAACTTTAAACGGGAGGAAAAACAGGAGACGAAGAAGAAGTACGGCGAGTGGGACCGGGAGAGCTGGCGGCGGGACTGGAAGTAATGATATTTGTGTTATAAATAGTCTTACTAGGTAGCACGGGCCGGGACGATCAGCCCCAGCGGCCTTCCCGCGCCCGGCGTCGTCTTCGTGCTCGGGCCCCTTGCGAAACATGCAGCCGAACTCGCCGTCCTCCGGGCAATGGACCTTGAATGTTTCGTCGGCCGCGAGGGCCCTCAAGCGGTCCTCGAACGACGAATCGCTGTCCGGCTCTGCGGTCGTATGTGCATTGGTCATCCACCCGTATTTGAGAGCTTCCCTGGCGAGGCCTCTGATCGTGCCGCCTTGACGAAGCGCGAAGCGCATGGGCCAATATTCGCCGCCCTCGGCAACGGTTCGCGCGCGCGACATATATGTCGTCCTCGAGGGCCCTTTTTCTATGTCGACCGCCAGAAAAGTGTGGGGGCCATCGACCCCCATGCCGGCGATGAGGCAGTTATCCATGTGGCACCAGCGCACTTCGGCGCGCGCGCCGTCCGTCACTTGAATTGCATGGTAGTGGTCGCCGTTGAACAGGCAGTTGATAACGCCACAAACGGTGCCGCCGCCCTTGCGAAATAATTCACCACCAACGTCGGTTCTAGCAGTGCCGCCGCCCTCCACCAAAACACCGTAGACGCTCCTATTGAAGGTCACGTCAACCGCAGCGAGCCAGGCGCCATCAGTAACTTTCAGCGCCACGGTCTGGTCCGCGAACCAGCAATTCTCTACGTACACGGTCGCACCGTCTAACGCGTGAACGCCCGCAAACACCACGGATTGAGAGTGCTCATCGTGGACTTGCAGACCATTCCCGTCGTCTGCGGCGAGTTCCGGGGGCGTGTTTACAACACCGCCGCGGTGACCGACCCACGCGATGCCGTACAGCGAGAGCTTCACGGCCGAACCCGAGGCTGTGATCGCGGGCAAGGGCACGGCTACTGTGCCCTCCACTTTCCTTGGGAAGGCCTCCGCATTGACGGTGACCATGACCTCGTTATCTGTCCACGTGGCGTTTATCTGCGCCCCGTCTGCCAGGCCGGCGTCCGCCACAGTTTGGTCGCCTCGGATCCTCTCACCATCAAAGCGGAACTCGACTGACGCCGCATCCACACCCTTCCTTCTCGCGAAATCATTGAATGCAAGCGCCAAGAGAGTCGTCGTCCTAACCCGGAAGAAGACCGCTTGAGGCTGGGGCGTATCATCGTGTCGATCGTTGATGCGGATGTTCAAGACCTCGCCGCGCGGCGAAACTTGTGTATATGGCGGCCCCGTCACGTCTTCGAGATGGTACTGCTGCCCGGGCTGGCAAATCGTCTCGCGTTCGTCCTTCTTAGCGGCGCCGTAGCGGCGCCGTGTCGCCGCGGCGATGATCAGGTTGAAAAGCGGCGCGGTAATCGGCGCTTCCAGTTGCACGGACTCGGTCAAAAGCACCACGTCGCGATCCCGCGCCGCGGCGACGGCTGCTTCCAGCGATGGGTGCGCGGCGCTCGGGCACTTAATTACCCGCGAGCGGAACGGCGCGAGCACCGCTTTCAACGACAGCGTGTCCTGCGGCGTCGGCGAAACCGACGTGGTGAGTGTGTACACGCGGCCCGGCGCCGCGCCAAGTGTCCGCAAGTAGGAGAGGATGTGAGAGACCGTGCCCTCGTCCAGCGCCGTGGCTATGCGCCGCGTTGGTGATCGAGCCGAGGTGCGGCCGCGGTTCAACGGGCTGGTGCTTGCGCCGCTTCTTCGGCGGCAGCGGCCCTTCGGGCAATTTCCTTGACGGCGGCGGCGTCACGCGGCCGGCATCGGTCAGTGGAGCGGCGGCCGGCGCCGGAGGCGCGCCGGCCATCGCCACGCGGCCAATGGGCCCGACGAGCCGGTCGCCGCCGACGTCGGGTGGGAAGATCACCACGAGGCCTTCGGGGCCGTCGAGCCTCACGACGACCCCGTCGCCCCGCGGGAGGCCTCCCTCGCGAGCTGTGATGACCGTGCCCAGGCTCGCGTTCGCGCGCGATATGACGCGATCGCCGGGGACGAACACGCGCTGGGGCCGCGGCCGCGCGCGGCATTTGGGGACGGACCGCGGCGGCGGCGGCGGCGGCGGCGGCACGTAGCCTCGCGCCGCGCGCCAGCGCGTCTTGCGGTCGGCCAGCCACGCTTCGAAGTCGGCGCGAGGGACGCGCTTTAGACTTGTCCCGATGCTCGGGGGCCGGGTCCCGCCCGCGCACGCCTTGCCGTGCTGCACCGCCGCCGGCGCGTGAGCAAAGGTCCGCGGGCAGCCGGCCGGGCACGGGAAGCGGCCGAGCTCGTCGCGCGGGCCAAGCGACGGGCCGCGCTGCTTGGGCGCCCCGACACTCGGCGTCGCGGCCGGCGGCTGCGGCGCGGCCGGCGCCGCGGCCGCCGGCGGCGACGCGTCCGTCTGCGTCGAGGCGTCGCGCGACGTCGTCGTCGCCGCGGCGACGACCGGCGCGCGCTCGGCGCACAGCCGCTTCCAGGCCTCGACGAAGCGGCGCCGCGAGATCACGGGCCACCGCGCGAGGCCGATCGTTTCTTCGAGGTCGACGAGCTCGACCGCCCGGAAGTCGTCGAGTGAATCGACGCAGGCGCGGACGGCGGCGCGCCGGGCCGGGTTGCCTATGGTTGCGGCGAGCCACGAGTCCAAGCTGTTCATTGTAGTTTTTCACAGAGCGGTTTCACTGTGCGAGCTGATGTGTTGGCTGTTTAGGAGACTTGTGACTAGTGACTACTTCCGAACCTTTCGCGTCGGTGTGACCGGTGCAAGTTGTTCTGGGCTAAGCTGAACTCGCTCTCAAGCTTTCATGAAAATGCTCTCAAGCAACCTCATTTCTCAGGCCAGACGACCGCCAAAACCATCACAAAACTTACACGCAACAACAACACCAAAGCATATCGACCCGCCCCGCGAGACCCAATATAGAGCGGGTAGGCCGGGTCCAGCGTACATGAGGGGGGACGAACGCCGAGGCATAAGAAGGCAGCGTGTTCCCCAAAACGTGCGCCGCGCAGAGCTCACCGGCGGCCTCAGCAGCCATCAACCCAAACCCAGCAAAGGCCCCATTCACGTAATACCCCGGGACGCCGCCGGGCCCGATCAGCGGTCGGTTCTCGGGCGTCTGGGTATAATAGCCGCCGTCGATCAGTGGTCGCTCGCTCTCGCCGTCGACGTACGCCCGCAACCCTGGTATGAAGCCCGCGAGCCCTCTTAAGCAAACTTCCGGGTAGAGGTCCGCGTCGAAGCTTGGCACATCGACGGGCGGCTCCTCGACGTCACAATCGGCATGCCAGTAATCCCACAGCAACAGAATATGTTCGTCGCCCCAGGGGCGGAGGTGGACACCCGCGGGCGCCAGTCCCGTGAGCTTCGCCGCTGTTGCAGCGCCGAAGGCGTCCTCGAGCCCGTCGTCGTCCATAATTCTCGTAGAGTCGAGGGAGATGAGCATGGGCGCGTTCCGAGGCACGGTCCGCAACGCATCTCTGAAGATGCACTTCGCGTGGACCTCGTTTGCAACCGGCAGCTCCGGCGCCGAGACCATCCCATGTATATGCGTCAGGTAGGGCCCCGCGCAGTTCACCAGCGTCGACGTCGCGACGGGGCGCCCGTCGACCCGGACGCCCGCGACGGCGCCGCCTTCGCACTCGACGCCGTCGACGCACCCCGCCACAAACGTGACGCCCACCGCCTTCGCCCGAGCGACGAGCTCGGCGGCGTAGCGGCCCGAGTCGACCCAGCCCGCGCGCCGCGCGTGCACGACGCCCACGACGTCCTCCGCCAAAGCTGGGAAGGCTTGCCTTGCCGCATCTCCGTGGAGCACGTCGAAGCCCGCGGGCAGCGCGTCGACGGCGTCCAGGTTTAAAACCCCGCTCGGCGACGGCTCATACGCGGCGAGCGTCGCGTGGTGCCTCACTCCACCGAGGTCCTCGCACTCGGCCACGGCCTTCGCGAGCGTTTCCGGCTGCCGCGCGCAGTAGGCGTAGCCGCGCCGCGTCAGGCCGATCCCTGCTTGCGCGGTCGCTTCCATCAGGTCGATGGACCGCGACATTAACTCCGCCATCTCGCGGCTCGGCCAGAAGTCGCGGTAGCATTCCGTCGAGACGGCCGACGTGTAGGAGCACGGCGGGTGCCGCGTGACGCAGAGGACTCGCAGGCCGGCGTCGGCGAGGCGCGACGCGGTGCTGACGCCGACGAGGCCCGCTCCGACGACGATCGCATCTGTGCGCTGCGGCGGCGTCGACGCTTGACGGATGCCGCGCGCGGTCGCGGCGGCGGCGCGGCGGAGCATGGTCTCAGCTGCTGCAGCACAAGTTCTGCAGTGGCTTGTTTCGTAGCGCACAAGGCGCAGCGCTCAATTCTTTTGAAGCAGCAGTCGCAGCGCTCTAAAAGCAAAGCGTGACGAGGCTGCCACGCGCTATTTCGACCGCTGCGCCGAGTCTCGTCCGCAAAGGTGAAGCTAGCGGCCTGTAGAGACACTAGCAAGCCAAACTCGGAACGCGGCATGCAGCCGTTTGAGTACCGTTCAGTTCGCTAATGGTCCAAAGAGATCAATGGGACACTTCCTGGGGGCCAAAAAAGGAATTTTTTTAATTCGCGATATTGACGACCCCGCCATGGCGGGCGCGTAGGTGGAATCCTGTCAATTCGTGGTCCTGAGGTCTCCCGGAAGCCATTTTGGGTCGCTACTAGACATGTGCAATCGCCTACGCCGCCTACGCCGCCGCTTCCAGAGTGAGATACATCTCCCATGGTCCTTTGCGCTACTGATGTATTGGCCATGATTTGCCAAAGATTTCGATCCAGAGCTCTCTGGGGAGCTCCAAGCACGGGCGCATGCGGCGTAGGCGACTACCCGACCCCAGACCTATCCCGGAGGGAGTCCGCGAGCCGATCTACATCCACAAAAAGTAAATAATTTGGACCCGATGGCGCCCCGTTCCCGTCAAAAACGTCAATTACCCGAGGGCCCCCAGTAGTCGCCGTAGCGGTCTCGTTGGACCCCATACTACCCCAGCGATAGTCAATTACAAGTATATGACATCTACATTATAAGAAGGGTACTTTTGGCTGCCCACGCTCGGGACGTGAACATCTTTATCTGGACCTCGCGTAAGTCCGTCGATCATGAAACAAATGATCGCGTCATGGTCCATGGTGATGGTACACGGGCTGATGGGCCCAGGTCCAAGTAATTTGCCCGTTTAAAGCAAGATCGTGGGCTCGCGAGTTGGCCGAGCCGCGCGGAGCATCGTGGGGTCTCGAGCAATGTAGTACACGCTCAGGCCAGTTATCTGGCCCGTCCCACAACTAAAGCGCCTGAAACGCAAATTTACTTTATAAACCACCCGTCTGGGGCCTTTCCGGTGCTCCGTCTCCGCACCGTCGTCCGCGGAGAACGGGCAAGTCAGTCGATTGTGGATAGAACGACGGCGTTATGATCCATCTGGATGGTGGCGTCGCTGATACTCGCGGGTCTAGGTCTTGAGCCCCTCTACACATAAACCTGGGGTCGTGGAGTCGCTGTTTCGCGCGGCTCTAACGGGTAATCTAAAATAGCTCAGTAGTCACTGATTCGGCCGAAATGGACTCTACCACCAACAAACGGAAGGAAACGAACATAAACGCGAGAGTTGTCCAGTAAATTTTTTCCCGCCCTCCGAGCGCGCCGTCGGCTCCGGTTCCGTCGAACTTGTATGAAAACTGGGCTGGAGTTGATATAATGTACTATCTGGACGGTGGATGGCGGCGTCAAGCGCGGGTCTACTTTGGCGAGCCGTAAGACTCATCCGCGAATGTCGCGGGCGGTGCCTTCCGGGAGGCGCGAGGGTATGTTCCCGGGCCGCTACTCTGAAATATTTGGTCGCGGCGAACGACCAGGATATATTCTGAATTTGGGTCATTCTTTTGACGCTATCGAAGCGTATCTTTGAATTTGCTAGTATGTCGACACGCTAGGTATTATTTCCTCCCTGCGTGAAGAAATGATCGCCGATGAATCGGCGACGCGCGGTGTCTCCCCCCCAGGGGCTCCGCCCACTAGTACTAGCACCGTAACATCGACGGGATGAAGAAATGATCTAGGCGGACGACCACACGGACGGTGAATAATCACTAGCAAGCAAACTCGGAACGCCTGATGTGCAGCCCCTCACGCCATCGATCAGACGTCCAGCCCCACGAAATCTACAAGGGAGGCGTACTTAATCATCATCAGGATACAGGGAAGGGAAGAACGATCACGCGTCGTACTCGACGAAGAAGAACTGGCGCCGCTTGTAGCAACTGTCGTCGTTCCACTGGCCCGTCGCGTACATCTCGACGCAGTCCTCCTCGCCGTTCTCGTCCGGTTCTCCTTCCGCAAAGTTGCTGTAAGCGCCCGCGACCGGCTGCCCATCTCGATAGAAGACGCTGCCGCCCTTAAAACCGTCCAGCCACTCGAAGGTCCCCTCGTTCGTCATGTCGTTGGCCCCGATCCAGCCGGCGTTGCCCGACGCGAAGCCCTGGTGGGCCAGCATCTTCCCGAGCAGAAACGCGTTCTCGGCCGCGTCGTCGACCGTGGCGAGGTACCCTGGGACACCGCCATAGCATCTCCCCCAAGCATCCATCTCGGCCTGGCGCCACGTGATCTGCGCCCAGTTGCCGCCCACGATCTGGTAGTGGTGGCCGTTGTATTCATAGACGGGATCGCCATATAAAGCTTCGCCCATGTACTGGCACCGGTCCAGCCAGTGGCTCTGCTTGCCGCCGCCGCCGCCCTTGCCCCGGCCGTCCGGGCCCGGCTTCGGCCCGTTGCCGTTTCTATTGGCTGCTATACCATTAACCTTCGACATCGCCGAGCAGGCGATGACAAAGCCCACGAAGGACATGAGGTAGAGCACGATAATGTGCTGCTGGAGGAAGGCTTGTATGAAGTTTCTTCTCGGTGGCGGCGCGTAGGAGACGGGCGGCGGCGCGTAGCCGCTGTTCCCCGACGGGACCTCTTCGGGCGGGAGGTCGTCGATGAGGGCCGTGCCTAAGGGGTTCTTCGTGGCCATTTTTGTGTGCGTGACGCGTCTCCAGTGAACAGCGCGTGCTGCAGAGATATTGTGTCCCTCGGCCTGAGGGTCCTTTAAGCGCACGCCAACTTAACAGAGGCTGGAGCCGACTCAAGTGAGAGGCTGCGAGAACTGTGGGTAATTTCCTAGCGTGAAACCGTGCGTACAGGCCAAAAAACAAAGTGACCGAGAGCCTGGAGTCTAGCGTCCTGTAAGACACTAGCCAAGTACACGCATTACTGACTAGCTATGTTCGGGGGGGTTTGCCGAGGCGGTTCTGCTTAGAAGGAGGTACGCTGTTATGAAAGAAGCGGCCCGCGCCCGCCGCCGATGAATCGGCGACGCGCGGTGTCTCCCCCCCAGGGGCTCCGCCCACTAGGAAGTCGGCGGGCGGCGAAGGTTTGTCGGCGGCCTGATACTGTTCTTTGACCTCGCTGCGGAAGTCTTCAACCACACGAAGGACGCAGACACCTTGAAAACGCTCTTCGGCAAGCCCCCGTACGACGACGACAAGATCAAAGCTGCCTACTGCGTCGCAGCGCTCGGCGAGATCAGGCGACGGCACTTAAGTGGCGCGCAGGTCATTGCGTGCGGCGAGGGCGCCGAGCGCTCCTGGGGCTGGGATGGAGAACTCATGCGGGCTCAAGAGATCTTTTTCCGATTATGCAAAAAGTGGAACTACGTGCTCTGCGAGAGCTATGATGGCGCGCACGGCGAGGCGGTGGCCGCCGCGCTCTACAAATTGAACTTGCTTGGAGTGTACGGCAACCCATTGGCACGGGGTTTGGGCGACTCAGGAGATGTGGTCGATTTCGATAGGTTGGCAAACGAGGGCATGGCGTTTCAGGCCAAAGACATAGGTGGTAGTGGTCGGAAGGGCGTCGACGCTGTATTAAACGACACAATCAAGAATCAGGTCAGCATCATGGGGGTGCGCATTGTGGACCCTGATGACCGGCGCCTCTCGCTCACGGGCGACGTCCTGTTCTTTACTCAAATATTAGTGCTGCCCGAACTCAATCGGTACGACGCCGAAAACCCAGGCATCTTCGACGTGATAGCAGGCATGGACTCCATCGGCGCCACGAACAAGCATCTACACGCGGCCATGAAGCTCGGAAATCTTGCGCTCAAGCTCCAACGGCTTCGCTCGCACCGAGACTGGCGCCGCGACATCATGGACGTCCTCGTGCGTGTCGCCAAATTGAGGTCCGTCGAGTGGTTGCGCGCCAAACTGGTGGAGCTCATGCCGATTGCGCCCGCCCTCCTAGAACGCCGGCCGGTTTCCCTGGCGACGTCATTGAGAGGAGATGATCTCATCCGATGGTTCGAAGACGTGTTACTGTGCCTGCCGCGCAACGGGGTACAGGCGACGCTAGACTACATTGCCGAGGAGAACCGGTCCTGGGACGCGGCCCTGCGGGGCGCAGCGACGTGCCGCCCTTTCGAGCCGCTTGGGCCACTCGCGTCGGCCGACACGGTCGAGGCGGACCTCCTGCGCGAGTTTCCGTGCCTCAGCCAAGCTCACGCGTGGACCATCGCCAAGAACGCGGTCAATGCGGCGCGTGCGTGTCGCGTCTGGCACCGCGACGGCTGTTTCGAGGCGCGGGAGCCGCAGGGCGCTATGGACCGGTTCCTCGCGCGAGGCAGCCGCGCCCCCTCGCCGCCGCCGTCCGCGGCGGCGCCGGCGCCGGCGCCCAAGGGCATGGATCGGTATATGCAGAAGCAGAAGCCGCCGCCGGTGCCGCCGCCGCGGGCACCTAAAAAGCCAAGCGGCATGGAGCCGTTCGTAACGCAGAAGAAGCCCCGCGTCGCGGCCGCGCCGCCCGCGTCGCCGGGCGCCGTCGCCATAGCGGGGGGATGCGCAACTTGGACGAGGCGCCGCCGGCGTCGCCCGGTACTTTGGCGCTAATCGACGCGATGGAAGACCGCGAGGCCGGCGCGGCGCCGGCGCCGGCGCCTTCTTCGCCGGTCGCCCCGCCCGCGTCGCCGGCCGCGCCGCCCGCCGCCGCGCCGCCGCCGCAATCGCCAGCGAACGACGCCGCGGCCGAGGGCGAAAACTCGTGGACCTGCCCCGCGTGCACCTACCGGCACGTAGAGGCCGAGGCGGGCTTCCTGGCGTGCGCCATGTGTGGGGCGACGAAGGTCGACCTGGACCCGGACGACGTCGCCTAGTCCAGCCGGACGGGTGGGCCCGGGGGGAGCGGGAGGGGTACGGGGAACCCTGCGACGTAACTAGCCTTAGCCTTAGCCAAAAAGAGTCGGTCGCATGGACGCCGTCGCCGCGGCTCACTCACACCGTTTATACTTTGACCCTTACTCAATCTTCAGAAGCGCTCCGCGCCCCGCCCTTCTCGACCATCTCCACGAGCTGTTCCGTCTCCTCGTTATCTGAGTCGGTATCGAGGGGCCATCCTTTTTCATGATACTCCCACTCGATGCGAAACAACGCCCAGACCGTCCTCCTCGCCAATTCCGCAATTTCAAACGACAACATGCCCATGCCGCGCGTCGACACGTGACCGAACACCGCCAAAGCCCAGGCAAACCTCAGACTGAAGTTGAAGAGCACCAGACCGGCATAAGCAGCATATATAAACATATCGCTACGTTTCGAAAAAACGAGTGATTTCGGCTCCCTCATCTGGTCGACCTCGAAGATGCCACAGAGTAATCCCCCTCGCCGCTTCTTGAAGAGGCCCCAGTCCATGCACAGGTCCCAGGCGAAGGTTGCGGAGGATTGCACACAGGCCGTCAACACTACTAATCTACGAGTTTGATCGGTCGGCGCGAGTCGGTCCAGGTACCCCGCATAGACGAGAGGAAACGCCGTCGCGTATTTCACGGCGTTCCAGAAGTTCTTGGGCTCGCCCGTACGTCGTAGTACCGATAGGCATTGAAATAAACGACACCAGAAGGGCAAGGCCAGCGCCCACGCGTTTAATTCGGACGTGACGCAAGCCCTCTGGTCTCCTCCCAGAAGACGCCGTGCGTATCTGTTGTGAGGTGGGAGTAGGCCGGTGAAATACCGGCGTACCACGCGACACAACCCGTGACGTGGACGTCACCGAGTGCCTTGGCCATGCTCGTGGCCTGTGTCGAGATCATGTCACGAGACCGCCGCATCGACGGCGTCGCGGCGGCGTGGTCTCACGAAGACGCTCTCTCTCTCTCTCTGACACGCCGCGCAGCCCCGACGTGGTCCGAATCGCTCAAAATCGAAAAGGAGACCACCCACTTCATCAGGAGATGGCGACGACGCGCGTCGATGGCGTGAAGGCACCGCAGCACCGCGGGACGCCGAGTCCGCACATAGTCGGCCACGATGACGTGCCAGAACGCCACGGGCGCGAACGGCGCGCATAAAGATTCTATCAGAGTTCTCAGCAATGAACTTCGACCGTGGGCCGTCTGCAACAGCCAGCCGTGGTCGTAGCGCTGGTGGGCCTTACACCTTTCACTGGAATAACCCGCTTCATCACTACCACAACAAGCAGAGGTGGCGCCGCTAGGAGTAGGATGCATGCGGCGTACGCCACTAGATCGAAGAACAAACACCACCGCCCGAAGTGCTCCGTCTCGAAGACCACTTGGGCCACGAAGGGTACCAGCCGACAGAGCAGTATCACATCCAATAAACCCAAAGCGCTCCGCAGAATGATTCTTGGTGATAACACGCCCTCGCCCAAAGCTCTCGAGAGCCTTAACCCGGCTACTTGGCCGCAGTGCACGACGCCCGCCCATCCTACGAGTATGACCACCAAGAGGATGGGAGGGCGTGCTGACGCCGACCGCCAAAATAACCTCGATATCACTTCGAAGGCGTCGTGCGGGCTCGCTTCTCGGAGCGTGAGCGTGGCGAAGGCTATACTCAAAGCTCCTAACAAAGCGAGCTCGCCGCGCGCGGCGTGCGTGCCGGTGGCCATGGTTGTTTCCTACGCGTCGACGGCGTCTTGTAGCCGCGTCGACGGCGTTTTTTTTGTCGCCGCGTCGACGGCGTTCGCGCCTCTCTGGTCCCAGCCCTTATAGCCGATGCAAGCCGACCCACGCCTTGAGACAACAGCTTGTGGCTTGCTAGAGTGCCAACTCGCAGCGCTGATGTGCTGAGACTGCTGCGACGGTACTGTGCCAAGCTCAGAATAGCCTCGGATGCCAGGCCGACGCTGTTATGGCGTAAAATTTTGCCACAGTCGACTGTGCTTAGCTAGCGGCATGTAAGACACTAGCAAGCAGCGCGACGCCTCACGGAGGACCGCCGGCACGCGCGAGAGCTGTGCCAGAGCGCATGCGCGCCAAAAGCAAGCTTACCCACAAGCCGAACCGATCTCCAGGCCGTCGTGATTGAGCCTGATAAGCTCAGCGCTGAGGGCAAGAACACACGCGCTGCTCCTCCAGCAGTGCCGCTATCGCTGCGGTACCGCGCTCTCAACCGCGCGTTGAGATACAGCTCGTATCTAGCGCGTTCAGCGTTCAGAGCTGCAGAGCTGCAGGCGCAGCGCGCCCGGCCGCGCTGCGACAGGATGGCGAACACGCAGGAAGACGAGGAGATCATGGCAGCCATGGATGCGATGGAAGCGCAGCCGAGCGGCGAGGCGGAGGTGCCGTGGTCTCAGGAGGACAACCGATGGTCGTCGCAGCAGTCTGCCGAGGACGCGCCGGCGGCGGCGCCGCAGAACCCGCAGAAGCTGTGGTGGCACACGCAGCAGGACGATCCCGCGCACGTCGAGGCGAGCCTCGCGGCGATCACGGACGCCACGGGCCTCGACTTCGCGGCCGTGCGACGCGGTTGGGACAAGACGCGGCGCGTAGCCGAGGACGCGGACGTCTCCTACGACGACAGCGTCACCGCGTTTGGCGAGCTCGCGCTCGCGTGCAAGGAATGCAACACGTCGCCCGACACCGTCCCGGCAAACGCCGTCGTTGTGATCAACAGCGTGCGGCGGCGAGGTAACGACAACGGCGTCAAGCGCGCGATCGAGAAGCTGGTCGGTCGGCGGGCGTCGCCGCCGCGACCAAGCCATCCGAAGCGGCCCGTGCCGAGCCCACCGAAGCAGCGCAAGAGCCCTCCGAAGCGGCCGCGGCCGGCTCCGGCGGCCGCCGCGCCGACCGCGGCGCCGGCGCCGCCACCAGCAGCGCCCGCGCGGCGGCCGACGCCGCGCGAGCTCGGGACCAATCCCCGCGCGCTCGGGACCAATCCGCGCGCGCTGGGGACCAGCGCGCGAGCGCTCGGGACCAACCCGCGCGCGCTCGCGGCGCGGGCGCCACCGCTGCCGCCGCCGTCGGAGATAGAAGACGAGTCGGTGACATCGCCGTCGCCATCGCCACTGACGCCCGCGCCGTCGCCGGAGGACGCGGCGGCGGCGGCGCTGCCAACGACGGACGAGGTCGAACCCCCGCGGCCTCCAACGCCGCCGGACGACGCGGCGGCGCTCGAGCGCGCCCGTGGCAACTTGGCGCGCGCGCTCGCCGAGCCCGAGCCCAAGCCCTCGGAGGAGAACGAGAGCGACGGCGACGAGGACCCCTTCGGCGCCGTCGCGCCGCGCCCGCCGCCGCTCACCGGCTTCGCGGAAGAGCCCGTGACGGAGAACCAGCGCGCGCGCCTGGACGATCTGCGCGCGCGCATGGCGGCGCCGCCGCCGGCGCCGCAGGACGACGCGCCGCGGGCGCCGCAGATCACGATTCATCCCGCGGGGTCGCGCGCGGCGGACGAGCTGATCGAAAGGGCGCGCTGGCGCCAGACGTCGCCCGACATGTTGAAAAGGCTCAGCCGCGCCGGCCGGGACGCGCTGGGCGAGGAGCCGGACCTGGCGGTGAAGCTGCTCCATGGCCGCTGCGCGGTCGTCGAGGTCGAGGACGTCCGCGGGGGCGAGGCGCTCGCCAAGCACATGCTCGACACGAAGGCCACGCCGGACGAGGCGGCCTGCCGCGCGCTCGGCTTCACGTTCCTACGGACGACGACGCTGGTCGTGAATCGCGCCGTGCCGCCGCGACAAGTCACGGTGAAGGCCTTGTTCCTCGACCGCGAGACGGCCGCCGTCGCCGCGGCCTTCGACGCCGAGGGCCGCACGGCGTTCCACCGCGCCGTCACCCGGCCAAGCGCTACGTCAGCGCCGCGCGCGACGCGGTCCAGGGCGCCCAGTACTGCGAGGGCATCCGCTACGACCGGCGGCACAACGCGCACAAGCAGGACCTCGGCCGCGACGCGTACCACACGTTCTGCCACCGCGATGAGAAGTGGCGGCGCGACGCCACGTACAAGCGCGACGTCGTCGAGCTGCTCTTCAAGGTGTGTGAGCTCGAACGGATTTTCGTCCCGCGGCTCGGGCGGATGCGCGCGCTCTTCCGCGACGCGATGGGCCTCGTCCCGCTGAGCCGGACGCTCGAGGACTACATCTCCGCGCCGATGCTGGTCATGTCGGAGTCGTTCGGCTGCGAGGTCCACGTCGATAAGAGCGCGGACAAGTTCGCAGAGTCCATCGCCTGGGTGCGCGGCACACGGCGGCACCCGTGGCACTTCATCGTGGCGTGCGCGGGCGTCGCGTTCGAGCTCCACGAGGCGGCGCCGTGCTTCCTGACGCTCCAGGCGTCCTGCACCGCGCACGCGACGCTTCGGACGCCCGGCCACGAGAACCACCCGTCGAAGGGCGCGGCCGCCGTCACGAAGCGGACGCTTGTGACGGACGCCGCGCGCGAGAAGTTCCGGCCCGGGGAGCCTAGAGAGGAGTAAAGTTTTCAAGATCGAACTATAGACGGGGGCAGGAGGGGGTATGACTACGTCGCCGAGATGCCCGCCAACTTGGAGAACTTCTCGAAGAAGAGGAGCTGGAGGGTCGTCGTCGGCGCGATTCTAGCCCACATAGGTATAAATCCGCGCCAGAGCGCCGGCGGCCCCTCCTGCGTCGCGATCTTCGCGAACGTGTCGAAGAGGTTAAAATAAACCTTGGGCTTGTCCGCGGGCTGGTTCATGAGCCGCGTGCGGCAGATGTCGAAGGGCGCGACCGTGCACGTCATGAAGAAGCCCGCGATGAATGACGCTAAGGCCTGCATGGGCACGCCCTCGTTCAAGGGAGAAGGGGCGTAGTCCTTGACGAGGCCTTTCGAGGTGTCGTAGCAGGCCATCTTCGTGCCGTTGTTCACGATCGCGCGCATGATGTTCGCGTCGATGCCCTTGTAGAAGCCGATGAGGCCCTGGTTGGTGTAGATGGACGACGCGGTCGCGCCCAATCCGAGACCCGTCTCGGACGCCATCATCTTCGTCTTGAGGATGTCGAAGGGGTTGCCGACGATGGAGCCGAGGCCGCCGCTCGCGCCGCCCGCCGCGAACTTCATGATGAACGGCGAGTCCGGCTTGTCGGCCCCGAACGCGTGCTTGAGCGGCGCGTAGAGGCCCAGCCGGAACGACGTGTACGACGCCTCGCGCATCCACGCGGCGGGGATGCCCTTCCAGAAGGCGGCGATGCCCTCCTCCTTGGCGATCGTCGAGCACGTGCCGGCCAGGCCCAACTCCGCGTAGTTCCGCGCGTTGCCGGTGCCCGACACTTGTAAACGCGTCTTCACCGTGTCGATGGGGTGGATGAACGTGACCGTGATCACGGCGGCGCCGCCGGCGCAGCCGAGGTTCGTGAGGATGGACGGGGCCATCGCCTGTGCGCATACCAATTGATCATCCGGGCCGGCGCCGTCCGCCGTCTCTTCGCGACGCGCTTCCAAACTGCGACCGCGGGGGCACCGCGGCGGTGGCGTCGCGCACGACTACATTTCGCCTCTCGCGTACCGAAACCGCCGGCTAAAACATGCCGGCAAGCGATTGGCTGCATTGCTTTTAGGGCTCAGGCTTGAAATCTCGACAAGTCGTTACGGCAGAGTGATACATGGACACGGTTGTGCACGAGTTGCACCTCCCTTCTGTCTCGGCGATCGTGTGCGGGCGTATTAGCCGGGTGGATGCCGTCCACGCGTGATTTGGGAATCGCCAGTTTGGCGTTTTTGAGCGGAGCTCTCTTTTTGTTGAGCTCTCGGAGGCTTGCGTTTGAGCAAAACAACGCCGTGGACGGATCGCGCGGCTCGCGAACCCGTTTTACAAGTCAATAGAGGCACACAAAAGTAAGCAAAGAGCTTTGTCTGCGGCGCGAGTTGGTGCGTCGTTGTAGTCACAAATTATCCTCTGATAGTGCAGAACGACGCCACGAGCGCTAGCTGCAAAAGCAACGCACTTGAGCATCAACAAAAGCCATCTGAGTCCTACCGCCCCCGCGCCGGCACCTGTCGTCGCTCCGCCGCCCGCCGCCGCGGCGCCAGCGCCCATGGAGATGAGCACCGAACCTTCGCCCGTGGTCGCCGCGGCCGCGTCTGTCCCCGCCGACCACGTCCCCCTCCTCGCGGGCGTCCGCCTTTTTATGTTCGGCGCCCGGGACCAGCTCAACTCATACGATCTGCGCCACCTCTCCGAGGTCCCGGACGGCGATCGGCCCCCGGCGCCGGCTGACCTGACGAACATCGCGAATTTCTTCCGGGAGTCACCGTCATCCAACGGCGGTCTGGACGCCGTCGCTCTAGGTCTCTGCGGCTGCGAGGTCGACAAACCCGTCGTCTTTGCGCTACAGACGCTCACAGTCGTCGGGACGGACACGGTGCGGATTTCGAAGACCGCCGTGGACATGACCCTCATGCCGCACCTCCCTCTGCAGTCGCTGCTCGATCATTTTGCGGCGCAGGTGCCCCGCTTCGCCCGGCAATTACTACCGGGCGCACGCTACGTCGCCTGCGAAAAGGTGGACTCCTCGCGCACGGGATATCTATGGGACCCCGACTCCCAGCGACACCTCCCCTTCGAGATCTGGCAACCCGGCCCCGGCTACGCGAGCGTCCTTCCCTCCAACGCCACGGGCGTCGCGTTTCTGCGCGCCGAACTGAACGCTCCGGGCGCCGCGGCGACGGCGTAGGGCTTCCAAGTCATCATAAGCTCTCATTATTATCTAGCGGCCAGTAAGACACTAGCAAGGTCTTTGCTGCGGACGCCGCCGACGCAGCAGTGCTGCCCAAAGCCGTCACACCACCACCAGAGCACCCCCGAGCAAAACCACAGCGACATGCCGCGACGGACGCAGCGATGGGCTGCATAAATAACAGAATGCTGTGCATGCTGCTCCTCACGCTAGCGCATGCAAGACGGATGTATCAGATTCGCAAGTTCCAGGAGGCCGAGCTCAAACGCCGTTCATTGAGACCCTGCAACGCCACGGATTTAAGTGAAGGCCTGCCCGGTACCTGGCGCCTCTCGCCCTTCGCCAGAGGCGACGCGTACGGCTGGGACAAAACGGAGTCCGAACGATTACGTAGAGCGGACGCGTCGGAGGCCTACGAACGGCCGGTCCACGAGTATTTGCCGGATCAATGTAGGTTAAGGCGCTTCGGCCGCCGACGCGCGATCGGAAGGTGCTTTTCAGGACGACGATTGGCCTTTCTGGGCGACTCGCTCGCGGAGCAGGTCTCCAAGGCCTTGTTAGGTATGTTAGGACATGCGGGCCACGCCGCGACCAAGACGGAGCACGGCGACGTGTTTTCCATGGACAAGGCACCATCAAAGGAAGAGTTTATTGCACGTCCCAAAAAACGCCACCCTCGGTACTGGAAGCAGCGCGACTTTCGGAGGCGGCTCACGGAAAGTGGTATGGAGGTCTTGGAGAGGTTCAAGCTCGGAAGGGTGGACCTCGATCGATTAGAGGACATCGACGAGACCGTAAGGTTCGGGCCGCGCGATGTTATTTTAGTGAGCTTCGGGCCGCACTACAAGAACGCGTCGCGATATGAGAGAGACCTGCGGTCCTTTTGCGCTTGGATGAAACGCGGCAGAGATAGAAAAAGGGCGACGCTCATTTGGCGCGAAAATAGCGCGACGCATTTTCCGGTATCAACAGGCACGCACGAGGAGATGATGCAGCTGAACTACGACGGGGGCTGCCCGCCCTACGCCTCGAACTGTTTGACGTGGCCGCTGAAGTGCTCGTCCCACGCGTTAACGCACGACGCCGCATTACCTAAACAAAGGTGGCGCAACGACGTGCTCCGGGCCGTGGTCAAGGAGACGAGTTGTGGAAGTGTGCTGCCCCTCTTCGAGCTCGTCAGAGACGACTGGCGGGCGCATCCCGGGAGCACCGCGCCGATTCAACGAAACGCGTGCGACGGCGCCGTCACGGCGCGGCAGGCCAAGTGCTGCCGGCGGAAGACGGGCGCCGCGTGCCTGCTGGACTGTCTGCACCTCGCGCCGAAGTACAACCACCTGACGGCGCGGCTCCTCTACCACCTCCTGTGCTTTTCGTCGTCGGGGCGTAGTGGCGGCGTACCCGTAGCCGCGGCGGCGTCGTCGTGGCGTCGTAATAGTACGGGCTTGTAGACTCCCACTTTGGAGTCGCGGCTCGGAAAACCAGCGAACGCCGGTCCCAGCCTTCCGCAGCGTGCCAATAGTCATCCGAGGGCTCCGGACCTCGGGGGAGAGGCGTAACTCGGGTCGGTGATCTGCGAACCCGGCGCAAACCGCCGTCGCAACGGGCGCGCAGCGCGACCGTAAAGGCGCGCAATCCTGCACAGCCGCCGGCTGCCCTTGCATCATAAGAAGCGCGGAGTAGCACGTCATCGCTGCACCACACGCGCAAACGATGCAGCGGCTTAACGGATAAGCATAAACACCAAAGCCAAGTGACCCGCTGGGCCAACAGCATAAAGAAATGCCGCGGCGCGTCGCGAAAGTCGCGCCGTCCGGCTGGACCTACGTCCGCAGCGCCCTCGCTGATTTAGCGGAAGAAGGACGCCGCCAGGACCTCAGTAGTTCATTAGCGCAGCTCGCGCGCACAAGGCAGCTGCCGCCCTTAACAAACGCACCGGTGCACAATCCCTTGGATGAGGAGAGCGACGCGACACCAAGAGCTCAGGGCCCCGGCAGCGTCGCGCGGCACCGGGCCTTCGTGAAGACGGTGGAGAAGGAACACAGTAAAAGAAAAGAGGCCTACGCGAAAACGAGAGAAAATGTGCTAAAGAGCACGCCCTCGAAGTCGACGCGGCGTCGCATAGAACGCGATTTGGATCGCGCAGAGGCGGCAGCCGAGCGCGAGACGCTTGCTACATTAGCGCACGCGCACCAGGAGCTACACGACGAGCTCGCCGCAGAAGAAACGCCGAGGACGCCGCGGCACGACGGCGAGGCTGCTCATCAAGCTGCACAATCCGCCTTGAGGGAGAGCCACCGCAAGGAGGCTCATCAATCTCTCGAACTCGTAAGGGAGGCCGTGCGCCAGCACGACGAGCAGGCGCCGCCTCCTCTGACCCTCGATACCTCGTCCTCGTCTGATGAACATACAGAGCCACCGATTTCCCCTTATAGGGAGGAGTGCAAGGAGGCGCCCGCCGAGGACGCCTACGAGCCCTACCGGGCGAAGCTCGACGGCACGCAGACGCCGGCGCAGTACGTGCGCGAGCGCCAGCCGGCCATCGTAGTGTTGGGTGCGATGGGCGCCGCACTTTGCTTATGTGGTGGGGCGCTCGGCGCGTCGGGCGCCTGGCGCTACGGGCGGTCGAACCTGGCGCTCTTCCTCGCGCCCACGTTGCTAGGTTTTGCGCACGCTCTCGTCGGCGCCGTTTGCGTCGTCGCGTGCCTCCGGGTCCGGCGGGACCTCGAGGCCTATTTCGAGCCGAGACCCGTCGCGCACGCGCACCAGCAGCTCGCGGAGGAGACCCCGCTCCGCCGCCTGATCCGCCTGGACGAGGCGCGGCGCGCCTTGAAGGAAGGTGGGACGTCCCTCGAGGTCGCGCGCGCGGTCAACGAAGAGGGCAAGTGCGTCGAGGCGCCCGCGGACACGCCGGGCCAGCGCCTGCTCGAGTGCTGCCTTTATGTCTGGTTGTTCCTCGCCATCCTATGCTTGGGCTGCGGCGCTGGTTTGATAGCCAACCGGCGGCTGGGTGAGACGCACGCGGCGAACCTCGCGGAACGACGGCCCGGGCGCTTCGCCGAGTACTTTGATGGTGAGGAAGGCGCCGCCGGCCGGGAATTAATGAATTGGCTCCTAGGACATGGGATCTCACTGTTGGTCCTCGCCGTACTCGGCTTACTGCCTCTATTGCCAACCATAAAAATCATCACGGTCTACGAGACCGTGCAGAGCGGCCTCGAGTGGGGCGGTGCGTTCCTCAGTATCCTTGCGATGGCGTGCGCCGTCATTACCAGTCTCACGCTGCGTTACAAAGACGCGGTGGACGGCGCGGCGTTCGCGGCGCCTTCTGATGGTGCGCTCTGGGCCTCGGTCATTATATCGGCGATCGCCGCCTTCTCTGGTACCGTCGCGTGGCGGGGCGGTTACACCGAGAACGTTCGACTATTAGCCCTCTTCGAGGGGATGGGCGTCTTCCTCGTCCCGTCCATACTCATCGCCTTCGCCCTCATGGTCGCCGCCGTCGCGCGCTTGCCACCGCTTATTGAGAGGCGCTGCGACGACGTCGTGCAACTATTAGGCGAGGACTGGTGGGATGCGGTGCTCGGCTGTCGCAAGTACGCGTCCGACGCGCGGCGGCATTCTTCCTATGTAAGAGGCGCGGGCGAAGGCTGGTCCGTGACGTGCGACGACGCATCGTCCAATGTGTTCGCCTGGGAATATGACGACGAGCAGGGGAGTTGTGGCTGCAAGGTTGATTATTATGGGTGTCTCAACTCAAGGCCCTGTTGCAACTCCCTGAAGGTATTAATCGAGACGAACTGGTTCTTCCTCGTCTACGGCGGGTTAGTCGTGCTGATTCTTTTGATGGGCTTAGTCAAGGCGTCCCACTACGTCCGCACGAAGATCGTCGATGGTTGGGACCGCAAACGTATTTTACATCATCGGAACAGCTCCGTGAGCGGGTCCCTCGCCCTGTCGTTTGGCGTGGCCCTCGTCGTGATTGGGCTGTCCGTGCTCCTCGCTTCTACGGGAAAGCGGGTCCCGCCGAACGAAGCGCGAGGCGTGCTGACCTGCGACTACGCGCCCTTCGAGAACGCCACTTTACTAGATAGGCTCCCTCCAACGGATCTGGTGGACGAAGGCAACGACAGGGTTTTACTAGAACCGATCACGGAGTTCTGGCCCTACCCCACGCCGGCTCCCTCCGTGTCGCCGTATCCTACGACATCCCAGCCTTCGCCGGAACCATCATTCCTACCGTCGCCGATGCCGTCCTCGATACCGTCGACGGCGCGTCCGTCGACGGCGGCGCCGTCCTCTTCACCAAGCTCGTCGCCGCCTTCCTTGAAACCATCGCCGGCGCCCTCGCGCCTGCCGTCGCCGAGACCCACCGCGCATCCTTCTGCGGCGCCGTCGCGCGCGCCGTCCCTCGTGCCGACCTCGGCGCCGACGTCCATGCCGGTGCCGGCGCCGACGCCGCTTCCCTCGACTTCCACGCCGTCCGCCGTGCCGTCGTCGCGGCCGACGCCGCTGCCGACGCCCGCGACGCCCGCGCCGTCCTACGCCCCGAAGCCGCTGCCCACGTCCCGTCCGACGACCGGCGCGCCGAGCTACGCCCCGTCGGCGGTCCCCACGTCCCTGCCGACGCCTGTGCCCGCGCCGCGCCCGACCGTGAACAACGTCATGACCGACGGCAACATCAGAACGGCCGTCGCGGCGTGGCTCGCGGACGCGGCCGCCGCCGAGGCGTTATATGGCCACATTTCGACGTGGGGGACCAGCGCGGTGACGGACATGGAGGCTCTCTTCGCCCATGCCGCCTCCTTCAACGACGACATTAGCGCGTGGGATACCTCTAGCGTCACGACGATGTATGAGATGTTCTGGGGCGCCTCGTCGTTCAACCGACCGATCGGCGGCTGGCAAGTCGACAAGGTCACGACGATGGAATTCATGTTCGAAGACGCCTCGGCCTTCGACCAGCCCATCGGCGCATGGGATACCTCTAGCGTCACTACGACGCACTACATGTTCGTCGGCGCCTCGTCTTTCAATCAGGACCTCGGCGCGTGGAATGTCTCTAGCGTCGTGACGATGTATGATATGTTCTTCGACGCCCCGTCATTCAACGGGGACATCGGCGCGTGGGATGTCTCTGGCGTGACGTCGATGAAGTACATGTTCGACGACGCCTACGCGTTCAACCGACCGATCGGCGGCTGGGACGTTTCCAACGTCGAGGACATGTACGGAATGTTCGAGGACGCCTTCGCGTTCAACCAGGCCATCGGCGCGTGGGATACCTCGGGCGTGACGACGCTCGAGGACATGTTCTTGGGGGCGCGATCCTTCAATCAGTCGCTCAATGATTGGGACATTTCCAGCGTCACGGACATGTCTTGGATGTTCCAAGACGCCTCGGCGTTCAACAAACCGCTAGACGCCTGGAACCCCGCCAGCGTCACGGCCATGGACGGCATGTTCCACAACGCTACGTCGTTCAACCAGCCGTTGAGTGAATGGAGCTTTCCCAGCGTCACGCGGATGCACTCGATGTTCCGCTACGCCAAGGCGTTCGACCAGGACCTCGGCTGGTGCGTGGACGCCGACATGGTCCTGGCGATAAACGACCAGCCCGACGACGTGAGCAGCCTGTTCTACGAGACGCCGTGCGCGGCGACGTCGTGCGGCGTCACGCAAGATGGCTGCACGGGCTACGCCATGGACGACACCACCATCCGCACGGCCGTCGCGGCGTGGCTCGCGGACGCGGCGGCCGCCGAGGCGACGTACGGCCACATTTCGACGTGGGTGACCAGCGCGGTGACGGACATGGAGGCTCTCTTCGCCCATGCCGCCTCCTTCAACGACGACATTAGCGCGTGGGATACCTCTAGCGTCACGACGATGTATGATATGTTCTTCGGCGCCTCGTCGTTCAACCGAGACATCGGCAAATGGCGGGTCGAGAGCGTCACGGATATGAGATATATGTTCGAAGACGCCTTCGCGTTCAACCGGCCGATCGGCAACTGGGACGTTTCCAACGTCAAGGACATGTACGGGATGTTCGACTGGGCCTTCGCGTTCAACCAGGCCATCGGCGCGTGGGACGTCTCCGGCGTGACGCGGCTAGAGGAGATGTTCGAGGGTGCACGATCCTTCAACCAGTCGCTCAATGATTGGGACATCTCCAACGTCGGGGACATGTCTTGGATGTTCGCAGACGCAATAAAATTCAACAGACCGCTAGACGCCTGGAACCTCGCCAGCGTCACGGCCATGGACGGGATGTTCAAAAACGCCACGAAATTCAACCAGCCGCTCAGCGCCTGGAGCTTTCCCAGCGTCACGCGGATGCACTCGATGTTCCAATTCGCCAAGGCGTTCGACCAGTACCTCGGCTGGTGCGTCGACGCCGACATGGTCCTGACGATCGACGACGACGACGACGGGTTTCCCGACCACGTGAGCAGCCTGTTCTACGAGACGCCGTGCGCCGCGACGGCTTGCGGCGTCGCGCAAGAGGACGCGAACGGGACTTGCCCGGCGCCCACGGCCCTGCCGACGTCGCTTCCGACGGCACAACCGTCGTCGACGCCGACGGCGCCCTCGCCGCGGCCGTCGTCCCACCCGTCCGTGAGTCCTAGCTTGCGACCGACGCCCGCGCCTTCGGTAAGACCGACGCCCGCGCCTTCGGTAACGCCGACGCCCGCGCCCACGACGCCGCAGCCGTCGTCGACGCCGACGACGAGCGCCCCCTCGAACGGCTGCGTCATGGCGCTGCACCAGTTCCTGCAACCCCTGAGCTGCGAGGGCTGCGCGCGCTGGATCGATCAGCCGGCGGACGACAATTGTATAAGGGAGCTCGACGGCGTCGCGACGTGCCAGAGTAAAGCCGCGGCGATCGCGGCGGTCCCCGGCTGGGGCGCCGACACCTGCCCGACGGGCTGGACGGGCTGCAGCACCGATGTTTTTGACGTCGCGGCGACGTCGGGCGCGTGCAAGACGTACGAAAACGTCGTCGTTTTGCAGAGTGACGAGAGGGCCAAGGACTGCGACGTCGTCGTGCGGGCGTCCGTCGACGGCTTCGGGTCCTTGACCTTCTCGGATAATTCCCTGGTCACCTCGTCCTCTTATGCGAACGGCACCTCTTAGTACAAACTGCGGGCGCGGCCGACGCGGTGGCGCAAGCGCTCGCGACCTTCGAGTTCTGCCCCGGGTGCGTCGACGGGACGCGCGTTGACGTTTTCATTGGATGGCGTAAGTTGCGGCATCTGCACCGTGGCGGGCGTGAGCCATGATCTGAAAATCAAGGCGACGACGCAGCTCACGCACGTGTTTCATGGGAGAGTCGTCAAGGCGGGCTGCGGGGGCGACTGCTGGGCGGCGGGCGTGAGCGACGCTTCGGTGTCGGTCGGCGCGCCGGGTGCGCCTACGCGGACGCCGTCACTACAAAAACCGACGGCGCCTACGCCATCGAGGTGCCCTACGACGTCCGCCAGCACGGGAGCACGGCCTCATTATCGTTCTCCAAGGAGGGCTACTCGACGTACACGAAGAGCGTCGTCCTCGGCGCCACCGCCCTCCCTACGTCTTCGGGCTACTACTGGGCCTCGTCGTCCAACAGTTCGATCGGGGACCACTGCGCGGACGGCACGACGCACGCGCCCGTCTCCGCGTTATATTGTGCGGCGCACGGCGTGGACCTCTGCGCGATCTACGCGGCGAAGTACTCGGCGTCGTCGACGTGCCAGTGCTGGGCCGGCGCGCGCATCTATGGGGGCGGCTACGGGACCTGCTCCGGGCTTCCCGCGGCGACGGGCGCGGAGCTCCGCGTCGACGCGTACGAAGGCGTGCCCTGCGCCTGCGACCAACCGGTCTCGGCGCACGTTGTGGGGGCCGCCTATCTAAGCTCGGCGACGCTGCCCCCTTCGACATCACCTCCCTCGACCGCCTCTCCGACGACGCCGCAGCCCTCAGCGCAGCCGTCCGTGCGGCCGACACCGGCACCGAGTCCAGCGCCGAGCGTGACCCCGACGCCGCGGCCATCGTCCATCCCGACGTCCGCGCCGTCTCTTGCGCCGACGGCGCTTCCGGTGCCGGCGCCGACGCTGACGCCGACCTCGGCCCCGACGCTTGCGCCGACGCCATCGCCGGCGTCGTCGGCGCCGACCGCCGCGCCCTCGCTCAAGCCGTCGTATGCGCCCTCCTACGTCCCGACGACGGCGGCGCCGACGCCCAAGGTGCCAACTCCGCGCCCGACTCGCGCGCCGACGACCGCCGGACCGACGTCTGCGAGTCCTACGCACGCGCCGTCGCCGCTGCCTTCGGTCGCTCCTACGAATCTGCCATCGTCAAATCCGACCCTGGCTCCGTCGCCGCTGCCGACCACACCGCCGTCGCCGATGCCGTCGACACTGCCACCTACGTCGCCCGCGCCGTCATTGACGCCGACGTCGCTGCCTACGACCCAACCGTCGCCGCCGCCGACGGCGCCGCCGTCGTTGGCGCCGACGCTGTCCACGGCGCCGACGGCCGCGCCGACATCGAAACCTTCCACACCGCAACCTACCACGAGCATGCCTACGACGCCCGTTGCGTCCGCGACGGCCACTGTCGTGTGTCTATCTGCCGGTACGCGCAAAGGGGGCCTCGAGTCCGTCAGCGGGACGTGTGGTCTCGACCTCGTCGACGGCTCCAGCTTAGTCGTTGTGGATACGGCGGCGTCGGGCGCCGCTTCGCCGTGGTGCGAGCGCCGCTGACGCTTCATTCTTTGGCACTGTCCCGGACGGCGCCTTCGTCGAAGCGACTTGCGATGGTGCTTGCGCGGGTACGACAAAAGCGACGCTCGCGCACCCGGGCACGGCGCTGCTACCCTTGACCGGCCAGCTGGCGGCCGACGAAGTTGTCGTCGCGCTCGTGTGGGCGACGGCCGGCACGGACCTTGATTTGCGCCTAGGCTTTCGAGCCGACGACGACGAGCGGTGCTTGGTGAGCGCGGGCAGGCCGAACTGTGGCGACGCGACCCACACCATTGCCGGTGAAGGTCTTGAGTTTATCTCTATCAAGCCCTTTCGGGCCACTGACTACCACGTTTGGATTCATGGGAACGTCGAGGCCGCCCAAGCGTATGTGTACGTCTTCGACGCGGGAGGCCTCGTCTCCGTCAAGGCCGCGGCGCCGCCAGTCTGCGGCGCGACGACGGCGGCCGAGGCCGCGACTCAATGCGTTTACTACGACGATCCAGCCTTCGTGAACGCTGAGTCCGGGAAAGCTATCTGGGCCGCACCGGAGGCGAACAGACTGCTGGGCGAGCACACGGAGGCGCTCTGCCTCGAGGGCCTCGGTCTCGGAAGTGTCGTCAAGCCGCTCGTCGTGGAGCGGCAGCGCCACTACACCGCGGAGGCCTTTGACACGGCGCAGCTCGTGGATAGTTGCTCGCCCCTCGTGAGTGCGAAACCGCGGACGAGCGCCGTCTGGCACTGCTCCGCAATCATCGAGCGCGGCGTCTTCCGGTGCCCGGGGCGATGCGCCGCCACATGGTCTTCTGCGACGCTGGTTACGAATGTAATCCGGCCGCGGCGCTGGACGCCGCCGTGACGGACGCGCCGCCGTCGCGCTGCGCCATGTGCGTCGCGCCGCCGACGCCCGCGCCGACGCTGCAGCCCATCGCCCTGACGCTCGACCTCCTCGCGCGGGGAAACCGGTGATTTAGGGAGGGCGCGGCGGAGGCGGCCCCGGCGGGGAGGAGGTCCTCCCGAAAGCCTGACATGGGGAACGGGCGCCGTGGCGCACGGATCCTGGCGGTGGCGGATCGAGCCTGCGTGGAAATAAAATTTCGGGCGCCCCACGCCATCGACGTGATGAGACAGCCTAGCTCGCTGGTTGATTCCACACAGCTGCGAGCCCGGCGGCGGCGGGAAGCCCATCGGAGGCATGCCCGGCATGGCCATACCGGGGGGAAAGCCCGGCGGCCGCGGCGGCGGAGGAATCGACCTGTGTGGAAATCAAAATTTTACGGCGCGTTCGTGCTGAATCATCGCGTCGTCCTCCACGCCATCGACGCTACACCTGCTCGATGGCGTGGCGATGCCGGTTCCTCGCCGCTCGACCGAGCCAGGACGGCCGCGTCATTGCCGAGAAATGACTTAGCGAAGAATTGTCGGGTGCACGCCGACACACTGGTTGATTTCCACACAGGAATCGACCCCATAGGGGGAGGCACGCCCAGCGGCGGCCGCGGGTAGCCGAGCGGTGGCCGCGGGATCGAGCCGGGCGCGCCCACGAGCGCTAATGGTGGGGCGACGCCCGGCGATGACCGAGCAGACCCACGGGCGCGCGCCCGCGGTCAGCGCTCCGAGCGAGCCCATCGCCATACCCGGAGGCATCATTCCCATGCCGCTATTTTGTTCATAAAACTGCTTCATGTACTGCTCGTAGTACTGCTTCACATTTTCCGATGCTTCCAGCCCCGGATGTGCTGCTTTCGACCGGGCGCGGAGTCGTGCGTAAGGTACACATCACAATAATCACAGAAATAACGCGGCATCGTTGTGTGTTGGGCTTGGGTGCTCGGCGACAGCGGGCCGCGAGTGCGCGCGCGGGCCCAGGGCAGGCGGCGAGGGGCGGCCTTTATAATCACAGCGCAGGGGCGGCGCCGGGCTAATGTTGCGCGTGGCAGCAGCAAATAAACGTGGGAGTCTCTTTCAGCGCGTTGGCTTGCCGTGTGGACGCCCAATAGCCGCCCGCTGAGTCGCGCTCGGCTGAGATTATTAGCGTGCATAAACATACTAGAGATACGCAGCGCGGCCGGTGGGCAGCCTTTACGGCCTTATACGCGCCCAGGAGCAGGGCTCCGGCCGAGGGCTTCAGCCGAGGGCAGCTGTCGGACGTCGGACGCGCCTGTGGCCCGCAGCAAGGGCTGCCTGGGCCCAGTGTCACACCGACCACCATGAGGCGGACACGCCGGCGGCGCGTGAGCCCCGACGACGACGACGATGCCAACGACGACGAAGCACCGCGCCGGCCCCGCTCGCTCCTCCCCTGGAAGAACAGTAATAGGATGGTCGGCGGCGCCCCCGGCGCGGCGGACGACCAAACAGTAAATACGGAGACGACCGGCACGCGACGCCAAGCGGCCCAGCAAGAGGAAGACGACGACGACGACGACGGCATCGACTGGTCCAAAATGCCCCCGGAAGAAGTGTTCAAGCGCTTCGATACCGATGGATCTGGTGAAATCGACCTGGAAGAATTTAAGGTTATGCTCAAAAAGTTAAAAATACACATGTCCTCCGCCAAGGCCGTCAAGTACTTCAAGATGTGCGACGTCGACGACAGTGGCCAGATCGACTTCGAGGAGTTCCGCGTCGCGTTGTTTGCCTGCGACCCGAACAACGGCAACCCGATCGGCTTCGCGCCGAACGCGTTGTTGACACCGATCGACGCGTTCGAGATGTTCGACGAGGACGGGTCGGGCAATATTAACGAGGACGAGTTCTACTTCGTGCTCGAGTACCTCAAGCTCGAGGTGTCTGACGCGAACCAGGAGCGGTTGTTCCTGAAGTATGATAAAGATCAGTCGGGGGAGATTGACTACGACGAATTTAGACAGATCTGGCTCGCTGTCGCCGACGTGAAGAAGGAACTTACTGACAGAGGTGTCGACGTGCCGAAATTCGCTTCCCGCAAGAAGCTCGAACGTATTTTAGAAAAATGTCTAGACGAAGAGGAGGAGCAGGAGCGGCGGGCCATGGCCGAGGCCGAGCGGTGGCGGACGTGGCGGGCCATCCTCGACCAGAAGAACGAGTACATTAAGCATGCGAGGCGACGGGCGCAGATTGAATTGTGCAAGGCTCTGGACGCGGCCGGTCAGATCTACGTGTTTGGTCGGGGTGCTAGAGGACAGTTCGGCGCCCAGGGCGAGAAGGACGGGACGCATGAAATCGTGCAGAAGCTCTGGACGCGACGAGTGACCGCGGGTAAGGCGGACTTTGACCCGGACCGGAAGATGGACTCATTGGAGACAAAAGACGCCATCGACGTGGAAGCGCTGAAGAACGAGCTCGCGTCGTCGCCGTTTAATGATTTGGTTGTGGGTGAAAATGCGGCGAAGCTGTGGGGCAAGCGGGTGTATGATGCTGCCATCAGTGACACGGTGATACTCGCACAGTCGGACCTCGGGGAATTGTGGACCTGGGGCGGTTCGGACCACTGGTGGTACGAGATCGAGCCCGACGCCCACTGGCAGACGCACTGGCGCGGGGATACGACTCCAAGGTCCCAATTACTCCTAGGGACGCGGTTCAAGCCCGAGCCGCCCCCACCAGAAGTCGACGAGCTAGGAGAACTTAATGATGGCAGCGAAGCGCTGAAAGTCGTCTTGACGTACTACGGCAAGTGGTCGGCCCCACCGCCCGACGTAGACAGGAGAAAATTTTATGCCGACGAGTGCCTCCCAAACGTCGATTATAACTGGATCGTCACCTCCCTAGAAGTGCGGGGCAAGCAGCCCGAGGAGATGACGAAGCTCATGCTTTGTGATCTGTTACATAGAGATATCATGCTGGAGAAGCGGGTGCTGGGCGAGCGGGCCCATCGGCGGATTCACGAGCTCGAAGAAGAGATTAGGGAATTGAAGAAGGTGCGACGCGTAGCTCTAGCAAAAAGGTTAGTGGTAGACATCACGAAGATGTGGGCGCCCCTGCGCGAGATTCAAGCGGAAGAAGATGCGAGGGACCGACAAAAGAAACAAACGGAAGTTGTGGAAAACATCGCCAAGCGCGAGCACGCCTACGAGGCCTGGCGCCAGCAGGTCAAGGAGGCCGCTGAAGCTACTTCTCCGGAAAGGACCGCTCGTGGCAACTCCATTGTTATTGAGTCCGGTGGTATTACGGCAAGGGGTGCCGGTCATAAAATAGCCCAGGGCTACGCGGCCATAAAACAAATAGCGGGCGGCGCGCAGCATTTTGCGGCGGTGCATCAGTCTGGAGCGTTGTACACGTGGGGCCTCGGGTCTGGTGGGAGACTAGGATTGGATATTACGGAAAATGGGGACCCGCGAGCGGACGCGACGCGACCGACCGTCGTGCAAGCATTGGCCTCGACGCCAGTGTTGACCACAGCCTGCGGCTACTCGCACATGGCCTGCGTGACGACGTCGAGGGACTTGTATGTCTGGGGCTCGGCGGCCTCCGGCAAGCTCGGTTTAGGATTAGCGGCAAAAGAGGAGGAGTGCTACGCCTCACTCCCGGTCCACCTGCCACTAAGACCGAAGAACCGACCCCTGTTGAGGACAGTGTCCTGCGGCGCGGCGCACACCGCGGCTACCACCACTGATGGTGAACTGTTCGTCTGGGGCTGCGGTGATGGTGGCCGACTAGGCCTTGGGAGGGAAGGTCTGGCGACGCACTGGTCCCCGCGACGAGTGGACGCTCTCTTTGAGGCCGGCCATAGAATAGGAGATGTGTCTTGTGGCAACGCCCATACCCTAGCAGTCACATTAATTGAAGAAGTCTGGACCGGGACGGGAACGAATCGAATGAAGGAAAAACAAGGTGGCCAGGTCTTCGCCGCCGGCTCGGCGTCCGTCTTAGGTCTATTTCATCCGGCTTTTGATCGCGTCATGGGCGAACTCGCGAGTGTCCAGGCCGTCCAGGCTTCTGCCGGATTCGCCCATAGTGGCGTCGTGACGTCGGAGGGCGAGCTCTACTGCTGGGGCATGAACGACGACGGGTGCTGCGCGGCCCATCCTAAAGTTAGATTTTTGGCGGAGCCCACGCTCGCCGCTTGTATCTATTCGCGGCCTGGGAATTTGGCTTTAGGAAGACCCGCAAGACAATCAAGCTGCTACGGCGGCCAGGACGCTCATGTGGCCGTCGATGGAAATTGTGATGGTAGTTCACCAGAACTCTGCACGTCCACCCAACAGGACCCCCAAGCCTGGTGGGAGGTCGACCTGGGCGATTTTGCGAATTTGCACATTGTGAAGCTGTGGAACCGCACGGACGAGCCGCCGGACCAGACGATGGCTAGGGACAAATATTCTTCTCGGTTAGTCCCGTGCTGGATCATGGCGTCGCAAAAGCCCTACTCCGACGAAGTCGGCGGGTCCTCCCTGATCAACGCTCTCGGGCAAAGTGTGGCGCGGCACCAGATCACTAGGGATAAAAGATGCACGACGTGGCACGTCCCCGAGAACATCTCGGCGCGGTACATCCGCGTGCAGCTGGAAGGGTTCAACTTTCTCCATTTCGCGCAGTTGGAGGTCTTCGGGATCATCGGCGTGCAGGGTTCTGTCGGACGATGTAGCAGAGTAGTCTGCGGCAAGCACTGCACCGTGGCCATCATACGACCGCTGTCGGACCCGGCGGACATCAACCGCGTCTACAAGCGCGCTATTTTGAGCGACGCGCAGAATGCGGACATTTTGAGGGAACGGGAGACCTTCGCCCTGGAGTACGACAAGTATGGGAGAGGCGGCAAGGACATGGAGTGCATCATCTGCACGGGCGGCCAGAAGTGCGAGAACTGTTTGATGAAGGAAAGATTTGCTGGGGAGTTGAAGGATCTGTCGCTCGGGGCGGCCGGCCGCGTCCTGACGTTGGACGAGATGGCCGAGATGTTGTTAGATGCACCAAAACCACCATTGAACTTCACCCCTAAAGTAGTGGTGGACAACTCCTGGGCCGGCAAACTCCAACAGCGCCTCGCGGGGAAGAAGAGCGACGATTCCGTCAAGAAGGCCAAGGTCGCGCCGGACGACGGCTCCGTGGCGAGCGGCGGCTCGACAAAATCAAAATCCTCGAAGCGGTCGAAGCGGTCGCGGTCGTCGCGTGGCAAAAAATCCGAGGCCGGGTCGAAGAAGTCGGGGGGCGCGCCGCCGGCCCCGGACTGGCTGGTGCCGGGGGCGGGGTGGGCGACCTAAGGAGGGTTATGTGTAGTTTTCAGTCAGGGGCTAGTATCTTGGGCTAGTACTGGGCTTAGGCACTCCCCGGCGGCGACAGCGTCTCGCAGGCGCGGAGGAGCACGGCTCGCGTAGTTCCCAGGTCGTTCCCCATTTCTTTTGTAATAGGGTGCGCGCCGCCGAGCACGCGCCGCGCGATCCGTTCAGCGTCCTCGAGCGTCTCCACGCTCTCGCGGACATCGTCGAGCGTGGCGTCGGGGTCCGAGTAGAGCGCCCGCGCGTAAACCCACCTCATCTTGAGCGTGTGTTCATTCCCCTCTCCGAGAACGCGTCGTGCTACGGGCATCGTTTTGCGCAACAGTGATTTGGCTTCTTTGAAGCGCTTGAGACCATTAAGGGAGTCCGCGTAGTTGTTGGCCGCAATGAGGGTGTTCTCATGTTCCTCGCCGTCGAGCTTCAAACGTCCGGAATATACACCTCGAAACGCATTTACGGCCTGTTCGAGCCGTTCAAGCTGAAGGTACGAAATCGCAAGATTGCTCTGAGTATCGAGCAATGACTGTTCTGATGCGCAAAGTCGCCGCAGCATAGACAACTCCGCCTCTTGCACGGACAACGCCTCCTCGTATTGTTCCGCATTTTGTAAACCGTTACCAAGAATCGAAATCGCTATTTGCCGAAGCTGGTCCGTCTCCGGCCGGCCCACGTACTTCTTCCAGCACGCCCACCCGAGTGCGTTCATTACGACGCCGTGGTACCGTTGCTCACACAGGCTACACGTGTACCACCGTTCAAACCTCTCATTCAACGCCTTGGCATCCAAATTGTTCTCCTCGGCCTCGTCCATCAAAATCTTCGCCTGCTCCGCCAGGCACGACACGTGCGCGAAGCCCGCCGTCCCACGGCAAGAGCACCCGCGCACGAGACCCTCCTTCGTTTTCCAATGGAGGGCTTGCGTGCAAATATAACACGTCTGGCCCTTCGTGTCGTCCGCGCACGCCTCGACGGCCTCCGCGACGGCCTCCTTGTATTTTTTGTCGGCGTGGTATTGCTCCGCGTTGCCGCCGCGGTGTATTTTCTTACACATCTGCTTGTGGCCGCGGCGCCAGTGGTCATGTTGGCAAGTGGCGTTGCAGTAGCGCAACTTACATCTAACGCAACGCGGCGCGTCGTGGGCCAGTGGGGCGGCGCAGGCGGCGCATGTTGTGAGGATCATCTTGCGTTTTGCGGTGAGTTATTGGGCTTGCGCGGCGGCTTGACTCGGCTTGAAAAACCCGAATTTTCAACTCACAAACGCCGTCGCGCGACGCGAACACGTCTGCACGGCGTCGGTATTTGATACACACCTACTTAGCCACCATCCACGAGTTCCACCCCCGCTCACGGTACGTCACGACGACCTGCCGCGGGCACTTCTGCAGGTCGGGCGCGGCGTAGGCCGTCCCCGAGAAGAAGTCGTCGACGGCGCCGCGGACCGCCCGCGGGTGCTTGGACCAGTCCTCGCCCGCCGTGTGCGGGTCGAACGCCATGCCGCAGCCGTTGACCCCGAACGCGGGTAAGCATGGGTCGGTGAAGCCGCCCTCATGAAACTCGCGCACGGGATACTGCGACGCCCAGTCCATCGCGACGAGGGCCTCGGCCATGCACGTCTGGTTGCCCCGCGCGCAGCCCGCGCCCGACAAATCGCGGCCCTCGAGGAAGCGGAGCGCCGCGTCGACCCTAGATTCGCCGAACCGCGTCTCGACGGGTTGCTCTCCTTTATCATCGATCGAGACGGACACGGCATGATCCCCATCAAAAGGCTCGGGCCACGCATCGTCGTCTGGTGCGCCGTAGGCCCACGCGTGCGGCGCCGGCTCGCGATGCTCCGTATAGTCGTGGCCGGCCATGACCTGCGCGAGTTCGGTTGTGCTCCACGCCATCGAGCAGTCGCAGTGACAAAATTTGATTCCACGCAGACCACGGACGCCACCATTTTTAACCTTTGGCCACCAGAGGTGCAAATCCATGAGTACATCAATTCGATCGTGCGGCGCTCCGGCGTACACGAAATCGGCGTAGTCGTTCGGATATAAGTCGGCGCAGTCCTCCGTGCGGTTCGCGCACTGCTCGCCGCTCTTTGCGTAGCCCAGCGCGACCGCGGCGTCGAGCACGGCTTTCGCCCGCTGCCGGTGCCGCGCGTGCGTCTCCGCTGCTGTCTCGCTGCGCGCTGTCGCCCGCGCGCTCCGTGCCGGCGCCGTCGCCCAGGGGCCGCCAGGCGTCGACCTGG